CGACCCTCAAGCGCAGATGCTGCTACTGGAACAACAAATACTCGAGTCAACTTCAAACTACCCGAACATCACCAGCCTGCTCAAGTTCCTCAAGTCAAAGGATGCAACCCAAAAGGTCACGGCTGCCGTCGCCCTCTGCCGTACCTTCTGCCGCTTGATGGCTGCCGAGAGAATGGTCAGGCAAAAGACCATGGACGAGGAAGAGATTGAACAGGTAGACTGGCTCAAGACACAGTACAAGGAGTATGGGCGACAGCTGGGCCGTCTGTTGGCGAGCGAGGAGCTTCAGAGCACCGCCTTGACTCTGTTCATGCGCCTGGTCAAGGAAGAGACTTCTCAGGACGGCCGTCGCGCTGAGCAGGCTTGGAGAACTGGTATCTTTGCAGACTTGGTCTTGGGTCTTGTGGCATCGCCTGACGCTGCCGGTGCGCGCGAGGAGTTCATGGAGAAGTTTGTCGAGGAGCACGACGATGTCCGCTACTTCACCTTCTATGCTGTCGCAAACATCCTTGCTCGCTCGCCTGAAGGCTACGATCGCCAGACACTTGTATCGAACGCTCTCTCACTACTTCTCCTGATCGAGAATGCCCCCGACTCGGACTCTCAACTCGAAGACTGGTACGGACAGACTCCCGAAGGCCGCAAGCACGCTCTCCTGTCTCTATCCTCGCATCGCAAGACGGCACAAGAAGCATGGCTCGCCATCTTCCGTTCGGCTCTCACCAAGGACGAGCGCAAGTCCATCCTTTACCATCTAACCAACCGTATCGTACCCTGGTTCACCAAGCCCGAGTCGCTCATGGACTTCTTGACAGACAGCTACGATGCTGGCGGTGCCACTTCTCTGCTCGCCCTCTCTGGTCTCTTCTACCTCATTGCCGAGAAGAACCTCGACTACCCTGCCTTCTACACAAAACTCTACTCTCTGCTCGACGACACATTACTGCATTCGAAACACCGCAGCCGCTTCTTCCGCCTCCTCGACACCTTTATGAGCTCCACCCATTTGCCCTCAGCCCTGGTCGCTAGTTTCATCAAGAGGTTGTCAAGACTAGCGCTACACGCACCACCTGCCGCCATCGTCGTGGTCGTGCCTTGGGTCTACAACATGCTGCTGCGTCACCGTACCTGCACATTCATGATCCACCGTGAGATTCGCGGTGCATCGCAACTCAAANAGCTCGAGGCCGAGGGCATGGACGACTCGTTCTCGATGGACGAGATGGACCCCATGGAGACCGGTGCCATTGACTCGTCGCTCTGGGAGCTCGAGACTTTGTCCTCGCACTACCATCCCAACGTCGCAACACTGGCAAGAATCATCCAGGAGCAATTCACAAAGAAGAACTACAACATGGAGGACTTTTTGGATCACAACTACCAAGGTTTGATCGATGCCGAGTTGGGCAAGGAGATGAAGAAGACGCCAGTGGTCGAGTTTGAGATTCCAAAGAGAATCATCACGGCTGACGAGGGTGGTCTCAACGATCTGGGCAGTTTGCTACAAACTGCTGTTCAGGCACTGTAGATTTTGTGTTTTGCATGTTTTCTGGCATAAGGCAGGGCGTTGGGTGGTAGCTTTGGTTAAATCTTGCGAGATCCGAATGTCATTGTTGTGAAGTTTTTCATCATTTACTTGAATGCTATGCTATTCTATTTTCCGAGTTCTCTCGCCTTCTTGTAATCTCAGGGGTATTCTTGGTCCTCTGCGAGATAATCCGTATCGCGATTTTATTGCCCTTCTCCAGCTCTCAGAATGAAGTGATTAAAACACAAGTAGATCCCTCCCACCTCTCCCAGTCAGGTCGGTCCAACTCCGCCAACACCAGCGCCATGCACAAAGAAACAAAACAAGGGCTCGTCTGAGAACAGGACGTGCGCTTAAACGAGCAAGACAGCGTTCAAGCAGCCGTCGTTCTCGGGGTTGTTGGTAACTTGGGCCCAACGACCCCAGACAACCTTTCCACCAGCGGTGACCAGACCAAGTTCCGAGACGTTGACTTCGATGATGGTACCCTTGGTCAAGACACCGAGTTGGGTGTACATTGGGTTTTGCGGGTTCTTCTTGACGGAAATGATGGGGAGCTGGACAGTGACACCGAGTTCGGGGTGGGTGACGTTTGCCTTCTTGTAACGGAGACCCATGGGACGGATGAATCTNGGAGAATGTGTGAGTATGATTGTGTTGAGATGATTGAAGATGGCAGAAACAAACCTCTCGTATTTGACAGGGCGACGAGTAAAGTCGGGGCCGACGAAGGTGGGCTTGGTGATCATTCTCTTCCAGCTCTTCTTTGCCGTCTTCTTTCCGGTCTTGACGACCTTGAACATCTCCTCCTCGGCAATACCTCTGACCTTGGGCAGGGGCACGCTGAATTTGGCGGCCTTCTCGGCTCTCTTGTTCTTGATGGCCGAGGACAGAGCCTTTGCATTCTGCTCGTTGCTGCGGTCGAGCAGATAGGCGGGCAGAGGGGTGTTGGAAGGCTCTGCGGCTTCACTGGACTTGACGTTGCGCTCCTCGTGGGCTCTGATCTGCTTCTTCATCTGGATCTTCTCCTTGCGGCGCTTCTCCTGGTACAGCTTTGCGCGCAGACCGCGGTAGTTTTGCGCCTTCTCGGAGCCGGCGTGGCCCTCTCTGGCCTGTCTCTTGCGTTTGCGCTCGTCGTGGTCGAGACGCTTGCCATGCTGCTTGGCAAAGCGTTCCATATACTCATTCTGAGGCATGGCGGCGGTGGATTGTGTGTGGTGGTTTGGCGTGGGTTGGTGTAAAGAATCGAGGGCCAAAAAAAGAAGGACGTTCTTCTCGTTGCGGGGAAGGAGCGAGTCTGCGAGAGGCAAAGTCAGTCCCTGCCTGCGTCTGCGACTTCCGTGGCTTGGCGTCGCTCGATAATCTTCTGAGCGTCGATTCAATCAGCGACCGCCAGTCGATTTGGCAGCCAGACCACTCAACATGTTTCTCTCTCGTGCAGCCAAGCGGGCGTGTTGCCTGGACTCGCGTCTTCTACCTCCGACCTTCCTGCTCCCTTTCACGGCACAATTGAGCAGCGTCTCACACACGACCGACGCATCAAACACTCCCGAAGTCCTCCTCAATTCCTCCGCCGCAAAAGTAGACTCTCCTCCTACCTCGACAACTATCACATCCGCTCCCCCTTCGGCCAGTCATGCCCCGGCATCTGCACCCAAGCTACCGACGCCCTCTCAATCGCCTCCGGCCCTGAGCGATTCTGTCCGCGAACTATTGCCTGTACTCCGCGCCCAAGGTCCTCACTACATCACCGCACACATCTATGATCGTCCTTACCTCCTTACCGAGGGCGACACCCTGCGTGTGCCGTTCCTCATGCACGGCGTTCAACCCGGCGACATCTTGCGCCTGACCCACGCCTCATCACTCGGTTCGCGAGACCTTACCCTCAAGGCCGGCGCCCAACCTGCCAACTCTCGCTCACCCACCGCATCCACCATCTCAGTCGTTGATCCCACACCTGGCAGCGTCTTGACCTCCGAAAGCAGAAGGATGCCTGACGGAGGCCACTTTGTGCCACATCTGGCCAAGGGCAAGCACATTTACGTCGACGATAGACTATTTGTGTGCAGAGCCACTGTCATGGGTACAGAGGCTGAGCCCATGCGCATCAAGGAGAAGACAAAGCGCAGACAAAGAAAGGTCAAGACAGTCAAGAGCAAGCACCGTTTCACCGTGCTCAAGATCAAGGAACTGAGGATAAAAGGCTTGGGCGAGATCGAGAGCGGTCTCGATGCTTGAAACTCTTTTGGTGAAGCTGCCCGGTTATGAGCCATGACAATTGAGCTGGGCTGATATGTGCAGAGGAAGACCGGTCAGGGCAGGCGTTCAGCCTTGTATACCAAAACTATTGTACAAAATATATTCTCGTTCTTGTTCTTTATCGAGTTCATGATGCATTGCCTCTCCTGGATGAAACAGCTCCTTGCGAGTAGACGCCTTGTCTTTGGTAAGATGACTGTCTCATATGCAGCCAACCTTTGTGTTGGAAAGGTCGTCTTTCACACGAACGTCCAGCTTTAAATCTTCTGTCCATCGTCAAACGTATAAAAGGATCATGTTATTCTGGCTCGCTATCGAAAGTTCAGTTTCAACAGATCCTTGCTTTTCTCTCTCTTTCTTCATGACGATGGCCAACATCCAATCAGCCTCCGACCTGAAGAACATGTCGAACAAGATTTGCATGGCGATCGTGGTGCCTTTACTCCTGCTGCTGCCACTACACTTTGGAACCACAGACTGGTCACGGACGATAAGCCGCTGAGAAGAATTGCTGAGTGTGCCAGAGAAGTTTCCAAAGCTCATAAACAACATATATCCAACCATCGCACATCTGATGTCTGCGTATCTTTCAGATGTTCTATTCCAGCGAAGGTGGACGGGAATGGGAATGTTGTCTGCAGCAGACAGGAGAGACCAGACATCTAGATTGTTTGTAGTAGTGATGGCACGAAGTCTACAAGCGTTTTATTACCAGTGTAGATTGCTGCCTCAGGAGCAGAGAACAAGTAGAGGTCAAGGTCCTGGGCTCGGCCACGGAACGCACAGGGCAACGAAAATCATGCCGACCAAATGCCGGCCATCGAGTTCGAACCATCTCAGTCTTTGACTCTTTCCCTCTCTTTCGCCAACTCTAGACTACATGAACTCACATAGACACAGGTGCAATTTGTGCCCAATCATGATAGTATTTCCTCGTGTTTCTCAATTGAGAGACAGTGGTGCAACACCCGCTTTACCGTAGGTAGGCTAGACTTGCTCCATCTCTCGATTCATGCAGACCGGGGTAGCAATGTTCGCTGCCGCGGATCTGGCCAGACTCAAATCGGCAGACCAAGGGAGAGGACCAGACCGACTTTTGGGCAGGGTCTGCACGACGAAGGTAAGCAAGCAATGATTGTTGTCAATACGCACATGTCGCATCGATTTTGTTCATCTTCCATCAACATACTTCATCCCGTCCCTTGCGACCATGGATGACACTGCACAACTCGACGACGCTCTATATCGGGCTTGCATCACAGCAGACTTGCCGCAGGTCAAATTTCTGGTTCTGGAGCAAAACGCACAAGTAAACAAAATCATCGGTCCTCCTGGTCAGCTGGATTACTCTTTGAATCATGCGACTAAAACTGGTTCGGTACCTCTGGTGCGCTTTTTGCTTGATCACGGCGGTGCAACTATCAACGCCGCAGCACTACGGAGTGCTGCCTTTGAAGGAGATCGACCGATGTTGCAGCTTCTGCTCGAACCCATCAAAGCCCAGTTAGCGACTTCGGGCATGTCAAGGAAATGGCGGGGAGATCTTGCCTCGATTCTGGTCGGCACTACGAGGAGAGGTCGCAGTGAGACCGCCGATGTTCTCAAGATATTTCGCTCTAGAGTTCAAGAGTTCGACAAGGCTGTCGATGCCGGGCTTCTTGCAGCATGTGCTGCAGGCGACATGCGCTCGGTCCAATACTTTATCGACATGGGTGCAGAAAACAAAGCCGAAGCCATATGCACTGCAGCCGAGTATCATCAGTTCGAACCACTGGAATACTTCTTGGAAAATCATGACTTCGAGCCAGAGGAACTGGTCGATCCTTTAACATCGGCGGCTGGTGGTGGCCACATGCCATCAATCCTCCTACTCATCGAACAAGGGGCAGAAGATGAACTGGGCGCTGCACTGGCTAGAGCTGCGAAGTTCTCACACGCTGAAGTAGTACAGCACTTTCTCGGCGTCTTCAGATACACAAAAGACAAGTTATCGACAGCACTTGCGGCAGCCGCTCGTGTAGGCGACACGGCCATTATGGAACAGCTTATTCACAAAGGTGCTCACAAAGGTACTCATGGCTCCGGAGCATTAATACATGCAGTCCAGAGAAGTCATATCGCAGCAACAGAGCTCTTGCTTCGATGTCTTGCACCGAGTCAGGCAGAACTCTCGAGGTCCCTGGAGAAAGCGATGTTCATCTGGTTACGACCTGTGCAGACGCAAAAACCTTATCTCTCAAGAACTTCCAGTCATTCCTCAAGAAGCACAAGCAGCGAGATGGTTGAGCCAACAATACCAGAAGTTTTACAGAATCGAGAAGAGTCTCGAAGACGTATCGTTGATGTGCTTATTGAGGCCGGAGGACGACTATCAGAACTGTACTACTGTCGACTTCTGGAGATGATGATCCTTACTCAGAACCAGTATGGCGTCGAGCTATTACATGACAGCGCCAAGTTCACCACGGTCGACACACTACCTGACGAGTACCTGATCAGTCTAGCGATCTATCACCAACAAGACGACATGGTGGACCTTTTACTCGGCTTCCCTGTAGCACGTAGCCCTGAGCTAGCAGAGTCGACAGAGCTGAGCAGCGTACAATCGATCGCTGAGAGTACCCAAGCATGGGAGTCGAAAGTCTACAACCCCATCCCCAGCCCACTCATTCTGGCAGCGAAATTCCAGAACGAACGTTGGTGTCGGACACTCATTAGCCGTGACGAGACTGACGTCAACGAATGGTGTTCCTACAGGCCGAGCAAAAGACTCTTGAGCTTTTACGGATTCGACAGAAAAACACAAACGCCAAAGGAGGAACAGTACGAAGAACTCGGCTGTCCGTTTGGTACCGAGGCACTACGTGACTGTGCTTTGTCAATGGCTATTCGCTCACGAGACATACCCATCATTCGTTTGCTTATCGAGAACGGCGCAGATCCATGGGTGAATCGACAAGGCATTTCCATCTTCGAGATGGCAGCAAAGGAAAAAATTTTGCGAGACACTCTGCTGTTCTTAGAGAACTCTACTACCAAGTTTACTATCGATCAACGGGAATGGGACGGCGGCAAAAGCATGCTCCACTGGGCTGCGATATATGGTAACGGTGACTTCATTGATCTCTTCTGCAAGAAAGGAGCTACGATCGACCTTACAGACGCAATGCACAGGACATCATTACATCTGGCTGTGACGGCCGGAAATATCGACACAGTCAAAGGGTTGCTATGGGCTGGAGTCAGGACATCACTGAGGGATGTAGGTGATTGCCTATGCGCAGACGAGCTTGCCGCGAAACTAGCACAACAAGCTTCATGGTCGGATCCATTACGAGCAGTCAGATTTGGGATCAGCCGTTTCCTGGACGATTGGGTGAGAAACAACATGGATCACCTCGACGCTGCCAACATCCGACGGGAGTCGAAGGCAGCTGAAGAGAGAGCAAAGGTGGAAGAGGCTACACAGTCAGCGGGAGATGACCTCCTAGACCATTTTAGCGATGAAGATAGCGTGCATTGGAGTGATGAGGAGTGAATTGATCGTCTGGTGAGCATTGATTCAGATATACACACGGTTTCGATGTCTGCCAGATACAAAGCAACAATGCGTTCGGCATGAAGAATTCATCAAGTGATGATGGAGTGGATGTGCAAATCGTGGAGAGGAGCCGCTGGGCCCCGGAATCGGTCGGGACGAGGACTCGGTCGTAACTTCTGTCTGGGATGACAAAACAGCTGGCACGCTACGACTCGGCAGGAAGGAGCAGAGCTGAGCTGAACAGCATTGTGAGCTGGACAAGCTGCAGAGAACAGGCATAAACAGGACAGGCTGTTTTTCTTCACTGTGCTAGAGACGGAGAGAGGTGCACATAGGGTGATATAAGCAGGGCTCACAGAGCTACAAAATTCAAAAAGCTGCCAAAAGGCGTGGCCAGTCGGGCGCTCTGACCACTCAATCCGAGTGCTTCGTTGCGGCAAATCTCGTTCAACCTCACCCTCCTCCTAGAACCGACCTCCCATCACCCTCTATCTCCACTCATCCTCTATTTCATTGGGACCCGTCACACCCATCGGGCTTCTGAGAAATTTCTGTCATCATGTTCAGAAGCGCCCTTCGCCAGAGCGCCCGTGTGGCCACCGTCGCCGCTGCTTCGTCGAGAATTTCAGCTGTACGTTTCAACAAGCTCCAACCACTCGCCCACACCTCGCCTGCGACTACAAGCTCGAGAAGCACGCTATACCTGGCCAACATTGAGTCCGACAACCATCATTGGATCTGTCGCCACCTCCAATGGGTGCTGTCTGCGCGCCGTGTTGGCCGGTTGCGCGCTGGAGCTGTCGCTGGCGACGCCGAAGCTTGCTCGCCTTTGCCAAGTCTTGCAACATCTCGCTGACATGTTTCCCACCTCCAGGCCCGCGCTGTCGCTCCCGTCGCCAACTCTTTCCGTGGCTACGCCGACAAGGCCTCCCCACTGAGGTCTCTTCCATCCTCGAGCAGAGAATCCGCGGTGTCCAGGAGGAGTCTGGTCTCGCCGAGACCGGCCGCGTCCTTTCCGTCGGGTATGTCTACGACCGCCATCGTATCTGCAAACAAGACGCGTGGAGACTGACATACAACCAACAGTGATGGTATCGCCCGTGTTCACGGTATGGCCAACGTCCAGGCCGAGGAGCTCGTCGAGTTCGCCTCCGGTGTCAAGGGCATGTGCATGAACCTCGAGGCCGGCCAGGTCGGTGTCGTTCTTTTCGGTTCTGACCGTCTCGTCAAGGAGGGTGAGACCGTCAAGCGTACCGGAGAGATTGTCGACATTCCCGTCGGTATGGAGCTTCTCGGCCGTGTCGTCGACGCTCTCGGTAACCCCATCGATGGCAAGGGCCCCATCAAGTCCACCGAGAGACGCCGTGCTCAGCTCAAGGCTCCCGGTATTCTTCCCCGCCAGTCCGTCTCGCAGCCCGTCCAGACTGGTCTCAAGTCCGTCGACGCCATGGTTCCCATCGGCCGTGGTCAGCGTGAGTTGATCATTGGTGATCGTCAGACCGGTAAGACTGCCGTCGCTCTCGACGCCATGCTCAACCAGAAGCGTTGGAACAACAGCTCCGACGAGTCCAAGAAGCTTTACTGCGTCTACGTCGCCGTCGGTCAGAAGCGTTCCACCGTCGCTCAGCTCGTCCAGACCCTTGAGGAGAACGACGCCATGAAGTACTCCATCATCGTTGCCGCCACCGCCTCCGAGGCCGCTCCCCGTAAGTTGAAGCTCTCAGCATCTTCTAAACTCTGCTGACCAAGAAACTAGTCCAATATATCGCCCCCTTCACCGGTTGCACCGTAAGTTGATCTCTCTTCTGCTCATGCGCAAAAGTCGTGCAGCTATAAAAAGGCACAAAAGCTCTCGGATTGGAGATGAGACCAGTGAGAGCCCCCTATATGCCGGCTCTCAGTGGACACCACTCTTGTTTCGAAAAGTACTGTGCATTTTTATAGCTACATGATTTGCAAGCTTGCACATGGGAAGGATGCGCCTGTATCTGTACCTTTTTACTGACACGAAAACAGATGGGAGAGTACTTCCGTGACAACGGCAAGCACGCCGTCATCATCTACGACGATCTGTCCAAGCAGGTATTGCACATCGAATCCGATATTTACGAATATGCACTGACTCTTCATTTAGGCCGTTGCTTACCGTCAAATGTCGCTCCTTCTCCGTCGTCCTCCCGGTCGTGAGGCTTACCCCGGTGACGTTTTCTACCTCCACTCTCGTCTCCTCGAGCGTGCTGCCAAGATGAACGACAAGCTCGGTGGTGGTTCGCTCACTGCCCTGCCCATCATTGAGACCCAGGGTGGTGATGTCTCCGCTTACATTCCCACCAACGTCATTTCCATCACTGATGGTCAAATCTTCTTGGAGGCTGAGCTCTTCTACAAGGGTATCCGTCCCGCCATTAACGTCGGTCTTTCCGTCTCGCGTGTCGGTTCCGCCGCTCAGCTCAAGGCCATGAAGCAAGTCGCCGGTTCGCTCAAGCTCTTCTTGGCCCAGTACCGTGAGGTCGCCGCCTTCGCCCAGTTCGGTTCCGATCTTGATGCCGCCACCAAGCAGACCCTGTCTCGTGGTGAGCGTCTTACCGAGCTCCTCAAGCAGAAGCAGTACAGCCCCATGGCCGTCAACGAGATGGTTCCTCTCATCTACGCTGGTATCAACGGTCACCTCGACAACGTCCCCGTCGCCAAGATCCTCCAGTGGGAGGCTGACTTCCTCAACCACCTCCGCACCAACGAGAAGACCATCCTTGACCAGATTGACAAGGAGGGTGCTCTCAGCAAGGAGCTCGAGGCCAAGCTTAAGGATGTCATCAAGAGCTTCACCTCCAGCTTCTCGTAAATTTCTCATTAAAAATTTATAACGGGGAAAATTGCGGGGATGGCCAAAGAAGCCGTGTGTATAGTAGAGCGAAAGTAGCGTCTCATTGAGTTTTTCTTCCAAATCTTTCAATGACAAAGTGTATAATCTTCGTTCTTCAAACACATGTGACCAGGTCTGTCTCGGTATGCGATTGCCAAATTGCTAGTCAGATTTCTGATTATATCTCACTCGAGGTTTGGCACTTACTGACATGACAATCAAGGAAGGTACGACTTACATACTGATGCGCATATGACAGTTATATTGCATCGTACTCCCAGTCTCGTGAGGACCTCAAGTGTAGCTATCAAAAGGCACGATACTTTGCAGATCTCGATACAGTCCACTGAGAGCAACTTTTATCGTCCTATCTCACTGGAATCGGTTTGGGGCTCAAGCAAGTACTGTGCATTTCGATAGCATCGATTGCCAGGAGTCACTTTCGAAAGAGTCTGGTGTGCCTCTTGTCAACAAAATTCACACCTGTGATAGATCAACTCGTTTGCGTCGATGCCACCTAAATGTCAAAAACGGGGTGATGCATGGAAGCAGGTTCATGTCACTGTCTGGCATCAACAAACCTTGTCCAATGTCGTATCTTGATTCTTCGAGGCTCATCAAGCTCTCCAGACAAACCACCATGCTGACATTCAATCACAACACAGTATCAGGTCAAAGGAACAAATGTTTCAAGTAACTTGAAGTCGGGTTTGATCAGTGGTCTCTGCGTATACCATCCATGGCTTGATCACAGGTGAACATAGACGCAATGACACTTTGCTCTTGATCCAAGTCTTTTCCAGACCAATGGTTTTCATTCTTCGTATCCTCATTCCAGCAATTCACCCACAGAAGCAGACGCCCGCTGCCAACGTCTATAGTGCAACCCACTATACCATACCATCACCCACTCTCAACCACAACCATACTAAAAACCACCCACTCCAACCAGAACAACCAGAACCTGCACCCCTAAAATCCAATTTCCTGTAACCATCATTGCATACGCACCTAACAAACCCACGTAAAATCATATCACATTTATTGATTCAAGGCGATGATAGATGCTGATCGAGTCTGATGGAAAGTCAATCATGGGACCTCAAAACCACGGTACAAGTTTCGGGTTTCAAACCAGGAGAAATGGAAGGGAAGAGGCGAGGTAAACGATAGGTAAAATTGGGAGGAAGTTTGGGTGAGGGATAGATGGGGGAAGATGATGACGGGCGGTGTTGAGTGGGTAATGGTTGTTTTGGGTTTTGTGTCTAATGGTCGGTCCAACTAGATGCTGTTGGATTCGATATTGGCAGATGAATGGGTTTGGCTTTAGAGTCTTTTTGAGGAGAATAGAGAAGAGTAGCTGATACATTATTGGGCATGATATCTTGTGTCGCTTGTAGTCCTTTGGGGAATGTTAGTGCAAGTGAGGTAGACTGGTGCTCTGCAGTCATCGACTCCGATACTAGAAAGATTGGGATTTGGGAGATGATTCTGGCAAGTTTGCAGTGTTCACATGTGATATTGTCTTTTTGACGTGGCGAAAAGAGTTCGATGTATAGTAATGTGCAATGTGCTTGCGTGTGGTATCATGTATTTTGGTAGTAAGACGGGGGAGAATGGGGGGAGGGAATGATGACAGATCCAATGTTGAAGTGAAAAAAAGAAAAGAGGGAAAAAGGGTATCGCTAATCCAGAGACCCAATGCATGTGTAGAGAAAAGAAAAAGCGTTACTTGAGCTCCGTCTTACCCATAAGATCCGCGAGCTCGTCAACTGAGTTGTCCTTCTCTTGAGCGACGTTTTCTGACTCGGCTTGGTCGGCCCGCTTGATTACACGCTCTTCTTCAGCATCTTCGTCATCATCTTGGTCCTCGTCTTCGTCGTCACTGTCCTCTTCCAGGTCGTCGAGCTCGTCGATACCCCATGTCTCGTCGTCTTCGTCAGCATCTGGGGCATTCTCTTCCCTACGCTCATCGAGCATAGTCTTCACGGCCTCAACGTTGGAGTCCTCCTCGGAGAACTTGTTGCCATTCAGCTCAACACGCTGCAAAGCAGGAAGAGCGTCGGTCTGGGCAACCTTGCAAAGAGCTTCCACACCCTTTGCGTCAATCTCGTTGTACTGGAGGCGAAGTGTCTTAAGGGTCTTGTTCTTGCCGGGCTTCAGGGCTTCTGCGAGCATGACAGCACCACGAGCGCTGAGCAGGCAGTCACCGACACCGAGCTCCGTGATAACAGACCAGTTTGCGATGACATCGGCGAGGGCACGACCACCCATGGCGGTGAAGGTATTGTCTTGCAGGTCCAGGACCTCGAGGGCACTGCACTTGCTCAAACCGTTCTGCAATAGGGCAGAAATGCCTTCTTGACGGATACCATTCTGGACCATGCGGATAGTCTTGATCTTGTTGTTGGCCGAGTATGCTTGGACCCATGCGTTCATGGAGCCATTCTCCAGTCTGTTGCGACCGCAGATGACGGTCTCGAGATCGGGCACAGTCTGGCCATCCTTGCGAGCTTGGTCTTTCTTTTGGGCGAGAGTGGTAAGAGCTTCTGCGACGAGGGTTCCGGCAGAAGGACCGAGGCCGTTGTTGTTCAAGATCAGGTGCTGCAGAGGCACGTGCTGCGAAAGGAAAGGCTGCAAGGGAGCGACGGTGTTGAGGCCGAAGGCATTGTCGGAGAGGTTGACAGTGTGGAGTTCGGGAAGGGCGAGCAGGGAGGTGAGCAGGTGGCTCAGAGCATCAGGGATCTCGGACAAGAGGCGTCCTGTGAAAATGTCGGCGAAGTTGGCGACCNNTGGAGAGGGTCAGATTTGACCGTTGCAAATTACGATATGCCTGGCTACCTTGAGCTTCTTCTTCGTCTCGAGCACTTTGGCCAGGGCTTGACAAGCCTCGACACCCAGAGTGTTTCCCACGAAAATGATCTCCTCGACATCGTTGTTGGACTTGAGCTCGGCAATGTGTTTGTCCATGTCGGCGGCCGAGTCGAGTTTGAGGGCTCTGCCCTCGAGCGAGAAAAGTGGTTGCCATGGCGGCGTCTAACAAGAATGAAGAGAATAGAAGGGGTGTGCGCAGAGGGCGTGGTGTCGAGCAGACAGGGTGTTGCTAGAGAGGAAATTGATGTTTCATGTGTTTATGCTGCTCGAGGCTCGACCTTCCAGAACTTCGATTGTGCCAAGAACAATGACTCGCCTCGCCGCTGCCGCCGCTGCTGACATATTGTCCGCGATTGCCTCATGCCTGGATGGCTTGAATACTTGCACTTGAATTGTCGCAACTCAACCAGCGCTCCTTCCCTGACTTGAATCCCGTCAACATGTCTCTGCGTATGTCTCTCTGCGTCATGCGACCCGCGCCTGCCACTTTCTAACCCCATTCCAGCATCGTCGACCGCCGCAACCACCAACAACCTCGCTGCCGACCTCAAGCCCAAGGGCGAAGCCGCTGCAAAGGCAAAGGTACCATCACTCGACAACGATATCAGAAACGCCTTCTGACAACCCACTACAGNNCCATGCTGTGTCTGCAAGGATGAAAAGGCCGCTCGCGACGAATGCATGCTCTTCTCTACTGCCGCCGATCCTCAAGCCGACTGCCAGAACATGATCCAAAAGTACAGAACATGCATGCAGGGCTACGGCTTCAGCCTCCCATAAACACTCGACTTTCATCTTCTCTATTCAGCATTGCGACCGGCGTTACAGGAAAATGGACAGACCTTCTAGACTGTAATCTATGTATAACTAGTGTACAATAACCACTTCTCTCAACTCTTTGGCCGCCAATCATAACGTCTTCTGCTTGTCATCTGTTGTCTTCCCAAGCTGCAAGAACCCACTCTCTGCCACGAGGTGCCACAAACACCAGAGATAGCACAAACCAAAGCCTGCAGCACCGACACACACATTGCCGACCACCCATAGATCAGGCATGTTGGCAGGTGCTTGCACGAATTCTTCAGCGACATGCCAGCCCATCATTGCCAAGTAGAACAGAAGATGCACTGCCTTGACAGGAAGCGACAGCCAGACACCTTGCTCCCCAGAGTAGGCCGACAGCGATGTAGGCGGGAGACCCAAGAGGTATGCCCAAAGAAGAGTCAAGACGAAATAAGGGATCCTGAGTTCGTCCCTCTTGAGTAGAGGGAACATGGTCCAGCAAGCCAACGTGTTGGCGAATCCAATCCATGCCCGCAGATCGGGTCTCAGACCGCCATGTCCAGCCATGAGCATAGTCATTGGCAACAAAGGCAGCAAAACGTTCTTCTCATGCACCTGGTAGCTGCAAAGGAAGAATCCCCACGCTGTAGTTGCCAATGCCCATGGTACGAGCTCCTTCTTCGGCTTGAAGAAGATAACCATGCATGGCGGGAGAATTGACAGGCTGGTCAGCCCAAGTGCTGCTCTAGACAGAAGACTCGAGTCGTACTTGTGAAGCTTGTGCAATCCAGATGCATGTACGGCACACCAGATATTTGCCACCTTGTCCTCAAAGAGTCCGCGTGAGAAGGGGAAGATACGATGAATAGATTGTGCAAGCTGGAAGACAAGCGGATAGTACCATGCCTTGGTCGAGATCTGAATCGGAAGGTTCTCAAGTAGTGGAGGAGCTTGTGCGTCGAATGGCAAAAATACTCCATTCCACGAATCGTAAGCCACGCCCAGAAGGAATGGCAAGAAGAGAGCTGCAAAGGAGACGATGGTGATGATAGCTATACTTAGCAGCCTACCAATGCTGATGCGTGGCAACACACAGATACCCAGTAGGTAAGCGAATACGGCCGGTGCATAGAAGAGTGCCATTTGCTTGAAGCCGAGCGCAGCAACAAAGTACACACAACTCCACAGATGGCGGCCTGCGAGCATACTTGACATGGATGCAAGCATCAAGCCAAGCATGACAGTGTTATACTGAAAGTGTCCATGGTCGATGAGCATTGTTGCTGGCTGCATGAGCACAGCTGTAAGGGCAACTGAAGACTCCCAGGTCGTGATTCCGCAGAGTTTGCTCATGTGACGGATGAAGATGACTGCCGCAGGCACCAAGATGAGATATTCTGAGACGATGACTGTAGCGCGCATGAATATCTTCAAATCGGGATCGTCGAGACCTCGAGAGCTCTTCAGAGCGAACCATGATGGATTGATAAAGTTGCCCNNCTATCCAAGTCAGCAACAGAACAGGTGGTAACTCGCAATGTAAACTCACACTTTACCGAGTGCCCAGCTATGGTACGCTGTCAATGGAGGATAGTCCAAGCCCCACCACTGCAGGTCATGGAAATACCAGTGTGAGATAGGCAAATGGTTGGTCAGCTCCATCCAGTGACGCTGTGCCTCAAAGTCGCCATGCATAGGAGGTTTATCGAGACCNTAGATACACCAAAATAAGTTCTTTGGTTTCGATAAAATGTCACAGATTGAGGCCTTACCGGAATATCCCCAGAAGCCAGTAGCCCATCTGAAAAGTCCTACAGCCATGAGAATGAGCGGCATCACAACCCATTGTGACACTGTCCCCTTTGCAGGCAGTAAGAAAGACACCAGGGGAAANGCTGGCTTCTGTTGTTTCGTCTCGCCATCTGTGATGATCAGGGCATTGCTGCGAGGACCGGAGACCTGGTCTTCTCTTCTCTTCTTGCGAGGGCGATGTGATGCGGGAGCCATGTTTACCGTTCAGGGAACCATCTCGCTTCTCGACTGTCCACGCTGGCACGTCCGAGACCTGTCGGGTGCGGGACAGAACCCTTAGGCCTTGGCTGATGTGCGGGCGGTGAGTCGGGCCCGGGGGCGTTAGAAGCCGTGCGCGACTAAAAGTCGCGAGAAAAATGGCAGAAAAAAAGTCCTAGCGTGCTGCTGCGCTTGGTATAACTAGCACGCTGTACCTGCCTGGGTTTTTTCTTTTGCATCCTCCATCACCAGAACTTTCCTCGGCATCTCTCGTGGAATTTTCATCTCAACTCTTTATATTCGACTTTTTATCACAACAAGTGGGTTCGTCGCTCCTCTCATCAGTGGGTTCAAGTCTTCTCTTCGCGTTGTTGGTTTTGCGTGAAGCAGATTGAGATGTCACAATCTCTGTAACGTGGGTAGTGGGCACATGCACAATCAGGACGGCTTTTCATCAGACCATCTCGCGCGCAGACTCATGGCTCCTTGTGGGAACACATTGCCATGACATGCGCGCGAGAGCAGTGGGCTTGAGGGCTTGTTGGCTTCTATCACTTCGTGTGATCATGGGTTACTGAGGGCTTTGCCGCACACTGCGACCATCACTGGTCGCGCACACCATTCATGCCTGTCGTATCTGCTGTCGCTGTTGCAATCTGCGACAGCTTGACCGATCGACCATGACACGCCACCACACGCGAACCGCCTTACCTGCCACCTCACCAAGGTTTCGACCCTTACTGACCTCGACCTCCAGAATACCAACACATCACAATGGCAAAGGACAAGAGCACCAAGAAGGCCGCCGCCCCCAAGGTCGAGGCCACCAAGGTCAAGTCTGGCCGCGTTAGCAAGGCCGAGGACCCCAAGAAGAGCAAGGACGTCGCAAAGAAGGTCGTCGAGGCCACCAAGAAGTCCAAGAAGAGCAAGAAGGAGCCCACTCCCGAGCCTTCCAGCGACTCTGACGAGGAGATGGACTCCGACAGCTCCAGCTCTTCCGACTCCGAGTCTGAGGCCGAGGCCAAGCCCGTCTCCAAGAAGGCTGCTAAGAAGGAGGAGTCCTCCGACTCTTCCGACTCGGACAGCTCCGAGGACGAGAAGCCCGCTGCTAAGGCTGTGGAGGCCGAGTCATCTGACTCCGACTCTGACAGCAGCGACGACGAGTCTGATGCCAAGCCTGCCGCAAAGAAGGCCGACTCTTCTGACTCCGACAGCTCTGACTCCGAGTCTGAGGACGAGAAGCCCGCCGCCAAGGTACGTTCAGATCACACTATCCTACTTCATCATCGCATATACTGACATCACATCCAGGACGCTTCTGACTCCGACTCATCCGACTCTGACTCTGAGGAGGAGGTCAAGAAGACCGAGGAGCCCAGCAAGAAGCGCAAGGCCGAGGAGGCCCCTGCCGCTTCCTCCAAGAAGGTCAAGGTCACCGCCGAGGGCCAGTTTGGTGAGCCCAGCAAGGTTCTCTTCGTCGGTGGTCTCTCATGGAACGTCGACGAGGACTGGCTCTCCAAGGAGTTCGAGGAGTTCTCTCCCGTCTCTGTCAGAGTCATCACCCACGCCGACTCCGGCCGCTCCAAGGGATTCTCGTACGTCGAGTTCACCGACGTCGATGCCGCCACCGAGGCTCTCAACGCCAAGCACGGTACCGACCTCGATGGCCGTACCCTCAAGTGCGACTTCAGCACCCCCAGAGACAACAGCAACCGCAGCTACGACAAGAACCAGGTCGGTGCCCGCGCCAACACCTTCGGCGACAAGCAGCAGGGCGCTCCTTCCACCACCCTCTTCGTCGGCAACGTTTCATTCAACACCACCACCGACAGCCTTACCGGTTACTTCTCCGAGTTCGGAAGCATCAACAGCATCCGTCTCCCCACCGACCGCGAGACTGGCGCCCCCAAGGGCTTCGGTTACGTCGAGTTCGGCTCCGTCGATGAGGCCAAGGCTGCCCTCGAGGGTCTTAACGGCGCTGACGTCGATGGCCGCAACATCCGCCTGGACTTTGCTGCTCCCCGTGACAACAACGGCGGTGGTGGCGGTGGCTTCGGCGGCGGCCGTGGCGGCGGTGGTCGCGGAGGTCGTGGCGGCTTCGGCGATCGTGGTGGCCGTGGCGGCGGTGGCCGTGGCCGTGGAGGTTTCGGTGATCGCGGTGGTCGCGGTGGCCGTGGCGGCGGTCGTGGTGGATCGACCAACCGTGGTGGCTTTGGCGACTTCCAGGGCGCCCGTATGTCTTTCGACTAAGCGCTTCGCTCTCGGTTCTTGTCCATTATATCACAAAAAGTTCGGCGTTCACGGATACCTGGGATAGCATGATCATTCGGTCATTTATACGGCAGCGAAGGACATGATTGCTGGGAATGGGGTGCTCTGTACAACCACGGCGCTAGGTGAGTTGTAGCTTGTTCGATACCGTAGTAGTTTTGATAGCATGTTATGATCAAAAGATATACCCCCAAAGTCAGAAGGATCGCTCAGTGTCACATGTACAGTGTCTATAGTGGGTATTCGATTCAGGGTCCTGCAGGTGATGGTAGCATGCAGGTGGTTGGGCATCGGTCAGCCCTTGGAGAAGATACATGTGAAGATTGTTATGCAGCCACGAGGGCGAGACCAATCACGACAAGGAACATGGTGCTCCTTTATCGAGTTGCAGGCGTGTTGAAGGGGCGAATGTCTGAAACGAAGACAAAGAGGAGCGAAGCCTAAAGGGCCACTTGATCGGACCGTTGCGTGACCTGGAGGTGGGGTATCTCCATTCACCGACTGAATCGCATCATCGACAACGACCAGTTCGTCTCCTTCCTGCCAACGACTTGCACCACCACTTGTTCAGTCTTGACGGACTGGAGCCTCTGCCGCATGATTCGTTGGTGCCTGTCTGCTTAGAACCATTAGGCTGCACTACTCTATCCTACCTGTCTCTCCCTCCTCGAGGGTCTCCAGGTCCAGCCACTCACCCCTCTCCTCGTACCACCCGCCGTCCTCTGGACTCGCAAACCACGTAGCACTCTGATCGCAAACACCTCATATCGAACCCCATACGCGCCATCGTTCAACATGTCAAACCACTTGAATCCTGGAAACAGAGGTCATGGATTGTCGGCCGACGCAGGCCGGACTCGGTCAGAAGGTAAGAAGCAAGCGTGTGACTCGACTGCGTCTGTGTGCTTGCCTCTTGTCTCTGCATATTCTTGCTGTGCTTACATGTCCTGATCTGCCTCCTCCTCTTCATCATGGCTGGTATAAATGAGGACCATGAAGACAACGCTGACGCCAGTCGTTCAGATTCGTGGATCGAGATCTCCTCTCAACCTTCATCATCGTCGCTCTCCTCGGCCGCCGACGAGATCGTAACCACGGGTCTCCGTGTTCACCAAATGCCAGCCTCGTATCGCCGAAGACGCCAAAGACCCGGTCGACCCTCGCGACTCAACATCGCCAGTCGTGCTGAAAGTGCCGGCGCTGCCAGCAGTCAAGAAGAATATGAAGAGAGCGAGAGCGACGACGATCAGGTCATAACCTCGTCGGGTGAAGGACTCACACTGCCTGCCACCCATGCCAGAGACGCTTTGGTCGAGTCTTCGGACGATGACGAGAACAGAACAGCCGTCAACTACCCCATCAACAACGACAATGTTTTCACACCCCAGCCAAACGCTTTCTCTCATCCGTCCAGCCATTCTGCCAGACATGCCAGTCAACCTGTCCCAGGCTCGTACTTTCCTGCTCAACCAGAACGTCGCCGTTCAGCCAGGCACTCGTACCCTTCTCGTGCAGAAGCCAGAGTTCAACACTCGCCCTTCAATATGCTATCACCGAACCACAATGCAGCCGCTGACCACGAAGCTGCTCTCCGTGCCAGTCTCTCTACTCTGCAATCTTTCGCTGCCGCCGCCCGTGGACTGCCCAAGTCGAACACTCGTACTACAGCCGATGCCGCTCCTCCAGCCTCAAACAGGATTCAGCCAAACATGCTGCGAATGGTACCTGCCTCTGCCCTCGAAAACAACTCACCCCTGCTAGCTCCAGTCACCGAACCGACGTTCAAGCCGACTATCCGCCGTGCGTCTACCTCCACTTCCGCCTCTGCCGAAGTTCGTTCCACAAAATCGGAAGCCAGGCGGAAAGGCGCCTCTGGTCGCGGCTCATCCAAGGAACGCAGACTGATCAAGAAACGCCGCAACTCTGGCATCGTCTATGGTGCCGAGGACATGACCGTTAGCCCTACGCTCTTCACCTGGGTCGTCAGCGTGGGTGTGGTGGTCGTATTCAGCGCCATCAGTTTCTCCGCTGGGTACTCTATGGGTAAGGAAGCTGGCAGATTTGAGGCCGTCACTGGCGAGGGAGCCACGGCTTGCGCACGAGAAGCCGGCAAGGGTGGTCTTGGATTTAGGAAGTCCAGACTGTTCAGCATTGCGTCGGGCGTTGGTGTCGGTGCGTGAGTCAAGTACGGGCTAGGAAGTAAAGACGAAGATCTGGATCACGGATCAGATACTGCTGTTGTGTGATTTATGGAAGGGATGAACGAATCTGAATGTGCATGAAAGGGAACAAGGGAGTACAGTACATGATCGAACAGGACAAAGGCGTTTTTTACGGAGTCTTTTTTCCGGAGGGCATAATACCACTCTGTCGATGGCGAATGGGCTAAGAAGGATTTGATATACCTGATCAGAATTACTCGGTATGCACGGGGATATGAAATTGAGAGCTTTATGTTACATTAATGGACTCTTTTTCTTACTGTGTGTCGATTGGCGTAGCTCGGATGGACTAGAGTGCGTGGGGTGAGGGCTACGGATTCAATGTTTGAATATTATCAGCCCCAAACACTAGCACCATTGATTACAGATAAGGAAATATTACATATGCAACTAAAGAATGCTGAAGGAGCACATGTATAAGATTAAACATAGATACACGATCAGATGGCAGAAGATATAGACACTTTAGTTGTGAAAGCAGGGTCATACCTTCAGCAAGGGACTTGGATGAATCATGCATTCCCGAAGCCCAGATACTGAAGATCCAATCGCACAGAAAAGGAGCGTGTAAACTGATGAGGAGAGCATGTTATGTATTATATGTACTGCTGATGTCAGGTCAGCTACTTTGATCTTTTTCGTGTGAGCCACCCCTTTCCCCCCTCCCAAAGCCCACCACCCGAGCATCTCACTTCACACCACTCTAATCCTCCACAGCAAAAAAAGCCCACGCGAAAAACAAACCCGCGATTATCGGGATCAGCAAGAGCAGCTTGCGTATCAGCCCAAGACTCGTCTTGAAGATTTTGCTTGACCGTCACAGTGTCCCCGAACGCCGAAGTCGTGTACTGCAACAAAAGCTTACACAGATCGATGCCGAGAAACTGACATCTGAATTGGATTCGGATTTGCTCGTACAGCAATGGCTCTCGGTCCATTTGTCTTGGGTCTTTTCTTAGCTTCTGTAGTTCGGAAGGAGGATCGACGCCTTTTTCTTGAGCTCGAGTCATGGCGCGCTTGAGTCCTGGTTTTGTGGATGAGGGTTCTAGATCATGGTCCCAGATAACAGCAACGGACTTTGATGTGCAAGCGATGTTGGTAGCCGCCTTGTCAGGGTGGATAGTATCGGTTGGTAGGGAGAGTCTGGTAGTGAGGATGTACTGGGGTTTTGTCTCGATACTGGATATAGCAGAGTAGCTGAACGGAGCGGCCAGGTGACGAGGCGTAGTGAGATCTGCGTTTTGAGTGGTAGCGGTATGGCTTGCTCGCCTTGTCGTGGTGGTAACTATGGATGGACCAGCTAAACGCATCCATGCCGGTTTGTGTTCATCATTGATAGGATGACCGGACTTGAAGCCGTCGTTCTTGTATCTGGTGTCAAACACGTTCGTCTTCAGAATGTTTCGCATGTGTCGAAGAAGCAGAAAACATCGATTATAACCTTCGAGAAAATCCTCACCTGCCAATGGTGATAGAATGGGAGGTCTGACAGGGTAGCTGATCTGAGGGCAGTTGTGAGTGGGGTATTGTGCATTGAACTTCTGACAATCATGTTGGTGTTGCAGCTGATTTTGCTTGTCTGAAGCGGCGGACATGGTGGCCAGATCAGATTTCAAGTTGATCAGCACAATGGTGAGGTGCTCGGCCTTCTTTGCATTTGAGATACCCTTGCCATCAGAAGTGAGCAAGGACCAGCCCTTGTCAATTGCTGCTGCCTCTCCAATGCGCTCAGCATCGCGGATTAGAGCAAGCGCCAGTTCTTTGTTGAGCTTGTGAAGAATTGGGTGGATGGCGACGGTGGCGCGCAGAAGGGGCCATGAGATTGCGCAAATATGCAGTTCAGACGTTGATATGAAACCAAGGTAGCCTGCAAGTTTCCTCTCGGCTTGACAGTCAAAGAAGCTTTCCGGACGTGTGGGATCTCCTGGGCTGTCGTGCAGCGAAGGCGTAAGAGGTTCATCTTGAACAGCGGCATCAGTGTTGGGTTCTTCCAGTCTGACACGCTTGGATGGTGGCTGGGTGATATCGGGCTGTGAGTGGGTGTTCAAGTTGGCCATGAGGCTAGCAAAGGTCACGTTGGCTTGGGGTGATGGTCGTGGAAGAATCTGCGTCGGTGTCGTGTTTGTTTCTGGTATGTTCGTATTATGATTGCCAGAAGCGGGCGCGAGAGGTAATCCAGGGACTGGTTCGTCCATGTTGAATCGGCAGACGAGATAAGTCTGAAGAGCGAAGGCGGAATTGTGGTTACAAGACACGTGAGCTACGGTAGGCACCGATCATGAACCTGGCCGTTCGATAGCCTTCAAAGCAGATAGACTGTCACAATACACAATCGCAAAAATTCGAAGTAGAGCCAACAGGAGATGGCGACAGGGCTCCCACGAGACGGGCAGGTTGCTCAAGCATTAAATGTGCATTTTGAAATTTACCAGGAAGCGCTTTATGTAGCTCAAATGCAAGGCCGATGTATTCTTTTGCACAAGCAAAGGAGCTGTACTGTTGCAGGAAGCACTCGAGACTGTAGAAGCTTCACTGTTAACAACCTGGAAGGTATGAGATGGGGAGATGGTTGACAGACGTCAAAGGAAAGCACGAGGCAGGCAGCCGCTATGGGGCCCCTTCGGCAGAGGTTAACTCGAAGAGGCAATTGCCTGTCGATCGTTCGCGTCCCGTCGGTTGCACCGCAACTGTTTCGCGACTCGCGACTGCTTTCGCTCTGTCTGTCTATCTACACAGTCGCAACCAATTGACTCAAAGCCTCCTTCCATACGAAATCTGTCCCGGACCATACAGTCGCTGGAATCGTCGCCTATCGCCTATTAGTTTCGCAGTGTCTGCGACAGACAAGCCTCGCCAGAATCTGGGGCGTACCGAGACATTCGAACCATCCCAAGACCATCCCAAAAAAAAAGCATACCATTGTAGTCGCTATAGAAACATTAGCAAGAGCCGGGACAATCAGATACAGGGGCGCGTCGTTCGCTTTGTCGCCATACTTTCGAGTCCTCTCATCGCAAGCCCCGGCCCTGGCCGTCAGTGGGCTACGGCTGGGGTTGTCTAATCTCTCGATACCTCTTCTGTTCCCGTACATCTCACTTCGCCAGCCACCATGGTCACCACAAGAGGAGCTGCCCATCCGGATCGTACGCCGACTCAGTATCAACCTGGCCATCAAGAGACACAGTCCACCCAGCAAGCCACACAACAAGCTACCCAGCAGGCCACTCAACAAGATGAACCCGAACTCGATGAGGTCGAGGTTGCCGATGTCGTCTGCATTCTCCATCCGTGCTCGCTTGCTGCCTATCAGGTTGTCGTCAACACTGCACTGAGAGCTCCCCAGCACGTACTGCAGAACGTGACTCCCAGCACCTACAGTGATGGTCTGAGCATGGCAGATCTTGAGAAAGAGGAGACGTTCGCCGCTCCTGGAGAAGATCAAAGACACCCTCTGGATCTCGCCCTGCGCATGTCTGCCAAGGTCTACAATCCCGCCATGGGCTTCGTCTTTGGTCGGAACCCCAACGCTTGCGACGTTGTCATTGACACCGACACGGTCAAAAGAGTCAGTAACATGCATTTTAGGATTTACATGACTGACGCTGGCGTCTGCATGCTCCACGACATGTCCACCAACGGAACTATCGTCGATGGCAAGCTTCTGAGAGGTAGAGGTAGTAACAATGCCGCTACTATGATGCTTACCGCAGGCTCTGTCATTCAGATTCTGTCGACCAAAAGAGACGAGAGTTTGAAGTTCATTTTCCGTATCCCTTCACGAGACAACCACTACGAAGAGTACGGCAAAAGGTTTGCCGCCTACCTGCATCACGTCAATCTCGAGAAAGAAAAACAAGCACAGAACGGCCAGACTCAGGGAGCGCGACCTGGTGCGAAAACACAGTCTAAGATTCCACCCAGCGTGAAACCTATGCTGTTGCAGGGCAACCCTTTCGGTATGCATTGGAGCGGTGGTGATAAGTACAACGTCACCGGCCATCTCGGAAAAGGCGCTTTCGCTACTGTATACCGGCTCAACAGCAAAAGTAATGGTCAGATGTTTGCAGCAAAAGAGCTGGAGAAAAGGAGATTCATGAAGAATGGTGTCATCGACAAANAACTCGACAACGAACTGCGCATAATGAAGGGCATCAGCCATCCACATGTTGTGCAATATATTGACTGCCACGACGTCAAGAACCATCTATACATCATCATGGAGTTGGTACCTTTCGGCGATCTACAGCAGTGGCTTGGAACGAACGGCCCTCTCCCCGAAGCTCTTGCCAAACCGATGGCCATCCAAGTCTTCGACGCACTAGCGTACCTGCATCGCAACATGATCACACATCGAGACATAAAGCCTGACAACATCCTCATCGCCGACACCAATCCGCAATCTTTTTCAGTCAAACTCTCCGACTTTGGACTCTCAAAGGTCATCTCCGACAATGAGACCTTTCTCAAGACTTTCTGTGGCACATTACTTTATTGTGCTCCCGAAGTCTTCCCTCACTACGACGCTCATTTCAATTTAAAGGGTCGTAAGCGCGATCGCAAAGGTGCTCCACAGCAACGAGGGAAATACCATTCTTACAGCTCATGTGTCGACATATGGTCGTTCGGTGGAGTGCTATGGTACGCCATGAGTTCGAAACCACCCTTCGAAGGCATTGCAGACAACACTGGCAAAGCCATGTTCGAACGTATTGTCAGCACCAGTCTAGACACCACCGTCCTCGAGAAGCACCACATTTCCGATGACGCCATAGATTTGTTAGAAGACATGCTCAACACCGACCCCGCCATTAGACCTTCTGCGTTACAATGCCTCTCATACCCTTGGCTAGGTGGAGAGGCGAGTCAGATCGAGGAGGAGCCTCCATCCGGCCTTTTGACGATCGAAGAAGAGGACACAGAGGCAGGTGCAGCACACGACTTGTCCCAACTGAGCATCCATGGAAACTGGAGCACGACCAAAGGCGTTGGTGTTGACTCTGGCGACTCGGACATTCTGGATCCCCGACAGTCAAAACGCTTCAAGAGTGGACAAATAGCCTCTCAAGCACCTGCGCCGTCACAACAACCAACCCATTTCTTGCGCCCAGCGAACGCTGCTGGGGACCCTAGCATCCAAGAGCTTGCGGTGAACTCACAACCTCCACGCCTTTTTGGCGAGGTCCAGCCTTCATTGGTAAAGAGTTCAGGTGTATTCGGAACTCAGCTGCAAAAGCCAATGTTCGCGTCACCTTCAGGCTACTTAAGCATAGACCCATCGAAGGCTCAGAACGCGCAGAATGAGTTGTCCACGTCTGCCGCCAGTCACCAACCCGAAGACCAACTAGAAGGTGTTAGGAGGAGAGCCCCAACCGAGAGCGATCTACATGCGTCTCACAACTTCGCGAGTCTTGTGGGGGCAGAATCAGACATGCGGGACCTTAACATGGATTCTTCGCAATCAGCGTTCTCGGTGACCGCTGATGAGAGCGAGCCAACTACCCCAACCACACCAAGTGATCCACCCCAGGCGTCTGTAGGGCAGACTGGTGGGAGTATGGAAGAAACGCCTCGTGCAGCTCAACCGATTGAAAGGAAGATCTCTTTCAATCGACAAATCAGCCTTCCACTTTCTGCGTCGTCTTTCTATGACCCTGCAGACCCTAGCACGCATTCTCTCGAATACGCCTCTTCTGTCAGCGGCCACGACTTTACTAGTCATAACCTTCTACCTGGAGCAAGCTTTCATTCATTACCGCCAACGACTGCTAATTCCGGGGTCGACTTTGAGTTTGATCGACCACTGCATACTGTTGCGCAAACACAGCCCGAGTTTATTCGACCCGCACCCCGTCTTGGTCGTTTGACAACGACCTCCGACTCTNTTTGTGCTACCACACTCGACCTCGCCTCTCGCATCACGACATGGGGCAGAAGTCCATTGAACACAGTGGTCTTTCCAGATCCGCTAGACACTCGTGTACCTAAACGCGGCATCATGATATACTTCCATGCCAAAGGCATCGACAGACTAGAAAGAACGGGCGGCGACTGGACGAAACTGCCTGACCTGCACTGCTTGATTGCCACAGACAGCAGTAACGGCATCTTCATCAACGACGTCAAGCTCAGCGCCAAAGATGCAAAAGGCAAGCAGCTCTACGGTAGAATCTATACTGGCGACCAAGTCACCGTCTGTCAAGGACACACCAAAGCAAACTTGCTCAAGTTCAGTTGTGTCTTCAACCATGGCCAAGCGAAGCAGCAGCGCCCGCGCGATGGACCGGGTTTTGAGATTGAGCAGATGGGACACGATTAGAGGAAACAAGCAAACACCAACAAGTCATGTACATCTCACGAACTGGCAAACGAAGGCAGGCATATGGGGAGGATTTATGGATTTTTTCCCTTCTAGCAGGGGATCATTATAAAAGGATTGGTAGTTTTTCGCATGTGTTTATTTCGCAACGTTTCGTTTTTTTTCCCCATTCTTTCTCGTTCTTGGGCATAGTAGATCCAGCGATGTAGATGATGCATTTTACATATCTCACCGAATGTATTTCGAGCAAACCTAGAAAACTTGTTGACGCGTGATGTGCTGTGGAAAGGAGCGACTCATGCTCAGAAGGCACAAAGCCGGGGGGGAGTTGCGATGGACATGTTTCCCTTTCTATTTGTTATATATGTAAAAGTGATGGAATAGAAACGCCACTAACAAATGCCGGAACAATAACAGAATGCAATGGTACTACTACTTTCCACGCAGACTCTACTTTTCAATCTGTGCCAGTGGCGTAGGATTGGGTGTCCTTAACCACTCGCCATTGAAAGCATTGATGAGCCAATTACTCAGCTCTACAGACACTTGTTAGCACATGATGTCAATTTTTCGACAACGGTGGTCAACTTACTTNTCATACACCACTCTGTTAGCATTGTGGAAATAGATACTGTGATCCGAGTCGGGGAAAAAGTGCACATCGTAGTTTTGCACGTTTGCCAGGTCCAGTTTGTCCAGCAGACTCAACGTATTTTGGAAGTGTACATTGTCATCCGCAACACCATGCATGACCATGAACCTGACATTTTTAGAAAGAGCATCCACGTCCGTAACGGTAGAGTTTTCGTAGCCGGCAGGGTTGTGCTGGGGTGTGTGCATGTAACGTTCAGTGTATATGCTGTCATAGTATCTCCAGTCCGTCACCGGAGCGACAGCCATGCCGTATTTGAATGTGCGACCGGCATCTTGCTCGAGGGTCTTGAGGGTCATGAAACCGCCGTAACTCCAGCCCCATATGGCTATGCGTTCGGCGTCAACGTATTTCTTCGCGGCCCACATCTTGGCTGCGGCGATCTGATCGTGAGCTTCATAGTGTCCGAGGTTGCCACGGACAATGCAGCGGGTGGCGCGGCCGAGGTGGCCAGTACCACGTCCATCAAGAGTGACCACTATGTAGCCGAGAGACGATGCGACGTAAGACTGGAAGTCGAGATGGAATTGTCGATCAACCTGCTGAGAGGCAGGACCGTTGTAAAGGAAGAACAGAACAGGATACTTCTTCCTTTCGTCAAAGTGGGGTGGGCGACGCTCAACGAGATTCAAGTCGAAACCATCTACGTTGATGGTTTGGTAGATCTCGATGGGCAGTTCTGTTTTGGTAACAAGTTCTCTCAGAGGCTTGTTCTCTTCCACAGTGATTTCCAGCTTGTCACCGTTGCTAGGAGTATTCATCACCTTCTGCCACGGAATACCAGGGCCTTTGTTTGTCAGGNNGAGTAGATAACCTCCACCTTTAGAGAAAGACCCAGAGTAGTATCCGATCTGACTATCATCAGTGATAGACTTGAGGTCTGATGCATCGAGTTTGACGCTGTAGATGTGGCGCTCGATAGACGACTTCTTGGTGGCTACAAAGTACACAAGATTGTTCTTGAGATCCAAGGCGGACGGAGCATCGACGACTTCCCATTTGCCCTTGGTGAGCATGACTGGCTTTGGGTTGTCCAATGGTGTGAAGTAGGCAAGGTGGTCGTAGCCATCATGGATGACTGTGTCGATGTAACCATCATGTTCTCGACCATTGGCAGGGTCGGAAGGGACATATGTCGTTGTTTGAGAGACTTCGAACCAACCTCCATCGAGGGCATTTACATCCAACTCTCTGATAGTCTTGCCTTCTCTTCGTTCGGCATCGATGAGAACCACCTTCAGCACGTCACTCTCACGATTGGTCTCGCGAATGATGACCTTGCCACTGCGACCAGCCCAAGTGACTTCAGTGATCAGACGATCTTTATCCTTGAAGTCGCCTTCAATGGGAACAGTAAAGACCTGGCTTTGGGCAATGTCGTACAGCTGCACGGTGACAACGGACATGGGGGCTCCCGCCTTGGGATACTTGATCTTGCGCACTTCCGGGTAGTTCTCCTCTCCCGGCTTCGGTTGCTTGCCGCTGGGTCTCGAGAAGAAGTACTGAACAGGATATTCGGGTACGGCGGCCTCGTCGGTGCGGAGGAAAGCAAGATACTTGCCATCGCCAGACCACCAGGTAGCTTTGTTACTGGAGAAGACTTCCTCTTCATAGACCCAATCCGGCACACCGTAGAAGAGTTGAGCACCACCATCAGTCGTGATAGACTTTACTTTGTTCTCTGCAAGGGTTCGGATGTACATGTTATTATCCCTGGTGAAGACGACGGCATCGCTATTGGGAGACCATGAAGCGAATTGAATCCTTTTGTTGGGCTCAGCAGGATCAAGAGGCTCGGCAGTCTGGCTATCGACATGGAAGATCCAGTATCTGCCGGTATTTGAATGTCTCCAATTCTTCTGGATGTGAGACTGAATAAGAACGTGTTTGTGGTCGGCACTGGGCCAGACATTACTCGGGCTGATAGCCTCGTCGTTGTAGTAGAAGCCGCCGTTCTTCATCAACGTCTTACTGTGTTGTTGGGAGGGCTGGGCGTCTTGCATGTGTCTGACTTCCTCGACAACCAGGTAGTCTCTACCGCCTTCTCCCCACCGTAGCAACAGGCCGTCTTCTCCTTGAGCACCTTCAATCCACGATATTCCATGGCTCTTAGGGTAGAATTGACCTTGCAAGACTTGTTCCAGGGTTATCTTTCGGCCGTGGCCAGCCGTCTTGGTGGCATGAGGATCGTGAGGACGACTCGCGAGCGATTTGTGTGAGCCGGAGCTGAGAAAGAGGGCTAGCGCTACAAGCCAGCCTACGGCGGCAATCGAAGCGACGATGTACAGGATACGACGGGCCCTGGAGTCGATGCCATGGCTCTTGTGCTTCCAGGCTGCTCTGTCTTCAAAGTCGAACTGTTCGGAGCGCGGCTGCGAGTACAGGGCTTCTTTGGCCTCGATAGAATTCAGATGGCCTGACAGATGTTCTAGCACAAGCGAAGTGGTGGATATGGATGATGCGGACGGCCGTGGTTGGTCATGGTCGTCGGTCTGGTTGGCATCGTGCCTAGTCAGAGGCAACGCTTCTTCGTCGTCTCGGAAGGCCATGCTCGCCTGCCTTCTCTTACATAAAACACCCCTTAGATGCGTAGGCTGCTGGCTGTGGAAATACAAAAGAATCGGTCTATAAGACAAGATCAAGCACACGAGGAGCACCTTGTTGCCTCGAGACTCCTATCGCCATGGCGCGTAACGGCAGCCACCATGGTCCATTGTCGCGTCAGCCTTGGCATCCTTCCCATTCAGCACCCTTTGCGGCTCTTTCACTTGCAATGTCCCACGCGTGCGGAGGCTATCTTCAGGATAAAAAGAGGAAAAAACACGGGACAAACAAATCCCTTGTTTAATCAACAGCGAAGATGATCAGGTAATGTGAAAGTGCAGGGATTGTGTTGATCGATTGTGGCATGCTGGCTTGGCTTGCTGTTACCTCGGTATAGCACATGCCAGCCGGCACCAGCAACACTGGAGGCGTGATTATCTTGTCCTAGAGCTAACTTGCTATTTCAACTGTCGTCCACACCATCATCGTTCAAACGCCGTTTGTTCTGGCAGTTTTGCGAATATTTTGACCAAGTACCAGGGTCTGCCATGCTGCTTGTCCGGCTGGCGACAATTCATCAAAACTGGAATTGCTTCCGTGTGAACCCGCTTCTCGCATCTTCTGTTGTCACTAGTCACCTTTACTTCACTGCGTCTGTTTATACCGGGAAATTGACTGGACCAGCACAATCACGGCGTGCGACCATCTGGTGACATCGCCGAGACTTCTCCGACTTTCTTCGTCAACCAACAACCTTGCTCAAATATCATAATTCTCAACGCATCGTAACGACATCATGTCTCTCAACCTCGAAAAGCAGCTTCTCTTCGTATGTTCTGCACTTGACCCTCTATTAAGTAGTCTTGCTAACGTTCTGCGCCAGTATGGTTCTTACCATCACAATCCCGTACGATCTCTACCCTCTATGAAGAAATCATCAACCACTAACTCCAAACCAAGATCANATGTTGCCATCCACATCACCTGCGTCCCTCTGATTCTTTTGACCGCATTCCTCTTCGTTAGTTGTCTGATTTGAAAAAATTTGAGACTTTTTTTAACGATCTCAGNNTGCACCAACACTCCTGCAATTCCTCTTCCGGATGCCATCACCATCCCCAACTTGCCAGCCAACCTAGGCACCATTGTGGCTTCGCTCTACTCTACTCTCTACATCCTCATGGAACCCGTCGCTGGAGGAATGTTGGCTCCTCTCCTGCTCTCCGCCACTGCCTACACCAATCACCTCACCTCGACCTATGGTATGACAGCCAACTACTATGCTCTTGGCTTGCACATCTTCGCTTGGATCGCCCAATTCATTGGACACGGCATCTTTGAAGGTCGTGCTCCTGCTCTGCTTGACAATCTTGTCCAGGCTCTATTCTTGGCACCTTTCTTTGTCTGGCTTGAAGTCCTCTTCTTCCTTGGATACCGTCCCGAGCTCAAGGCTAGGCTTGACCAATCGGTCGCTAAGGAGGTCACCAAGTTCAAGGCTTCAAAGACCTCAAATGACAAGGTTCAGTCCAATGGTACGGCCAATGGTGCAGCCCATTGACACAGGAAGATGGACTGTGAAAAATTTGAACAATACCATGCGCTAATTTGATATTCACCTCTTCGCTTAGAACTCCTTCTTGGGTATATGCTGGCAATATCTCAGAAAGAAGAAAGCTCATTGGTTCGAGGCACAGGGGTCGGATTGGTCAGCGGCTAGCACCTGAAGAGCGAGTGCTAAACCCTCGATCGGACAATTGGCTGTACGTAGGAGTTAACCTTCCCACTCGCATACCCTCGCTCAGATATCATGCTGGGGGATGTTCTTTACATTCGAGTGGTCGAGCTCCTCAAGAATGAAACACACGAGCGCAATGGCGCCTTTTTCAACTGACTACCGTCATCGCATTTCACTCTTGCAGTATAACAGTACATTATCGTGAATCCAAAATGTGTTAAATTCCAACGGAGGTTGTCTCATCAGAAGTATTCGGAACATTCAACTCTACCACCGGGTTTGCTGATACATAGATGCGCCAGAATCAGACGCTATACTATGGCCTTTTCAGTTGAGGGTTACCGAGTTGGATCTCAGGCAAGCGATTCCTGTTGCAAAACGTCAGTGAGTCACATATCATTGAGTTTGGGAGCGTTCTTACGAGCTGAACGCGAGTGGCAGCAGCTTCTTTGAATGCCTGAGTGATGATACTGCGAGTCTTGTCGTCGCGTACTGTAACAGTGACCGGCATTTGTTCTCCCGGATTACCAGGCATCTCTCCAGCAAAATCGCGCGGGTCCAGAGGCAGCTTTGCATCGGGACCGGGTGAAATCTTGAAGCCCCACAGAAAACGCATTATCGTCACGGCAAGAGAACGTTCTGCCACATGATAGCCAGGACACACTCGACGACCGGACCCAAAAGCGAAGTGATCTCTGTTGCGCACATCGCTTGCGTTGATGCTCTGCATAGTGTTTGTGAGATCATCGGAGTATCTCTCTGGCCAAAAACGATCGGGGTCTTCGTGACGATCGGGATCATGCTGGATCGCCCATGCATTCAGGTGTAGTCGTGAGCCTTTGGGGATACGCATGCCCTTGTACTCGAGATCGCGAGTCGTCATGTGCGGGTGACCGAGACTGACGGGAGGACGCCATCTCCATGTTTCCTTCATCAAGCAACGCACATAGGGTATCTGCTCCAGATCCTCGAATACTGGTAGACGGTTTCCAACGACTTTGACAATCTCCTCATGTCCCTTTTCCTGGACTTCGGGGTATGTCATCATGGCTTCTAGAAAAGACCATGTGGACATTTTGCTGGTGTCTGCGGCGCCGATGATGAGTTGGAGGGATAGGTAAGCTGCCTCTTCCACGCTGGCGAAGCCTAGGTTCTTCTCGTCTTCCAAGACACGCGGAAGGAAGGCATCTTGCATCACATTGCGAGATCTTCCTTTTCTGATTCGCATCAGACGTTCGATGCACCAATCCATATCTCGTCTAAATCTCTTCCGGGCATCGCGCTCCCATGGTTTGAGGAACAAGGGAAGATTGTCCAGCCAAGGCAAGATATCAACAATGTGGTTGCCAGGCAGTGTACCTTGAATCTGCGCCAGACCAGTCTCGAATATATAGTCGATTGTGGGATCGTTCGTGTCAGGGATATCCAAACCGAAAGTTTGCGAAGCAAAAGTGCTATAAGTGTAGCGTCCGATTGCATTGAAAAGCTCTTTGCTTTCGCGGCCGATGGTCGGATTATTGGCAAGCTCGTGCATGAATTTTGCAGTCTCGTAATGGAGAAACGGTAAACCCGCATCTGCTCTCGGTATACTGGTCAGACCGGAGTGGATAACCTTGCGTTGATGCTTCCAGCGAGGATCGCTAGCGTTGAGTAGTAGCACATTGAGTCTGTTGCATATCTGCTCATTGGACACAATCCAGCGAGGTCGCTCGGCCGTCTGAGCAGACGACTTGTCGAAGATCTCCTTGACCGCAGCGTCAGAGTTGATAAAATACTCCGTAAAGGGACCAACGCGAACACGGAATATCTCTCCATGTTCTTGTGCCCAACCATGGAAGAGCAAATGTTGCTGGCCGATTTTGGAGGCGGCAATCACTTCGGCCATGTTGCCGACCAGAAACGAGCCAGTTGGCTGTGGCGGTAGCGGTAATAGATCCCTTTCATGTTTGTACTTTTGTAGCCTCCTGACGAGAAGCAAAGATCCAAACACACCTAGAAAGATGAGACCGGCTTGGACGGTAATGGGTAGAGAAGTGATGATCGACATGCTCGAGAAGACTGGAAGCAATGTCCATAATGTTGTCTCTTCAGTACTGATCTCATACTCTTATACATGTACTTCTGCTGGTCAACTTGACCATGCCCTAGGGATGAGATGGAGGTCGGACTGGAAAGATGCCGTTCCGGTCAAGATTAAGGTTGCTCCTCCTCCCAGTCTCGTTGTGGGGAACTGTGGGGATGGGCGAGACTCCGCTCCAGCGTCAAAGACACCACAATCGTGACCACTGATCTTGTTCTCACGGTTGTGAATGATCCGAAATTCCCGGCCGCTCCGTTGACAGTCTGGAGGTGAGCATGAAGCCTTGCTCTTCTCTGACAACTAGCCTCACAATTTGGCTGTTACGTTCTTCTCCACCAGCAGATTCTCCATTCTATGCTGCCATTCCCGAACCATGTCTTCGTCAATAGCATTACCATCGTAAGAGACATTTGCAGCAATGCCGTCGTCGTCACCCCAGACTCCGACGAGAAATTCGCCGTCGCGCGCGCGCACGTTTTGTTTACTAGAGCGATAGTCTGCCACAAAAGCATCTTCACCCTCTTCAAGCTCTCCATCGACATTGAACTCTCCTTGGCGCCACCCAGATCGACCAACCGAGCTTACACCACATGTAGCCATGCTTCCATTCTGTGCTGCAGTCAGGTCACCTTGAGGGCTGTGGGTTCCCAGGCTGTCTCGAAGTTCTTCCGGAAGTTTTGACCGCAGTCTTTCCATTGCGCCGACATAGTTCATAGCAATGACCCGTCCTGCACCTCTGCTCCCCATATAGGCAAGTGAGTTGTGCTCTCCTGTATTTGCCCTCTTTTGGTACAATGCAAGCTGGCGATGCGCCTGTCTGACCAAAACTTTGAAGCGAGTCTCAAGATCGAGTGATGATGGTAAGAATGGAAGTACCACGCCATCCGAAAATGCTAGCATCATAGAGTTGGGTGCTTCATGATGCTTGAAGAATGGCCGTGGGTTGATAGGGAAGCTACCAATGAATGGACGACGATTGGTTTCTTCCGGGTGAAGATCCTCGTGTAGAGACATCATAACCATGGCGACAAGCACAAAAGCACCTGCACCAATGCTCGTGCCTGCTTCACGACACCATCGATGAAGCCTTTTGGTCGCAGACTGCGAAACTTTGGCCATGCACGTGAACGTGTTCAACGGGGGTTTGACGTTGTAGTCCAGGTACGAATCATAGGTTGGGGACATCGCAATGGCTTCCTTGAGAGGACTGCTACGGCGGAGTGGGTTGGGAAATGCTGCCGGCATCGGCTTCTTCACATTTCGGAGTACAAGCGTCAAGAGCCAGAACCAGCGCCTCTTCACTATCGAGCCCGATATACGAGGGTATAGATCCTCTTGGGGCAGTGGAAGTCGACTTCCGATTGATTCCGGAGATGAGAGGTCGCTGACAGCGTGATCGAGAACTGCTAAAGGTGTGTTTAGGAGTTTGACGAAATGGCTCAACCAAGTAAAATTGGTCAAACCGTCAGTAATTTGATGGCCCTTTACAAACAAAAACTTGAAGCTAGTCTTCGATCCTGCGATGTCAATTGATGGGAAGACGAACAGCTTGGCGAGAAATTCGTCAGCGTTTACCACACGGCCTGTGTTCTGTGCATGGCGATAGAACTTTGCAAGTCCACTCTCGTCCAGAGGCTGTTCAACAAAAGACAACGATATGGTGGCATCTGCGATCGCGTCCTGAGGGCCTTTGGGAGAGTTGACCAGGAAGAAGCGTCTCTGAGCCGCGTTGCCAGCAGTCATGAACGGTTTCCGATCCACGGCTCTTGCCAGCAGGAGGACGTGAGACAAGCGAAGGACTGTCCACGCTAGAGTGATTCTTTGGCGAAGCTGGGTATGTGACAGATGGTGTTTGACCGCAAGTTCAAGCAAGGCATTCACATCGGCACGGCCTTCATAGTAGATACCATCAGAGTCGAAAGCCGTCTCTACTGTTCCCAATGGCCGGTAGAAGCAATGCCTGCCATCATTCTGTGCCTCAAGCCATTCGTGATAGTTTGTGGCGTATTGATCGAGCCAGTGTGCCTGTTTCATGAGTGGTGATGATCCAATTGCAGAATTGTTGTGTATGCAAGTGTCGTCCCTCGATTGTTTGCAATGGTAGTTTCCAATTGCAGGTTGCTCAAGCATTCGAAGAAAAGTACACCACCTACCCCTCGACACGATGAGGTAATCGAGATTTTAGCCGTCGTACAAAAGCATAAGTCACTACAGAGCAGTAATGAGAGCAGCTCGCTCTGTACAGAGACGAGCCTGGATTCTGAGGAAACGACTGCGCCATCACAAGCAGGTATGCGAGTAACACTTCTATAGCTCTATCACTTAAGATCGAACAGAAAAAGGTTTCGCGACAGCAAGGTGCATCAGGCACGTGATCATATCACAGCGAAGTGGATCCTTCCAGAAGCGGAAGTTTGGCATCCGCGTCATCCTTGGTCGTGCCTTCAGTGTTCCACATTCCTGCTTGCTTCACCGACTTCACAACCAACTTCAAATTCCTAATCACATCGCGACTTCAGTCGTAGAGCATCCAAGAATCACCGTTCTTCTAACCCCTAGTGAACCAAGATGAGTGAAGAGGCAGAGCTTCGCGCCAAGATTGCCGCGCTCTCAGGTAAGAACAGGCGTCTCGCACCACAAGATGGCTCTGACCTCGCCGCAGGGCGTATCAACCAACAACGACAATCGGAAAGCGCACCTTCCACGCCGACGTATGCTCCACCAGCAGGGCGTGGCTCAGGCTACCACATAAGAGGTCGCGGAGCTGGATGGGCTGGCCAACATGTGCCTGATCGCTATGCGCCATATCACCACCCTCGCGGCTTCTCGCACAAACCCGCATATGCCCCTTCGTACCGCAACCGCTCCCTCGTCGTTAAAAGCTCCATTGGAACGTCTGCCAGTCAACAAGCCTCTCCCGCAACACCTGCTTTTACTTCTGCCGACAAGTTTGTCTCGAAGCGCGACCGTCACATGCAATTGATCAACACTTCCGTCTACGACCAGAAAACACAACAGCGCCAGCTAGAAATCGAGGCTACACTGCAAGAGAAGCAGCGCCTTCGCGATGCGAAAGAGAAGGCTAGGGTCATCGAGGCCTTCCAGCCTCAACAGACTGTTTCAACTACTACTTACGGCGCTGCACCATCTACAGGAACCGCCACCCTGCACGATATACAAATCAACAACCTTCGGTTCCGTGTAGCCGCCGACGGCAGCAAACTCATCCGCATGTTTGGTGAGTACACCCATGCCGAACTTCTCGCACAGCATCTCACCTGCATAGACGACTCGAACACGGATCCTGGGGCCACACCCAAGATGACGAAAGTGGCCGGCGTCACATTTCATAGGAGCAAGCATGGTAACCTCTACCGTGCTGGTCTTGTGAAGAAATCGATGAGGTACTGGATAAAGAGTCAAGAGCTTTGGGAAGAACAATTGTTGATTGATTGGATGACAATANGGGAAAACAACATCAAAAAGAGCTCGGAATTATGTCCAAGATTTACAGCTACGGGTACCGAATACTCCAACCGCCATTCACGCCGGTCCTTGCGCGACGGATCTGAACGAGAGCAATCATCTCAGCATTTCCGTTGGTAGGCCTTTTGTATCCTTACTGACTCTATATTATAGNGCATGTGCGCCCACGGCAACCGCTGCCGCTACACACACGACCCGAACAAGATCGCCGTTTGCAAGGACTTCCTTCGATCTGGCCGTTGCGCCGCTGGTGATGCTTGCAACCTTTCCCATGAAACTACCCCTCATCGTGTCCCCGCTTGCACCCATTTCCTTCGCGGAAATTGCACAAACCCAGATTGTCGCTATGCCCATGTCGCTGTTAGCCCTGCTGCACCCGCTTGTCGGGCCTTTGGAAGCATTGGCTACTGCGAGAAGGGTGCTGATTGCACTGAGCGTCATGTATTTGAGTGTCCGGATTATGCTAACACAGGTATATGCCGTAACAAGCGGTGCCGACTTCCCCACGTTGACACGGCGGGCAACATGCGTAAGGCCAAATCGGCAGAGACTAAGATGGACGAGGCAGAGACATCAGATCTGTCGAGCGATGAGGAGAGCTACGATGAGATCGACTACGACGACGTAGATTCTGACAACTTCAGTGACAATGAAGTCATGGGTGGCACCGATGAGCGCGACCATGAGCTTTCTCAGCAGCAAGATTATGTTGGGTTCTCTTGATCACGTTCGCCGTTCAATAGGCACGTCAGATCGAGCGGCATATTGCCTATGTTGTTGGCGGATTGCATACGGAGTGTGATCGAGCATTGAGCCAGTCGGCATTCTTTTAAGATACCCTTGGAGTTGCAAGAAAGATTGAGAGAAGGACGAGAGAAAGACAGAAAGAAATGATACTCGCATAGAGGCAGATAATACTAGCAATAAAAAAGAAGGAAATGTTCTTCGATGAAATTGAACTTGACGTGTTTTGACGAGTCGCGGTACAGCAGTGAGGAATGTCGAGCTTCCAGAGCCATGTTCGCAACAGAGTTAGTAAGAAGGATTCGTGTGTCTGCATGTTGGTGTATGGGAAAAGCGCAGTGTATTTTTGGGCATTCAGTTGGTCAAGACGAGCGGCGATTGGATCAGAGGATGCATGAAACGACTCTGTACATGAAGGAGGGCTTGGCCGGATCAGCACAGCCGCAAGCGCTGCCTCCGACCAAGTCACCACCATGGCCAGCATTGCCCGTCTGACTTGCCCATGGCTTCCGTACAGACGACGACGACGAAAGCCCCCATCTGCCGACTGTCTCGACACTTTCTGAGGACACGCTGACACACGTGTCGACCACACACCACCACACATACCAACTTCGACCTTCGTCCATCTCCACAATGCCGCTGCGAGACGTGCTCAAGAAGCGCTCCAACATCCAAGGCGATGCCACGAGTACACGCAGCACCAGTTCCAACTCTCTGCCAAACCTGCCCAATCCGATCCCAGAGTTTACGTTTATGCGCACCACGACACACGAGCAGGAAGTCATTGTGCCGCCTTCATATCCCGGCGACGAAGTCCCACTGGCCTCTGAACAAGTCCCCGAGAAGAAACGCCGCAGCATCTTTCGCAAGAGCAGTGCGAACTTTGTATCTGCTGTCGCCGGCAGAGACAATCCTCTTCCATCACATTCTGAGGAAAAGGAGACTCCGACTGCGACTTTTGCACGACCCAAGAATGAGCGCAAACTTTCAGAGAGACTGCACTTTGGCAGGTCACGAGGCCTGTCCAAGAGCGATAGTAGCTCGCATCTGCCCACCGATCTAGGAGATGCGCCTCAAAACACACCAGCGCCTCTGGACCCACCCGACGCCAAGGGCAGAGTCAAAGAGACCGAGTCCAAAGAAAACAAGATGCAGCGAGAAGCACAATGGGAAAAGAGAGCTACAATGATGGCTCTAAAGAATCCCATCCTCGAAGGGGAGAAGTCAGAGTCGAGCGAGAAAAAAGGCCATCGACGGAGTACCTCGCTCGAGGAAGGCGAAGCCGATATCCAGGAAGCCATTCGTTTGCACGAGGCAGGTGATCTAGAGCGTTCAACGCAGATATTCGGCACACTGGCAGACCCAAATGGTGCGAACAATCCACTCTGTCAGGTACTCTATGGACTTGCTTTACGCCATGGGTGGGGCATCACTCCATCCGCAGATGCCGCGATACACTATTTGAGCCTCGCCGCGTCCAACAGCGCAGCCATCGAATCAGCAGCCCTGTCCTCGGGCTCAAAAACGGGCGGCGAAGCAAAAGGCGAGCTGGTCCTCGCCATCTTCGAACTCGCCAATTGCTTCCGCTACGGTTGGGGAATCAAAGTAGACAAGGTGGCCGCAAGAAACTACTACGAGGTTGCTGCCAACCTGGGTGACCCAGACGCTTTAGAAGAAGCAGCCTGGTGCTACATGGAAGGCTTTGGCGGGCCCAAAGACAAGGTAAGAAAAATTGTTTTTTCTTCTTTCTTTTGCTGTGTGTTTTTTTTTTGCGATAAAATGTTGCATGGGTTTGTGCTTATACGAATTTTTTTTTTGCAGTTCAAAGCAGCGCAGTATTTGCGATTGGCCGAAGGCGCTGGTCGCAAGAGTGTGGGAAACAGCTGGATCTGGAAGGACAAGTACAGTTCGCCGACAAAGTGAGACCTTACTCTTCCGGACTCGGAATGACGGTGTATGAACGAAGCACGCTCATCAATGCATTCATTGCACATCATCGCGTACGTACCTCTATGAAGGGTTGTTCCAACCCCTCGACGCATCAGTCGTCATGACAGGCTTGAACGCACGAAGACCATGAACCGCTCACCACAAAAAGATTGCTTGAGGAATCTGAGCTTTACACAACGGGACCTACACCCAGAATATCGAGACTTGGTGCAGGACACTCGCAAAGCTAGGACATCTCACACAATCCGGGAGATTGTACAGAAGAACGACCATAAGACGAAGGGGTTTCTTCAAAAGACAGAAGCATTATATGATCGATTTTAGCTAGTGTTTGGTACATGTGGAAACGACAAGGATATCTCTAAAAAGCAAAAACAAAGATCGCAAGAACAGACATGAATTAATGCAAAAAGACAATTCGGAACATGCTCCAATGCATACATGTATATCCATCCCCAAAGTTTGAAAAGTTGAAAGAAAGAAAAAAGAGTGAAGAAGAAGAATAAAAATGTGAACAATCTAATCTTGTTCATGTGCATTGTGCTTGGCTTCTTCACGATCATGTCTCAAGTCCTTGCTCCACTCTCCTGCTGTGGTATCGACTTGAGTAGGACTGACGGGGCCATGGTTTCTGCAATCGGTATTTGCTTTGCTGACATCCACGTCCATTCCGCGACGGCTCCTCTCATCGTGGAAGCTGTCGGCCAAATCACCATTCGTTTTCTCCTGGAGACCAGGCTTGTCTTCGCAGCCGACTGGTGTTCGACACTGCTTGCGAGCCTTCTCTGACGCCGTGGACCAAATGACATCCTTGACTTCTTTGCCGACTTTTTCGATGACATCCATGGCCCAGATGACATCGAGGTGCTCGTATCCCTCGATAATCTTTTTGTGCACGACATTGACGTGGGGTTCGCGGCCACGGTCGAAGCGTCTGAGGAGGCGTCGTCCATCCACCAGATCGTCGTTGCCGGCTACCCACATGGCCAGCGGAGGAAACTGTTCGTTGAACCAGGCATACTGGCCTCGCTCTTCACTCTTATCACGGTCTTGATGATGTAGACCGAGTTGATCTCTGCCAGGTCGTTCTTCGCCAGCCCGATCAGGAGATTTTTCAGTGTCGGTGTGTTCGCCATCGTAATAGCGACGAATGACATCATCTTCTTCCTCGTCTTCTTCGTCTTCCATGCGACCTTCTTCTCTCGTGGCAAGGATACATTTTTGCTTTGCAAAGCACTCTCTTCCGAGCCACCAGCGCATACTCTCAGCGCTGACATAGACGGGCGCAAACTGGAACAATCGATCGCGCAGATCAATCTCCCATCTAGTGTCCGTCCAATTGAAAAGAAAGCTGAACACGCGATACCCCATTGCGCCGTACAATTTGGCTGGAAGAAGCTTGTGCATCCGCATCATAAACGGAATGAAAGCATGGATACCAAATATACAGCGGAAGAAGTCGGGGTTAATCATACGCATGAATTTGAAGTATGCCTTGCCAATCAATGGCCCAGCATAAGCTGCCGGTGCTAACGCACAAAAGACTGAAATCTTCTCGCCAATGTCCGGGCGTTGTTCTTTGGCAAGGGCAACCAGAGTCTGTGTAGTGCCTTGACTGTGGCAGACCAAACCCAGCTTCTCGAAGCCAGTCTCGGAAAGTACGCGCGAGATGAGGGCCGGGAGATCCAAAACACCCATCTGGCGAATGTTCCAAGACCACATGCGCGGATCAGCGTATTCGAGTAAGGTGTGCCGAGGGTTAAAGCCACATCTGTTGTTTCCGAGCCAGACATCGTAACCGCTCTTAGCGAGGTAAAACGCGAGACTGTCATCATCAGTGCAGCAGTATGCACCAGCCGATTGCAATAGACCATGGATCATCAATACGGGGTACTTTTTGTTTCCTTCTGAGAATGCACGTTCAGCCTCGCCGAACTCTGGGTCTGATGTAGTGGTTCCGAAGATGTCTGGTCCACGAGGTCCAAGGGCAGCCTCGGATACTGGGCGATACTCGCGTGGATTATACACATGCCACAGCTCGATAATAAAGCCGTCTTCAGTTTCTACATCGAAGATCTCGACGTCCAAGCCTACACGGCGAGCATAGTATCCTGGGTCGCAGACCAGAGGATCCGGACCACCCTCTGTAGGTACAAACTCACCATCTTGTGGAGGCGATGTTTCTACTTCAGCAGGAGTTGTAGGAGGATTGGCTTTCGCCCAATTGCGGTTTTCCTCTGCGCGAGCCTGTTTGCGCCGTTGTTCTTCCTCAAAGAATGGCCTCCTTTTATCGGGATCCTTGAACTGAAGTCGTAATCGGATGTGTTCGTAAGCGAGGGGGATGCTGGTGAAGGCGGCACCGAGGACGATGATCAGAAGGAATAGGAAAGATAAGACCGAGCTTGTTGTCCTAAAGAAGCAGCAGTGCAGCGTCCTTAGCAGACTCGGCGGACCATAGGTAGGAAGGGGCGGAAACATGGGATTTGTCCGTGAAGGTGCGACGGCTTCTCTCAGAGGCGCACTCGGCTCGCTGCTCTGGCACGCACCATCCTTCTCGAGGATACCATGCGTCGTGCCATCTCTAGCCTTGCGAGATGTGTATTTGACAGGAATGCGGCCATCGGACTGGCGATCTTCGAGTTTGTCCTTCAAGCGATTGAGTTTCAATGCTTCATCTATGGGTACAGCGGGCAGACGACTGCCGTTAGCGGTCACAATGACAGGATCCTGAGCTGTGACGAATTTGGCCTCGACAGCCTGGGTAGAGTCGGAATGACGCTTCCGTTCCTGCTCAGGCGTATACTGGGCGAGACGCTCGGCCTGGCGGGCGAATTCGATGGCTATGTTTGCCTTGGAATCGGCATCAGCCTCTCGCATCGAATCGTGTGGGTGCGACGAGACATGGGGCATGTCGGTCAGGGAGGGGGGGTACAGCCAGACAGTGGTATGGGAGAGATCAACATCGGTTGAAGGGACCAGAAGACGAAGACAGCGATTAAAGGAGAGGAGAGACTACTGTCGAGTCTAGCAGCAACAGTGCTTGTACATGGCGGGTTGGAATCAAAACATGGCTCAGCCGCATGCGCTTTTTTGATGAATGACGCATGTGCTTTTGACAGCCATTCACGTTGGCGCGGATCAACAGTACTTCGCTTGTCTCACAGAGACAGAATGACCCTGCACCTTGTCATAGACTCTGCACGCAGTGGCAGACATTCTCCATCGAAGACAACAACAGAGCGTGGTGATGGCAATCATGCATGCATTGGATGCTTCGAATCTCAACGACCATGCTGATGGTTATGTCCCGCGCCTGCCGTCTGCCGTCTCCACAGATGGTTCTAATTACATATCCTCTTTGGGAAGGCGCTGCCGGCTGTTTCCAACTGGCAGCTGTGGTCAGGTTGAGCAGAGGTCGAGGTTCGCTACTTATCGTTCGCTCTCCAGGTACACGACCTCGGGCATCTTGTCGAGACGACAGGTAGGTTCAAGCAGTCGATGGCATCGCCTCGGCCCGTCTCTACAGTCCAACACTGTAGAGAAGAGGGCGGACCGGCGATAAGCCCATGTGCCTATCTTGTTAGGCCGAACAACCGAGGTCGGAAGCTTAGCCCCACGAACGTGTGCACTCGGCCAGTCGCCAATGTACAAGACACATCAACACACGTAGCTTGCTTGTAGCTTGTCCAGCTGCCCAGTCGCTTTGTCGCATGGCTATGGCTCTCAAGGAAGCAGCCTCGGGCTCCTTGAAGCGCAAGAGAGGCGCTGCTAGAAGAGCAGACAAAGCACCCGTCTCTGGTCATGCCCACCTCGACAGCAAGCTCAAAGGAGAGATTGCTCTGCTTTCCCACGACCTGGTCGACGACCTGTTCCCTTCCTCGTCTCCAGACTCTGCCGAAATCTACCATGTCGCCATCACTCCTTGGGCTCCGTCCACCCTCGTCGCCGATGCCGCTACACAGTGGGTCATCCTACCATGCAGACGACTGCCTCGCGGTCACCCCGATCTACCGCACTCTTCGATAAGGATTTCAATCTTTTCTCACGTAGCTCAGGCTCTCCAGCGAGCACTGCACACTCAATCGCCCAATCGCTCCCTGCGTCCCGCCTCGACCCTCGAAATCTGTCTCACCCACGTCGTCGCACTACCCCTCGACGTAGTCTACGTTTCGCTCGACTTGACAACCCTGGGGAACACCAATGGCATCCAGAAAGATCACGGGAACACCTTACTGCGAGTCTCAAAGGGTGGGAGAGAGAAGCAATCGAAATCCTCGGCCGCAATCGACTCTGCCCAAGTCACTCGCGTTGTACGGGATGCCTTGGATGCTGCACGCGTCGTAAGAGCTGGTGACATGTTACCCCTCACATTGGCACGTCCTCAGACACAAGCCTCTGCCTCTCCTGCTCTGGTCACGGCCTGTGAACCCGTCTCCCAAGGACTGGTAACATCGACAACCCAGATAGTCGTCGTTTCGCAAAACGAACGTCGTACGAAACCGAGCCGCTCTGTTACCTTCTCGCAGCCGGACGAAGATACCGCCAACGAGGCATTCTATACTGCCGCTGAAGATGGCGCACATGCATCCATCGATACTGTGCTGGACTCTGACCTAACCTCTGATGATGCTTTGTCCGAATTAGGTGATCTTTCGGATGATCCAGATGACATGATCTCTCTGAGCTCACCTTCCATCACATCTCAACCTTCAGGCATACTCTCTGCTAGATCGAATGCGACCCCCAAACTTTTTGGCAATCCGCGAGGTATCAATACCCCTGGATCTGTGTTCTCATCTATGACTTCCACAACTATGAGAGGGGCTCAGGGAGGACGAACAAAAACTTTCAAGACCCAAGGACTTCTGGAACGTATCCCTGATGACTTTCTCTATCCAAAACCAGGCTCTCAGCAGGATGAGGAAGCCCGGGTCTATGTCGACACCAGTGCTTTGGCAAAGCTCGGTTGCTTCTCTGGTGACTGGATTCAGTTGCAAATAGCAGAGGACCCTGCCGGTGCAAACTCTTTAATGGCATTTTTCCGTGACCAGGACATCGACGAGGACAGTACATCGAGGCCACTCAAAATATATGGACTACCCGAAGGCTTTTCTACTAGGCCACAAAAATACCCGCTGAATAACAGATCTGGTCGACGCGATAGCATCTCCTCATCACAACCTATTCCTGTCGCGCCTGCTACCCTTTACCTGTCACCTGTTCTACTGGCCAATCTTGGGAGTCCCAGTCATGTGCGGATATCGTCTTTGCGAATTACCGATGTCTCTAATTTCTTGCGTCCTGGACAAACCAAGTTAAGACTTCAAGGCTCATCTCTGCCACCTACAGCTAAGGAAGTAACTCTGTCTAGGCTATCAACACCTCTTTCTGAGGAGAAGTCGACTCAGCCAAGTCTATTTGCCCGACTGCAAGACTACTTCAAGCAGAAGCAACGCATTGTAAAGTCTGGCGATCTCATCGCTATTCCAATCGATGAAGCGTTGGGGAAAGCAGTATTCGAAGGAGGTGCTGCAGATGACACGAATGACATATTGACCCACCTTGAGTCTTCGTCGGGCAACGATTCTACAAAAGTCCGGTCGTATGGCTTAGCAGTTGCATGGTTCCAAGTTGGTGATGTGAGTTCGCCTTTGACCGATGCTCAGGATGCTGAAGAGGCTGGGCTCTGGGGAGGGGTTGTAACTATTGATCCTACGGAAACTAGGATGAGTCAATCGGGAGCACTGCAGAGGAAGCTGCCCTCTACAACGCAAAACTCGTGGGAGTTTTATCACGGCATCAGGAAAGTGCCCAAATCGCTTGCGAGCGGGAGCTCCCATCTTCGTACGCCACCCAAAGAACATGTACCACTATTGCAACGGCGCATGCGTGAGCTTATGGCAGCTGCTATGAGTCCTCGTGCTGTGCACCTTGGACTTCCACCTCTCGCAATACTCTTGACATCGACCCAGCGAAATATTGGCAAAGCGTACACAGTCTCTCGTGCTTGCCATGATCTAGGTGCTCACGTATTTTCTATTGATGCGTACGAACTGGTCTCGGAAGGAGCTACAGGGGGTGGAGACACCAAGACCGAGGGCTTTCTCAAAGCTAGAGCCGAACGAGGATTGCATTGTGGTGCGCAGCACACATCGCTCTTGATTCGTCACCTTGAGGCTCTCAGTTCAGATCGTATGGCTGGAGCTCTGAAAGACATCCTAGCTGGTTGTCGTGTGTTGATTGCTACCTCGACAGAAGTAGACAAGATACCTGATGCCATCCGTGGTATTTTTACGCATGAACTCGAGATGACAGCTCCCGATGAAGCAGAAAGAGAGGGCATTCTGCGATCAATCATTGCAAACTCGGGTCTTGTTGTTTCACCCTCGGTTGATTTGAGCTCTGTGGCAGTCAAAACTGCTGCTCTGGTTGCTGGCGATCTTGTCGATGTCGCAGAAAGAGCCGTGCTCAACCAGGCAGTTCGTCTCGAGTCTCTAGCGGTCGCATCTTCTATGTCTCGCGAGAAACCCATCTCTGTCAGGGACATTCAGATAGCTGGTGGCGACTCGGCTATCTCGCTTACCTCTGCAGACTTCGAGAAGGCTGTCGATGACGCCAGAAAGAATTTTGCAGACTCTATTGGCGCACCCAAAATCCCTAATGTGCAATGGTCAGATGTCGGAGGTTTGGCCAACGTCAAGGAGGCTGTCATTGAAACTATCCAATTGCCGCTTTCGCGTCCAGAGCTCTTCGCAAAGGGTCTGAAGAAGCGAAGCGGTATTCTGTTCTATGGACCCCCAGGAACGGGAAAGACGTTGCTGGCAAAGGCCATTGCAACAGAATTCAGCCTCAACTTTTTCTCCGTCAAAGGGCCGGAACTACTCAACATGTATATTGGTGAGTCTGAAGCCAACGTGAGACGTGTCTTCCAAAGGGCAAGAGACGCAAGACCTTGTTGTGTATTCTTTGACGAACTTGACTCGGTCGCACCAAAACGTGGCAATCAAGGTGACAGTGGTGGTGTCATGGATCGTATCGTCAGTCAATTGCTAGCCGAATTAGATGGCATGAGCGATGGAGACGAAGGCGGTGGTGGTGTCTTTGTCATCGGCGCGACAAACAGACCAGATTTACTCGATCAAGCACTGCTGCGTCCTGGCCGTTTCGACAAGATGCTGTACCTTGGCATCAGTGATACTCATGAGAAGCAGCAAAGGATATTGGAGGCGCTTTCAAGAAAGTAAGCATAGAATTGTGTGGTCCAGACTCGAAGTTTTCTTACTGACTTTTGATCACAATAGANNTTCACGCTCGATCCAGAACTAGATCTCGGTCGTGTGGCTGAGAAGCTTCCGTTCACGTACACCGGTGCCGATCTGTATGCTCTCTGCTCTGATGCCATGCTCAAAGCCATTACTCGATCTGCTCGCATCGTGGATAACAGAGTGGCTGAGATCAATAACGAGCGAGCCACACATTCCCNNCCTCCTCAACCTCCAATTTCTGTGGCTTACTTCTTTGACCATTATGCCACCGAAGCCGACACCAGCGTCATTGTGGCCGAAGAAGATTTCATGGCCGCAGAACGTGAGCTTGCCCCTAGTGTCAGCGCCGACGAACTAGGCCACTACGAGCGCGTGCGTCGTGAATTCGAAGGCGGCAAGGAGAAAGAAGAAACCCCATCCCGACAGACCAATGGCACAGATGCCAACACCCTCGCACGCAGCCAGATTGCGCAAATGCTGCGCATGCAAATGCAAAGAGCAAACTCTGACTCTGGCAACGGTGGCGGCGGCATCAAAGGCAAAGGCAAAGTAGTCGATCAAGAAGTCTCCAGCGTAGTCGATGAGGACTTTGTCATTAGAACTGACCACCTGTCCATGAATGGATCTGGCAAAGGCAAAGGCAAAGCACGAGCCGAGTCTCCAGATAGCGCGCGATTCGGAGATGCGGCTGGCGATGATGAGGACATGTATGCATAAAGATTCATGATTTGCATGCTATGAGCTATATTTACAAAATTTCCAAGCAATTCTTTCCAATCCAAAATCTACCAAGAGTATTGCAAAACACAAGTCACAGCGCCACTTGCACCAAAGTATTGCTGGATTTTGCTGGGATAAGCGTTATCTGCAGTAGCAAGCACCTATATTTCTTGGTTGTCTTATGTTGCTTGGTCTAGGTCGACAATCCAGACATGTCTCTTGACGCACTGAGTCTCCAAACACGCCGCAGAGCGGGACATGCTTGTTGGCACAAACACGCGAGAGGGATATAATCTGAATAGAAAGTTGATCAAGCACATACGGCCACAGTCAGCTGAAAACTGGGCATCCCGTCCGCTCTGCCATACATAAGCAGTTGAACGGCAGATTAGTACTACGGTGGGTGACCACGTGGGAATCCCTGCTGCTGTATGTTTTGGTCCACACCTGTTTGATACCTCTTTTACTCGTTCAGCAACGCGAGCACGAGCTCAGGCAGTTTTGATAGAACCATACTGACGAACCAGTGAATGGCAAGCAAGGTGGCATATCCCAATACGCCGATATCAGCATTCGCGATCCAGAACACAGTGATCGCTTCTGGATCAATCCACTGAGCGTCCACTTCTCACTTATGCGGGTCAGCGATTTGATCTGTCTGGACATGCAGGGGAACGTTGTAGATGGCAACAGGATGAGTTTAAATCTCAGAGATGTTGTTTCGCTATAGGGAACTTCGCTGATTGTTTTGTAAAGCATATCCTTGCCAATGGAGCAGGCGTGTGCCATGCTCGCTGTGGTGACAAAGGCACCTTTTGTTGCTTCAAGATGTGGTTTTAGGGCATACATCAACCAACACTGAGCCTTGACGTTGCAGCGATAAGTTCCTTCCAAGAGGTCTTCGTCCATGTTGTCGTCCATGTCGGAGAAACTGGTCACGCGGGTAGCTGCGCGAACATCCGGGGCAAGGGTGACTTGCAGTTGACTTCCCCCTGTTTTGGACTGTCCGATATAGCGGCCATCTTGGCCATTTGTATCAATGCCAGTCAAAGTCTCAGCACGCCAAGCTGTTGCTCATGAATCTGTATCTCTCAACGATCTGTGCGACCATCGCGAATGGTCTTTGAAGCAGGAAACTTCTCTCCCAAAACCGTGAACAACTCGGTCGCAAGTTCAAGATCCTCGACTGCACGCAGGCGTTCCAGCGAAGCGGCCAGATTCTCCGGTTGTACTGTTACAGAACACACTAGGGCTATGACAGCGTTGTAGATCGCAAGCAAAGTCAGCCAGTTGAAAGCTAGCCGCTTCTGCAGTCGCATGCTGTTCGCATGCCGTATAGCCATGGCTGCCGTCTCAGTGAGGATATTCACTCTGTGCATATCCAGCGTCGGAAACAGAGGTGATGGTCGATAAAGTGCCGTGAGGTGGGTATAGAAATTCAGGTCGTACCAGCTCGGACACCCTTGCGGTACCTGAGGATTCAGGTTGGGTAATGGGAATGGAACACTTTGTCGCCACTCCAGGAGGTCTTTGTGCAATGACTCGAGAGTCTGCTGGCGTTGTATTTCTGTGTAGCGCGAGACGACTCGTTTGTTGTACACCTTGGTTGCAATGTCATTTGCAATCTTTCGCAGCCGTAATATGTGCTCAGTGATGGCCATCGGTGGCTGACACAATGACATTCGAGGCGCGGCCATACTGTGGTCAAGCTCGTCGCAGGATTCTATTTTGAAAGACTTGTCATAGCATGATTAGTACAAGTATCGTATCAGGTGGCAACCTGGAACTCGCGGAAATATCGATGTCGTCTTCATGAATGGCGAATGGCCTGCCCAGAGTGATGGATACCAACCTACAAACCTTATCAGCTGCGATTTGGGCGGATTGCGCTTGGACTAGAAGGCCTTACCGATCCATCATGTATATAGAAAGGAAGAGACGCTTGCGCCTTATAGCTAGGACTTCTGATAGTCCTTGTAGGGTAGAGTCGCAATGCAAGCCCATACCAAGCGCTAGGCGTGCCGCAGTACCTACCAGGAACCAGGTATCTAGATGCTGATCGTTAGCTGTCAACCATCACAAGAAAGCATATGGTTGAGCATCGTACTTGGGCCTAGTGAATTGAAGAATGAGAACGACACTTGAAGCATTATAACCTCCAAGGCAACCTTCTCTACGTCAGTATGTGCATTTGCGGCACTTTGAGACACTCACAATGTCACCATGGTCCATAGAGGCATCGAAGTATGTCATAGCCTCTTCATAGTAAAGTCGAGACACGGACTCTTCCGCCAACGTGATCGAGGAGTACGTTGTTGAGCCAATGGCCAATACCATCCAGATACGGAACATGCATGGTGGTGACATTATCAAGTGTTGCTCGGGATCTATCAGGACCGCACGAATATCGGACATGACCTCTTGCTGATGAATGATAGGGTACAAAGTGTGAGAATGATCAAAATAGAATGTTGCAAGTCTCAATACTTCATTTTGGTCTGGAAGTTGGGTAGTTTCGGCTTGCGATGGGCCGTCGAATAGATGTATCTTTACTACTTATAAGTTATTATAGAGGTACGGTATATTGTTAACTAAATGCTAATTAGTAAATATAGAGGTTATATTCTTTTTTCTTCAAGAGGTTGTATATTGCTTAAAATGGTAAGTTAAAGAGTACGGCGTAACTATACTACTAATAATAACAGTGGATAATAATGCACGCTTTTGTAAACAGCTGCCTATATCCTAGCAAATACTAGAGTATTAGTCTTTATATAACCAAATTTGGGCTATGAAGCAAGTCCAAGTGTAAAAGTGATTGCCGTGTAATCCCGTCATCGAATGCAACACTCACTGTCAAGAATTCGAAGAACGTCTGGTTGTCGAGTCATTTAACTTGCATCAGAAATCAGTTCCTGCTACGTCGCTTGCTCCTCTCATGCACTCCAGGGAGTATAACAGCCTCTTATAGAATGATGGCAACACAGTCGTGTTCAAACTTACTACGCATGTCTGTGTGCTACGTGCACAGACCGCATCTTGGCGTCCATCAGCCTATAAACAACCTGAGCGAGACGCCCACGCGCAATCCCGCTGCCCCTTCCGGGAAACTCGTGTCGAGCGACGGACACCCCAAGATGTATCGCATCTTTGCACCGTATCAGATCCATAACCTGTGCTTGCGAAACGTCGTGCGCCATAGGCGGGCAGTCTCTGTCATGACGACTAACCTTCTAGATTCCTCAGTTCTTGTCGAAGAAGAAACTCTTCGTGACTACAAGGCGGAAAGGGTTTTTCCTGTCAAAATCGATCAAGCTTTCAACGACCGGTATCGAGTCATCAGTAAACTGGGATATGGATCGGCGTCAACTGTGTGGCTTTGCCGCGATCTTCTTGAAACCAATAAATATGTCGCTTTGAAGGTTTATGTTAACAGCTCGAAAGAACATCGTGAGCTTCCGGTCTACGAGCATATCCAAGCACTATCTTCCGACCATAATGGTCGCCACCGCATCAGGAGACTTCTTGACTCTTTCGAAGTTCAGGGTCCTCATGGCAGACATATTTGCCTTGTTCACGAACCACTTGGGATCAGCTTCGATGAATTGAGAGATTTCACAGCTGGCAGAGTGTTCGACGAGGACTTGATACGGCAGACCTTTCGTCCCATATTGGAAGGATTCGATTTCTTGCACAGGGAAGCCAAGGTGATCCATACAGGTAGAGCGTCGGGGTGCTGAGTTGCAAAGCGTCGGCTTACAGAGNCTTCAGATTTCCAACCCAACAATGTGCTCATAGGCATCCAAGACAATTCGGTGCTGGACAAGTTTGCGAAAATGGCAAACGAAAACCCTGTGCTAAGGAAGGAACTCTCGAATCGTATTATCTATGTTTCTCAGCCGATGCCGTTGACCAAAGGACTACCGTCCTTATCCGATTTCAGCGAAGCACGATTCGGAACCTGTACGCAGAGTGGTCTCATCATGCCAAATGTGTATCGTGCGCCCGAAGTCATCTTAGACATGGAATGGAGTTATGCCGTGGACATTTGGAGCTTCGCAATGACTGTAAGTGCATTGTCTCGGAAGTCCTGCATCGGAGTGGTCATTCGGGGTTCTGTGACGCGACAACTGATTGCTTGACTAGNNCTCTGGGATCTCTTTCAACCAAACAAGCTTTTCAGTGCCAAGGGTAGTGATGGTCAATACTCTGAAAGCCACCATCTTGCTCAGATGGTGGCAATCCTAGGTAATCCACCTCCCGACTTTCTTGCGGCTTCTAAGAAGTCCGCCGAATACTGGGACCAGGATGGTAAGTCACACATGGGTCTCTATTGTGCGATCCAAGCGCTTCCTAATTTCTTCACCTAGNGGAAATGGATTCATGAAGTCGCGATACCAGGGATAAGTCTCGACAGCTGCGAACAACGTCTTTCAGGTGCAGACAAGAAGAAGTTCCTAACGTTTATGAGAAAAATGCTTCGTTGGAAACCAGAAGATCGTAGTGGTTGGCAGGACATATTCTTCGACGAATGGATGGTCGCGGACTTGATCGAATCTGGCGAGATAGTGAGGGACGACTGAAACAAACATCACCTCACATTGACGACAATGGGCATCAGTCTTTTAAAGCGTACACCATTATACTGTTCGGACGATGCTACTACTCTCGACCCTGGATAACCGTTCAGACCTTGCATCCTCCCAATCACATTCCCTATGAACCGCTAATTTCAGAATCGATTGGAAAGAGGAATTGAGGTGAACATCACTAGTCATCCCAGACATGATTCGGTGCTAGCGGCGCCACTAGAGAGGTGCCGGCGCGTAGTAAAACGTCAGCACTGAATTACGACTCCGCGTATTCGACCTCTCCTCCAGTCTGATTAGATGGTTTAGCGCCTGGCCATGCCTCTAAATTCTCAGAGTTCCTATTTTCGGAAGGCACAAAGGTCACAGAAGCCTGATATAAACGCGCAGCCCCTTTACATAATCAGCAAAATGTTTACTGCCCTTTATTCCACAATCAAGCTCTCTCATCTCTCGACCACGGACTAGACATGTCTTCCGCAGGAACGCGGGTCTTCAGCACTGGTGGAACGAGGGCGTTGAGATGGGCGGGAGCGACCAAGAACGACATCATCGCTCAGAACCCAGGCAAGAACGGCGCCAATGTAATCAAGGCCATTGAAAAGCTGGAGGCCGAGGCTGAAAGAAAAATATGTGAGCATTGCTTGAATCCTATGCTGTGCAGTTTCGGGGCATACTAATACTTCGCAGTATGGCGACAAAGCTGCTGTCATTCAGATTCAGTAAGTGCTGATTACCTACGACCGCTACTTTATGTTGACATCTGTATGGGGGCGCGAAACTGCACATATCCACCAAGGATCCGAACGACAAGAAAGAGGTCGTCACGGTATCTGTCCACACCGAGGGCGGCACTCGTTTGGAGTCAGGCCATGCGCATGAAGATGGCACCACTACAAGTCACGTCACCCGAGCAGGTGGAAACAAGTAGAGCAAGTGTCATTAAACCGACTGGGAAAGGAGCAAATCGAAATATCAGGTGGCTAAGCTACAGAAGTCGAGCAGCAAAAGGTTCAGACAGTAGCTGTATGTAGTGCAGTGACTTCTGACGTGCTATCTAGGGATAGATAATGAATTACTGGCAGGTGAAACGAGAGGGTATAATTCGAAGAGCTACAACTCTTGCCAATCATCTGATCAAAAGACTTTTCCAGACAAACTATGGTTGGGCATTTCTTATGCGACTTGCAGCTATATTGCCATGCCATTGCATCCAGGTGCAACTTGTTGCTACAGCTCAATAGGGTCGCCCTGTCGACTCCGGCCCTTGTGCAATTGCTAGAGGAACTTAACATCTTGATTTGATGGCGTACGGGATACTTCTATGCATAATATGTGCTCTCATCGAGGCTCACCTGCTTAGTCCGCAAGCGTGCGAGCGTGCCCCTGAAACGAGCCCGAAGAGGCTAGATGTCTCCAATATACTTCTTGTAGACAGTCTACATCTCCGGCATTGCCAGCGTGCTGCCTGACGGCTCTATCGCCGGCATCGAGGAGGGCAAACCTCCCAAGGCTAGGACTCAAACCAAGATAATTCTCAGCACAATCGACAATATAATAAGAGGCGCCTCTGATGACAAAGGCGGCGTGCAGAGTTTGATCGATGCTGTGGTCTATCTTACAGAGATGGAGAGGGATCATGCTGGCATGAATGAGGAATGGAACGAGGTGTTTGGGAGCCGGGTTGTGGCTCAAGCTAGAGCTACGATCGGAGTCAAAGATTTGCCAGATCCGCGGTTTGTCGTCGAGATCAAGGGCGTGGCTGTAGTGCAAGATTGATTATTGACGGCTTGGGCGGTTGTTCTAGATTGCAAGTGGCGATGCTTGATCTGAACGCACCTCACGACTTCATCTGTATCGACAATATCAAGTCTTCCGTCAAGTATCGTCGAGCACACACATCATGATCGTACCTTCATTCAGTTTTCCAAATTCCAGGATCAAAAGAAACGATTAGCATAGCGAGTGGGATCTTTTGACAGCCAAAACGAATACTCTACCTCATATAAACCCAAACAAATCTGCCAGCCTTGGTCACTCGAACACCTTGTTCAGTATCCTCCCGACCCTACCAGGATCTCTCGGAATCAAGAGAGTCTCATAAGCATCAATCTCNTCTCTCAGGCCTCCCAAACTCAGATCCGCTGTGCCAGGCCGGACATAAGTGGTTTTGAAGACCATTTTCCAAAATACGAAGGCAACGATGAAGAAACCGATCATCGCATAGGTCAGGAAGAACCACATCACGCTCCATTGACCCTTGAGGAAAATATTGTAGCCGCCTGCAAGGAGCATAAAGAGAGTGCCTCCCATGGCCAGGTAAGAAGTGTATGGTTGGAATCTTCCTTTGTACGGCAGTGTATCTCTTGAAACCCCTTGCTTCTTCAGTGCCGAGTACAAATAACGGTACGTGAGTGCTGTGAAGCCGTAGTTGAGCATCTGACAACTGGTAACAAGGTCGACGAGATAAGTCAACACTACTCCGGAAGAGCTCTTGACCTGCAAGAAAGCAAGGAGACAGAAGCACAAGGAGAAGAGGAGCGCCCAGATAGGGACACCCTTCTTTGTGCAACGAGAGAAGATTCGTGGCGCATGCCCTTCGAGCGCCATCCCGTGTAAGGTACGAGCAGCAGAGTAAAGGAGGCCGTTACCAGCACTCAGAATGGATGTCATAATGAGAGCGTTGACCAAGCTAGGCAGTCCATACATCTTCAGTCTTTGCATAGCAATGACATACGGNCCTACACACAGCGTTAGAGGCTTCTTTAAACGATCGGCCATAGCAATGAAGGCTTACGATGCAGCACCTGTGCCGCTTCCATCCACATCACCATCAAGGATTGCCAAGAGTGTAGAGTTGTCGTAAGGGATGACGATCCCCATACACAATGCAGAGCCCACAAAGAACACGAGTAGTCTCCAAACGAACGAACGGAAGGCGGGCGGCAGGATCTTGCGTGGATTCTCCGTCTCTGCAGCCACTATCGATATGTATTCCGGACCCGTGATTCTGCTTTTCGTCAGAATGTATGAATAAGAACATGAAGAGAAGGCATTAAACTCTTACGAAAAGCTTGCTTGATAAAGGCAAGAGAGCACACCTAAGAACTTTCCGGTTCCTCCTGGTACCAAATGCTCGGCAAAAGCACCTGGCCTATTCCAGAATCTAAAGCCGTATGCATCATGGAGAGGATTGCCGCCCACCATGGTGATGAAGGTGAAGAGGAAGAGTCCAAGAACCAAGAGTACTTTGAAGATGGACATGTAGAACTCGCTGATACCAAAGTATCTGTACAAAATTGGTTAGTACAAGGTTGGATTTAGCACATGAGTTCCTGACCTAACGGTAATCGTGTTCAAGAATGCGTAGATAACAATCATTGCAACAATGATAGCCTCGACAGGTACTTTGTCGGTCCAAAAGGTAATCATGATGTTCATTGCCACAATTTCGAAGGGTACCAAGATCGCCATGTTTAAGAAGAAGTTCCATGCCATGGCAAACCCGAGAGCGCCATCTACCCACTCACCACCGAATTTTATAAATGGTGAAGGGACTGGCAGGTAAGATACCATCTCCGCGAAGCATTCGTTGACAGCCCACATCACGGCTGCCCAGATGACAAACGCAATGAAGAGACCGGCGGGGCCGCCTTTCGGAAGAGCCGAGTCCATTTGTACATACAGTGCTTTATGTATGTCAGCGTCTTTATCGCCCGATGACTGTACGTTCTCGAGTTATCACGTACATGTACCAATCGCACCACCTATGGCGAAGAGTTGGACTTCTTTGCCGCGAAGACTTCGATGTAGGTGTTGAGATCCGGCAACGAAGTCTGCAACTGAGCCTTGTGCAACATCTTGGTCACCCTTCGAATCTGGGTTGATTTCCATGGAGACTCCTTTCTTGTTGTCTTCCATCATCGTGTGATTTTGTTGAAATTGAACTGGCTCCTCGAGTGGTCGGGAATGGTCCAAAAGACAATGACCACCAGAGTGTGTCTGAATTTGAACAGGCGCTTTGGCAGTCTTGATATCTACGTTCGAAAGTACTTAGGTACGCAAAGCCAGACGAGCTCAACCTCACAGCGCTGATAATAACCAGTTGCGACAAGCCATGGCTTGATGATAAGACTGACTAACATGTATAAAAGATTGCGGGGTTGCCAATGGATAGACAATCAGTGATGCGTTGCTTAGTGAAAAGGTTGTAAAGCAGCGAGGTTGATAGTCGGAGTCTCCGATGTTCTCCATGTCGCTTGGTGATGACGCCCCACATTGTGGAGGCTTGGGGTCGGCAACCTGTCCGAAGATACACTCTTCAAGAATTCCTGATAGTGGAAAGGCAATGAAGCAAGAGACCATCGAAGTTCGATTGTCTTCCTGAGTGGTGAGAGTTGCCAGATTCGTTCCAACGAACCAATGTCTTCGTTCAGTATCGAAAAACTTTTCGGAGTGAAAGGCTATGTGGCTGTTGTCACTGGAGGAAGCAGCGGGTTGGGTCTCGGCATAAGCAAGGTATTCCGTTTCCATGAACGTCTTCACTCGGATGATTCAAGACGCTGATGGATGCTAGNNGGACTAGTTACCAATGGTGCAAAGGTTTACATCGTTGCTCTGCCATCTGAGCCGATTCAGGAGAAGGTAGCAGAGCTCAACGAGATCGGGCGGATCTCAGGTGGTTCAGCGCATGGGTGAGCGACAAGAAGATGTTGCTGGGCTTCCAAACACCAGGACTGATATGCGCTTTCTAGATTGCCTTGCGACCTCAAGGACAAAGACGCAATCGCCAAACTAGCAGCAACCATTAGCTCTCGAGAAACTCACATCGACGCCTTGATATCAAACGCTGGTATAAGGCGAGATCCTCAGATACCTTGTAATGTTCTCTCGGCGCCGCTGTCCGAATTGCAAACATCAATGTGGTCGTCACGGCACTTTGATTGGGCTGAGACATTCTGTGTCAATACAACAGCCCATTACTTTTTGTCCGTCGCACTCTTGCCACTGCTCGCTGCAGCTTCACAGCTCGACTTGGGCAATGGTTGTCTTGGTAGGGAAGCCGGCCGTGGTGCTATTGTGTTGACGAGCTCTTGCGCCAGTATGCACAACGCAACTAACGTAGACTTGACAAGCTATGCAACGAGCAAAGCTGCCACCGACCATCTCGTCAAGTTGCTAGCTGCCAAATTCAGTCGGTTCTACGTTCGAGTGGTTGGCATCAACCCTGGATGTGAGCTTTCTTGACCCTACGACTGAGATCGACCGTGGGGCTGATTCTCGATAGTCTTACCAAGTAACATGAACCCTATAGGTGAAGCTGGTAACATGTTCAGCTCACTGTTTGACCGAGTTCCTGCCAAACGAGCCGGGAATGAGGAAGACATCGCTGCGAGCGTCATCTACCTCATCAGTCGAGCCGGAGTACGCCATGTTCGACGGCTTGGAATGAAGCAACTCTTCAGACAGGTATATGACGCTAACGATCGTACAGNNGCATACATCGACGGTATTTCTGTCTGCATTGACGGTGGTCGAGTTCTCGTCGCGAACGGCCAGGAGTGAAAGTTCGAAGTGTCATTTGAAGGGAGACATTCATGCAAATTGTTTCGTCGTATGACTGGCCATGACTTGTCCGGAGAGTGTCCTCGTGACATTGTAATTCGCGGATATACGCAAAGCGATATCCAGGTTTTCTTTGTCTCTTCCGATAGTTTGTACTTGATCGACGCACAACCGAATTACGATCACGATCGCGTATCAAGTTTGTCATGGATACCTTTCTGTGTTCGTTTCGATGACCTGGTTATATGGTTTGATCAAAAGTCTGGTGATTTGGATACAGGTCACCGAAATGGAAGGGGTTGGTGTCGAGACGTGTCGTGAAAGGCGTCGGCAAAATACGCGCTTCGGGTAAATCCGAGTTCGGGATACGCATGACAACAACCAAGTCTCTTCATTCTTCTTTGCTCTTTACAATGTCTCCACGAATGCAGAATGTCTGCGGCATGCATAGCCAAATCGTCTAGGGGCGGTCGAGAATGCAGAGGCGCACATGTCCTGGTCATCCTGCACTCGTGTTCCCGATGATTGGCTTTGTCGGACGATCCGACATCGCGGGGTAGCCAGATCGCTCTCCGATTGAGGTTGGCAAGCAGCGACGTAGCCCATGAGCAGTCGTAAAGAGACGATAAGTTCTTCATACTGCTTCATGAGACCCTTAGGTATCAATCAACCCGCACGTTTATAGTTGGGGTGGGCAGCTTTTGATTCAGTAGCTGTCATCGTCCCTTTGATCGTTCCTCTATCCCATTCAAGATGTTGACTCTTCTCGTTCTTATCGCGGTTCCATTAGCAGCCGCTTATTACATCTTCCTTGAGCCTTTATTCTTGAATCCTAAGAGCAAGATTCCCGGACCAAAGCTGTTTGCACTGTCGAAATGGCGCTTGGCTTTGGAGGATTACAGAGGCAACCGGACAAGAGCTATACAAGCGCTTCACACAGAGTACGGTCCAGTTGTGCGCATTGGTCCTAACGAGGTTCATTGCAACAACCTCGACGCCCTTCGCACGATCTACGGAGCCGGAAGTGGTTTTGAGAGAACTTGGTTCTATCGTATGTTCGACGCATATGGTAGACAGAACCTTTTCACATTTCACACGACCAAGGCGCACAGCGAACGGAAGAAATTGGTCGCTAACGCCTACTCCAAGTCTCTAATGCTCAATGGGCCAGCGGCTCGTATGGTGCAGGAGAAAGTCGCCAATTACATGGCGCTCATTGAGGCGAAAGGTGAACAACCACACGAAATCTTCAGCAGCCTTCATTACTTCTCTATCGATGCCATCACCAATTTCCTATACGGGTCTTCCTTCGGCGGCACATCTGCGTTGAAAGGCAATGTGCAACATCGTGCTCTGCTCAACGACATCATTGATCCAACTCGCCGTTACTTGAGTTGGTTTGCTGTACACTTTCCAACCTTGACGAAATGGATCTACAGCCGCGAAGGTCTAACAGAGCGTATACTCAAGCCACTTTTGCCTATGCAGAAGCCTACAACCTACACGGGGATCCGGAAGCATGCCTTGGAAGCCTACCAAAGCTTTGAGAGCGCAGCCAAGAGGAATATAGATCTGATCACCAAAGAACCATCCATTGTATCGCGTCTATGGAACTCACACGAAAGCTTCAACAAATCTGGTCGCTATACTCTGGACTCGCTCGATATCGCTTCTGAGTGCGCGGGCCACCTGCTTGCCGGTATCGATACAACAGCAGATTCGTTGATGTTCCTGATATGGGCGTTGTCTCGCCCACAGAACTTACACATACAGAAGCGGCTGGTCGAGGAGGTTCGTGGTCTGCCACAGGACGCTTTCGAAGACAACGTGCCCAAGCTCGATGTTATAGACAAACTCCCTTATCTGAATGCAGTCATCAAAGAGACACTCAGACTTTATGCTCCGCTGCCAGCTTATGAGCCTCGATCGATCGGAACTGATTGTGTTATCTCTGGATACACTATTCCAGCCCGCACCACTGTCAACATGTCGCCTTACTCCCTGCACCGCAATGCTGATGTGTTTGACCAGCCACTAGAATTCAACCCTGACCGGTGGTGCGGCGAGCCAGACAAAGTGGCACTAATGAATCGATGGTTCTGGGCTTTTTCAAGTGGTGGTCGTATGTGTATAGGATTACAGTAGGTCATAAGCTAGCAGTAATCGTCTTGAATCTTTATGCTAACATATTTGACAGCTNTGGCCATGGCAGAGATGACAGCTTTGACAGTCGCCGTCTACCGAGACTACAACACTTCCATTGCACCAGGCTTCGAGAACAAATCACCCGCAATCACTTGACGATTCGAGTTGTTCTATGATGTGACTGTTCCAGAAATAGCAGTAAGTATTCTACTGCGGAAACACTACCTGTGCGTAAATTTAACATTATCTTAGGACCATGAATGCATGATAACATTCACCAAGGTATCTTAGCAAAGGACATTCGCAATCGAATTTCTAAGCTGATACGATCCATTTTCTGGCTTTCGCATCTTACTTTGATATAAAAGACTGTGTAGACTATACGATCAGGGACAATTGATAACCCATCCTGCTTGCCAAGTATGCAATTTCGGCATGTCTTGGCTGCAATCTCGAAAGCTTGCAACAGACGCTTCTTGCGTTCTCTTCTCTTGGTAACAGCTTATGCAACCATATGTACCAAAAGCAGCTGTGCGCACAAAAGAGAATACGAAAATTATTCCCTCCCCATGTATGATAGACAGTCATAGTGTACTTGTGAAAATACATAATGTTTTGTACAGCAGAGCGATGTCCAAAGAGAGAAGGTTGTGTTCAGGGATATCCATGGTGGCACCCCTATACTGAAATCCAATCGCGCATTCCTATAGCTTATGATAGCATAATGGGTTATTGAGGGAGGGGCCGATCGTTGTAGACTGTGACTGTCTTTTGGACATGGGGAAGTCGTGTTACATACACTATCACTATAGAGTATATCTAAACCCTTTGTTGTCAAGTTCGGTCTGATCTTGCATGCCTTGCTCAATAGCTAACCTCTCTTCCTCCACAGACATTTGTCCAGCCTCGCGATCCCGTTTCTTGTTTGCTGTATACATGTAGATGTATAGAACAACAACCATGCCGAGTTTGACCACATAGCCCACCAACATGGCGATATAAGCGCTGTGGTAGCCAGGCTTTTCACTATCCCTAAAAGTCTGAGGTCCTATTATTNNGCTTTCTGTCAGTCTCTGCAAGAATGGATATCAGACAAGAGTAAAGGTAAACTTACCAATGATATTGCCCACACAGTACCCCACAAACAAAATCGTGCCTGTACACTGTTTCTTCGTATATCCAGCCACATTACTGCTCACCATGGTCAAACTCATACTGAATCCCAACCCTTGGAAATAGCATAACCACAAGGCAACCAATCTACCCCACTTGTTGCTGGAAGGGAGACCAACAAGCATGGCGGCTCCAAGGATACAAATGCAGTTTGCGACTATCATGACGATGCAGCGGGAATTTGGGTAACGCGAGCAGATGAAACCGCCGCCGAGGAGAGCGATGAATTGAAANGGTATTTGCAAGTACTGGGTACCAAGGGTGTCGAAGCCGAAGGAGCCGACGATGATGGAGGTGAACNNTGTTTTGTCTTTGCATCAGTTTCTGCTCTTTTTGCCCTTCTTAAGCACAACACTTACACTCGTGATAGCAGAGTTAGGCACCTGAGCACCCACAGCCACAATAAATAAGATCCAAGTCTTTGGATCTTGTAATGTCTGCACCAATTGATATTTCTTGAAATGGGTGTTCTTGACTCCTTGTCTGTTACTGGCCACTCTCTCCACCGCAACATATCTTTCTCGCTCGGTCAAAAACTTTGCGGTCGAGGGAATGTCGGGAAGAAACACGAGCACCACAATGCCCCAGACGATACTGATGCTGCCGAAGATGATGAATACGTACATCCAGCGTTCGAGAGAGCCGGTGGTTATGTGACCGATAGCATAGCCTAGAAGACCACCGATCATGGTTGCTATGCCGTTGGTGCAGTAGTATGCTTCGAGACGGAGGGGTTGTTCGGCAGCGGTCCACCACATGCCNTGGTAGAAAACTTGTTAGGGCGAGTCTGATAGAGACAAACGTTGTCATTTACCCATGATGAGCACGAATCCAAGGTTCACAACAGCCTCGAAGGTACCTAGTAGGAAGCGATTCGTTGCTACTCCAGAGAAGTTGGTGCATGCCGGTGTGGTGATCAGGATGATGCCCCAGACTATNACCTACCACATTAGCGATACGCAAGGAGATACATATGCAACCAACCACTCACTGATAGTCGTGGTACCAAGAAACTTCGCAATGGGCAATTTCTGCAACAAGCAACCTCCAGGGAATTGGCCCTAGAGATATCCAAAATAGAAGATGGACCCCAGCCAGGAGTACTGTTGATTATGCAGATGCGTGCCCTTGTGAAAAATATACGCAGCGGCAAAGTTTAACGAGTTCTTGTCGAGGTATTGGAGGAGGTAGACGACGAAAAGGATGGGAACGATCCGCATATCGATCTTTCGGAGTACTCTCTTCACTTCGGCCGAGTCAATTGGCGAGCCCTCATAGCTTTTGTAGGCTTCGTAGCTGGCGTCTAGATCTGCGGTCGAAGCTGGAGAGATCCGTTCTTTGACGTAGGGATCTGGCTGGGCTTTCTTGTCGTGATCGGACATGATTGCAACGAATGCTCAGGGAGCAGAACAGATGATCCAGGTGCAACGACAGTGGAGGAACGTGAACACAGAGGAAAAGACACGAGATTTCAAATGAAGGACCTACATCACTTTTCAAGCAAGAAACTCGTGCTTCGGTACTTGCACCTTGGCTAGCATGTTGATTAGAACAAGCGGGTCGTCTTGACCTAGGCCTCGTCAACGAGACGACTGTGACAAGCAATTGATGAGCTTGATACAGGCTGCCTGAGTCAAGTTGGACTGCCATTGGTTATGTTGTCCTTCTGAGTATTCTCTGGAAGTGTAGAAGGCTGATCACGACATCGAAGGGTGGATGATGCGACGTTGGCAACACCGTGTCAGCAGCAACTCAAAGAACATCCACTCGGGAGATTTTCTACATAAAGCGGTACCAATATAACTATACATGTCAGATCGACAAGAGGCATCCTGACGATGTAGTCGATGTTTGTTTCGGGGTGTGTTCTGCCATAGCTATCGGCTGTTGTGTTGGATTTGCACATGAATGTGGACGACTTCCCTCACGATCAGTGATAACGCTAACCTTGAACCATAAAACACCCAAACCTTCACCAGAATGAACCAAGCTGCACTCAGATAGTGACTTGACTCAGTCGGTTCTATGAGCATAACCAGAGTATGAGATGATAACCACGAAAAGCGAGAATGCTCATTCTTTTTTGGACGTAGTTGTAGGTACGACCCTGATCTTCGGGCCATCATTCCACCGAAGCTCTGGCTCCGGGGTGGCATCAAGCTGTCAGTTCAACACTGCCTTCTGGGACACCTGCAGAGCTCTTGAGACGCCTAGCAAAGAATTGCATGATGGGATACATCTCGTCACGACTCCTAGGCATTGTGTCTCCAGACCTTTTGTAGCGATTGAGCTGGACGGACTCAAATACTGCCTTGAACTTGTCTTCGGCCGATGAATTGACCCAAGGGCTGTCATTGCCTGAGCAGACCAAGATTGGAGTCTTGCATTTCGGAGAGAGAGAAGCAGGAGCTTCACTGGGCAAAGGGCCGCCGACACTGATGACACCGCCTAGCTCTTTCTCCATACTTACTNNAGGAGACGTGTCAAGTTTGTCCAGATTCTGTTCGTGAGATAATGACCTACCTGCAGTATTGAGAGCTACCATACCACCTTGGCCGAACCCAAAGAGCATCAACTCACGAGGTTGATAGCCACATTTCTTGACCAAAGTGTCCTCGATGATTTCCTTGATAAGTCTTGGAACAACCTTCTGGAAGCCACCGTCAGGATCGATAGTACCGACCGTGTTGTCGAATATGACATCGTCACCCCAGTGGAAAGACGACGCTTCGAAGGGAAGAGGTTCAGGAGCTTTGATAGAGATGCATGCTGTCTCGGGGAGATTCATCTGAGTGCCAAGCTGGGCAAANGGAAGATGGGCATCGCCCAAGCCATGGAGGAGAATGAGGATATTGGTCGGTCGTTGCGAGCTCGGAGCTGAATGATGTGTTAGCTGGGGGATATGATGTCGACGTGGTCCTGGCGCATGCAGGACGAGGCGGTGAATGAACGGTTTGTGGCAGTGGACATGAGTATCACACCAGGAGGGCAGAGTACGAAACTTACGAGGAGAGACGGTCAAAGTCCAGTTGGACGGGAAGTCGGAAGTTGTAGGCAGTCTCTTGCTGGTCGACATGTTGATAGTGTAGCTCTACTGACACGTTCACCGGCGTTGTTTGTTGATGCGGACTTTTGCCTCGCCGATGCTTGCCCTTCTCAGCAGCTCGCTTCCGTTTCTCGAATCCTGCCGACATTCCCGTTTCGTGGCGCTGCACCGCCACAGCACCGCCGATCCCCAATGCTTAGCCGCCTTGTTTACGCCAATCCGGCTTGGCCCTGGGGAAGGGTTTCTACATCATCGAGGGTTGATGGCAAGATCAACATGAAAACCGGTCGAGCCACAGGTAAACACGTACGAAGTGACGCTGCTTGACGCTGGTAGCGTGCAGTCTCCTGTTCATCTTTCCAAGGGCAACACAGGGCCAGCTCTGAGATTGGTCAAGGTATTCTTAGTAGCAGTTTAGCCCCGCTTCGTCTTTGAGTTCGGTTCGCCGTGAACAAGGAGGATCTAGATTACTCGTTTCACCTACGAGCTTCAGGGACAGCCGCGTCATCACTTGACCAGTGAAGCCACATCATGGAAGCTCGCAGTAGCTGAGGGAGCTGTGAGCGAATAGGTGGGGCAGTCGTGCAAGGCAGCTTCCTTCTTGATGACAGCAGCTATAAAGCTCGACGACAACCCCTCCCTCCTTCTTTCTCTTTCATCAACACGAGCTTCATTGCACCACTTACACCTTTTCCAATCAAACCTTTTCACATTACATCAATCACAATGTTCGGCTGGGGTGAGGAACACTTGAAGACCATCATCATCCATCAGGCAGACTAACAGTCCCCAGGTGAATCTTCCGACGCCTACCAACAGGTCTACAACGACGACCACGAGGGTAAGCTCTCCCACGAGCTCCTCGCTGGTGGTGCCTCGTTCGCTGCCATGCACGCCTTCGAGGAGAGACAGCGCAAGGAGGGCAAGCCTGTCAACCACGAGTTCGCCAAGGAGCTCATTGCTTCCTTTGCTGGTGCCGAGGTCGACAAGCTCTGCGAGACAAAGGGCCTTGACTACGTCGACAAGGAGAAGGCCAAGCACCAGGCCAAGAAGAACGCCGAGGCCCTCTACGATGACCAGGTATGCACTCACAGATCAATGCTCATTGGAGTAGAAGTTAACCTCGATGATAGTNACGGCCAGTACGATCAGTACGACCCCAACCAGCAGGGTCCTCCCCAGCACCTCCAGCAGCAGTTCGGTGGTTACGACAACTACTAAACGACTCAACCTGGTCTCTTGATGAGCACAGGAACGAATGTATGATGATCAAAGCATGAATACCAAACAATGATTGCAACTAGGCAGTCCAAATGAAAACAGTCATACCCAACTCACTCATGTCCCATGTGCTGTAACTTGTGAATCAACAAAGATTGTCATGTAAGAACAACGAAGCTATGGGAAGCGTCTCCGACGATTGGCCAATGGCAGAGCGATGACATGACACGCTTTCCAAGTTTCCAGCCGCAAATTTCCCCGGGAAAGCCAGAGCCTGCCAAGAGGTTGGGTCTCTCAATCTATGCAAGGAAAACACAGAGATAAGAATATTCCTAACCTGGTTCTGTGCCGCAAGGACATGGCATTGATATGAAGCTGCGACAGGCACACGAGCAACCATGAAGTTTGCAAAGTAAGTTGCCTCGACAAGCGCTCAATCCTACCAACACAGACTGACGAATCGGTGTTAAGAGAACTAGAGGCTGACCTGGTACCCGAATGGCGGGCCAAATATCTAGATTACAAGGTTTGCGCTTCAACACTCATGCCGCGGACAGCGCTGCAAGCACACGAGTTGACACCCCAGTAGCAAGGAAAGAAGAAACTCAAGGCTGTTGCACGCGCTCTGCAAAAAGTCGAACGTACAAGCCAGTCCGATGGCCGACGCGACTCTTCTCCGCTTGCGACTTTCGGCAAAGCTCCCTTCTACGCCTTCCTGAACCGACCTACGACCAGAACCAGTGAAAGAAGAGCCAGTAGTGGAGATGTGGGCGCTGTCTCTCATCCCACAGAAGACGATCAGCATGGCTCCACGACCTCGGCCATGCCCATTCCCGGCGCAGAAGACGCAGAAAACACTCCTCTACAGATACACGGTGATGGAAGACACATGACACGCTATGGGAGTATCATCGGCTCTCCACCAAACCTCGACAGTCTGCCCAAGGCTCCGCGCCGAAGCGAGGAGTCCAACAGATCGTTGAAACTGCCTGGTCCCGCTCTGGGCACTCCAGCTCGTCGCAGCGCCATGCGTCAGGAGTCTTCTGGTAGCGCATACCAGGTGGGCGAAGAAAAGCACCCAAAAACCCCAGCTTCACACTCCCTTCTAGGTACAAAAGCGTGTTCCAGCCGAAACGAGTCAATTCCATGCCTGGCGTCCGGGACGCCCAACCTACCCGACCACCCACTAGGAGAATGTTCAGCGGCTTGCGTGGCAGCGATGCCTCACACGACGACATCGCTCTCGAGGCCTATCGAGAAATTGACGTTCGCCAATCTCAGTTCTTCTTCTTCTTGGACAAAGAACTGGCGAAGATCGAGGAGTTTTACAAGCAGAAAGAGGATGAGGCCACCGAACGACTCAAGGTCTTGCGAGAACAACTTCACATGATGCGCGATCAGCGCATGGAGGAAATCCTCTACGCAACCTCTCGGATCAATCGGCCCTCACACAGTACGGATCTGCTGTCCAACGGCATGATATCTAGGAATAGCACTACTGGAGGCGAAGAGTCCCAGCTCATCAAGAAGAACGGACCCATGAAGAACGGCTGGGCCAAGGCGGTCAACGGTCTTCCTGGTAGGAAGCGGGTTCCACAATCGGGCAAGACCTTTGAAGCCATGAAGCAATTGAGTACCCCGAGTGGTCCACGTGCAATGGACGACAGCAGAGACTACACTCGTAAGGGAGGCCATCCGGAAGTGCCTTATAGAACTGCTAAGCGCAAGCTGAAAATTGCTCTGGCCGAGTACTACAGAGGCTTGGAACTGCTCAAGTCGTATGCCCTACTGAACAGGACAGCCTTTCGCAAGATCAACAAGAAATTCGACAAGACCGTCAACGCTCGGCCATCAGGCCGATACATGGCCGAAAAGGTCAATAACGCATATTTCGTTAGCAGTACGATCGTGGATGGTCACATTCAAGCCGTTGAAGACATGTACGCTCGCTACTTCGAACGAGGTAACCACAAGATCGCCGTCGGCAAGCTGCGCGCCAAAGTCGCCAGAATGGGTGACTACACTGGGAGCGTGTTCCGTAACGGAGTCCTTCTGGCTGCAGGTACCGTCTTTGGTATCGAAGGTGTAGTTTATGGTACCCTGCTGTTGAACGATCCGAACCCAACCGTCGTTTCACACACGTCTTACTTGCTGCAGGTACGTTGTAGATTACTCTACGGCTTGCTGTATTGTGTGCTAATCTACTACGCAGATCTATGGCGGCTATTTCTTGATGTTGTTCCTGACCTTGCTCTTCTGTTGTGCATGCAGAGTCTGGTCCCGGGCCAAAGTCAACTATTCGTTCATCTTCGAGTTCGACACTCGGCACCATGCGGACTGGCGACAACTTACAGAAGTATGCTTTCTCATTCTCATCTGCAAACACTGCTGACCTCGATTCAGATTCCCGCCCTCCTTGGATTCATTTTTGGTCTAACAATGTGGCTCAATTTTAAGCACTTCTCGGGCACCCATTCATTCTATGTCTGGTGGCCAGTCGTTCTCGTTTGCGTTTCGGGTCTTATTCTTTTCAATCCGTTCCCTATATTCTACCATCGTAGTCGTCTGTGGTTTGCTTACTCAACCGTAAGTCATCCCCTTGGGAGAAACGACGTACAAGCTGACATATGCAGTGGCGACTGTCCCTTGCTGGACTCTTCCCAGTCGAGTTCAGAGACTTTTTCCTGGGCGACATGTTTTGCTCGCTAACATACGCTCTTGGCGTAAGTCTTTCTGAATAGCACAAGATATCAACCAGCTAATTTCAGACAGAATATTGAGCTCTTCTTCTGTCTGTACGCCAATGACTGGAACAACCCAGCACAATGCAACTCATCGCACTCACGACTCCTCGGGTTCTTCCAAACTCTACCTGGTATCTGGCGTGCTCTTCAATGTCTTCGCAGATATGCCGACACGAGAAGTCTGTTTCCTCACATGGCCAACTTTGGAAAATACATGTGTACCATTCTCTACTATATGAGTTTGAGTCTGTGGCGTCACAACAAGACCGAACAGTTTCGCATACTGTTCATCTTCTGGGCGACCATCAACGGTGTCTACTGCAGTGTCTGGGACATTGTCATGGATTGGAGTCTGATGGACCCCTACGCAAAGCATCCATTCTTGCGAAATACCCTAGGCTTCAAATACGCTTGGTGGTACTACGTCGCGATATTGATTGATCCCCTCCTTCGCTTCAATTGGATCTTCTACGCCATATACGGGCATGAGACGCAGCATTCTTCGATCATATCCTTCCTGATTGCATTCTCTGAGATTTTTCGACGTGGAATGTGGCAATTGTTCAGAGTCGAAAACGAACATTGCACCAAGTATGTTGCGCAAACACACCAAGACGACAAGTCATATGCTAACACACTTACAGCGTCACTCGTTACCGCGCATCGCGAGATGTGCCTCTTCCATACGAAGTCAGCAAGACGGAAGCAGAAGTTGAACCGACCGAAGAGGTCGAAGGCAGACAGTCGGCAGATGATCTCGAAGCACAGCGACCTGACAGCGTTACACTTACGCCTTCGACAGCGACTGGAGTCGACCCAGCACGCAGAGCATCCAACACTGATCTGTCGTCGTCAGGCTCCATCCGCCAACGCAAAAAGATCGGGACACATGGAGCGTCGCCAATGGTCAGAGCAATCACCAGGGTCGGTACATTGTTGCGCGCATCGCACGCTCAGGACTTCGAACGCCGCAGAAAGTCAGAGGTTCCGCACACGCTTGAGGACGATGATGATGACGACGATGACAGTGACGAGGATACTGGTGCTACAATCGAGGAAGATGAGAGGGATGGAAGTTTCCACCGGTCACAGAGCAAGCTTGGCAGTGACAGTAATGGAAACGGCAAGGCGCCCAAGCAGAAGGGAAGCGATGATGAAGATGTTGTGGGATCGGCATCAGGCTCAGGCGGCGAAGGAGCAAGCAGCGCGTCGGACGATCAGGCCATTGCCGAGGCAAGAGTGCTAAGTAAGGGAGGATAGCGTCCTGAATGGCAGTTGGGTAGAGAGTCGTGGCATGAGTAGTTAACGATGCCACTGAAGTATACCGTCCCTATGGATTTGTTTGTCGTGTTTCAAGGGCGTCGGAGAATTGACTTGTCAAAGTTTCGACGACCGTGCGCCGTGTCTCAGACTGACACAAGCAGACAGGAACAGGGCAGGCGCGATGCGGGGACGTGGGCCGAGGGGTGCGAGGAATGAAAAGCAGACGGATTCAGGGGAAGGTGCGCGCGTATCGGCATCTCAGGGTGCAACCACCTGTTCGTGGCCCGTGACTGCCCTGTGTGTATCTGAGGAAGATGGCTTTCTAAGAGACGCGCTCCTTCCTAAACTTCAATCAACCTCAGGCTACGCGAATACTCATAGAGAGCCGCAATCATGGGCTTCTTCAAGCACCTCCGCGCAAAGTCACATAACAAAGGCAGCGATAGCAACAACAGCAGTCCGAAACACTCTTCACGATCTCCCCTTGCTGTTCGCCCTGGACGTGACTTTGCTGCCAAACTACCCAATGACATACTCACCAAGATCATGGTGCAGGTCGCGCCGCATACCCAAGATTCGACATTCGAGCCTAGTGAGAGGTCGACCGTCGGCGAGGGGTGTATGCTGTGCGACTTGAGGGATCTAGCCAAGGCAGGTCAAGTCTGTCGCCGCTGGTATAACGCTGCTGCCACTGTCNTTGTGAGTCCTCTTCGCAATACTAAATCACAATACTAACTACTGGCCAGATACAGCAGCGTCCGCATCGATGCCGTCCACTATTGCGAACTCGAGGAGATCCTCGCCGAAAGGAGACAGAAAAAGACATTCCTCAAGGCTCCCATCGAGTCCGGCGATGTTCCCACAATCAGGTTGGCTCTATTCTGCCGTACCGTACGAGAGAATCCGAATCTGGCACATGGCGTGACTATGCTCAAGCTACCATACATGACGCGAGAGACAGCAAAGGCCGACCTTGCCCGCACCATATCCGTCCTGCCCAACTTGAAATACGTCGATCTGCCCGACGGAGCTTTCAATGGCGACCCGAACTGTATGCCTCTGGTCCATGAGCTACAGGCCCGCTGTCCCGATATCCGCAAGATGAGCTACAGATCAGGTTCCGAGGGCTCGTTTGAACAATTAGCTCGTCGCAACTGGCAAGGACTAGAGATTATCGAGATCTCGGGCATCCACGTTGAACCCAGCACGCTGCGTATCGTCCTCGGTTCTTTGCCAGCTCTGCGCGAACTCACCATGATCGATCTGCCATGGCTGGACGACACCATCTTCTACCAATCTCCAATGCTTCCGGACTTCCCTGCTCTGAACACACTAGCTTTCGAAAACACTCCTAGGATCACCGCCGAGGGCATGGGTGTTTACTTTGAAAAACCACTCAACCGCAACACTCTGCAGGACCTTTCATTGAACGGCACTGGTATCGACCCAGTCCACCTCCACCACTTCTTGTTCGACGCTTCCTCTCTACACTCCCTATCCATCGTCGAAACTGTATCCAACTCTCTCGCTCTCTCGCTTAACGACCTGCCACCTCTCGAATCCATCTCTCTCAAGGTGCTCCATTATGAACTCACCGACTCAGAAGATGCCCATGGCCTACAGAAACCCGCAGCCTCATACTACGCATACCTGGCTCAGTCACTACACGCCAACGGTCTGCCTGCTCTTTCGCAGCTCTACGTTCGTGATGCCGATTTCGCTGAGATCATGCTGCTACCCGCACCACCGACACCCTTCATGGACGGAGGCGGCAACCAACGTCAAAGCGTCGTTGGAGCTATGAACCCTCCCCGCGGTCTGCATCAACCTCTAGAAGTCTTCTCCAAAGGTCTGGACGAAGTCGAGTGGGCGTTCACAGCTTACGAACCACCACCACCATCTCACGGCCGCCATGGATCCGGTAGCAGTGGGCGCCCACAGAGCTCATACAATTCTGCTCGTGGTCTCGGTCCTCAATGGGCACAAGGCGGCTTCGGTGGCGATGCACGTAAGAGTGTGATTGTCGGCAACGGCTATGGCGGTTTCCTAGCACTCCCGCAAGAAGAGCAATCACGACCACGATCGTCAGCCGGCCACATGTCTCGTAGCTGGGGCGGCAGTGGCAGCAGTCCTGGAAACGGAGGCGGTGCACTCGCTGCTCTTGCTACCATGGGCACGAGTGTTGGCAGCGGTGTTGGCGGTATTGGCAGTCGTGGCAGTTGGCTCAAGCCTCCACCAAAGATTCCTGGTGCTGAGAGCAATGGTCACAAGCGTGCTAATAGTCGACAGGATCTCTGGCGATGAGGAATCTACGACACTTTTGTGCCCCCTTTGGTATGAGATATCTTGTTTTTTTCTTCTGCTTTGGATAGACAAAAACCTAGAAGTCTGCAACCCGGGCTTTGTGGTCGTTATGTTTTCCACCATCATCAACACGCTTTGCTAGCATTGTGTTTTTATGCTAATGTCTTGGAGTCGGGTGTCTCTTTGGGTGCACCATGTGTTTCTGCTCCGCTCTTTCCTCACAAAAAACAACCATTTTTTTGCTTTTTTTTTGTTTTTGTTTTCCGCCCCTTCTGAATATACCCACAAAGCTAGCCTACGCAAATTCTTTTTTGCAAGAGAAATACTTATACAACTTTACTACCTCAAGGATTTGTCTCCAAGTGTGAATCGAATTCTAGTATCCCCAAGAGTTTTTGGGGGCGAAAAGAAGGTCAGGTGCAAGAGAGAGAGAGAGAGAGAGAGAGAGAGATTTCAACACCCGAAAAATGAAAAGTATGACTTGAACTCTCCACCCCGTCGTTACCAAATCGTAGTTTTTTTACTTTTCCGCTCAAAGACTTGATTTTGGCAGAATGGACAGTTCCCTTTGTTTTTGTCATCACCAGCGTCTGATTGGTTATGGGTAGGCGCTGGTGTGGTAGTATCAACAGCCATGTCAAGTGATTTGGAAGAACCCTGTATTCAAAAAAGGCGTGTGTGGAAAGGTCATCATTGCCATAATCTTCCGGACACTAGAATACCGCGCATGTCAAGCACCACCGAGTCTGAAGCCCAGCACCTCAACCGCAAAGATGTCATCCCTATCCTGTTGACTCAGATCCTTCTTCTTGCCAATCTTTCTCACGAGCTCTTGTAACGCATCCGCCAACAGCGATACCCTTGTTTTCAACTCTTGTCTCTGTTTCCAAAGCTTGTTCTCGTCGTGCGTGTCCGTCTGTACATTCAAGATGCAGGTAAAGACATCATTGATGAGAGCGCGTAACTTGTCATGGCGAGAGCGGAGAAACAGGCGCGAGCGAATCGTGTCGAGCATGTCGTCATGTATGTTGCGCAGGTGAGAGATGCCGAACGTGACTCGCTGGCCAAATGTTCCTTCTGCATCTTCGATTGCAAGATCTGCTTCTATGCTGTCGAGCGTGCGCTGTAGATCTTTCCACGGACCAGCGACGGCAACGTCGAAGAAGTAGGATGCGAGACCGGATGCACAGCTCCAAGCTTCATGGGCAAAGGCTTGTATTGCAGCGGAACTATGCTTTTGTTGTGCAGTGCTGCGGAGCAGTGTAGAAAAGTGCAACATCCTGAGTACTCCCAACAAGACGCGGAAACAATCGTCGTATTTGGCCATTGCAGTGTCATCCAATATCACATTCAGCGGTGTTGAAGCCTCGTATCGCAATCGTAAAAAGTCAAGCGCGTGAATACTGTTGGCATCCAAGCATTTCTCGATCTCCTCGTCGCCGAGTTCACGGATAGCAAAAGAGAGATTGCCCGGGATATCGTTAGAGCCATAGGCTTCAGACAGCACGCCCATCAATCCGAGCCTCAATTCTGAAGAGGCGGGTGGCCATTGTTTGGCGCGATTGTCCAGGCGTAAGCCACGTGCATTGGACTCTAAAGAGAACAATGCCGTCGTAAGATGTTGAACGAACAGGCCGTTACCGAGGAGATGGAATGAGTGGTTCAAGGCGAGATTTTCACGGAGGGAAGATTGGCGGAAGAAGAGACGCAGAAGGGTACCGTTGAGCAGGCGACTTTGGACCTGAAGATAGGGCTCAAGGTGATTCAAGGTCTTCGCAAGATGTCGCAGGTCGAGAGTCGAGGCCTCCTGAGTTTTACGAGCCTCAAGAATATCCGTAGTCAAGGTACGGATGTTAGAAGTGTCCATGTTAACAGGTGGTTCAGAAAAGCGGGTTCCCACGTCCTCGAAATAGGTCTGCTGGCCTTCATCGAGGCTCCATGGCAATTGCTCTGATACAAGATGGTGTTCTTGCGGTCTGGTATCTGCGTCAGGCGATTTTGAGCCTCCACTGTTATACTTGGATATGGCGACAAGCAGGTCTTCTTGATACTTGTTTGCCTTGTCGACAATACGATCAACATCGATGGCTGTAGAGGACAACTCCAGGCTGGGACTATCGACACCCCAAACATCAGGATATAAGAGAGGATGATCAGGTGCAGAGTCACGCAGCACAGCGATGCCAGTCATGACTTCCGTGATTTGGGCATTGTCCTCTGCGGAGACATGAGCGCTGCGCTCTCCAATATCATCCTGGATGGGCAAATCAAAGTGGTGATGGGTAAGACCAGTCTTCTGGCAGATGGCCTGGAACCATGGCCGAGAGACTGCATTCAGTATCTCTGTGTGGAGCGAGTGAAATGGAGAGCAAGCGCAGGTGAAGAGATCGATAGTACCGTGACAGGCAGACAAGAAAGCTGTATCAGTGGTTGCACGAGAGGTGGAGGAGATCAGCTCTTTCAGCTCGGCCAAGAGAACAGCTGGGGCATCGAAGCACGCCAGCAGTCGTAGGCAAGATTCGGCAGTCAGGACGCGGTCGGACAAGTTCTGATCGAGAGCTTCTAGCACAGCTTGTATAGTGGTTGCAAGAGCAACACGAGCAGCCAAGGGGTGTTTGTTGGCGTATGAAGACATGGCAAAATGCCTCGCGTCAACGAAAGCACAGCCGACGGTGGTCAGTCGACGGACGATGCTGTCGAAAACGGTGCTGCTCAAACCAGACAGTCGAACATTGTCAAGAGTAGGCACAAAGGTGTTGGCTTCTTTCTTCCATTGATACAGGGTGGAGGACCTGCCCAGACCAAGGAGGGCTAGGCATTTGAGGGTAAAGGCGGATTGGAGGAGGTTGGTGTCTTCGGGCTGCAGGGCGTCGAAGGCGCGCGGGCCAGCGTCGGACAGGTACGAGACGGGCGACTCTGTGTGGTCATGGTGGGCGAAAGCTTCCCATGTGCGCAGAGGGACAGGGTTCGTGGATGTAGTGAGGTCGAGCTTCCACAAGTCGTCAAGATGACTGGGAAGGCTTGTCGTCGCGCTTTGGTCGGGCAGCGAAGGACTTTGAACGGGCTCTTGACTGGCGTCGAGGTCGGTAAGGGTGCCGAATTGGAAGGCGTGGATGTCTGGAAGTCGCAGTTCGGCATCGAAGTGGTGGTCGATCAAGGGCAATACNTGTGATGGATGAGTGATGGTCCATGTGACGGGCAGCGCGTCGTGCTTACCCAGATGGCTGTCGCTGAACAGAGTCTGCCCAGGCTCATCGGGCAGACTGAATGCAGACTTGCGCCAGAAGTCGGCCACGTCAAACGGGCCATGGTCGCCTTCCATGCCATGGGTCGTTGTTGATGAAGTCGACGTCTTCACGCCGTCTCGGAGGGAGCTGACGCGAGCCCGACGCGAGCCCGTTTGACCACATCTAAATTCCACATGGCCATTTCCTAATCACATCTTCACAGACACTATCGACAAGAGGGACCATCCTTTACGTCTTGCTAAAATCCACACTAAAACACTCTGATCGACCCATCTACGCCCATTTACCAAGCACGCTCATCAGCACCAACCCGGCAACCAAACTGACACCGGCCGGAACGACATGCCTCATCGGTGCTCTACTCAGCTCTCCATGCATCCAGTCGTGCGCCAACATCTCGACCAATCCCACATAAAGAAGTATACCAGCACTCAATGCGTCCAACGTACCAATCGCGATTATGGTCGAAGGATCATTGCCATTGAACTGATTCAGAACCCCAATACCTATGGCCATGCCGATTGGTGTCACCACGGCAAACGCTGTCGCCATAACCACCTTTTCCACCATTCTGACTTGAAGATCGCTGATGCGTGAGCCAAGCGCCAGGCCTTCGAACATCTGATGGAAGATGATCACAATGAACAGAGTGATGAACCCGGAATCGCCAGCAACGACGAGCGTGAGACCAATGACNTGCTTCTTGTCAGCAAGAAATCATCGACATTGGCCATGGTGAAACTCACGCAGCGAGTGGAAGATAATCCCAGCTTCCATGATGTTGACCTTGAGTTTTTGCAGAGCAGGAGACTGTGTATGAGCATCTCCGGAGTGTACGAGGTGGTGACCAACAGAGGTTTCAGTAGTATCTGCTCCTTTCGGTTCATGACTTTGCTCGGGTGATGGCGATGAGGGAGCAGTATGCTTTGACACACGCCAGAGAAAAACCCTGGCTCCGACATACTCAGGAACGAACGAGATGACGATACCTGCCATCACGATAGCTGCAGTGGTAGCCTCGTATTTGAGGCCACCCAGACAGTGGTTTGCAAACATGAGTTCTGCATGGGTGAAAAGCNNTGGCAACAGTCAGTATCTGAGTTGCTTGTGTACAGCATAACGACTCACATGTACGAGTGCGGTCGAGATGATCACACCAGTACCAAACTGCTTGATGATCGACATGACAATACTACCACGCTTGAACCTACCAAGCGAGAGGAAGATTGGCCCGAAAACACCAATAGATGCGGTGGCAAGGATGGCAAACACGAGACCGATACGCAATGGAATATTGTAGTCGCGTTCGACAGCTTCACAAGTTCCCTCTACAGTGTTGCCGTTTGCGTCAACACAATGCNNCTGTTGTATGTCAGATCAGACCAGAATTGCAGAAATCGTCTGGACTCACTCCACACCTGCGTGGAAATGACAACTGACGCCATCAGCCGAAACCTCTCCAGCTGGCTCTTCTCCGTCTGCCGTTTGTACTTGGGCAAGGACTTCACCACCAGCAGGAGACATGCAGAAACTGTCACTGTCAGATATGGTGCGTTAGTGGTGCCAAATACGACTTACAGTTGTGAGCCATGTGCATGGCAAGCTGTGTACNTGGGAAGGTAGTTCTCCAGTCGCTGTCGTTGGAGTTTTCATCAGATACTCTGTAGCACTCGGGCCCATACAGAATTGCTGGGTCTCATGCATATGGCAAGCGCTAAGTGCTGTCACTTTGGGCGTCTCTGCAGCACCAGTAGCTGCGACTGATGTTACTGCTGGAGAAATTGTGCCGCTTTCATGTTCTCCGTGAGAATCTCCATCGTGGGAAGCACCTTCGGCAATAACCTCGACTTCTTCGCCTTGAGGATCGAAACAAAATCTGTTGTCGTTAGCTGGTGGCTAGTCAGGTGATGACTTGAGACACTCACAAGTCAGTTCCGTGAGCATGGCATCCGATATATTCTGATGGCAGTTCTTCAGTCGCCGTGGCAGTAGTNNCAAGACTTCGTACTCTGCATCTCCAGCGAAACAGAACTGGGTGTCACCATGCATGTGGCAACCGGTGATTGCAGTGGGAGCAGCAGTCGCTTCTGCTTGTGTTGTACTGGGAGCTGGAGTAGACGAAGGTGCTGCTGTCGCCGTACTACTCAGAGTCGTCCATGGTACTGTTGTGCCATCTCGAAAGCAGTTCNNCTGGAAATTGTTCAGCTTGTGTCTCAGGTTCTTGAGGGGATGTACCCACACTACGCCACTCCGTGTAGCACATGCTGTGAGTGAAAATGTCCTCAACGATTGCGCATGCACGAGAGCAGCTCCGATTGAGAGCAGAAAGAATGTATAATGCATCTTGATACAACGAGTGATCTGGCGAAGTATTCCGTTCCGGATTTTCTCTTTCGCCAGATGACACATGCTTCTTTATATCCAGCACAACGTTAGAGATACTTGGTTGTCGTCCGGTTAAAAATCTTCACTCTGCAGGTAGAGTATTGCTCCACCATGTTCACTCAAACTTGGCGAGAAGCACGATGACCATGCCTTATTGCCACGTTTGGAAGGTTTGATCCTGACCCAAGACCTGCAAAGCATACCAAGAGCCTTGGAAACGCCATGTCGAGAGTGCTGAACAACAGTATTGCTGCAGACTGGAGCTTACACTGCCTCACTGTTGAGAAGCAAAGTGTTGCTTGGCTACCTTGATGGCCAATGCCAAGGTATGGGTTTTCTTGCGACCTGGATCAGAGTGGAGACTCCACCGACACNNCGCTACATACTGTAATCTTGGCTGACAGGCATTGTGTGAGTATCTCTAAAGCCATAGTGTAATGCTTCGGTCTTGGTAGAGGTATTTGCTTGCTCAACATCCTTCACGGCTGNNGCCTTTTTCGCTCGAATTGGCCCGGGATGTTGACCACTCGGGTGTTTCTGGGCATTTGGGATTCGGGCAAAGATGTCCCAACGCAGACTCGTCANNTGTCTGCAGTGTGCATGTCAGTGGTCTGCTATAGCCGATACTTNNTAGAAATGTAAGTATATAAAGCGTCAAGGAAGGTACAAGTCTATGGAAAGAAAAGCATCAAAGCATTCAAAGCACTTCAGACAATTCTTTTAACGCTTCTTCCCTCTCCATTCCGACAAGATGCGCACTCAATTCCTCATCAGTGCAGCACTCGCCGCCCTCACCACCGCCTCCCCCGTCCTCATAAACAGACAACTCACCACCGTCACCATCTCAGGCACAACACCAACATCCTACCCCCAACCCGTGACCTCAATCCGAGGCTTTCCCATTCACTCCTCCTGCAACGGCACTGAAAGAAACCAATTGGAAAAAGCCCTCGGCGATACCATAAAACTTGCTCGTCAAGCCGCGCAACATGTTTTATCCCATGGCAGTACTTCTGAGTTGTATGTCAAGTACTTTGGCAATGCGAGTAGTGCTGAAGTGGTTGGTTGGTATGAGAAACTCGTGTATGGGGACCACGAGGGTGTGTTGTTTCGTTGCGATGATGTGGATGGGAATTGTCAGCAGGAAGGTATGGTTTTGATTCCTCTCACCCACCTCACGACGAGTAACTGATATCTCCAGNGTTGGGGAGGTCACTGGCGCGGTGAAAACGCCACAGACGAAACCGTAATCTGCCCTTTATCCTACACCACACGCCAACCCCTAGAAGCCCTTTGCGGAAATGGCTATACCGTCGCCACCGGCAAACTTGCAACCTACTTTGCGGCAGATCTGATGCATAGACTTTACCACACCACCAAGATTGGTGAGGGCGCAGCAGAACATTATGCAGATTCCTATGCCGAGTGTCTCGAATTGGCAGAGAAGAATCCTGCAGAGGCCGTCCGCAATACGCATACTCTGCAGTATTTTGCGCTGGAGGTTTATGCGGTGGAGGTTGCGTTGCCGGGGAGGGGTGTACAGGAAGAGTTGCTAAGGAGAGCGCTTCTGCTTCTGCTTCTGATGTTCCTGTCGCTTCCTCTGCTTCTTCTGCTGCATCCTCTACCGCCGCTTCCTCTATTGCCAGTACCACGGCTTCTCAAGCCGCGACCAAGACTTCCAGTGCTGCTGCTGTAAGTGTTTTCCCCTTTGCCCCTTCTGACATCGTTTTTTCTTACCGAGATCAACCGCATAGGAATGCCATACCCACGCTGATGGCGAAGTCCACTGCGCCGACACTGGCTCTGCAACCAAGACCACCAGCGCTGGTACTGTGAGTAACCACTTCCTCATTATGAAAGACGAGTATTGTGATGCTAATGTCTCCGGGGGCTTGTAGGAATGTCATACCCATGCTGATGGTGTGGTTCACTGTGCTTGAGTCTACAGAGAAGCCTTCAGTGAGGTGGGGGTGTATGATCGTTGAGCTCTGAGTTTCAGCTGGTGTCAAGCGAAGGCAAGAAAAGTAAGTGCAAGGGTTCCGAGGATCTTCAGAGGATACAGAGAGTAGATAGTACAAAGCGATCAAGATGCGACGGGCTTCCGATGTTGATTGAAGAAGGTCCTTCTTGTATATACACATCGAAGACATACCACATTCATAGAGATCCATGTTGTGCCTTTGGCCGAAGTGGCAGTATGGTGGATTTGGATGTTTGATTGAGTGGACATGAAGAACATACTAGGATTTGAAGATGATCGAAAAAGGTCAGTGTTCTTGTTAATTTGTATACGATCTTATTCTAGCATGGAGGAGACGATCACGCGGGGACTACGATGGCCTTTCGGATCGGAGCGATTTTCTGCTAGCGGCATCTATATTGCTAGAGATCAGAGTATATCTCGTCAGCTGGATGGAGCGAAATCTCTCGGCAGTGGTTGTGATGGAAAGACTGCTATGCAGGTTTGATTAGAAAAATTGCACTACTTTTTGACAACGAAGGGTGGAATTCTGCTACTTGAGCCGAAGAATACAACGCGAAAGCGCGATGTATCTTGTGTGACAGTCTAGCAGAACTCGAACAATAGATGATCGTACAGCACACACAAGACTCCACTGCCATACGCAGGATTCCAAACCTTGAACCGTACGAACCAGCCACACATGCGGCACACTTGCAGCCCACTCAATCCAGTGCACCATGCCTCGCATCTGACTCTCACTTTCATGCGCAGAGGTTTCCTGTATCTAGCGCGGCGAGACTGGAATCTCGTCACTGCTTCGTTGGCAGCAGCCATCCTTTGCACCGCCCTGGTACTGTGATAGTGGCAAGTGTCCAGCTGTTTTGAATCGGGGCTTCTGCAGATGCAACGCATATAAGAACCCGGGCCGTGACCCCTGAAGCCTGGAACTTCGATGTCCATGACAGCGACGATGGGACAGAACTGATATATTTCCCGCGTGATTTGTAAATTTGCGTATAGGATCCCGGTGAGACGTCTGAACTGACTTGAGTCGGTGATGTTGTGTTCTTGATCTGTGATCAGATGCTGGTATACCATGATCCGGATTTCCAGAGGTAGCTTCAAGAAGGGAAAGATTTTTTCCTTCGAGAGTGTTCTCTGACGTTTTGCGCCCATGATGGATGGTCTGCCAAGGGTTTGTAGTTTTACAGAGAGGAGTTGAGAAGGGTGTCGGACCCTGTAGCCACTTATATATTGATAAGGTGTGATGACGGCAATAACGACTGGTTGGTATTCATGATGTAAGGCCACCACGTCGGCAACATGGAAAGATGTCGAACTTCGAGGGTTGTCGAGCCTTTTAATACTGCGAAGCGTCATTTGTGCGAGCGAATGAGTTAGGTGACTCATGAATACCACGTGGGTATGCAAGAACTTACGAGAAAGATTGTTACACATTTCTCGATAAATACCACAAGTCCGCCGTAGTGAGTCTGTAACCTTTGCCCGTCTTCACAACACACCTTACTGGCTACAATACCGTGTTGATGACTCGATACGAGGAAACACATTCATTAGTGCGAATAACCGGGATATCTACGACGATACCAAGTGGACCTGTTGTTAGCTTCTCGTCGCTCAACCAAGGCGAAACTAATGTCAGACGAATTACCGATCCAAGGAACCAATACAGATACTTCCTCGCTCCTGGAACAACTCCCACCGGAGTTGCGATACATGATCTTTACCCACCTGTTGACAGATCCGGCCGAGCAGAAATTGCAACACTCCCTCACGCTGGTTTGCAAACAGACACAAGCCGAGTTTGCGCACACAATCGCGCGTGTCCTTGGGCCAAAGGCTCAGCTGCACATGCGAATCACCAACAGCTCTGCCTTGTTCTCGTTGTTCTACGACTATCCTCGTGCCAACCAAGTGAGGGGACACCACGACATCCCCACAGGCAGTGACGCCGGCTTGATTCGATTTTATACATGGGACACCTTTAAGGCATCTAGTACCGGCAAAGAAATACTATCCTTCACTCGACATGTCCGAGTATGGTTGCCTTACTTGCAGTGGACCTATGACATCGTTTTTCAACCAGGCTCTACACCCAAGATAGATTCGACGAATAATGGCACCGTCGGTGATGCCAGAACGAATGTGGCGCCAGAAGACGCAAGAGCAATGCTTGAGGCCACAGCTGAAAAGTGGCGATCCAATGATGCAGCCACTTCTGCTGCATGGGCTGATGCCTTCGCCAAGGACTTGAGGAAGGAATGGAGAGCTCTGCGTGATGAAGCAAAGAAGGAAATGTCGCGTGTCGAAGCCGTGCGGATAAAAGCTGTGATGAGTGGAAAGATACCTCCGTAAGCAGCAGAGTGAATGTACCAGCCTCTCAGAATATATTTTGATTCGCTGTAGTCATGATGCGATACTGTCAGAACCAGATAGAGATCCGAATAGCTTGATAATTCGCGTAAGAACATTGAATCTCTCCTGTCATGACTCAAAGCTTGGATTGATAGTCGTCGTCGTTAAGACAGAGTTTCTCCACGACATTTGACAGACCAATATAAGCGTGAGAACTGGACCCAGTTGTTGCCCTGACTTCAGCCCAGCGGAACATTAGGATATGCGCATGGTCCGGTCGTCAGTATATTACAGAAGGTCGTCGGCTCGCCCTGCGAGTTCTATAGGCCATGTCACGACTCCGCTGATGGGTGATGGACGACAGAAGGTGACGAGAGTCATGCAAGTTGGAGAGCAGACGGGGTCTGGCAGATGAGTCACCGCCTTCACAAGCCTTGGCATCTGCTTCCTGCCAAACTGAATGCCATCCCGAATAGACAATCACCTCGACATAATCTACATTGTTCCGGCAGCCACGTACTTTGAGAAACTGATGAACTATATCTGCAACAACACGAAAGGCCATCCTCTATAGAGGCAATTCAAGAGCAGTGAAACCGACATCACAAAGAGAAGGATGGTGGCAGAACGCAATGTCTGCCGCTGGCACCGTCTGGCGTGGAGCTAGAGTAGTGTGACAAAACAGAGCTTACGCATCGCATGCGCAACAGAGAGCCAACTGAGCAGGCACTGGGAGTTTGGTAAGACTTGAACTTGTAGTGAATGTTCGAAACGAGTGTATTTCTAGAGCAACAAGCCCTGATAGAACTGTCTACAGGGCTATTGCGAGACGCCGCTAGCAATATTCATGTGTAATGACACGGCAGACTTGAGCAAAATCTTCCCGACCTCGATGTAGTCCTTCTTGTAGCTTGTCCGTAGCTTGGTACCCTCTGGCCTTCTTCTCACATGATATATGGAGTGTGACAGTCTTCATCAGCACAGGACACCTCGTTTTCTCCTTGTCACATAGCTGAACACGATGTCACCCTTTCGCTCCGGCGACTTGATCGTTTAAGGAAGACTCTCGGCACGAGAGCGTTCAAGGATCTGAACAGCGGTCAGTAAGGATTGTAAAGACTGCAAATCAGTGAGTGCACACCGACCTTCTTACCATTCAAGCGAGCACCAACTTCAGAGACATGATACTGGCAACGGCTGACCAGACCCCATTGCTTGCGGGTCAGGCGTTGGGACTGGAAGCCATTCTCGTGACTCGCAGCTCTGTAAAGACGCTTGAACAGGTCTTGAATGAAGTCGGGGTGGAAGCCATCTCCGAAGCGGGACTGGCCATCAATCAAGGCTTCGACATTCTCGTGGGACAGTACGACAATGTCAGTGACGAGTCTGCGAATTGAGACGCCGAGAGGGGTGAATTCGTAGATCTTCTCAATGGTAGAGGTACGAGGGAAGGCGAACTGCTCGTGGAAGAGGGCAATCATCTCGTTGACAGCAACGTTCTGAATGCGTGGGATTCTGTACTTGTTGCCGAAGATGTAGAATTCAGCCATCAAGTCCCAATAGTCCCAGGGACTGATGGAGGGGTTGTCTGAGCCAGCACCGTGGCCGCCAACTCTGTGATCGGTGATCCAGCGAATGAANCCTATAGAAGTAGAGTGGTTAGTCGCTATGGTTTGAGTGTGGGTGGAGTGGACCTACTCGCGAACAACGTCGGGCGAGTCCTCGGGCATTCTGACAATGTTCTCCTGGGCCTCTGTTGACCAAGTGGCTCTGATTGCACCGGCGAAGAAGGATGAGTGGAAAGAGAGGACATCCTTGAACCAGGTGAAGGAGACCTCCTCCTCTCCAACAATTAAGGTCATCATCTTCTCGTGCATGTCGGCGCAGGTAGCAGCTTGGAGCATAACGTTGCTTTTCGATAGTCAGTCAGTGATGGAGACATGTAGTGGATGGCGGGCTACGCACCGAGGCCAGGGACCGCCTGGCTCGTTCCAGCAGCATTTTCTCTTGGGCTTCACAGCCTTGATGGGACGAGCCTGAGGCTTGGGACCGTCGGCGGCGACAGTAACAGTGGTAGAGGTAATAGGTACAGCTGCAGCTTGCCCTGCAGTAGGAGGGACGGCAGCCATGATGACTGTGGTTAACAGATTCAACGAGTGAATAGTGATGGGAAGGGAAATTGTTGTGGTGGGATGTATGCGATGGCGCGCCGCAAAGAGGAAGAGGAGCGTAGAAGTCAAGCAAGCAGAGTCTCGAGCAGAAGACGCGCTGTCGAGGTGTTGGGAATCGGGGAAGGAGAAATGCGAGCCGAGAGGAAGGTACTGGCGCCGTCGTCACTGCCTTGTGCTGGGAAGTTTGGCAGATGGGAGTCTGAGGGGTGTGGCAGGAGCCACTTTGATAGAAAACGTGTACCTACTTACCTTGCTGCACCTTTCATCCCTTCTTTTCGACCTGGATGTTTACCACAGTCCTGTCTGAGGCACTCTCATTTTTTGGCGACCATTCTCACAAGGCGACCATCGACTGAACAGCATGTGAAACACCATTCGATACATCCATGCTACGCTTACAAACAGCAAACGCCTGTTATATGCTGACATGACAGGCACATGGCCGTTAGGACTCCTCAACTCCGTCGAAGAAAGGGTATCTTGTTTGCCCTCAGAACCCACACAGAACCAGAATGACAATGAACCTCTACCAAACACTAAATCCACATTCATGCCGCCTCTTCGACTTCCTCCAGGACCCTTTCTCTTGCTTCCCGGACTTCGCTATTGGCAAGACTGACTTCTGAAGTACTGCTGTTGTTACGACTTAAGATTATGGGCCGCTTGGGCGATCTCTCCAGTCCAGTCGGGGAGTCTGGGTGAGGACGACTCAGTGGTTTCATTGACCCTTGGCTATGCCAGTTTTGCTGTGACTGAGAATGCAACGTCTGCTGCGATGACGAAGATTGCGAAGCAGGAAACTTGCCACCATTACCTGGACTACCACCCATCAACATCAAAGCATCCATGGCGTCTTGTTCGGCTTGCCGAGTTGGCATTGTAGAGCGCACAGGTGGTGGACGAGACTTTGGTGTCGAGGGAATCTGTGCAGGCGGAGAAGAGGCCGAGGGACGTCTGAAGATGCGGGAGTTCTGGGACAAGCCATTCGAGCCTGGACTCGTGTCCGGCAACGACCAAGTGACCATGCCCGCTCCAGAACGTCGTTTCGAGGGAGGTGAGCGGATATCGATCGGTGCACTGGATGCTGGTGGTGAGGCAGCCATACGTGGGTTCAGGGCGGCAGCCAATTGCTCGACTTCGTTGATATTGCGATGTTCCCAGCCATGTTGGACCTTGACCATTGCATATGCCAGTCGAGTTTTGAGTTGAGCAGCAACCTGGAACAACGAGTCAGCGGAGGTCACTCCAAGGACGCGACACAGACTTACCTCGCCTGCCTTGCTACCAGCCGAACTCACACTCTCGGCGCGTGGTCTTTGATCGTTGGGTGTGTCAACAGCCTTGAGAAGGCCGCTGGCAGTTCTCTTGTGTCTTGTTGGGCTGTTTATCGAACTGGTCTGAGATTGCGACGCATCCTCTGGAGTGCGAACTTGGCTACTCGATTGCGACGCGTCATTCTGTTCATGCTCTTGTGGAACGACCGGTACAGTCGATTGTGATTGCTTGTCGGAGAGTGATTGAGTACTTGAAACGGAGTCTTCAGTCTGAGACGATTGCTGAACTTGTTCTCGAGTATGCGATCGGTCCTGTCCATCCTGAGTGGTAGATGGCGGTGGTGGCATGCGCGTCGCGGGGTTTACGGACGGGCCTGACGGATGCATCTCGAAATTTTTACTCACTCCAGGGACCGGTATACTCAGGTCTGGTCGGGTAGATACTGTCAGCGTCTCCATGGCTTCGTGTATGAGTGTTCTGGTTGTCGAGAGCCGGAGATCAAAAAGATCAATTCAACATTGTCGCGATATGCCAACCCATTGGAGGAGACGCGACCTGCTCCACTCTCCATCACCACGCGCCGTGCAGGGGCCGTGCACACCGTTGAGTCCGCCCGACTTCCGAGAGTCCCTGCGCAGGCCTGTCAACCTTCTTACCACCATGAATACACGGAGAGATCTCCTGTAGCTTGGGTTGAGGGCTACTGTGGCCTATCAGCTGTCACAAGCATGACTGGAACCGGACTGGCATGACTGAAGCCTCAACGCATCACATCAAGGTGCTACCTTGGTGATCAACCTCGGAGTCACATGCCGTTGTTACAATGATGATTTGCAGAAGGGAGTTGGATATTGAATACATTGATAGGACTGCAGCGGAATCCGTCGCTCGCTCAGAGCATCGACGGCAAACAACTGATCTATTCACTCTTTGGTTATGAGCTTTAGGAACCCGGACGACATATCTCACACTCATCACATTTTCCCATGCAACATTGGTCCCACGCAATCAAATCAAGACAGTAGTGTCCGTTCTCATCCAACGCTATGTCTGGATCATGAGCTGCTGGGACGTACAAAGGAAACTGTCTGCTGACAGGATATCCGGCCAGAGTTGTAGGCGCATAGCCCTCTGGACAATCTGCATGCCATGCTGGATGTGAAAGAGATTGCTCATGAAAATTCGTAGGCCAAGGCGTCGCAGCATTGTATTCTTGCAACGGCTGGAACATTGCGAGCCACACCTCGTCTTCGGGAAGAGGTTCGGAAAGAGTCGGGCTGCAGGTAACCAGTGGAGACTCTTCCGGCGGAGTTAGACGTTGTTCTTGAGGACTTGGGTCATACATCGGTGGAATGTCTCCTGGATCTTGGTCCCCTTCGCTCAGTGTCTGCGACGAATCACACTCAGACCCAAGAGCACCGCCATTCTCACCACCGAATGTATCATCATCTGTTCCTCCTCCAACAGCTCCTCCCATCTGAGCATCATCAAATGCATTTTGACTGTCTCCTTCATCATCAAGAACCCCACCAGAGCCAGAAAGATTACCCGCGCCCACATCAGAAAATTGATCTGTACCATATAGCAGACCTCCGATGAAGTCGTCGAGGCTTTGATCCAACTCGTGTTGGGTCAAGTTGTGCGGGGGTAAGCTGCATTTAGACGCGTTCCGAGATGACCACGAGGGAATTCAAAGTTGTGCACGTGAGGGATGAAAGGTGTTGCAAGAGTTGAACTAGGGTTCGGGGTAGGTCGAGCTGGTGCAGTGTAAGGTGTTCGACGTTGCTCTGGTGGTGTTTTCTTTGATTTGCTTGACTTTGGCATCGGTGTGTTTGGTTGCTCAAGGAGGTGGGATTCGTTGTGATCTACAATTCGAGAATGGGCTTCTCTGGCATAAAAGATATATGGACGTTGCTAGGCAAGTGCACGAGACACTCCTCTATTGTTCGACATTGTCTCAAAGCGTAAAAGTCGCAACTGTTCATCTTTCCCTGTCTGTCTTGTTCCTATGTGCAATAAAGTCTCAGTCACAACAGCTTTCAAAGATAACAATTCACATCCTCGTGCAGATCACAGGATCATCTCCCCAGGCCACTGCCGCGACATCACAACCTAGCAAAGCGACTTTTTTTCCAGTCCAGGACGGATTATATTTGACATCTCTAACCACCATATCTCCTGCTTGTCCGAGCCGTGCATCATACCAAGGCACCAGTACAGAGGCCGACACGAAACAGACTGCAGAATATGTATTTCAGTTACTCATTATCAAAGACAAAGTTCTTCCAATTGGCGGCCAACTGCTTGACTCCATGCTCCAATTCCCATCCCTTGATTTCACACAACTTCCTCACAACTTCTTCAAGATATCCATCCATTCTTTCGCCGGCAGTGTGCAAATCACTTTCTATCAAGATTCTGTCGTCAGGAACAGCTTTGACAGCATCCTCGGTCTTTGCGACTCCTGCATGGGAGAAATTGATAACGGAAGAAAAGGAAAAGAATATCTTTGCAGGGATTCGTGGGTCCAGATATTGTTTTATGGTTTCTGGAGGCCCGGAGTAAGAGTGTAGGCATATGCGTGGTGGGTAGGGTGTTGGCTTTCTTTCTTCGCTCGCAACTTGGTCCTTGTCCTCGGTGGTTGTTGGATTGGCTGCCTCTTGCTTTCTACGCTCGCGCTTGCTAGGCACTTTTCGCTCGTGTCCTTTCCAGGTTTCTTGCAAGGTGTTGAAGACGACACCGTGGGCTTGGACGCCGTGGACGGAAGTCGCGCGCCCCAGTTCTCCAGCTAGATGTAGTTGTGCCAGCAAGACTTTTTTCTGGTGGTCCATGGATACGCGATACGGCGATAGATTTCTACCTTCTCGACCGCCTTGTGTGAGTCCATCATCTCTTTCTATACTTTGGCCTGGGAGCCAGGCTTCGGGAATGCGAAACTGTTTGTCCAGGCCCACTTCGCCAATTAAGGCTAGCGGATATCTCTCGAGGTAATATCTCGTTTCTTGGAGGAAGACAGAAAAGGGCCGGGGCTCGGGAAGGGCGAGCAGGAAGTCGCGATCAGTAGGAGTGGGCGTGAGAGCGGATTGGTAGTGCTCGACTTTCTGGTCGGGTGTGAGGGTCGTCGTGTTGGGATAGGTCTGCTCGTCAAACATTTGGTGTGAGAACCAGGGATGCCAGCCGAAGCATGGTATGACTCTCTGCTCGGAACTTTGAGTCTTGTCAGCTTCGTGGTGGGCACTTTGGCAGCGACAGAAGGAGCGAGTGGGGACGAAAGTGTACCTTGGCTATTGTACCTACCTCCAATCTTCATCGAGCCTACTCTTGACGCCTAGTTTGTCGGCCGTCTCAGCTACTAATTGCTGGTCCTGGGCACGTGTGGCCATGATGGTCAAGATTCTAGCGTGCATGTCCGGGATGGACGAGATGTTAGCGACTGTATCTGTCGGATGACAATGCGCATCAAAGACACCCAGGTCCCATGGGAACGACTCTGTCGGCTTGTCTCCCATTGTGATTGCTTATCTTTGGTATGTAACTTGAGGTGTGACGGAAGTCAAGTGCTGTCAACACTTTGGAAGGAACGATGACGTGAGAGTAACGTCCAAGTCGACAGTCGCAGAGCCGCACCTTCTTTGTGTCGCCCCAGCCCTATCTCTACACGCGAGCAGTCGCACAACCTTTTCCTCACGTCTTGACAAGAGCCTTTCACAAGACTCAAACACAGACATATCCATGACGCGTCGACGGTCACACCATATCATGTTATATCCATCTCTGCCAATGTCGAAGAGATGGAAGGGCTTGGCCTCGAGGGTTCGGCATCTGTGACCGAACGCAGCGGCCAAGGGGTAAATCTAAAATTTGGGGCGGCTAAGGCCGACGGAGATTACATTCCAGCAAATCGGAGGCCTCGCATCCGAGGGGGTTCAACGTGAAAATGGTTCGATTTTGTTGTTTCTAATAATCATCGTATCGCACCTTTCGCCATTGGCGTATTTGCGTATTCTCCATTCCTTCTCTTCGACGTTGCCCCTCTTCCTGGCACTTTTGTCTGTCGTTCTTTCTTCCATTCCCTTTTTTCCTTCTCTCCTATTTGCTGTTTCTGGTGGACAATCCACAATGTCTGTCATGAACGCGAGCTACGCCTCGCCCGTCGCGGACGCGGCCTTTGCAAAAATCACTGCCATCGCACCTGCTGGTGTGGTGCAGCGTCTGCTTGCTGGAGTCAACGCATGGACTATCGTCTTCACCCTGCTGATTGGCGCTGTTCTCTACGATCAGGGTGAGTTTTCCGATTGAAACCGCAAAGACCCGACTGACCTAATCGCAGCATCATACCTCTACCACAAGGGCTCAATCGTGGGACCCATGTTCAAGATTCCCTTCATTGGCCCTTTCCTCGAGTCTGTCAACCCTAGATTCGAAAAGTACAACGCAAAGTGGCAGAGTGGCNCCCTGAGCTGTGTCTCTGTTTTCCACAAGTTTGTCGTGATCGCCTCGACTCGCGACATGGCCCGCAAGGTCTTCAATTCCCCCACCTACGTCAAGCCCTGCGTCGTCGACATTGCCTACAAACTTCTCCGTCCCACCAACTGGGTCTTCCTTGATGGCAAGGCTCACGTCGACTACCGCAAGGGTCTCAACGGCCTCTTCACCCGCCAGGCTCTCGAGCTTTACTTGCCCGGTCAAGAGGAGGTCTATGATGCATACTTTGCTCGCTTCCTCAAGGTCACCAAGGATGCCGGCAACAAGCCCGTCGCATTCATGTCCGAGTTCAGAGAGCTTCTGTGCGCTGTTTCTTGCAGAACTTTTGTCGGACACTACATCAGCGACGAGGCCATCAAGAAGATCGCCGACGACTACTACATGATCACTGCTGCTCTCGAGCTTGTCAACTTCCCCATCATCATCCCCTTCACAAAGACTTGGTACGGCAAGAAGGCTGCCGACATGGTTCTCGAAGAATTCTCAAAATGTGCCGCAAAGGCAAAGGTCCGCATGAACGCTGGTGGCGAAATCCGCAGCATTCTCGATGCCTGGGTCAAGCAAATGATCGATTCCGAGACCTACCGCACCAAGCTGGCTAGCGGTGTCAAGATGGACGATTCCGAGAAGCCTGCCATGCTTATCCGCACTTTCACCGACTACGAAATTGCTCAGACTCTTTTCACCTTCCTCTTCGCTTCCCAGGATGCCACCAGCAGTGCCGCCACTTGGCTGTTCCAGATTGTTGCCGACCGTCCCGATGTCATGGAGAAGCTGCGCGAGGAGAACATGCGTGTCCGCAGGGGTGACAAGAACGCTCGTTTGACGATGGATATGCTCGAATCAATGCCCTACACAAGAGCAGTCGTCAAGGAGCAGCTCCGTTACCGTCCTCCCGTACTCATGGTTCCCTACCTCGTCAAGAAGGACTTCCCCGTTACCGAAACCTACACAGCCAAGAAGGGATCAATGATCATTCCCACGACATATCCTGCCCTTCACGATCCTGTCGCATACCCCGAGCCCGAGACTTTTGACCCTGAGAGATGGATTAGCGGCGATGCCGAGAAGCACCCCAAGAACTGGCTCGTGTTCGGCACAGGACCTCACTACTGTCTTGGACAAACATACGCCACACTCAACCTGATGGCCATGATTGGCAAGGCATGTGTTGAGATGGACTGGAAGCACGAAGTTACGCCCTTGTCAGAGGAGATTAAGATTTTCGCCACGATTNTTCCCCCAGGTGCGTATCACTGATTGTGTTCACTCGAGACATCTACTAACGTTGATTTTCAGGATGACTGCCTTCTTACATTCAGCAAGAGAGACTAGATGGAGATTATAATTCTGTGCTTGAAAGTAAAAGATTACATGCCAAAGAAAGCAGCTGTGATTAGAAGTGCAGGAAGATAACCCTAATTGTCCCAATCGATAGACTAATTATTTTAATGTTCTTGAAACCATTGCTTTGGCCCTGTGTGTACTCTGATTAAGAGTATGTTCTCCTCTGACTTTGTGCTTCGTGTGACAAGCTGATGGAGAATGGTGCTGAAGGATAGCAACGATGGACCCGTGGACCTCGGTCTGCGGAGAGCAAGACCGACACTTTCGCGATGATGCAACCTTCAATTGTTCTTCAACTTTCACGCTGCGCTCAACCTTCCACACGCGTACCACAATCAGCCAGCATGTCGCTAAAGAGAGCCACCGCGTTTGCCGCAAGAGCGGCCATTGCCTCATCACAACCGGCCAGATTCCAAGCCTCAAGCTTGCTACAATCCACAACACCCAAGCTCCAATCTAGTGCCATCCAACGACCAGCAACATGTCTCGTACACCAACGCTTCCACTCCACTCAGGGCAAACCCGACAACAAAGTCTGGGACTTTGAGTCTGTACAGCAACTCACCGAGTCCCCCGATGCATCTCTTGTCCTCATTGGTGTGTTTCCCTTCACCTCTGCCACTGCACCTCTTGACCACGTGCTAATCTACCTTCTTCCTCACCACANNGACGTCCGCGAACCCGCCGAGTACGAAGCAGGCTACATCCCCGGCGCCATCAATATCCCCGTGGGCTCAGCACCAGACGCGCTATTCATGCCCGCACACGAATTCGAGGACAAGTTTGGGTTCGAGAAGCCCACGGCAGATCAAGAGTTGGTGTTTTATTGTAAAGCTGGAGTGAGGAGTTCTGCGGCTGCCGGGTTGGCTAGGCAGGTGGGCTACCAGAAGGTTGGAGAGTATAGGNGGAGTATGCTTGAGTGGAAGGGTAAGGGTGGTAAGGTGGAACAGTTTTGAGTGTGGATTTGATCAGGGACAAGTGGAAAGGATGGTATAGAAGAGGTACATGGTCAAGTTGCACCCAAAGGTGCTACTGACAGGACTTGGATGCTGTGGCTCTTATAATGGCTTCTTGAGGTTATTCTTGCCTTTGATAAAGACATGTCTACTGATGTGCCTAAATCCCCTTGGTATTGAAGCCTCCATCCTTCTTGCTCAATCAGCAAGACGCCAATCAGAGCGGTATAGAGAAGGCATCCAGATGCAGTCTTGTTCGCAGTACACATGCCAGCAAAGCAGCAGCTGGTCTGTGCTTCCCGGATGCTCTGCAACTGCTCAGCCATCCACAAAGCTTCAAATCACATTTCCAACCACACAACTCATTCAAAACTCTCCATCTCCACCTTTCTTCTGTGCCGAAACATAATCGAAAAATGTCTGGCACCAATATCAGCACACTTCCCCGCATGTCGCGAGAATCCCTGGCTTCTCTTATCAAAGACAAGAATCCCTCCATGGCCGTCATCGATGTTCGCGATAGTGATTATATCGGCGGCCACATTGTCGGGTGCCAGAATATCCCTACCAACACCCACGACTACAAGATCCCGGAGTTGGTGCGCACATTGAAAGATAAAGAGACTGTGGTGTTTCATTGCGCGTTGAGTCAACAGAGAGGTCCTTCAGCGGCATTGAGGTATATCAGGGAGAAAGAAAGGATGGAAACGAGTAATGGCGAAGCGGAAAAGGCCCAGCAACAAAAGGTTTATGTGCTTGAGGGTGGATTTGTCAAGTGGCAGGAAGTGTGAGTGTTTTTCTGGTTTCTGTTTCCAGTGCTTCCATGGATTTTTGCTTTGATGGTGAGAAGCTTTGCTAATATTGAATGAAATAGCTACGGAGAAGACAAGCAACTGACGGAAGATTATCAAAAGGATATTTGGGAGTTTGGATACTGAAGGGGAAGTTGTTTTCAAGTCTAACTTGACACTTTTGGTGGACAAAGAGTTCATTTAAATCACCTTACAGCTCTTACTTGATATGAGTCCATAGACGAGGCAGGGAGGTACCTCTTCCAATACACTTTCTACGAAATCGTGACTTTGAGGGCAGAGGCAGTGGCACGTTGTTGCGTTGATACATTGTGCCTGCCTGGACATATTCCTCGCTTCCCAGTCCGCTCGTTTGCAAAAGTCTTGGGACCAGTTGGAACGTCACTTCCAGTCAAGCATGAACACTCGCAAGATAACAAATCCATCGACGACTCTTCTCGACACACCATGTTCAACTAAATTCGTGCGCATCACAAGGTCAGAGTCCATGCTAACGCTACAGTCGCCGAGAGCACAAGTCGTCAGTCTCAAGGACGTAGAATCCAGAGTGCGATTGCAAGCTGACCTTGTCAACTGAAAAGTCTGGCTCGAAGGACACTGTCAGCCTGGAACATGACAGATGAATTCATCGTCTGATTGATTGAATATCAATATTCCCGATCATAGTCATGCATATTGATCCAGGTGCCCAAAGGTCGCCCTGTCCCTCATATACACAAAGCCTCCCAATATGCCAGCAACATCCAGACTTCCAATCGAGAGCCTCATTCAAGGCATACCATCGCTACGCGAGGGACATGAGCATCTCACATGATCACCGGGTGGCTGCTGCCAAGCAGCCCTGTCGACATTTCCATAAATGGCTTAATACGCGCAACTCTACTCCCCCGAACTCGACCGCTGCCTCCAAATTAACAGTGTATCACACAAGGGCTGCAGGGATAAACCCATCCGAGCATGGCTGCCACTGCGTTGCCATCAATTTGCGCCGACGCCCATTGTCACACCAGTCGCCGCTACAGCAACGTGATTTGAGTATAGCCGAACAGCATCATTCATCGAGACATGAAGATCCACCAATGATTTGAGCTCGATGCTCGTTGTTCGCGAAGACTGGTGGGAATATTGTCCTGGTGCTCATTAGCAATCGGACAATCTTCGTTGCCTCGCGCAAGCCTGATCGAGTAGATGGCAGGTTTCGCCGGACTAGTTGTTCGAGATGGCGAAGGCACTATCGAATTCATCACGGTCGCCTCTGAGGGTCATCGCCTGGCAGATGAGCACCGTATTGCTGATGCTCGATACGTTCTGCCTTGCACAGGGCTGTCGTTCGCTATGAAGACAGCACATAGCAGAGGGTCGCGATAGCTTTGAGCGCTTACCTTACCAACACTCGATTGCCTGCAAAGGCATCATCTTCCCATGATTGACGTCTATCAGCCACATTCCTATGGACGCTTCGGTATCGCTGGAGTTACTCGGCAGAGGTACAATTGCTGCAATGGACCGGACCGCGATCCAGAAGCAATGGAACAAACCCATGTCGAAATATTGATTAACATGATGGATGCCGAGGAAGGCTAGACGGGTGATATCACACAAGAGGTCGCCGTCATGAACGGCGGTCTTGATAGCAGGTTGCCTCTACTGCACCAGTACTGATCAGATACGACACATGATCTCACCGCGTTGTCTCAGATACTAGGCATGTTTATCAGCTATTCGCGTATCGGTGTGACCCAAGGGGCTGCTGATCAACAGTATACTGCAGCTCTAGACCCTGAGAGGGTCTTCTCAGAATGGAGAATTGAGCCGAATCACATCCAGATGAGCCTCTCGGCTGTGGAAACTGCAATGTTCTCAGCTCGAGCGGCGAACCGTAAGAAGGAAAGACTTGTTTGCAAAGCTTGGGCGTATACTCACTATCAATCCTGGTTCGGATTCTCGACAAACAGCTGTGAACGCCACGGTTCGATGGCTGTCGCGAATAGTCGAGATGAGTGCTTCCCCAGATTTTCCACTCTAGACTGCGGCTTGGTTGTTTCAGCACCTCGGGTGCAGGTTCTGTACTACAAGGTGACTTCGGTCCGTCTGCTTCACTCCTCTCACCACGTGGAGTTGAATAGATGAACCTCCGGTGGGTGTTTTACCGTTCTCTCGTCCGAGAGTGACCAATGTCGAGCCGTTGCGGTTATGTCAGGTATTATGAACCTCTATATATACTGACGAACTATATCAAAGTAGCTCGAGTTAGGCGTAAGCCACACGTTATACGACTACACACAGCCACGTCCGTGTATAAACGGCATGTCACTAGTTCTCGAACACGAGCCTCGCATGCTCACGTTTCGAACATATGGAGATCCCCTACTTGGAAGGGAAGGTAACATGCCGCTAGGTTCGCCTCGATGCAAAGTATGGGTTTCAGCGCGACTTTAGCCAGACGACCCTCGGACCTTTGCAGACCAATCATCGTTCGTGCCATGTCGTTTAAGGTGGGATTTAAGCATCATGTCGACATCAAGCTACCTATTTACCCCACACTCTAAAAGCACTCCACGTTTCGTTCGGCTATACAAGAACAAAATCGTTCAATCATCACTCAGCCTGAAACCTGGACAAGAATCTAATGATCGACAGCAGTGATGGCAATACATACTCGCCCGTTCTCACGCGTGCATGGAAAGATATAAAACATAGAATCCACCTGCACTGGTGGACAATTCTCATCCGCCATCCACCAAATTTCCACTCACTCACTACATTTCTAACACCTTCAATATGAAGTTCTCCATTGCTCAAGCCGGCCTGGTGTCGGCTACCATGCTCCTTGGTTCCGTCTCTGCTCAGACCTGTGACATCCCTGCCAAGCCCCAGTGGTCTTCCACCGGTGCTCTCGCTCAGCCCAAGAACGGCTGGGTCGCCATCAAGGACTTTACCACCACCTACTACAACGGCCAGCACATCGTCTACGCCTCTTACCACGACCAGAGCAACTATGGCGGTATGAACTTCGGTCTCTTCGGCGACTGGTCCCAGATGGGCAATGTTGCTCAGAACAAGCTGCCCCAGTCTGCTGTTGCTCCTACTCTCTTCCACTTCGCTCCCAAGAACGTTTGGATCCTTGCCCACCAGTGGGGACCCACCACCTTCTCATACCGTACCTCGCAGGACCCCAGCAACGCTAACGGCTGGTCTGCTGCTCAGCCTCTGTTCACTGGCACCATTTCTGGTTCCGGCACTGGCGCTATTGACCAGACCGTCATCGGTGACAGCAAGAACATGTACCTGTTCTTCGCCGGCGACAATGGCAAGATCTACCGCGCCAGCATGCCCATTGGCAACTTCCCCGGCAGCTTCGGTAGCGCCAGCACCATCGTCATGAGCGACACCACCAACAACCTGTTCGAGGCCGTCCAGGTCTACACCCTCAAGGGCCAGAACAAGTACCTCATGATTGTCGAGGCCCAGGGTGCCAACGGTCGCTACTTCCGTTCCTTCACCGCCACCTCCCTCAGCGGCACCTGGACCCCTCAGGCCGCTTCTGAGAGCAGTCCCTTCGCCGGCAAGGCCAACTCTGGCGCCAGCTGGACCAACGACATCTCCCACGGTGACCTTGTCCGCACCAACGCCGACCAGACCTTCACCGTCGACCCTTGCAACCTCCAGTTCCTGTACCAGGGACGTGATGCCAAGTCGACTGCCACCTACGACAAGCTCCCTTACCGCCCCGGTCTTCTTACCCTCAAGAACCCCGTCAAGAAGTAAATGTTCCCTGCAGTGGATTATTAGCGTCTTCTTTATTCTCCGTGAAGTCTCTTTTGGAAGGAAAAGGAGAGATTTGTTTGAGTGTGTGAGGCAGGATCTTTGGCGGATCGGACCATTACAATTTTCTGGGACCTCTATGTAGCGTTAGCAGTAGTGCTCGAACTGGCTTCGAACTTGTTGTCAATGCAAAGGAAACTCCTTCGTCCTGTGATAGTGTAGCAACCTCTCTTTGCTCTGCATTTCACATAGTCGCTTGTAGACTTGACACCCCTTCCTTGACCATCTCGAGAAGCACCTGACATGGCTAGCAGAGGTTCTGGTAACATTGCTCCGATCAGGAAGTAACATAGAGTCGTCAGTCCATGCAGGCTTCCTGACTCTTTTTGCTTCTTACTCTTTCCAAAATCCGTACTGCTGTATTGGTCAGCTTGAAGCAAGTCACTAGTAAACAAACACTGGTACTCACTACACGGAATCTAGACTGGGGGCCAACCTATGTTGATTGACCTGATTACCGTCTTTTTGCTCCAGAAGAATTCATTGTGACCATGTGAAGGGACTACTCGAGGGCGAATTTCGCAGTTGCTCAGGAAATGCTTCATCTCGCGACGGACGACCTCGATGTCGGGAAGCTGTGTTATCACATCCAATAGCCAATCTCGAAGACTTTTTACGAGCACTCCACGTCTGCCTGTTTTTTGCTGGTGTGTGGGCATTCGTGACACTAAGAATATGATCTGAGAACGTGACGTTGGCACTTACCTCAGACGTCGTCCACGGTTGCTCTTTCCCGAACTTGTCATCGCCAGCGTCACAAGTTCATGAGTTTTCTTACTTCACTTGTCTTCTCAAGATAACATTCTTCCATCACTCCAGAAGATCCCACATCAACAACAGCGACGACCATCACCTATCACGTTCCTTCCGGCGTCGCATGCCACCTGTATGGGATATTTATGGCCATCTTGGTCTGCCTGCAGCGTTGCGTTGACCAGCGCTCGCAAATGTGAAATCGTCAGCCGAACGATACTCCTACTTGTTGGACTGGCTCACTCCATACTCTATCCTTGCAGTCGTTCTTGCGGTTTTCCCACCATCGACCTACACCTTGATATTTCTTTGCCGCTTCCGTGTCCGAGATGTTTCTTAACCTACTGGATCCATCACCACGGCTCGTGCTGAGAGGTCTTTGTTTGTGGTCGGCGCCATGCTTCATGCGAGCGGGCCAGGTAAGATTGTGTCCCCTGGAGTCGGGAGTGTGCTAGGCACTCACATCTCCTTCGTCTCTTCTCTTTGGTTCTCTTGCCGCGGATCCCTAGTCTCAACAGGCTACATTGCTGGCATAGCTTGCCTTCGCCGTGTCTTACCTTCAATCGATATACCATCTCACACCGGCCATAAGTACAACGTCTGTCATCTCAGTCCTTGGGCTCTGAGAACGCTGAAGAACGAACAGGCTGAATTGGAGGGCAACCGCAATCTCGTCTTGGATTGAAGATGTTCGTGCTATCGCTATCGGCCCCCTCAGCATGGACGATCAGATACACCCAGCAAGCCTAGAAACATAGGGATATATTGGCACTGTCTCATCCTCACCACATCAAGGCGAGATGGCCGAGCGGTCTAAGGCGCCAGCTTAAGGTTCTTCCAATACGCTGGTCCGAAAGGGCGTGGGTTCAAATCCCACTCTCGTCAATATCGTTTTGCTCATGAGCTCTACATCCCTGCCAGAAAGCGAAAGACAGTAGAATGCAGCCGGAACGAAATTTTGGAGACTTTTGGACCTGAAATCCGTGAACGACTTTCCTTTTCCTTGTAAAGCCTGACATTTGGAAATTGGCTTGGCGAAAAAAAGGCATGCATAATTTGGGGAATTGTTCGCATGGATTATGCAGCCATTGTGGTTCACCCATCTATACACCTTTTGTCATTTGGAAAGAGACAACAAACCTCATCGTAAACTTTGAATTGGCATCTGGCTGCATTCATATTTGAGGAAGACGATCCACGAAACTCTTTTGTAAATTGTAACAGATAGGACATCCACATTTGGGCAGCGTCAAAACAGTTCATAGCATATAAATCATGAACCACATTACATCTCTTCCTTCCAACTTTTCCTTCCTTCGTATCTCTTAGACAAGATACCTATACTCTGGGTTCAAATCACCCAACTCCGTCTTTTCGTACTCAGTCAACCCCACATCCGTCACCGTCTTTTCCCTCTGCCTATTCTGCGCAACACAAGCAATGTAATAAGCAATACAGCTCAACACACTCAAGCAAGTGAATGCAATGCAAATGCTATAGCCCTTGGTATACAGCGGCGCATCCGTCTTCAGGAAACAATAGACAGCGATGATGCCGCCGATGTTTCCAAAAGCGACTTGCCACGCTGAGCCCACGCTGCGGCGATGATGGCCACCGAGATTCATGTCTGTGAGGCAGCAATGTTAGCAAATACTGCATGAGGGGAGGTGGAGCAGGTGTAGATATAACGTACTGAACCAGCACACAATTATCGGCATGGCCGAGTAAGCTCCCATGGCCACGAGGAACAGAGCTGCATACTCGAGAGGTCGGTTGTCGTGTACGGAGATCAATATTGCAAAGCCGACGATGGCGATACAGATGGCAAAGACGGCAAAAGCGAAGCGATGGCGTGTTTTATCGGAGATGTAGGCGAGGATCATGGCGAATGCAAAGGCGGCGGCCCATGGAGGTACACTGTGCAATTGTGTTTGAATCTTTCCATAGCCGTAGCCGTTGATGATCGAAGGTGAGAAGTATGCGTAGCTGNNCGAAAACGAAGTCAGCAAGAGAGGATCTTTGGGCATGGTAGGATTGAGGATGCGAGCTTACGAGTAGGCGGGCACGATCAGGCCAAAGTACATGAAGCCTCCAAGGAAGACTTTGTAGTCCTTGAACACGTTGCCGACATCTTTGATGCCCATCTTACGCTCCACAGCCGAGGCACCCTGTTCGCTGCGAAGGCGGTTGATGACAAAGGTTCTCTCTTCCTCTGTGAGCCATTTGCTATCTTCAGGAAAATCGGGAAGCACGAAGAAGAAGGAGGCGCTGACAACGCAAGTGAGGATTCCTTCGAGGATGAAAATCTGCAAAGTTTGGTCAACGACTGTCACACTTTCGAGACTTGTTGCTGAACATACCCATCTCCAGCCTTTGTAGCCTGCGATACCGTCCATCTTTCCAATTGCTGCTGCGAGTAGGCCGGCAAAGGCACCAGCAAGTGTTGTGCTTGAGAAGAAGAAGCTGTATCTTCTCTGTGCTTCTGTTCGCAAATACCACGACGAAAGTAGGTAGAAGCATCCCGGGAACATTCCTGACTCGAATACACCNTGAGAGTGGTAAGCTGCTGAAACAGATGGCAATATAGCACGCAGCATGTGACCAGGATCAACCGTACCTAGGAAGAAGCGTGTGGCCAGCAAGCCAGAGTAATTCGTGACGACTCCTTGCAATGTCGTTGTAAGACCAAACAAGAACATGCATGCCGACAACCACACATGCGGCTTGAACTTTTTGAGCAGGATATTGCTAGGGATTTCGAAGAAGATATAAGGCGCGAAAAAGATGACAAGAGCATTGTTGTACTCATGACCTTCAAGGCCGAGCTCGTCGGACATTCCTGCGACATTTGCATTTGCGATGTTGACTCTGNNCAGAGATGCCCAGTCAGGTTGTGTTCTTCTGCTCTTTCTTTGGCGTCGTCGCGCGACTCACCTGTCCAGGAAAGCGAGCAAGTAGAGAATACACAAGAACGGTACAACGTGGAAATCGATCTTGTTGACTAGTTTGCGTTCGGTTGTGTGTGGTGGGCAGACAAGGGTGTCGTCGTATGCGGTTCCTGTTTCGACGCGATCGAATGATGTTGGCGACCCGCCATCAATGTCCTCTGATTTCATCCAGTCAGTCATTTCAATGCGCCTCGCAATGTCCAAGTACCTCGACTTACTCTCTCGATATACCATCTTGGACGATCTTTTGCGCGTGTGTAGCTTCTCTCAAGGTATACAGCCTCTACAAATGTCTCGGCCGCGAAGCAAACAGGCACCCGAAGCACACTGAGGTAGTTATAAACTTGTGATGGAGCGAAACAAAAAATCGGAGAGAGAAAGATCAACAAAGAAAGTGGAAAGATGACTGTACTTGACCTTCTGACTCTCCCGACACCGCCGTAGGGAGATCTCCAATCCTACCATGTGGACTAATCGTTTGTGACCTTGCGAAACGACACATGCGAGCCATCAACTCGCATCGTTATTCGTCCCATTCTACCAGTTCCCCGCGAAGATCTGCAGGTGTGTATGGGGCTGCTCTTGGCAATATGACGACGGAATCCTTCCGAAAAAGTGCAGCGCATCAGATCCCTGCCACATCTCGGCAACGCGTCTGAGCAGATCAGTGTGGTATCCTTCATGTCTTCACCTCTTTTTCCGTCATCAAAGAGTCCTTTTGATCGGGTAGGTATGATCCAGCTTGAGAATCGTCTTCGTCTCTGAATCCTGACATTCTTCCGAAGGATTAAAATGGTGGCTTGAAGAGCGGCGGTGTTGGCCGACCAGAATATGAGTGATGCCGATCTCGGAAGTCCAGTCGTGTAACAACACCTTCCTCTTTCTACCTCGGGATTCTGCCCCTCTTAGGGTGGTACAAGTAACATATAAACGTCTTGACGCAGCGCCGGAGTCAGCTGTCGGTAAATACGAGTTTTATAGCGGCCACATTCCGCATGACGAACAGCAAAGTAGACCGACCACCTGCGAAGTAATTTGTGCGTGTATACCATAATCGACGCTGTTGATAAGGAGTCCGAGGTCGGCGGCTTCATCTGCGACACACCCTGATGGTGAGATTGCTTTGATGCGTATGAACAGATGAGTCACTCCCGAATGACTGTCCCGTCGAGAGTGGCTACAATCGGTGTAGATAGTATTATGGTCTGTCACTGCAGGACGGTGGCAAGCGAGAAAGTGTCACCCTGAAAGTCCGCTTTTGTCTCCATGGCGTACTGGATGATATACATCTCCAGCCTCGGACGGTTGATACATGAATTCAGCCTCGAGGAGATGAGGTTGTAAAGAGAGAAAACTTGAGAGGCGGCGATATCAATAGTGTTTATAAGACTCTCGCTCGCCATGACCCACTCTTACCAAGGGTCATCTGAAGCAACTTTGTTGGCGCATGATTCTGCTGACCAGTACACGGGTCGATCTCCCCACAGTCTTGCAAATCGTCTTGAGAGATCTGGTCTATTGTAGATGAGGTGCATGGCCAGGATCTGTCTTTGTTTGAATCTCCAAACTCCAGAATCATCAGGTGTTATCGCAAAGAAGAGGCGACCCCAGCCGATGTGATGTACGCGATTCGTGTCACTAGACTCGAATGCAGGCATTGATGGATGGACAAGAATCAATCATGATGTGCAAATTTGCAAGAGATGTTTGATGGTGTTGTTGAAAGACACATCTTGCCGCAGCTCTCTGCTGGGTACATGATCCTCGAGAAAGTGCATTGTTTGCATTCGACACAGAACGAGGAAGTTCATGGCGAAAGCGAAGCAACGATAGCCGTTTCAAATGCAGGTACGCGCGATGCTCGGCTTCGCGGCTTTCGTCCTTGCGCGGCGGAAGTTGCCAGCAGGTGGAAGGTTCGACCTGCCAATCAAGGGACACGCGTTGCAGCTTTACCGGTTGCTCCATCAAAGTCTTTGTCAACAATTAGAAAAAAATCTGGATGGCAAATGCCGCGCATCATGGACATTTCTCTGCAATCGCTGCTGGTCTGAGTCGAAGCAACCAGAAGTTGTCCTGGTCTCAAGGCCTCTATGCTTACGCGACATAGGGCAACGCAGCGATTAGCATACCGAGAGCCGATATCCAGATTCCAAAGATAAGACCGATGGTGGGTCTGGGTATTTCCGTCTCTATCGAATCAGGGCGAAGGCTTTGACAACTTTCTGTCAGCGACAGTGAGTGCCATGGCCCATGCGCTATCAGATCGCGACGGTCCCATATATTGTTGACAAGTCGCCGGGAAATCTACAGCTCCCTCCTGTTCCTGTTCATCTTTCTTCCCTTCTTTGTGATACCCCCGAGTGTATTTGTCTTTTTTCCTCTCCATCCTAATATTCCTCGCACATCCACAATGGCTTCCGCTGCCAGATCTTTCACCCGCGCTCTGCGCTCGCCCGCCACATCTTCGTTGAAGAGAAGCGCCACTTTCGTCCCTCGCACTACCTTTGCTCAGTCAAGCCGTCGTGGCTACGCTGATGCCGCTGGCGCTAAGAAGGGTGGTAATGGCCTCTTGATCGGTGGTCTCGTTGCTGCTCTTGCTGGTGGTGCTGGTTTCTACTACATGAACGGCGCTGAGCAGGCCAAGGCTGCTGGCGTCTTCACTCCCAAGCAGGAGGACTACCAGAAGGTCTACGACCACATTGCTAAGCTTCTTGTTGAGCATGACAACTACGATGACGGCTCTTACGGACCTGTCCTTGTCCGTCTCGCATGGCACGCCAGTGGCACCTACGACGCTGAGACAAAGACTGGTGGCAGCAACGGTGCCACCATGAGATTCCCTCCTGAGGGTGACCACGGTGCTAACGCCGGTCTTCACGCCGCTCGTGACTTCCTCGACCCCGTCAAGAAGGCGTTCCCCTGGATCACCTACTCCGACCTCTGGACTCTTGCTGGTGTTGCTGCCATCCAGGAGATGCAGGGCCCCAAGATTCCCTGGAGACCTGGCCGCAACGACCGTGACGTCTCTTACTGCACTCCTGACGGCCGTCTCCCCGATGCCTCCAAGGAGCAGAAGCACCTCCGCGCCATCTTCAACCGCATGGGCTTCAACGACCAGGAAATTGTCGCTCTTTCTGGCGCCCACGCTCTCGGCCGCTGCCACACCGACCGTTCCGGTTTCTCTGGCCCCTGGACCTTCTCCNCCACCACTCTCACCAACGACTACTACAAGCTCCTCATGGAAGAGAAGTGGTCCTACAAGAAGTGGGATGGCCCCAAGCAGTTCGAGGATGTCTCCACCAAGACCTTGATGATGCTTCCCACCGACATGGCCCTGATCAAGGACAAGAGCTTCAAGGCCCACGTCGAGAAGTACGCCAAGGACAACGAGGCCTTCTTCCACGACTTCTCCAACGTCGTCATGAAGCTCTTCGAGCTCGGCGTTCCCTTCCAGACCGAGGAGCGCATGACTTTCAAGGCTTCCGAGTAAACCACATTTTGATACCCAAAAACACCATTCATACCAAAACAAAATCAATAAAGGGAGGGGACTAGAAACAATACAATGGCCATGGGGGATACACTATAGACGGTCAAAAAGCGCATCTGCATGAACTAGAAACATTAGACCTGCGCCGGAGCAGCACATCCTCTTTCTTCGATGATACCTCGACTTTTTTCTGTTTTGTCAACTGTACATTTAGCGTTCTTTTTTCTTTCTGGTTTACACAAGAATACAATTGTCTTTACAATCCTTGCATCTTTCCAAGACCTGACGTCCAGATTACCTTTTGGCATGCAGGCCTGCGACATCCAATAACCCTAACTCTCTCCTCGGTTCTGTTCCGCGCTGCGAAGGATCTTGTTTATGGGAGGCGCCATGACCCCGCTTCTCAGCTTGACAAAGGGGGACCCAAATACGGGCATGCTCTGTTTTGCATGCTGGTGTCACTGAGGGCTGGAAGTGGAACTGATCTCTTGCCATGACCGTCATAGTATGGTGCATTGGTTGGTGATGGGTGTTGGGGTAAAAAAGAATGGCCATGTCGGAATGATTGTGGGACGACCCTGGTCACGTAACGCTCACATCCTGGAGATTGTTTTCGATTTTCTTCTCTGTGTGGTAAGCATTCGAGCAAGTTCTGGTTGTCGAGTGCAAACTCGTGTGCATCTTTCTCGTGTTTGACAGTACTATATAAGCTGTCGTTGTGAATATGGAGTGGTTTGCTCATCTTCCGAATATTCGAGCCGTGTTCCAAAACTCTGCTCATTGGTGAAACCATCCGAAGAACAAAATAAGAGCAACAAGACTGTAATTTGAATCAGGTTGTCTCAGAAAGCATAGTGGAGCAACAGCAAGTATCATGAAGTCATATCATTCAAGTATCAACCGTCGACTACTATCTGCGAGGCTTATCTCATGCACGTGTGACTACAACACCACCGTGAGTCACACTCGAAAGTGTCCCACCAGACGCTGGTTTTATAAAACCAATGATTAAACCCCATCCATTGCTCCTTGCAATACCAGATACTTGATTAGACTTTAGAGCCTACTCTCTGTCTCTTGAACCACCATTAAAGCCTCGCAACCACAATCTCAAAGCAGCATAATGGCTAACCCCACCTCGACAACCACACCAAACCAATCTTCCTCGCAAACACCAACAATAGAGCTAGCCAGCCTCTCGGATGTCAACGCAATCTCTGCTCTCATAAATGTTGCTTATACACCATATATCTCCCGTCTCGGCGGCAAGAAACCAGCTCCAATGACTGCAGACCATGCTGCTTGTATAGCGTCCTCTTCTTACTATATCTTGTGTGCTTCTCCCTCTTCACCCGCAACCTCAGCTCACGACACCACTGCCTCCGTCTCCAATATCCTTGGCTGTGTATCCCTAACCCTCACGTCCGCCTCTCCACCCTCTCACGCCCTTGAGATCAACAATCTAGCCATCGCACCCTCCTCCCAAGGAAAAGGCTACGGAAAACTCTTGATGCAGTTTGCCGAGACCAAAGCAAAGGAAAAAGGATGCACAAAGACGGAATTGTACACCAATGTCAAGATGGTGGAGAACCTGGCGCTGTATAAGAAACTAGGGTATCAGGAGGTCGGCAGGTGGGAGGAAGATGGCTTCGAGAGGGTGTTTNTTGTAAAGGAGTTGGTCTAGATGGCTGCAAAGGATTGGGCACGGAGGCGCTCAACATGGAACGTTAGGTTTCTTTCTGTTTCGGAAAAGTAAAGCTGACAGAGATAAGGTCGAGGAGAGCTTGTTGAGATGTTGGAAATAATCTATTGAGGGTCATGAAACATCGCTATGTCGCTACTAAATCGCTACTGAGAAAACAAAATACAAAATGAAAAGATTACTTTTCATCATAAAGATCATCATGACATCCAGTGCCAGAACTTGCCAAAGAAGGTTGTCGGCACCGGCTCCTCAAACACTTGCTCGTCAATCTCCTTTCTGCCCGAGTCAATGTCGGCTTCTGAAGGTCTGACAAATCTCGGTCTGACAATCGCCTTGTGGCCGATGTACAGCACAACGAACAAGATCAAACTAATGTAAGCAATGAAGAAGTTTGAGGTGTTCCAAGGGATGAATGCGGTAAATCCCTGGGTGAAGATGATCAAGACCCAGAAGAAGAGTCCGTAGTAAGTGAACCACGGCTGAAGCATGGCCTTGTAAGGCAGAGTGTCTCTGGAAATGCCACGGTTCTGCAGAATCTTCATAAAGGCCAGGTGAGAAGCCAGGATACATGCCCAAGCGATGAAACCTGCGACACCAGAGATCTGAATGAGCCAGTTGAAAGCAACACTTCCTCCAGATGAGACGTTCATGAAGCCGAGAAGACCAAAGAGGGAGGTGAATGCGACAGCGTACACAGGAACCTGTCCTTTGGTCTTCAAGAATAACTTGGGGGCAAAGCCTTCGACGGAGAGTCCAACCAGGATTCTGGACGCGGAGTAGACGTTCGAGTTGGCAGCACTCAACACAGTGCAGAGCAAAACTGCATTGATTATGCCAGGAAGAGTCTTGACACCGGCAAGCTTAGCAGCAATGACCAGAGGCGAAGCAGTGGCATCACTGCCGCCAGCGCGCAATTGTTCGTTATCGTAAGGAACCAGGAGACCGATGAAGAAGATCGTGAAAACGAAGAAGAAGAGAATACGGAAGAAGGTCTTGCGGATGGCCGAAGGAATGGTCTTGCGAGGGTTGTATGTCTCGCCTGCAGCGACTGCAACCAGCTCGGTACCAGAGTACGAGAAACCAGCTTGGATCAAGACCGACCAAAAGCCAACGAACTTGGCCAGAGCAGTGCTCCTGCCACCATCAACAAGGTATGGTGCAAAAGCGCCGGGGTGTCTCCATGTCTCGAAGCCGAGATATCCGTGCTGACCTGCTCCAGCATCGATACAAATGGCAAAGATCATGAAACCGAGGACAGTGAAGACCTTGATCAGAGCTGCATAAAACTCGATCTCGCCGTAAAACTTGACGGGCATGAAGTTGGCGGCGGTGATGACAATCCAGAAGCAGCCAATGAAGATGGCTTGACTCAAATCAGGTCGCCAGTATTGGATAATGATACCACTCGCAGTAAGTTCGAGAGCGTAACATGAAGCCCAGGCCCACCAGTAGATCCACCCCATGGAGAAGCCAAGCGAAGGGTCGACGAAACGGCTGGCGTATGCGGTGAAAGCTCCAGTGACAGGAAGGAAGGCGCACATCTCTCCCAATGACACCATTACACTGTAGACTAGAGTGCCTACGAATGCATAGGCAATGAGAGCTCCGGCGGGACCTGCATTGGCGAGGGCAGTTCCCGATCCGATGAATAGTCCAGTACCAATGGTACCACCTNNGGTTGGTTATGGTTAGTGAATGGTGGAGGTGTATAAAGGTCGATCAAGGATACCAATGGCAATCATCTGTAAGTGTCTAGACTTGAGCTGTCTAGAAAGCTGATGTGTGGTTCCTCGTTCGACAGCATGGTCCAATGAGCCTGAACTCGAGTCCCAGGCATTCTTCTCGTTGACATCGAACTCCTTGGGTGGTTGTGCACCAGCGTTGTGTGTGCTGCTGTCTGCCATGATGTGTATCGGCAATCGACTTCCTCGACTTGAACTGGTGGTATGGGATGAAACAGTCACAGAAGGCAAGTGAAAAGCGACGAAATCATCGTGCAGGCCGACTTGGCCCAGCTCGGACCGTAAAATTTGCCTGCTATGCTGTCAGACGTTCCGAGTACGTAAAAATCAATCCTCAACGCTGGGCACCCCAGAATTTTTGCCAAAACCGAGCTCGGTCTCTGCCAAACGACAGCCGAAGTCGCCGTGTGGACCCGACATTCGTGAGGAGGAGTCAGAGAGGAACGAGTAGAGAGAAGAATGGTGGGGTGCAGAGATGAAATGGTTGAGGAAGGTCATGGCCGAGCAGTCGCGACGTCAAAGAGAAGTTGAGTCTCTGGATGAACGAGCGAGCGACAAGTTACATTGTGGAGGGTATAGAACACGAAGCATCTGCAGCAATCGTTGCTGGCATGCGAGGAGACAAAGATGATAGAATTCCGTAGCTCATGCGCTGCGAGAATGATAACTCTCGTCCAACACAGACGCCGGATTGTTGGTTGACTGGCGAGGATGAGGATGGTGGTTGATCTGATGAGGAGGAAGGAAGGAGCGCCCGGGAGGTCCGCGCGCCCGCCCTGGTATTTTACGAGTCAGGGGCCAACTCCGTCATCGTTGTTGAGCGCATCTACAAAGGGAGCAAAATGATTGGTGATCATGATGCTCTTGATGCCAACAAGTCACTCTTGTAGGTGATGGTCCATCGCTTTTGTTACCTTCGACATAAATGATATCTCTTTTTATACTCTTTGCTGCTCGAAGAATGTCTATGCATACCACATCAAGTCACCTTGACCTTCTCGTTAACAGACTTGTCCTTCTCCTTTTCAGCCATCTCGAGAAGCATCGCATCCCTCCAAGCCGTAACCTTCTCTCTGAGAGTCCTAGAGCGACTGGACGTGACGGAAAGCCTGAACCCTGCCTTTCGTAATGGTGGACTAAAGACTAGGTAAGATCAGTTGTAGGACGAGGTGGCTGGTGAAGTTCACGTCGGCATTTTTCTTGTTCTTCTATCCGCTGCAATGTCTTGTACGCAAGTAAGTAGCAATGGTCTCACGGATCAACACTATCATCATCTAAGTGCATAATGATAGAAATGCCGTATCTCCACTCGATCAGATTATGTCGAGTCCTTCTGAATCTGCGGGAATTGCAAGACGAGCGGTCGGCTGAGTCTGATGGGAATGGCTTTGTCACATGCCAGTCAGCGCGGCTTCTTTCCAAGTTCCTTCCTCGTGCAGACTCCAGACATGCAACCTACATGAATTTGTCAAGTTCAATCAACTCCAACACAGCAACGATGGTCTAGTGGTCAAGACGCTACACAGATGTGTCTTGCAAACACAAGCATGACGGTTGGGGGAGCGTTTGCCATGCGAACCGGCTATAAACCCACCAGAGTTGTAGAGACGTGAGTTCGAATATCACTCGCTGCATTATCCTTTTGCTCTCAAACCAGATACACCCATCGCCAACCAATCCTTCGCCACTCTTCTTCAACCCTCAGCCATACCAGCCAAGCAATCAACGAAAAGACTCTGTACATATTGTATTCCAAAATTCCCTTTCGACCCCTAGCGGGGCCGAAAGGAGCAGTCAGTTGATTAGTTTTCAACTAGCAAAAATCCAGTCTCAGACGAGTCTTCAGTGACGCGGATATTGCCCTTGCACTGGGATGAAGAAGAAGAGAAAGAGATTTGGCAAGAGTGGCAGGACGTTTTTATAGGTAGCAGGGTCGGAGTGAGTCATGGGGTTTAGGCAGCAGTGGGTGTTGTGACTGGTGTAGGCAGCCATTGTAAGTGAGTAAGCTCCAAGTGTATGGTCGCTCACTGCGTAAATACTGTAGAGACAGTTGACATTGGCAATATTCTGAGTTGTGTATTCACTTCGTCTTCGCTTATCTCCTGATCCGATATCACTTTCGCATTCACCACTTGCACTGCTTATAGTATGTACATACGAGTAGAAAAGCAGCCCGAAGTACAGTAAGCTCACATCAACCTCGACACTTGCAATAATACATCAGTCATATCAGCATCCAATCGTGTATCTCCTCCCAGAACTTCGAATCTGCTTTTCCAGAACGTCCACCTGCGTTCATCTACATGGTCCGTACCATCTTGAGCCAGCCAAAGTTGCCCAGCCATGGCTGTCCAAGGCTCTCCCTTATACCCAGTATCCACAGCTTCCCTTACAACATCTCCAGCCACCAGAATCCATCGACAAGCAGCAGAGAGATGCACTGTCGTGTTTCTGCCCAATCGCGAATTCGGAGGATATTCAAGTGCAGATAGCAAAGTTCTGAAAGCGAAAGTCACACAGCTTCCGAAAAGACTCGGAAATGCAGCGCCATGGTCGCGAACCAAAATAGCAACAAAGGTATTGACATTTGCCCATTTGCGTGCAGCCTCGGAAGCGTCTTCATTTCTGCTGAGATAGGCTTCTGGCCCTTGCATTGTTTCCGTCAAGTTGAAAGAGAAGAAGGGGAGGTCTGCCCAAAGGCGGTCTCTGAGGAGTATAGGTTCGCCTGGCTGAATAAAAGTTCCCAGACCTTCGATGAAGATGGGCTCTTGGTGGGTGGGTGTGGCTTGCGGGAGGCTAGCTAAACAAGCCAGCAGATCTGAGAGAGCAGACAGTGCCTCCATGCTTGAAAAATATTCAACGGCTTTGAAAAAACATCCCCATACGTTGTTGCAAAGAGTTTCGATCTGGAAATCTGTTGTCGATGATACAACACTCGCTAGGTGTTCGGCTGCCTCTTGAGCTTGACATTTTGACTCTAGGAGATCTTGAAATGTTTCGACGATGTGCCATTGAGGATATTGGGGGTCTAGTTCTGGCCGTGGAGGTGGGGAGTCGAAGTTGTTGCCTTGTGCTGGGTACAGTCGACCTAGCCATTCATGCTGTTGTCTGATGTATTCCTCTACCATGATTTACCATAGGCATAATGCAAAGAAATGATTGATCAGAGGCACAATTGATATGGCATGGCAAGATTGATCTAGGCAGCAATGGCGTACGTCATCGAGACTTCAAGTCATGGCGAAGGATTGTCATGTAGAAGAATTGATCCTCTTCAAGATTGAAAGGCATCGAAGAGTATAAGACAAAGTGTAGACAATGTAGCTAATATTGTGGAGACATTTATTCCAGAGCATGAGTGGAGGTAGAGATAAATGAGACATGAGAAAGTAGAATGAGAAGGCGTCGTCACTCACCTCAAGACATGTAGACCGATTCTCAAGACCACCGACACAAAGAGGATGCACGAAGACAAAGACATGTTTCTATCGCACGGACTGTGCTGGTGGCAATCATGTCAAGGCCCAGTCAACAGATATCGCACTTTACAAAGCATTGAACGCAAGTAACAAGATCGACTTAATGATAGAATGATTCTTTTATACAAAACTGCAGGAACCTGCCCGCAATGATAGTAGTCTTTGATGATGTGGGGAAGCGCGCGCGATCGTGTGATCATAAACTTAGGCCTAATAAAACTGCAGCATTTGTATATCGAACAAACAGACAACGGAAAAAAGGATGTGCGATGGAAAAAGATCAGGCGTGCATAAGAAGCCAACGAGAAGGGATATAACTTGGTCGCAAAAACTCTCCATCAGTATAAGACAAAAAAAAGGTAGAGGGGGTCATCAAGAAAAAAGGTATAAAAAGGGAGTTTTTGCTACATCCAGGAAAAACAACCAGCCTGCCAGTACCCAATAGTGGTAAACAACGATAAGATGCTTAGCGACGGGGGTGGCCACGGACACGGCGGTGCTCCTTGCCAACGTGGCGGCGAGCGTGGGCGTTGGCAGTCTCGACAGCGGTGGCGGTGACGGTGACGTCGACCTCCTCGATCATCATCTCCATGACCTGGTTGCCAGATGTGTACCACGAAGTGGCGATGATGTTGCCGGCAGCGTCAGTCTCGGCGTTGGCGAGCGAGGCAGCGGCAGTGACGGTCGAGACGGACTCGGTCTGGACGTACGACGAGGCGGTGTTGGCAAGGAGAATGCCGCCACCGTACTTGTCGGTGATGGACGACGTACCGGGAGTGTAGCTCAGAGTGGGGACAACAGCGGATGCGGAAGCGGCCGAGGTGACCTGGGCAGAAGCCTTGGTCGAGGTGGCAGCAGCCTGGGTCTCGTCACCAGCAAGGACAACGGGGTAAACGGTGGCGTATGAAGGACCGGACTGGATGGGGACAGCGATGGGGAGACCGTCGCGGGGACCAAGAGGGTTGTCGTCCTTGATGGCATCAACATCCTTGAATGTGCACTGCTGCTCCTGGGCCTCGGTCTGGATGTTGAACAGAGGGCAGTCCTCGATCTGGCCAGAGGCATTGGTGCAGGTGTCGACGGCAGACTGGAGGAAGTCGCTGCTGTCCCAGCCCATCTGGAAATCACCGTGGTATCCGTAACCAGTAGGGTCGCCGTTGGAGAGGACGAATTGGCCGTCCATACCCTTGAAGGCGTAGGTGTTGAAGATGGTCTCGAAGAAGAGCGAGGGNAGCTTGGTGCCGAAGCCTTCAGGGCAGGAACCGCTCATGACCAGGTCGGGGAAGGCGACGTGGGATCTGTGGTCATCCGAGTCGACATCCTTGCCGTTCCAGCACGAGGGGAACATGAGCTCGAGACGGATACCGTCAACGCAGTTGGCGTCGAGGTACTCCTTGTCGGGCAAGAAGTGACGGTAGAGAGATGCCTCGGGGTTGGCGGCGTAGTTCAAGCAGTTGAAACCAAGAGCCTTCTGGGAGAGAGCACTCTGGGTCTTCTGGTTGGCAGTCCACGAGGACTTGTCGTTGTCAGGAATGGGGTAGGGGAAGCTACGCTGGCGCTTGTCACCAGAGATCATCTGGAAACCCTCGGGGAAGGCGGTGATCTTGCCGTTGGGGTTGGCAGCGTCAGTGTAGAGGAGGTAGTAGGCCAGCATACCGCCAACCTGCTCAACCATCTCGGCAGTGCCGTTGGAGTGGAGGAAGTAGAGAGGAGGGGTCCAGTAGGCAGACTTGTCCTGGGTAACAGCACATGAGGTGCAGTCAGAGTCGACAAGGTCCTGAGGAGTGTTGCCAATGCCAAAGTCTGAGNNGGAATGTTAGTAATTGGTAAGCCAAGACAGCATTATCAAGAACATACTGCTACCACCGTGGATAACGTGGACGTGGTCGGAGACCTTGCCAGGGTCCATGATGGGGTCAAGACGGCCGACACCACTACGGCCACGGCAAGGAAGACGCCAGAAAGCATCAGCGCTGCCGGCAAGCGACAGAGCGCTGACTGCCAGAGACAGCGCGGAGGCTTTGTTGTTCACCATATTGAAGGTGATGTTTATCGATTGGATGAAGTAGGGTTATCAAGCTTGACAAGACTGACTGCTAGGCCGGTCGATTGTCAGGTGAAGGTGGAGAGGAATACGCAAGCCACGAACGACTCGAGTTGTTTTGCTGCTGCGACTAAGGAATGTGGGAGAGAGTCTGGGAAACGAGTGTGAAGATGGTGCCAAGATTTGGGCTGCAGCGGATGCAGGTAGATAATGAATGATTTTTGGACCGAAGGGAGGCCAGATGAAAAGAGTGACGGTAGATTGAAGCAGCAACAGAAACAACAGACGAGAGTGAGGTGACCAAGGCGTGCAGGGGAGGCAGAGGGGGATGGGTGTTTAAGGAAATGAAGCTGTTTCTAAAAGGGGCACGGTGCTCCTACACGCGCCGCCACAATTTAGAGCGTTTCATCTCGCAGCACCCCCGATGCACTCTGCGGCATCTGCGTTCAGAACCGTGTTATATTGCCTTGCCTTGACTCCGCTCCTATCGATTGTGCGCGGCGAGCATTGCCATGTCGCCTCACTTCAACAATGTCACTGGCCGTGCAAGTCCTCGTGTTGGGGGTCCCAGATTGTGCTCTGCGACCTGCCTTGATATTGCGCACATCAGGAGGCCCCCAACCGGCTGTGATCTTCGCGTGTCCTTGGGATACCGATCTGCATGTCGGAAATGAGCCTTGTCAAACAGTCAAGCCAGTGGTTGTTGACATCGCGAGGAAAGAAGTCACAACATGAAGCTAAGCTTTGAGGCTTGCCGCGAAACCAAAATTCACAACGGCCGGCCGGCGGCAGAAGAGAGAGCAACAGGGCAGTTTCCCTCAAAAGCACAGCGAGATGCGTGTCATCCTGCATCCTTTTCTTGTTGACGTGGGATACGATTGTAACGAATGAAACGTCTGCTAAACACAACGACCAACTCCTTCTTCCACAGCAACAGTACCCGCGGCAAAAGTCTTTTATTATTGTGACCCCTTACTTTGCTCACATTCTTTGACAGGCGCACATGACATTGCCGCGCATGAATCGACCATGCATTGAAGCGCAATCTTGCAGTGACGAAGCTATCGTTATTGCCAATACACTGGGCGCCTCTGNGGCAATTGACACTGCGGCACAGTGCGGCCGGGTCCTAGTTCTTATAATTGTGCTCCCGAGTCCCAAGAATCGCAACAACAATCGATATGATTGCGCCCATCGTTCTTCCAGAATCTCTACCGGTCTGGCATTGCCGCCGCNATCCAGGTGCGACCCCTTATGCAACAGTCGAGNCCAAGTCTGGATGTCGGGACCACTGTACGGGGAACAGGTGGCGATCCCCATACAATCACAAGAGGCAATGGCCTGCTCTTGGTCACCCCTCGTGCGCAGNNCTTGCCATTTTTATCCCTGGACACGTCGATCGTTTCGTGTCAAAGCACTGAGAAGACCCGCCGCAAGAAGATCTCAAGGCAACTGCTCTACCATGACGTTTTTGTAGTCAAATCGAGGCTTNNCCCTTCGATGCAATCGATTTCACATCCTCCCGTCCTGCTTTCCAACTGGCAACGGGCGGTTCCCCTGGCGTTCACCTGCACTGCCCCTACTCGGNNACTACTAATCAAAAACCCCGCTCACGAATGGGCAGGGGCCTTAACCGCAACGAAAGTTTCACGGTGACATAGCATCGGCATTTCGATATAGGGATGCATATGGTTCAAGCCACAGGGTTTGACATTTTGTTACAAGTATCGCCCACTGCGACGACCCAAACATTCACTTCCCTCCGCTCTCAGCCTCGCACGCTGTACTTGACGTAAATCTTGTCTTTTGGCTTGGTCGCGGCAAAAGTGTTAAAGTCACTCTTTGGCACGCCTTCCATCTTGTTGCCATGCTTGTCCGACAAGGCAAAGTCGAAGTTGGCGAGGAAGAAGGCGAGGATGATGTTTTGCTCGAGTTTCGCAAATCTCATGCCTAGACATGGGTGCCTACCCGCGCCCCAGCCGATGAATCCAAACTTTGTCTTGTGGTCCTCTGCCTTCTCTGCCAAGTAGCGTGATGGATCCCACTTTTCGGGATCGGGGTATACTTCAGGGTTGAGGTGAACATCGGCCATTGGGTATGCTGCAAAGGCGCCTGGCGGGATTTCCGTGCCATCTGATACCTTGACGGCCTTGCTTGTCTCGTTCTTACGGAACATGGACCCAGAAGCGTTCAGACGGATGCTGTCTCGTAGGCACAAATCAATCGTGGGCAATTCATTCTCCCACGCCTCGAGGGGAGCAGATGCCAGTCTGTCTGCGATCGATTTTGATGTATCATTGTCGTACTTCTCGGCGACTGCCTTGACTTCCTCCCAAACCTTTCCGCGCCAGTAATGGTCATTTGCAAGGTATATGATGACCCAAGCAGCGTTGATGCCTGAATTGAGTTGGCCCGCGTACAGCGCACCCAAGACAAAAGTGAGAATCTCCTTGACGTTATCTCCCTTGTCAATTAGGAATTGCAGCGGATCCTCCTCTTTGCGACCAGTCTTGGCACGATCCTCGATAATCCCCTTGAAGATCATGTAAAGTTTGCCACCATACCATAGTCGTCTGAGCTTTCCAGGGAAGGGGAACCAGGGGAAGATGATGAGCTTGGCCGAGGACGAAGCCTCTATTTTCTCGAACATGTCCAGCGATTGGTCCAACAGAGTACGATCGTTGGCAATCTCGTTGCACGCGACCGTTCGCATGGTGAGTTGGTAGACGATGCCGTAAATGCTCTCGAAAGGATCGGTGATGCCGTTCGGGTCTTTTGCGAGTTCATCCAGACGCGTTCTTGTGTCCCTGATCAAATCCTGCAGTCCTAAGCTAAATGTGAGCATACGAGAAGACCAATCGCAGTTCCTAATCATACCTTTGACAAAATTCTCCTTCTTCAACATGGCAAGAAGACGTCTGGAGAATCCCTGACCATCAATCTCCTCTTGACCAGGATCATGAGTTTTGGGTACTGTTGGTGCGCCGGCAAACAGAGTGGCATANTCTAGATTCCGGAGACAAAGGTTTCAGTAACCATGCATAATCCCAAGCAAGAGTCAGTCTGCCACTCACCCTGAAGACGCATCCAGCTGCCTGCTTTCCATGAAAGCTCGTCTACCATCATCTCCAGACACTCCCACGACCACATGTTTGCCAACGTGAAACGTGAAATTGCCATTGACTGATGCCTTTGTCGCTTCCTTGAAGAAGTCCCATCGTCTTGTCCAGAAGTCCGTGGGGCCGATCAGAGGCCACTCGCCTTTTACCAGTGGAGGTGCTCCTTCAGGTAGATAGCGGCCAGCAACGTAGAGGTACGCAGCGAAGAAACCCAGCGCAAGGGAAACAACAGTTAGCAACGCCTGCGAGGTACCGAGACCCTGTACCGCTTCCGTCAACGCCATGATGATGATGTTGTTGTTCCTCGAAAAGCCAGAAGAGTGCGAGGAGTCAAGAGGTCACAGGCAACAGGGCCTTGAAGAGATAGATATAACGCCATGACCCCGCTGATGAGCGCGCTATCCCACGACTGCATCTTAGCGATGTTGGATCCTGCTTCAAGTCGAGGTCATCATTCTCCAATCAGATGGTTGGGATGTGACGGAAGGGCACAAGCGAGCCTGCACGTTGCAGCCGGCCCTACCACATTCCGTGCAGATCCTTTCAGATCCTTTGAGAGTCTAATCGCGAAGTAGCTTTTACGATGTACGCCTCGTGTGACGACCTAGCTCGTTGCTGTATGTATGCAATATGCGTTTAGCAGTATCTTGGCCTTGGAGTTGACTGTCCTTGGATCTGTCTGAGGTTGTACAAGTTTGCAGGTGTTGGGTTCTTGGTGGCCAGATTCTTGCTGCAGCATTCAGGCCGCGGGGTCGTGGAGGCGGGCCTCTTCGGATCCTTATGTTATAGGTCGATGAACATTTCAAGGACCTACTCAGTACTCTTTTCGGTCACACGAAGTTGCAGCTTTCAGCTATTCGATAGACGATTCAATGATGCCTATTATGATCCTATTTAGGCTTCGTCTTTTGCGTCATTGTCGACTGAGGTTGGTCAGATTCGTGGCGCAAGAGGTTCAAATGTTTAGGCACTTGTAGCCTTCACAGTTCGGTTCGACGAATCATGGCGTAATCACGTTGCAACCAACTCCAACACTAAAAGATATGAGAATAGGTAGCCAGGCATGTCCTGTGATCTGTATCGGCAAGGAAGTGATAATGTGCACGTCTTTATAGTCTTGATTTTGATTTTGATTTTCGTAGCAGTCGAGTATGCAACCCTGACTCAACACAAGGTGGATCCCGGTGGGCACCGTAACGGCCGCAACAACTGTAGTTCGATGTAGGCAACTCAACAGATGGTTAGCAAGGCCATTGCGCATCGCTAGCGGTGTTCAATGTGGCTTTTACAACTGCCGTGCGTCTCACATAGTCGATGTGTTGATTCGCTTTGGCTTCCTCTTTCGGAGCGACGGCACGTGTATGGCAATGTGGTATCAAGGTAGATATGGTCGAGAAGTTGTGCGCAGTGAAAGGCGTGTTAAAATGCTTGGTATAGATACAAATGCTCATGCGAGTAGGTTCGTAGGTTTCATTGCGACCTCTTGGTCTTTTCCGTCGACGTCATCAATATCATGCTTGTGCTTCTCCCTCTTGGGTAGTATGGTATATGTCGTCTCAATCCATCTACTTCTTGTCGGTCCTCGCTCCAAGACCCTCCTTTCCACCCTTGACCTCGTCAACTTCTTGGAATCCAGTGCTTCTGCTGCTGGGCTTTTGGGGGTCGGGCTGCTTTGCAGGGTGGTCGTCGCCAGACTTGTTTTGGCCAGAGCCTTTGGTGGAGGCAGATGACTTGTCGTCGTGGGCAGGAGAGCTAGTGTGACCCTTCTGTTGTCTGCCGGGAGGGATGTTTGGTGGTGGGGGTGGGTCTTTTTGCAGGCGAGAGGTGGTGCTCAGAGGGCGCGTTGAGGCGATGCGGCTTGTTCGCAAGAAGGAGGCACGTAGAGATAACATGATGATGATGTCTGTGTGAATCGTTTCGGAGGTTTGCAGAAAAATTGGGTAAGAATAACTTATTGGAGCTGAGGTCGAGTTAAGAGTAGACTTGAGCAATCGAATCGAACCTCTCATGATATCATCATGATGGAGATCAGTCCGGTCGGGAGAATGGGTTAATATCGATCATATCAAATTTTGACCTACTTTGTTTATGGAGAGCTCAAATGAAGGCCATCGCGTGAAAGAACATTTAGATGCGCATCAAAGGTGTGGCAGCATCAGCTTCACCCCAAGCAACGAGCTTCGAGTATGAGATGAATCCTGCCATCCAAGGCCAAGATCGACGCACACCTAGATGGAACTATCCTCCACGCGAATGATAAGAATCGTACAGTGAACAGCGAGCAAGATGCTCGAGCAGGCGTCTGGTAAAGATACGGTGGTTCTCATGAGTAGAGGTGGTTGCTGTCGTCGCGATTGAAAGATGTCTGGTAGCGGGAACAGCCGCAATGGGACCAAAACATAATCTTGGCATTTCCGACCCTCGAAGTAATTCACGCCGTGCTGGAATCTTGAAGTTCATTCGATATTCACATACAGTCGCCATGGCCTCCACAAGAAACTGCCTGTCGCAACTGACACGAACGACTCTATCACGACCGAACCTCTACGTCCCTTCAATCTCGATACAGCAGCGTGGTGCTGCACAGAGTGCCAACGCTCAAAAGTACAAGCGCAAGGAATTGCCCACATCACAGCGCAAGAAGAAGAGCAGGACCACCTTTATCAACCATGACCTGAAAGACGCCATCCAGTTTCCACTGGTCGATGCCATGCGGTACGAACTCCAGCACATCCATTCTCTCTGTACTGGGCTTGAATCATGAGAAGGGCAAAACTAACAGCATTTANGATACCTTCGCGCAACAGAAGTCGGTCGTGTGCCAACATCCTCCAAGTACGAACTGCACCTTCGCCTCAAATCCCTCAAGAACGGTCCCGTAGTCCGCAACCGTATCCGCCTCCCACACCCCGTAAAAACCGATCTGCGTATCGCCGTCATCTGTGACCCCAACTCTTCCACCGCCGCTGCTGCAAGAAAGGCTGGAGCGACTTTGGTTGGCGAGGAGGCCATTTTCGACGCTGTAAAAGAGGGCCGTATCGAGTTCGACCGCTGTCTGTGCCACCAGGACTCGCTCGCAAAGATGAACAAGGCCGCGTTGGGAAGAATTCTGGGTCCCAGAGGCTTGATGCCCAGCGCAAAGACAGGAACAGTCGTCAAGGATGTTGCAGCAAGTGTGCAGGACATGGTTGGTGCGAGCGAGTACAGAGAACGTCTGGGTGTTATTAGAATGGCCATTGGACAGTTGGGCATGACACCCGAGGAGTTGTCGAGGAATATCAGAAGCTTCATCGAGAACGTCAAGAAGGACATGGCTGGTATGAGCGACAGAATCGCCAAGGACATTCACGAGGTGGTGAGTAATGGCCTTTTCCTACGCTCTTTTATGCAGAAGGGCTGCATACTGTAAGAATCGTGGCTAACAATTTCACAGGTTCTCTCCTCAACCAACGGACCTGGTCTCAGTTTGAACGGCGACCTCAGAGGCCCTGACTCGATACCCACAAAGGACCTCGCAACTGCCATGTAACAAAAGCAAGCAGGTAAAGCATTGTACATATACCCGTCTTTTCATGTGCCCTTCTTCTTTCTGTACTATCTTGTATCACCATTTGCATATTTATGACCATACTGAAAGATGGCAGAAGACTGTCTCCCAGAACTTGTAATTATTTCATTGACACGTGATTCACTTTTCCTTCAGTTATGGATGGAAGGCGCGAAGGGCTTCACTTTCAAGAGTAGCTTCGTTGCCGTCCATCTGGCTTCTGTGTCTCAGCAGCACCACATCAGCAACAATCTTCTACCCTGTCCATCTGTCAAAGGATACTCTCCAGACTTGTCATTGGCCAGTCCATCACTCACTTGTTCTACACTAATCTGATAAGCGGTAGGGAGGACACTCCCGCGTCTCCATTTCTCTCTACTACTGCGAGATTCGGCCGGTCAGTTGAGCACCGCACAACCGCGGGAACTGGTGTTGCCGGTCATACACTTTGCATTCTGCACACCGCTTGGTTCTTACCACATCATCACGCACAGCTGAAGTGCACGACCACATTGTCGCTGCTGTCATAGCCGCACACCTCTCTGCACCAGCTATTCTGCATCAATCAGCCCTACTTCCACAGCCGGCGCGTCGACAAGAACAGACTCTCCACTAGCGAGTTCCTTGCTTGAGAACTGGGCTCTTCGTCTCCTCGAGCAAAGCATCACTCTTCCACGGATTCTTTCTTGGACTTGCTAGAGGTGTCAAGTCCGACCTTCAACATACTCTTCACCGTTGTTCCCCGCGGCGATCCGTCATTTCTCAGCCTAGCCCACCAGAGTCGTCGTTAACATCACATCACGACCTCGACTGCCTCAGAGGTTTCTCTTCTATTGGATCATCATGCGACACGAAACCTTACTTCCACGCAAGATTTGCTATTCTCCCTCTATGATGCGTCCGGAGGAGGTTGCAAGTATCCTTCGTTTCTTTCCCGCGCAAAGAGTGACCCACGCTCAAGTCTTGACAAATCTGTGGGCAGAGCTGGAGAGCAGTCTAGACGGAAGCGAGACTAACAAGAACACGATAGCTAAGATCGAATCAGCATCCAATGTCATAAGAGGGATAGCTAAGCTCCCTAAGCCCAGAGACCTATCAAGGGTTCAAGTGGTAAGATCAAAATGTCTTTACGTGGGTCCTTCGAAAGGCTGATGCAGATATAGAACACAACCTCAAATCCCAGCCATAGGAATCACAGAATGCCGAGCCGAAAGCGTGATCGTAAGAACGAGCCTGCGTCCAAGTCTACTGCTTCAAACTCTGCTGCGAAACGCGCAAGAACAGCTGATGCCGAGAAGACGGAAAAAACCTTTCGCTGCGTCGATCGTCTTGATGAAGTCTACAGTGATCTCTTCATAATTTGGTCCCAGACGATGACTCTGCAACAGAGAAAGTTTCTAACCAGTCAGCTGGGGGAACTCATGAGGTTGCAATCAGCCCGGCCTCTCTTGCTCGATAAAGACATGAAATTTTATCGCCACATGATCAAGCGACCTATCAGTCTTTCCACCATGCGCAACACCTTGGTCGATGGTGCGTACACATCGGTGTCAGACTTCTGTGCCGACTTCAAGATCATCATCACGAATGTCCATCTGGCCTTTGGCGAAAGTGGTAGCAGGCCGATGGATGCGCGAAGGCTCTTCCGCTGCTTCTGTAAGCGGATGAGAAAATGTCCAACTGGCCCCGAAGGCGAAACAGCGTACGATTATGATCGAAGAGTCACAAGGTTCGTTGGATCACAAACCACAGATGTCAAAACCAAGGCTCCAAAGCTATCGTCAGAGAGGCTCGAGGTTATCAGCATTGGCTCTGACGAAGACCAGCTTGATGAAGTTGCTACTGAAACTGAGACCGACCACTCAGAGGATTTTCTCAGCGATTCTGTTTTCTTGGACGACGAGCTCGAAGATTACGCTGTCGTCGAGACTTCTATATCGCTGGGCCTGGTACAGGGTGAGCCATTCTTCTCACAGCAAACTGCAAAGACACCCGAGCCGGACGATCTCGACGAGGAAGCAAGACAGCTCCACAAGGAAATCGAGGAACGTCAACAGAAGCTCGCCGACATGGCGGAGAAGAAGAAACTCCTAGCAGAGATCAGAGACCTGGATAACAAAAAGGCAGAAGTCGATGACAAGAATTCCGAGACGGAAAGGCAGCTTGAGCAGCTCAACTCAAACATGGAGGACTGCTTCATGGAGACGCACAAGCTGCACTTCCGGTCACAAAGTCTCAAGCAGAGATGGTCACAGAATCAACAAGAGAAAGGAAGATTCCAGCAAGAAAGCGAGCGACTGCGACAAGAAACCGAGAGAAACCAGCACGAGATGAGGATAGTCAGCCAGGAGAAGGGGACACTCGAGCTAGAGCTCGAAGAGTATAACCAGACAGCCAACAAACTCGACTCGGACCAAGCCAAAATCGAAGGAGACAGACAGCTAGTCCTCGAAGATGGTGTGCAGCTTAGGAAGAGACGCGATGAGCTCGAAAATCAGCGAGCTATTGCAAAGAAGAAACTGGAGGAACTGAACAGCGGTAATTTCTGATATGTCTTTCAGGATCAAGTCACGGAAAAGTTATCAGAGAATGTCAATCAGAAGAATGACAGGATTGTCAAAACGAAAAAGTGCATCCAGGAAAGAGGGTCTGGAGAAGCAGCATGAAATAGAGAACGACAGAGGGCAATGAACAAGGACGAAACCCGAGCCGGGAAAGAACAGCAGCGGGCACAAGCATCGTCGGGCCCGAGAGAAGATGAACATGCATCTTCAAGCAGGTAAGAAAAAGAATTATGAATCTTCAAACCTTTTCGTATCATCTTGTAACACAAATCCGTCTTGTTTTCGTTGTCTCCTGCTTTTTGCTGTATCTCCTCAACTCTTCAAATCGTTGCTAGAAAATTACCGACTGGTATCATTAGCATGTTCAAGGAGACGAACAGCTGTCGTCTGACTGTACATCACAAGACATGGTGAAATCATTCGCATACAGGGCTTTCGAGAATGTCAACCGCGGGTCAGGTCTATCAGTGCTCTCCCTGGCAAAACACGAAGACTTCTCTACGCAAAAAATTGTCCATAGTCAAAATATAGAGGTGGCCAGGGTATCAATCGTTGTCCGCTCGAAAGTCAGTTTGCGTAGGTTTGTGTCGTCTCCCGACTTTCAAGTCTCATCTATCATGCTTGTTGAACAGGAGCTCGTAAGTTTTTTTCCTTGTAATGCTTTAGATTCCTTTCAACACCGCCACACCTTCTTCCGTCTCTCCCAACTCCCTGTATATGACCAAGAAGTCGAGTAATTGTTTCCCTGCCACACCAGCGGCTTGTGCCTGTTTGACAGCCGTCCTTAGATCCAGTAGTAAGGTATTTCTGAGGCGCAAGAGTCGAGATTGTTGGGCTATAACAAAGGGATGATCGAGGACTTTTTGCGTGAGGTGTGCGAGCAAGAGATATGCTTGTGCGTGTTTCCTTAGTCGAGAGAGTGTGGTCGAGGTAGCCGCATCTCCTTCTTCATCTTCGTCGTCTTCATCATCCGAGTCTTCGTCGTTTGCGGATTGGTTGTTTGCAGATAACGAGTTGTTCGGTTCGACCATGAGACGAGTCTCCAAGTCTTCCAATCTCTCTTCAATTTCCAACAGGCGTCTTCCCACCATGACATCTTTTCGGATCCTCTTCTTCTCTTCCAACAACACACCCACTTCTTGTGTTCGAGAAGCAACGATGTCTCTTACGCCACCCACTTCTCGCCCGAACCCCAATACACCCACCCTAACCTCTTCAATCTTTTCCTCTCCACCCTTCAGCCGCAGCCCCAGCGACAGAAACTCTTCATAATTGCTGTTGACCAAGTCCAGCAGTTCTGTACTAATAAGAGAAGAGCGATGGCGTAGATCTGAGCGCAAGTCTTCGAGGGTTTGGTGTCTGTTGTGGAGGGTGGAGAGGTAGGCTTCGGGGGTAAAGTTTTGGGTCAAAAAGTCGGAGCGGGGCAGGGCCTGGGGGAAGGGCAGGGGTGTTTTGTCGTCGTCCGGGTCGGAGGAGTAGAGGTAGTTGTTTGTGGATTCCAGAGGGTTGGATTTTGGGGATGGTGGGGAGGTGAGGGGGAGGGTGTTGCTGTTGTTGCTNGTTGATGAGGGGAGCTGTGGGTGGAATCGATTAGCGAGTTGGTTTTGCTGGAGGGAAGATGGGGAGAGGTACGTAGAAGGCACTCATAATGGTGGTGTCGGAGCAAATGTGCGACAGCGGGGGGCAGTGCGATTGTCGCAAAGGACGAGCTGGTGGTAGAGAGAGAGAGAGGTGTTTGGTATACAGATGGATCAGATTAGATTGGCTTCTGCTATCTCCGCGATATGGCTTACCAATAGCCGAGGCTCCAGTGACGACATGTCTATCCTGGAGATAGTCGAGTACTCGTAGCAATTGCCATCTCTTCCTCCTGCAAAGTCCAAGAAAGACGAAAGGAGTGCACGCAAAAGATGCCTACACCTGCCCTCCCTCAGCCCGCCCATCCAGAGCTCGATTCAATGCTGACGAGGAAGTTTGGCCGCGAAGTTGCCAATTACTTTGCTGGTACGCTCAATTGCTCGCTCCTTCCTCAGCATTCCAACTAAATAATGNCAGGCTCACCATTGAACCGCTTCGGCTTCCTCCGTAGCGACAATGTCTTCCTTTCTGGAGCTCTCAAGCACCCGTCGACCAAGTTCCTCGCTTGCAACAACCTCCAGCCATTGACCAAGGACAAGGCCAACCTCGCCTATATCCAGTACAAAGATGTCCAGCCCATCATTGGGGAGGACCCCTATGCCACCCCCGAGGCCAAGATGATCGAGACATTCAACTCCAAGACCTTCATCCCTCAGATGATCTTCCTCGGCCTGGACGAGTCGGTCAAGGACAACTCGTTCAGCTACGAAGCAAAGAATGCCGTCCACAAGGGTGCTCCCTACTTTGCCATCGACGTCACCCCCAAGGACCCTCTGACCCAGCAATGCAACGACCTGATCAAGGCCTGCGAAGACAAAGGCCTCACCTTCCAACAAGGCCGCTCCATGGACCTGCTAGCCGGCGACGCAGCAATCTACGCAGAAGCCCGCCAACTGCTCGATTGGAACATGCGCAACCCCTTCTGCGCTCAATGCGGCCACCCTACCCTCTCCGTCAACGGCGGTTTCAAGCGCACCTGCCCACCCACAGATACTGCCTCTCTCCCTTCCACCGCCCTCTCCACCTCCAACACCCCCGCCTCCAGCATCGACCGCCCCGCCTGCGCGACCAGAAAAGGCGTCTCCAACCTCAGTTTCCCCCGCACAGACCCCACAATCATCGTCGCCGTCGTCAACCACGCAGGTGACAAACTGCTCCTCGGCCGCAGCAAGCGCTTCCCAAAATACTGGTACTCCACGCTCGCCGGCTTTTGCGAACCCGCAGAATCCATCGAGGAAGCCACCCGCCGCGAAGTCTGGGAGGAAGCTGGCATCCATCTCGGCCGCGTCATCATTCACTCCACCCAACCTTGGCCTTATCCTGCAAACCTCATGATCGGCGCCATTGGCCAAAGTGTTCCTGACGGCGAAACCATCGATCTTGGAAATGATCCAGAGTTGGAGGATGCAAAGTGGTTCACCTTTGACGAGGTGAGGACGGCTCTGCGGGTGGGCACGAGTGGCTTGGACGAGGGACCTCAGCCAGAATACAAAGAGGGTGATTTGAGGTTGCCGCCGCAGACGGCCATTGCCAATCAGCTCATCAGTGCTGTTGTAGAGAAAGGCTTCTTGGCCGCCGAGTCAAAGATGTAGGGAAAAAGTGTGCAAAAAGATGATGTTTTGGCTAGTTCGATAGAAATTCTTTTGGTGATTTGGAAGTGACAAGATAGTATATACTTACTGAGCATTCAACCTCGAACCTTTTTTGATACCAGTCACTACCTCGCTCGATTGGGGCCAACATTCTGGCACATCTATCAAGGTCTCGAATACACCATGACCCCTGAAAATGTGTAGCCATCGGAACACAATCAAACCGACAAGGACACACACTTATCAAGATGAAGGATATCATAGATTCAATCTACACACATGCCCATCTCTCCAATAAAGATCCCTCTGCATGAAGAAGCCCAAAAACTACCGTTTTACAGCAATCCCTGTTTCTGCAAATCATAGTAGACCTTTTCGGGCATGACGTTACCCTCTCCATCCTCCATCTGCACAACCTGATCACTCGCCGTGGATTCTTGCTTCTTGTCCACCTGCAACTTGCCCCACAACTCGGTCGCCTCCTTGATACCCGTGACATCTCTGAACATGCTGGAATTGGTGATGCCCAAGCGCTTCAATCCGTACAAATGGCGGGCTTCGCCAAAGTGCTTGTCGAATGCTCTTCTGCCCATGTATACGTAGTTGCCGCAAATCTCGCAGGGGAACTCGACGCCCAAGCCGTGTAACTTGTAGAGCCAGAAGGGGATGGGTTTGTCGTCCCAGCCCAGGGGCAATTTGAGCGGGTTGTAGACTTTGCCTTCTTCGTCTTGGTCTTCGGTCTCACCGTTTGCGGTGGCGGAGGGGTCGGCGGATTGCAGATCTAGAGTTTCGGCGTAGAGGGCGGCGAGTTCTTGTTGGCGTTCTTTGTCTGTCATGCCTTGCTTGCGTTCGACGTTGGCGCGTGTGTCGGAACGCTCGGTCTGCATTGCGGCGGCGAGTTTGCGGATGCGGTGTTCGCGCTCTGCTACGGCTTTCTCTTTCAGGCGGTGCACTGAGGTTGCTGCGGTGGTGGTGCTGCCGTTTGTCGACGTTGTTTCGCCGTCTGCAGTGCGTTGTTTTCTTGCTTCTGCGTTTTTGATGTGTTTCTTTCCTGACAAATGGGCCTTGTAGACGTTGTCGTTCTTGAACTCCTTTTCGCAGTCTTTGCACCATATGCCTTCGCCTGTGCCTTCTGTTGCGGGTCCGTCTGTTGTTGATTTTGTGTTGAGTTGCCAGCCTGCAATCTCGTCCTTCTCCCATGCTTTTAAGAAGTCCTCGTCGAAGCTGATGAATAGCCTGTCTAGATCCTCCAAAGGCTTGATTCGGCGCATGAAGCTCTCGAGATAAGTGGCCAGATTTCCTAGGTATTGGAAGTATTGATCCTTCAGCTTGTCCGGCCGGGGCATGCCCTCGAACTCGTCAAATGTGTCCAGATATTGCAGATATGTGATGCGCCTCTTTGAACCAGGCAAATTGATGTAGTCTTCGTGTAGGGCGTTCATGTCAAAGTAACGGCCAAAGGCCTCCTCTCCGGTGAACATGGTATCGATTTCTGAAGCAAAGGGAGTGTCATCGCCGACAGCTCTGCGCTTGTATGCGCGCTCTAGGTTTTCGACAGGCTCATTCGGGTAGCGCTTGTGGAAGTCTTTGATGTTATTCAGTTGCTTGTAGAATTCGTCGAATGTGTCGCCAGTGGAGATGGATTGGATTTCGCGTAGACGACTGCCGTCGTTGTCTTTGTACAGGTCGACTGCGCGGTTTGATTGCGACTTTATGCGATCGAGGAAGGCAGCGATTTGGTGGTCTCTTGCTAGGCGGTCTCGAATCNNTGATTTACGTTAGTATGCTATGTGCAGACGAAAGATTCCTACATCCTCTATTCTTGTCTGTTGAGAGATCGCAGTGGTGGGTAACGGGAAAGGTTCCAATGAACAGAAACGTAGCTACAGGGAAATGATGAATCGCGAAAGATGGTAACTTACATGTTTAGGGTCTTCGAGTGATCGCTCGGCTATAGCCTGCTCGAGACGCTCAAGATCCTCTCGCGTGTTGCGCAAGTCTTCTAGCAACATGACGGTGGGTGTGTGTGGTTAGAAATGGAAGAAAGATTGATGGCTGGTATACTTTGAGAGAGCGCGGCGAGTGATGGAGGAGGTCTGTGCATTGCTGCGTCGTTCTTGCCGTTCGAGCTTTATTCCTCTTGCACTTGAACATCACTGCCACTTTCCCTCATTACGACTCGCACCTTCCGAATCTTCTCGTCCATCGCGCCTGCCGTCTATTCAACCCCGTAAATCAACTAGGAACACCACCCACCATGGCGGAAGGAGGAATCGACCGCAAGATGGAGGAGCGCATGGAGTTTTCGACATCCAAGGAAGTGCGTGTCGCTCCCACTTTTGAGGCCATGCACTTGAAGGAGAACCTGCTCCGTGGAATCTACGCATACGGTTACGAGTCTCCCTCTGCCGTCCAGTCGCGCGCCATCGTTCAGATCTGCAAGGGTCGCGACACCATCGCCCAAGCCCAGTCCGGTACTGGTAAAACTGCCACCTTCTCCATCTCTATTCTCCAGGTCATCGACACTGCTGTGCGCGAGACTCAGGGTATGTCGCATATTCTTGCAGTTGTCTCTCGGCCCAGTATTGACTTTCTCANNGCTCTCGTCCTGTCTCCCACCCGCGAATTGGCAACTCAGATCCAGTCCGTTGTCATGGCTCTCGGCGATTACATGAATGTTCAATGCCACGCATGTATTGGCGGCACTAACGTCGGCGAAGACATCCGCAAGCTCGACCACGGTCAACACGTCGTCTCTGGAACCCCTGGACGTGTCGCTGACATGATCCGTCGCCGCAACTTGCGCACACGCAACATCAAGATGCTCGTTCTGGACGAAGCCGACGAGCTGCTCAACCGCGGTTTCCGCGAGCAAATCTACGACGTCTACCGCTATCTCCCTCCTGCCACTCAGGTCGTTGTCGTATCGGCCACTCTCCCTTACGATGTGCTCGACATGACCACCAAGTTCATGACCGACCCCGTCCGCATTCTCGTCAAGCGTGACGAATTGACCCTTGAAGGTCTCAAGCAGTACTTCATTGCGGTCGAAAAGGAAGAATGGAAGTTCGACACACTCTGCGATCTCTACGACACCCTTACAATCACACAAGCCGTCATTTTCTGCAACACCCGCCGCAAGGTCGACTGGCTTACCGACAAGATGCGTGAGGCCAACTTCACCGTCTCCTCAATGCACGGCGAGATGCCCCAAAAAGAGCGTGACAGCATTATGCAAGACTTCAGACAGGGCAACTCCAGAGTCCTCATCTCCACCGATGTCTGGGCTCGTGGTATCGATGTTCAGCAAGTTTCTCTTGTCATCAACTACGACTTGCCCAGCAACCGTGAGAACTACATCCACAGAATTGGTCGTAGTGGAAGATTCGGTCGCAAGGGTGTTGCCATCAACTTCGTCACCAGCGAGGATGTGAGAATCCTTCGTGACATCGAGCTTTACTACTCTACCCAGATCGATGAGATGCCCATGAACGGTAAGTCGTCAGACCCAAAGCTGTTATATGATCCTTCTCTAACTATCGTAGTCGCCGACCTTCTTACCTGAGCAACCGATTTATGCATTACGTTGTTTCTCATGCGTGTCACTGGGTTGCATAATTTGGCCGGAGTTGAAAAGATTGCCATTCGGAGCATAAAGTTGGAGGAAATGGGCCATGTAGCCAATACGGTGAGTGCCATTCACGACTTCTTCCTGCACTGGATTAAAACTGACAACATACGGATCTAGTCAATGCCAGACTTGCCATTACTCACTACCCGAGTCCGAAGATCGCTTTGACGCTGAAATATACTCGAGAGACTCCAGTTTACTGACACTACAAGCCCGCCGATACACACGACGTGTACGCATTACAAGTAGGCACTGATGGCAACCGGGATCACAGGTCAGACTGGCCTCTTCACCTAGCGCTGCGCTGCGTCGAGCATCTTCAATCAACCAGCGAAGAGAGTCAGGAAAGCATAGATGATCCAAACAGTGGGCGTTTCAGGACGAAAATCCATGAAGCCAGCCGGTTCTTTCGGGTGGGACAAACAACGGGGTGACGGGAAGGATGTACATAGTCTGGTACTCGATGCAGTAGGTAGACCATCTTTTCGCAAGCCCCTCTTGCGGCAACTTTGGCTAATGAGAGCCACGAAAGTCACAACTCACTTCCTGATATGTGCCAACAAAGGCTCAATTCAACTGAATGAGACGTGAATAGTTTTCGCAGTGGTAGTTGTCACTCCCATTGCGGAACTTCATCTGGTCACTTTGCTCGCTTCTCACTGCGACATCCTTCTTTCACAACCACCGCAATCAGATAAAACCACCAACACTTCTCATCCACTAGTTCTTCGATCTACCAACTCTTCCATGCACTAACTCTTCCATCCATCAATTCTTTCGTCTACCGGTTCTTCCATCAAAAACATTAGCAGGCCGAGTGCGTCGCCTACGCTTCTGACTTCGCACAAAATCACAGCATCGGCAAACCTCCGTCCTTCCTCCTGAGAACCACAACAACCTTCTCGCTTAGACACACGTCTGAACGTCGCTTTGTCTCACAAGCGTGAGTGAAGCTCTGTATCACATCATAGATCATTCTGCCTCCCGCGCGTATTAATTTGACACCTTCTTTCGCTTATCATTGCTGGCCACTTTCACAGATGGATGATCCAGCTTCTCTCGCCGACACAGACACTATGGCAAGCTCAAGTCCTTCAAAGGCGACCCTATCAGCTCTTCCGGTAGAGCTGGTTGACAGAATCTTCTGGCTCGTCGACAAACCGGATCTAGTCAATCTACGCTTCGTTTCCAAGTCTATCTGCGCCATTGCCAACAGACCATTTGCCGTCCGCAACTTCACCCATAGCCATCAAGTCATAACCAAACACAGTATGAAGACTCTCCTCGCAGTTAGTGCACACAAAGTCTTTGGCGCTTACATCAAATCCATCATGATCAGCCCTGCCTGTAGAATAATAAAACACATTCGTCCCGATGATATCGAAGAGGAGAATACTGTCGTGGACGACTCATTGATCGAATCTGGCAGGTTTGGTAAGATGGTGCATCGGATCTTTGTCAATCTCAGGCAGCATTCTGCCTCAATCCGCCTCGGCGTCCTTGAGGATATCTACCTTGGATGCAACTATCGCCTTGCGAGCCAACATACAAGACGATGTCATGGCAGGAATGCCCTGCAAGTGACTAGCCCCCGTGGGATCTCTTTCAGAACATCTGAGACTCTCGAACTCGTCATCGCAGCGATGCAGGTGGCTGGACTCAATATCGGTGGCCTCAACATCGAGCTGTCCCTGGACACGCGCGAGAACCCGAAGTGCAGAACGAACGAAACCATCGAGTCAAATCACGCAACTCACCCATGGATTTAGTTTTCAGATGGTTCAATGGCGTGCTAGACTATCAGCACTCACACGGTCTGCTGTCCTTGTCGGGATCAATTCTACTCAGAGATCGTCCAAGATATCCCGCCGATACCCTGTTACTTGACGGAGTCTTTCAGTGGCTTGCAGACAAATATGTTTCAAAGCTCTACTTTCAGAATCTCGACGTTGGCCATCCATCCTGTCTCGACAGCTACTTCCCTTCGTCCCTCCAGAGTGTCACGATCGAAGTTATGAGATTGGGACCGACTATCTTCGAAGGAGGCCTTTACAGCAGGCTGTTCGAACATCTGTCGAGGTTACCAAATCTGAAATACTGCAGACTCGACACACTTTAATACAGTCTGCAAAGAGAACGTGACACTCCAGTTGCTCGTGTACAAAGGAGACGCGCAAACCGGCTTCTCATTTTTCTTAACGGCAAGTGCAAGCTCGAACTCACAGGCCCTCAAGTCTCCAGACAGATTGCGGACTTGGTTGTTTATACAACCGCTGCCGAATAGGACACGAGACACCGGATCCGAGCGGATCACAACTGCGACATCGACTATGTCATAGGTGTCGACAAAACAGTTCTTCACAAGAAATACGACGACTTCTACTGGCTTGGATGAAGGTAACGCCCAGGGTCAAGGCCTTCCTTGCAGCAGTGTCGTACCGACATCCGCGACATCAATCATGGTAAGTCAGTTCCTCGCCCAACGCCCAGGTCCGTTGTGTTCGGCCTCTTTCGCAACAATCTCAGTTGATGCTGCTCATGCTCTCACAAGAACTTGATGTCTTTACAGCTAAAAGCATCAGCAACACTATCTTTGCGACAACCGCCTTGACTGACATCCCTATCAGACAACATCCGTACCCAAGTTGCCTTCACCTCTGGAAACCCTCCCAAATGAAATCCTCTATGAGATCTTCAGCCACGTCGACGAGAAAGACTTGTCGGCAGTTCGTGATGTTTGCCCAAGGCTCTGCGATATTGTCACTCCACGTTTTGCCCTGGTCAACTTCACTGAGAGAATCCATGTTGTTTCTCCTCACAGTATCGATGCACTGGTGGGCGTCACAGAACATCCTGTGTTTGGCGGATATGTGAAAACCGTGGTCATCTGCAGCGGCAGACGCACCACGATCCCCGTGACGTCTACCTTCCCTGAGCAAGAATACACGGAGATACCAAACCAAGACACACATCTCAATGACTATGTGAAGACGAAACGCTTCGCACACCGTATGGAGCGCGTCTTCAGAAACATCAGAGTCCACTCTGGTTCTGTGGGGATTGGCATCTATGATATTCCAGGAAAGGGTAATCTCACCGAAGACGGACTCTAGGAAACATATTATTGGATGTCATTAAAATGTCATGGATGGTCTCGACTTTTCGACTCCTTATCACATGTTATTGCCTACCGGACAGCGGAGACTCTTGAAGAGACCGTGTACGCAGCTCGACGCGCAAGATGTCCTATCACATGGCTCGAGGTGGATCTGTTCGCAGACCATCCTTACTTCATACAAGCAGACCTTGACGCAGCTATGCACAGAATCTTGGAATCAAGCCTCACGCCTCTCAATGTCTATCTATGTGCTGGACACTCGTTCCGACTCGCATACGGCAGCGATTGGCAATGCTTGGAACTCGAACATTTTACTTTCGTCAACGCTATTCCTCTAGGTCCTCCGTTGCGCGCAGTGTACAGCTGGCTGCTGACTAGATGGGTCAAACATCTCAGGATTTTCAATGTCAACGGCTATCACGATTTCCGCCTTCGACCCTTCCTCACACCTTATCTGATAAGCCTCGATCTCCGTATGCTGTCTATCTGGACTGGGTACTTCGATCGACGCCTATGGAGCGAGCAAATCCGGATCATCTCGAATCTTACTGGTCTTCAGCACTGTACAATTAGTTGTCTCAGTTACCTTTTCGAGTTTACTGCGGACGATGATGACGATGAAGGATACTTGGAACTTCCTGGCTACGGCCGATATCCTTGTGTTGCCCCTCAGTTCTACCTTGCTTTCCGCGATGGGACTGAAACAATTCAGATGAACGGTGACGATGTCTGCGAGCAGCTCAAGGAATTGGCCAGCTATGTGGTCGCAGCAGAGGCATACAAGGTGCTGGAAATCGTCAGAGATGGTCGCGTGAATGGTCTTATGGTTGGTGTTTTTGACGAGTTCAATCTTGGGCTCTCTTTGCAGTCACTCCAGCTTGATGGAGCAGCTTCTGCGTCCTGAAGGCGTCCCATCGTTCAATCTCAAAAGCAGGAGGACGGTGCATGGGAACAACAGTGGGGTGGAGCTATTAGATAAAGGAAGAAAACGATCATACGGACATGACTTCACCAAGGAATGGACACAGTATTCATGTTTCATAACAACAAGTCCAGGCTGAGAGAGCAGCCATAGCTTACTGTGTTTCACATCGGTAAACCATGGAGCGACCTTATATCGCCGGAGAAGTCTCCGGTGGCCGACCGCTGATGTCATTGATATAGCTTGGAACCGCCAAATCACACCACCACACTTCTCTAATCACAATCAACATTCATCTTTACCATTCATTCCTCGTGACATCGACAATGGAGCAACAGCAGAACATCGTCGAAGATGTCATGGACATAGCAGGCAGAAGAAAGGGCTGCTGGCGAATCCAAGACTGCGGCAGCTGTCTCAAAAGCAAGCACAGTTGTGGTTGGTGTCCAAGTGTTAGTTTGTCCCTACGTCCAATCTCATCTCTCATCCCATCTTCCATGCCACAAGCTCCAAAACAAGCCCGGTAATCAAAAACTAACCCAACACCAACACAGAGTTCCACCTGCATCCCCACAACTGGAAACCTGCTCTCCCCACTCAACCACCCAGTGTGTCCTCTAGCCTCTGAGCGTTACGAGTTGCGCACTGCATCTCTAGGCTGCAATTGCAGCACCTATACTTTGGTCAGCATTCTCGTTACTGTGGTTGCCACTATTGCTGCTTTGGTGTTGTTGTCGGGGGTGTTGTGGTTGCTGAAGTGGTGGGGAAGGTTGATGAGGAGTGGGGGTTGGGAGATTGTGGTTGAAGAGGATGGGAGGGTTAGAGAGGGGACTTGGAGGAGAGGAGGATGGTGGCCTAGGTGGATGGTTGCAAGGAGGTGAGGTGGTGGGCGCGAAGGGGGAGAGGAGGCGGTGTTTGGGGGAAGTGGATTGGGACAAGGACTTGATGCTGTAATGAACTGATGTGCAGGTAAATGTTCGGACAAATTTATTCATTGGTCTTGTGTAAAGATTCTTCTACAATCTAGCCTTTATCTCTGTGCCTTGGTCTGCATCCCTCTTTGCCCATTCACGCAACACGACCCTCTGAATCTTTCCACTCGGACTCTTGGGCACCTCGTCAATAAACTTGACACCCCCGGAAAGCTTCTTGTGTTTCGCAACCTTTGTCGCTATCCACTCCACCACATCCTTTTCACTGACCTTGCCTTTGGCCGTCTCTTTCAACACCACATATGCTCTAGGCAAATCCTCATGGTCTTTGTTGAGCGCACATACGGCAGCATCGGCAATGTCGTCGTTTTCGAGCAACACGGCTTCGAGTTCGGCGGGGGCGACTTGGAAGCCATTGACCTTGAAGATTTCCTTTGCGCGGTCGACGATCCAGAACCAGCCTTCTTCGTCGTAGATGGCCACGTCGCCAGTTTTGAGGAAGCCGTCGCTGTCGAAGGAGGCTTTTGTGGCGCTCTCGTTTTTCCAATAACCTAAATGGGTGATNCTGTGAAGCTATAGTTAGTGGAAACTCGTATGAAAGGCAAGGAGTATACGTACATTTGGACCACGCACAAAGATTTCTCCTCGTTGACCTGGTTTGGTGACTTCGTTTCCGCTTTCGTCGATGAGTTTTATGGTCGAGTTTGGGTCGACTAGGCCAACGCTTCCGCTGCGATCGTCCATTCCGCCTGGAACGTGCAGGCATGAACATGTCACTTCGGTCATGCCCCATGTCTGAACGACTTTGAGACTGAACTTTGTGCTGACCTCGTTCTGTAACTCCTTACTGAGGGGTGCGGCACCGCAGAGAATGTTGACCAGCGATGACAAATCGTACTTCTTAGTCTCTGGTCGCTTAGCCAACATGACTAGAACAGGAGGTGCTGTCTGTATGTGTGTGATTCGGTGACGCTGGATGTGCGATAGGAAAGGTTCGAAGTTGAAAGCACGCATGTAGTAGCAAGGCGTCTGTGTAACCGCAGCAGCGGTGATCGACCATAATTGGCCATAGGCGTGGTATCTTTTTCAAGCATCAGTCCCAGTGCCACAGGATTTCACGGCATCGACAACAACTTACAATGGCAGGAAACCTAGAAATCTTTCGGGTGGCTTCTGATTTCCCGGATAGGATTGTGACAGCTCTCTCATGTAAAGTGATTGACAGACGTTGGCAATGATGTTTTGATGAGCGACCTTTACACCCTTCGGTAGACCAGTAGTCCCTGATGAATAGTTCAACACGGCCGTAGTAGAACCCGATTCTTCGGCTGACATGCGGTGCCATCGCCAGCTCTCCGCAGCCTCTTGAGTGGGGAGAAAAGAGCTCCAGTCCTTGACACCTTGTTGAGCTTTGCATGGTTTGTCCAAAAAGAGGAAGATCTTGTCACGAGGGAATTTGACTTGGTCTGCAGCCTTGAGGAGATTGTTTAGTAAACTAGGATCCACCAGAATGATCTTAGCCCCAGTGTTGGTGATCTGAAAAGCGATCTCCTTGACAGTGTAGGCAGGGTTACAGCCGCTGAATATGCGACCGCTTCCAGCGACACCTAGATAGGCGACTGGACAGAATATATGGTTGGTAGAAAACATCATGACTACTTCATCCCAGCCGATGTTGAGATTCTCGAGACCCAAGCCAAGCCTCTTGATCCAGCCCAAGGCTTGTTTGGGTGACAGGGAGTTTTCAGTATCGTCGGCATCGATCCATATTGGCTTGTCATAAGGTTCTTTTCCTTCGGGGTAGACATAGGAAAGTATGTCGGTGGCCGGGATGTCAATCTGGTAGGGCGACTGCTGAGGCATGGTGTCGGTGTTGGCGATGCGAGTGGAACATGTTCCAGTTCCTAAGACCAGCCATTTTGTGTACACTGTACAATGAGGGGTATATCGTCGAGGACCGAGGAAGACGACTTTGACTTTGACAGCGAGGTCGCCCACGTGGTGACGTTTCCGGACATGCGGGGAAAGCAGAGCCGCATCGAATCAGTCGATCAAATCTTTCAAGAGCGACTCCCCGTCCCTGCTTCAATGTGTAGCAGCAGCATGCATCACTCCGCATCACACTATGGCGAACCTGTTCAGACTGAGACGCAGTGCATAGGAGATTCCGAAAGTGACATGTGTGCGTGACGAGCTGCCTGTCAAGAAGACGAACGAACAGCCTCATATACTATCAATAGCTGGGATCCCCTGCTCCGAGGCAAGTGGTGCTTTCAAACATGTCAGATTACGTGAGCGAAGACCGTCGATTTCTTCTCGGCGACTCTTCCTGCTGTTTTCGTGCTCTCACACACGATCGAAACACCTAGACAGTCGAGCCATTGTGGTGAAACGCAGCTCCGACACTGGCGTTGGCTCTATCCGTCTATATCCGTCTACACGGCCTCAAAAAAGGCCAACCATCATTTTTCCTGGCCGAAACGTAGGACTAGTCTGATACCTAGCATTCCGAACATGGACATCATGCAACCTTTCGCTTTAAGGCCTTCCTTCAAAAAGCAAGCACGCGACGCGCGCTCGAGGAATCCAAGCCTCAGCTTCCTTTCCTTCACTTCTCCCTTTCCTGCGCCCGCCACTTTCTAGAACAGGGTGGTACTTTTTTTGAAGAAAAATGACATATCCTGGATGATATCTCTCCTGTCGTACTCTGAATAATCTCATTACTATCAGCAAGTGTCGGCATGGAGACACCTACAACACAAACCACCAAATCACGCTCTTTTACGAATATTTTTATTACGATACTTCTTCAACTTTTGCTCTGGTCTAGCCTTTTTCCTCTTTGCGTTCAAATATCTCTTTTCGCTCTTTCCAAGGTTGACAAATCCTTGTTTCTAACTGATGTTATCTGCATGGCAGCAGTAAGTAATCAATCATGAGTAGTTGACGATGCAGCATGCTAACACAATGTCTAGGCTGGAACGTCACTTTTCGTTATTCTTTTACACAGTCTCATCGTAAGGCTCCAACAGAGCGTCTTTAGCAAATGGGCCAAGGTGATTGCAACATTTTGCAGAGTCTTGGTCCTCTTCCTGTCATGTACAGCAGTGCTGTTGTGGATTACTACAGTCGGGCTGGGGGTCATCTTCACTCTTGCAAGACAACCAACATGTCGGCCAGCTAGTTTCGACACTCATGACATGTGGAGAAAGGGTCAAGTGTGTTACGTTCAAAGGGCAGGTCTAGTTGTCAGCATGCTAGCATTGTAAGTGATTTCTCATGCCATTTGATTGTCCATGTGACTGACTCGATTCGTATAGTNNATTGTTTCCTTCGTCTTATGTTTTACCTATAATGTTTCGCATGATCCGTACACAGCAGGGCTGTTCGGATCAGGACAGGCAAAAGTCTGCATATCGCCATCGGACCTTGGGAGAAAGACTCCAAGGGTGACGAGGCAGTCGAACCTCTCGTTCAAGTGCCGCTCATTACTATCTCCAATCGTCNGCATCGTCGCCTCTGATGATCTCGTCCCCCTACGCATGACGATGAATGCTAGCGACGAGAAATCTCATGGTCTCGGCATCTCATCACCTGTTTCGGACATCGAAAGATCGCCTCTTCTGGCAAAAACCCCAAGTCTTGCATCAATTCATTCTCGTAACGATAGTGTGGACAGCTCGAACCAGCCTGCAAAGGCATACCTGCCATCGGGTCGAACACATCAGCCCTCGCGGGTCCCAACAGCATATGTTCCCTCGCCTCATGGAACACACCTGTATTCGCCCAAGCACCTTCCCAAGAACATCGTGTCTGCTATGTCGGAAGAGGTAGCGAAGCCGCAGGCAGCAGCAATTTTGAACACACCACAACGTGGTCTCTCAATGCTGAAACGAGCTCCTTCGGCGCGGAGACAAGCACCTCCTATTGCGCCGCCACGGCCGCAACGGGGTCCTTCCATATCGCGACACATCCCTATCGTGCCACAAAGGGTTCCTTCTCTGACTCAATATGTTCCTAGTGCGCTGGAAAATACTCCTTACGAACCGCAACAAGCTCCTACTCTGCCACAGATAACACCTACCGCATCGCATCGAGATTCTGTCGCAGAAGTTCCGCCCATCCAGACGACAGCCCTATACACATCACGGCGGGTGTCTTCAATGTTCATGACTCCCACTTCCGAGATGGTGCCCNCCATGATGGCCAAAGCCCATTCTCCTGAAAGAGACCTCGACACCTTCCCAGCCTCGCCACCAGTTCATCTGCCTTTGACCAAGCCCAGAAACCTATACCAAACAAGACGAGCACCAACACNNCCTACAACCCTATGACTCAGTCCACCGGCCCTCCTGCGCCGAGAAGATTCCCTGTCACCTACACACCGTCGAATCTCTCCAACACCANCACCCGTTTCTGTTTCGGGACACTCGCGGTGTGCATCGTCCATGGCACTGCCTCCGACAGTTCTGGCGCCGCCACAGTTTTCGTCGCTTTTGGCGCCTCCACCTTCGGTTAGACAGCTCAATTCAAAGCTTAGGAGGGGTGTCAGTTATGCTTCCAATACAAGCAGTATATACAGTCGGCTTCCAAGTGATGACAAGTGATCTCGAGGTTTCGAGGTGCAAAAGATACATACACTTTATTACTTATATACCATATACGACACCTATTTTCCATTTCAAATAATTCAACCATCACTCTCCTGAGTTTTTTTCTTTTTTTGTTTCCGTTTCGAGTGGAACGTTTGTCAAGAGATTTTGCTGGGAAATTGTACAAGCAAGTCTTTGTGCTTTTGAAGTTATTCTTATCTTATCCCGACTCCAAGAGGAAAAGTACCTCTTGAGGGATTGCGACCGAGTCAAAAGATGATCGGTCATGACAGTCGCTGATACAGGTCGAAACAGGACGCATTCTGTAGCCACTGCTGCTTGAATTGATGACTTGTTTATATTGCAATCCTCACGTAGACTTTTATACCTAAGTTTTTTTTACATACCAAGAGCATCTTGCTTCAATTTTATTTATCTCTCCTCCTTTTTGTCGTACATGCCAAAAAAAAAAACAAGGATCTCGTCTATATACGACTCTATTGCACAGATCTGCCTCTGTCTTCCTCCTCTCCAATGACATCTTCAAAGTCTTGCTCGTCATCATCATCCTGGTTCCTGTAGATGAAGAATTGAGCAAAGACGCCAAAGTCGAGGAATAGCGTGCCCAGGCTTCCGAGCAACCAACTCAAATTGACCAAGATGTATCTACCGTAGATGGCACTGGCCTCTCCCGGTCTACATTTCTGACCGTGCTTGCCGTGATGGCAGATGGGGTTGAAGGCAAAGATGCTGAGAACATAGGTCAAGTTTCCAATACAGGCGAAGAGGAAGAAGAGGGCGTTGAGGCCTTCGGTGCTCTTGCGGCGGTAGTTGAGCAGGAGTTGGGGTACACGGCTGCCGAGGTAGAGGGCAGCGCACAGGTAACCAAACACCTGGCCGACGATGTTGAAGTGCAAGCTGTCGTTTTGCTGTTCTTCGGTCTCGTTGCCGTTGCCGCTGGACGAGGGACTCAGATAGTAGCCTGCAATGCCTGCTGCAACCACGAGGACAATGCAAGTAAGATTGAAGAGCAGCTTTTGCATAATGGAGCGTTTGGCGGAGCGCGGTCTTTGCACTTTGGGGGTTGGGTGCATGGGGTTTGCGGGCGACATGTGCACGCCGTCGTTTACGAAGCGCTCGCCGAACGACGATGTCGAGCGTGTGCGAGGGAGATCGCTGCCGCCATTGCCATTGGCTGATAGAAGACCAGAGCGCTCGGTGGGAGTTTCCTGCTCCACATCTGAAGGCTCGACGGGCTTGGGATCTCTGAAGTGGAATCCGCGATAGTAGAAGCATTGAGCCAACAAGACGATGTCCGCAAATGTGTAGTAGATGGCCAAGATGATNCTGCAGAATTATATTAGTTCTGGGTTCAACTTCTTCATCGAATCGAACACTTGTAAACTCACCATGGTAGGAAGAACCTTTTGCATGACAGCACCGATGATGTTGGCGAAATCTCCAAGAAGCCATATAATAACAAACTCTATACTCAGACCCTCGGCGCTGCTACGTCTGAAGTTTTCGATGATCTGAGGAGAGAAGACGACCACCCAGCAGGCTAAGACTGAGTTAGCAATGGTACTGGAGAAGAAGATGAATTGCTATATTGGGTAGCACTCACCAATTGAGATGGAACCCATGATGCCGCTGATGGCCTCGATATCGAGGTTGTACCCTGCCGACGGCGGAAACATGGTTGCGTAGGTATTGAAATGCTCAGACGTAATTGGAAGAAAAACAGCAAAGAGTGAGTCGTGCTGTTAACAATGTCAAGTGGTGGTAAGTTTGGCGAGATATAAAGTCCGATGCAGTCTTGTGGTTGGTCGTGGGGAATTCTCTTTTCCTTTCTTGAAGAGTGGCTGGCCTGAGTCATAAAAATGACGCTGTTTGTGAATCTTGCACAATCTACGTGACGATTTATGCATGCGTTCGACGTTGTTTGAACGTGAGATCAACATCTTGTCCTTCGAGAGTTCATGATATAGATGTGTGTAGGTCAGCTTCAGGTGAAGTACTTGAATGTGCAAGTCTTCGGATGCTAAGGAGATAGAGTATGCAGTATAGATTAGCAAGGTAGGCGTCATGAGATCCGCACAATTATTCTTCTTTTTATTCAATTTTTCTCCGCTATCAGATGTCAACCCCGCGCATTTTCATATGCGTTCGAGAAAAACTTCCTGATCACCTTGATAGCTACTGTTTCTATACCACTCCAACCAATCTCTTGCAACGGAACCCTCAGACCATCTTTCGACTTCAGTCTCCATACACCATCTCACAACACACATATCCTCTACGAACATCCAAATTCAAACATGGCCTCCGGAAAAGCAGCCAGAGTGCAGCTCAGCGACGACGAGGTCGATGACATCCTCTACCTGGCCCGCACAAACGAGAGCGCCGAACTCCAACAATACCTTGGCCAACTGTCACAACAACACAACTGCAGCATCGCTGCTCTGCTCGAAAGCAGTGTCGACGAGGACAATGGCAACACACCTTTCCACTACTGCGCTGCAAACGGCTATGCTGGTATGACAAACACGGCAAGGAGCTCAGAAACGAACACATAATAACGCAACAATCCAGACCTCCTCAAGACACTCTCATCACAACTCGACCCCTCGACGAAAACCGAAGTCTTGAGCCGCAAGAACGAGGCCGGCAACACAGCACTGCACTGGGCTTCGGTGAACGGCCACGTTGAAGCCGTGAAAGCCCTCATCGACAGCGGCGTAGACGTCTGGGTCAAGAACGCCGCCGGACACCTACCGGTCTTCGAGGCCGAGCGCGCAGAAAAGGACGAGGTGGTTGCAACACTGTTGATTGCCGGTGGAAAGGAAGATGAGGAAAAGTCAAGGGCACAGGAAGGCGAGGCTACCGAAGAAGAGAAGGCAGAAGTTGATGTTGAGGCTGCAACGAGCCAAATGGGCGAGTCGAGTCTGGAAAAGTGAACGACAATATACTGAGACCCATCCAAGAGAGGCAGCGTCCTCGTACCGTGCGATACAACAAACCACAGGTCGCCGACGTTAGCTCTTTGCTTCGTAGGCCTTGAGGCTATGTGAAAACGGTTACTGTCGTCGGGAGGCATGTAGCTGTGACTTGAGTGTAGATCGAAGATGCTCTGGAGCAAAGAGGCAATTTCCGAGGGCTGCTCACTTGCAACGTAACAAGACTGGCTCGGCATATACATAGATGCTAACACGAGATACCAAAACCATCCACAAGGCCAATTGATGCTCCTTTCACGAATTCGGACTCCGTTCACCTGGCTACTAGAGTGCATAGTAACACTTTCGGAAAACAGAATGTTCTCTATAGCAGGAAATCAGATCATTCATGTTCAGAACTCCCAAGACTCACTAAAACACATCTTGATATAACTCGTCATGTTCCCACATCAAAGACCACGAGTCGGAAACTTCAATCCTCCTCCTCTTGCTCCGCCAGAGACCCCATACGCCCATGATGAGCATGTCTATGCTTTCTGTACCTCGTCTTCTTCTCATAACTCGCCTTTCTCCTTTCCTTTTTACTCATCTGAGTAACCTCCTCTTCAAGTCCGACACTCATCCAGTTTTCCTTGCTCGTCAACAAATTCTCCGCTCGCAGATTTGCAGTCTGGTCTTTTGTGCCAGTAGTCGTCTGTCTTCGTCTCCACTCTTTTTCACGCTTGCTTTCTTCTCTGATGCCTTTGTAGCGAGAGCGTTGATTGCAGAGTCGAGACACCATGTCGAATAGAGACATGGGTAGAGAGTTGGAGGCATACAGGTCTTTGATCCGATCCCAGCAATCGTCAAAGACTTCCTCGTCATCAGTAACCTCTTTACTAGCAAACACTTCCGTCTTGATCACCTCCACAACACTGTGTTCAAAACTCTCTACACTGTACTCGACTGCAATCAAATACAGTTGCAAGTACCACTGTAAATCCACTTCTAGATCTACAGGTTCTTGGTAGGGAAGTGAGTACATGTGTTTGAGAAGGGCTTCCACGGCTTGATCATCGTATTCCTCGGTTGCAATGGTGTACGAAGAGACTTTGGCAAAGGGGCCTTGGAAGGCGAGGAAAAATACTTCTGAATGTTCTGAGAGGATGGCTTTGTGTGCGCGGATGGAGTGGCCGTTGAAGTGGATGGTTGTGTCTGAGGTGGTGGGGTTATTGTACATGAGGGCTCTGCGGTTTCTTTCGGTACACAAGTCCTTGGGGTTTTGACGTGCGGTGATATGCATGGCGACGGTGTTGGTCTGGGTTGATGTGCTGATGGGTGGGAGAAGGTGCGATGTGGAATGTTCAGGAGGAGACATGCAACCTACATATAAGAGGCATTAGATATGGTGAATCATACTTGCTAGCTTGATAGTGATGCTCAGAGGTTGGTTGGTGGCCGTCTATCGCAGAAGACTCATCAGTGAGACATCTTGAGCACGATACCATTTCGCACCTCGACAATCGAGAGAATGACTACTGAGGGAAAAAATCCTTCTTGATGTCCTAGACACACATTAGCATACTCTTCTGGGCGATATCTCCTCCATCCCATTATCGTCGTAAGCGTCGTCAAATCAAGGGCATGACCAGACATTTGCCAAGTCATGGCATTCGACAACGCAGGCCCCAGTATCCGCGATTGGTACAACAACGACTACGAATCAGACGTCGTTTTACGATTCGGCGATCGAGTGGTCTATGCCCACACAGACTTCTTGTCTGGATGTTCAAAAGTTATGGCCGACGCATTCAGCAAAGCCACACCAAAGCCGACGATATCTGTACCATGGTACTACGAGATCTCTAACTACGATATCGATGTTGTCTATGCCCTTATCAAGCACATCTACGGCTTCGACTATGCAGAACACTGCACTGGCCGCTACAGCAAGATGAAACTGGATTTCCATCTGAATGTTTTCTGCATAGCTGAGAGCTACCGGGTTCCATCACTGCTGGATTGTGCGACACAAGCCATCGTCGAGATGATTGACAAGCGAGCAGGATATAGTAAAAACGATCCGAAGTTGCGTTACATCTTTGAACGACTGATCAGCTTGCACGATCTGCATCGCATTGTCAGCCCTGCTCTCTTCGACGCGTTGGCGGATTTTTGTATCGACCAAATGCCGGACTTTGTAGAGACAAAGTGTATGAATCTGGATCCGTATTACAGGCCGTTCTTCAGGCACATGGCACCGCGCTGGTCGCCAAAGAAACCAGCGAGCAAGTATAGGCCGACGATCTCAAAGAATACTTGTGTCTGCAAGAGCATCTGCGCCATTTGTGATGGTGGCTGGACGATGCGGTTTCGTTCGATGATACTTGATTATAACAATAGCAACGATGCCTCGGATTTTCTGGACGGCATTTGTCTGGAGTCTAAGATGGATCAAGGTTCGCCTGGACTAAAGCATGCTTTAGAGCCAGTGAGCGCGGAAGAGGAAGATGAAGATAGCAGTTCCGTCATGGAATATGGCTACGACGGCGATGTCGAGAGTGGGGCGGAAAGCTTTGAAACCAGCAGGCCGGGCATGACGGCGATGTTGGGTGAGGGTAGAAGCACGTTCGGATCAAAAGACGTAGTCGATCGCTACACCCGTCGCGAGCTTGGTAATAGTATCCGATTCGTTGGTGTCGCGCTGCAGGAAGCAGATGCAAGTGTAGATACCTTGGAAGGTGCTCTGACCTAGAACACCTTAGCCAAGTTCAATATGTGTATATAGATGCAAGTAACTCGTGTCTCTAGTCGTGGTATTAACGGTCTGTCAGCAAGCTCTCGACGGTCAGTGTTGCGATGCTTGAAAACGGCAGATTCGAAATCAGAAGAAAAAGAAACATGAGTTTGACACAATATACATTGCTGCAGGTGAGGTACACAAGATCCAACAAGGAGCCTCTCCCGTTTTTGACGGCCGTCGGAACCAAGGAAATAATACACTTCATCTTTCGTCTTCTGCAGAGTTTCGGACCTTTTTCAGTGGAACGGCGTTGATGATTTCTCCTCTATCGACAGGTTGGGGACTTGATTAATTTACGAGGACTCGGGGTACATGGCCTCTCTGAGCTCGACACCAAGCTCTGTCCTGAGACTCTCGAGCTCGGTGAGGTACTCGTCGTACTGTGCCTGGTTCTCGACCTTGGCCTTGATGCCNTGGATGGGAATGCTATGTCAGTATATCGTTCGCGCCGTCGAGTTGTGGAGTGACGCACCCTCGAAGATTCTGACGGCAGTGGGGAAGTCGTTGACTCTGCGGGCGGCCTTGAGGGCGGCAACGATGACCGAAGGGGCAGGGACGAGATCGTAGGCGAAGGCGTTGTTCAGGTTACGCTGTTGACAAGTCGATTAGAGACGGATGCGATCGGACGGGGGGTAGCTAGGTGAAAGTACCTGGAGCTCGAAGACATCCTGGACACCCTCGAATTCCTTCTCGTATCTGGATTGAAGATGAACGTCAGCAATTGACTAGGATCAGGCCATGTATAGAGGTATGTGGGAGCGGAGGTTCGGAAACAATTGGCAGTCTCGGGTGGTCCCATGGCGGCAGAAGGTGACACAAGAGAAGTAGACGCACCTGGCGGTAAACTCCTCGAAGCTCTCCTCGTGGTGAGGGTCGTGTGCGTCGACGTCGGCACGCTTGACGCTGGCGACGCTGAAAGTTCTGGCCTGGTTGAGACGCTGGATGCGCGATGCGACCTGGATACGGGGCTGTGCGGGTGCGCGAACGGCGCGAGCGGCGATGCGGAAGAAGGACATGTTGGTATGAGTAGAGTGCGAGGATCGAGGAGGGTGAATTGGGTCGACGATGGTGCAGGGCTGGCAGTCGGAAGCTGCGAACATGACCAAATCGCGGCCGCCGTGAGTCCTTGGCCCGTGCCCCTCGAGAAGAAATCATGACCATCACCTGATGCTACTGCCCCGACCCTGCTCAGTCTGGCCACCCTCCTACATTAGTTGAGTAGGCCGTCAATTCACCCTCTATCTTCTCTCTAGTCTTGTAGTCGTGTTTGCAAATGTGTCCATGCACGCATATTCTACTGCGCTGCACAGAAACTGCAAACAACAACTTCGAGCAGTGTTTGTTTTGAAAGTGCCGTGTTCTGGCTATCCATGTTGCTCGGTACCTGCATTTCCATGCAATACTAGTCACACGTCTCGAAGAGCATCTAACTACGTGTTGGACCCCCTACACGAATCCCAGAGCAATCTCCAGAAACGGAATTGCTTGCGACCCAAGTACCAAGACAATAATAATACAGACCTCCTCCGAGTGACCAAACCAGCGCCAAGACTGACCTCGGCTGCCCCAAGTTGTGTTGAAAGAATAATTTCCCCGACCCCCTTATAATGCCAGCTTCCTTTCTCCCACCATCCTCCACCCTGTCTCCAGGTCCAATTCTTCTCTTCTCCACTTTGGTAGTCTTGTCATTACCAAGTCCGTCGCTCCTTTGCTGGCCGCCGGCCCTGTATCTGCCTTTGTAAACCACTCTGAACACGTCTCGAGCCGCCGAGTCCCAACCACAACAATGTCTACCCCCGAATGGATCCGCTACGGCGCGCCCACTCTTGACCGTCCCTTTGGTCTTGAGCTGTGGCCCATCTTCGAGAAGGCCTTCACCTCGATCAAGGGCTACAAGCCTCAGGACTTCCGCTTCGTCCCTGGAAAGACCCCTATGGCTACTTTCAAAGAGACGGCCACCATGCTCATTGCCTACTACATCATCATCTTTGGTGGCAGAGAGTTCATGCGTGGTCGCGAGCCTTTCAAGCTCAACTTCTTCTTCAAGGTCCACAACTTCTACCTGACCCTGATCAGCGGTCTCCTTTTGGTCTTGTTCGTCGAGCAGCTCCTGCCCGAGATTGTCAGAAACGGCATTTTCCACGCTGTCTGCGCTTACGAGGGTGGCTGGACTGACAAGCTCGTTGTCCTTTACTACGTACGTCCTGTCACATCTTTGCCAGAACGCGCTTACTGACATTTCGCAGNNCTCAACTACCTCACCAAGTACCTCGAGCTGATTGACACTTGCTTCCTTTTCCTCAAGAAGAAGCCTTTGAGTGAGCGCGCACCATCCAGACAACCAATTGCACCAGCTGACTGGTTTTCTAGCTNNTTCCTCCACACTTACCACCACGGTGCCACCGCCCTCCTCTGCTTCACCCAACTCCTCGGCCACACCGCCGTCTCGTGGGTCCCCATCACCCTCAACTTGACCGTCCACGTTGTCATGTACTGGTACTACTTCCAGGCCGCACGTGGCATCCGCATCTGGTGGAAGAAGTACATCACTGTCATGCAAATTCTCCAGTTTGTCATTGACCTTGGCTTTGTCTACTTTGCCTCGTACACCTACTTCACCTTCAGATACTTCCCCAACATGCCAAACATGGGCATCTGCGCCGGTGAGGAGTTCGCCGCCTTCGCTGGCATGGCCATCCTCAGCTCTTACCTCCTCCTCTTCCTCTCCTTCTACGCCGCAACTTACAAGAAGCCCACAAAGAAGGGTCGCAACCGTGCCACCAGCGCTCTGGTTGAGATGAAGGACGAGAAGGTCCCCACTGTTGGCGAGGCTAGAAGACGTTTCAGTGGTGGTGAGGCTCACTTCACTGGCCGTGACGCTCCTACCCCCAACGGCCGCGTCACCAGAAGCCGCAAGGCATAAGTGCACCAAGCAGTGCATGCCTACGCCTGAGGACAATCCAGGTTGGATGCACTCGGCCTTTTCGAGATGCGTAGGTGAATATACGGCATCTCGAACACATACCGAGAAACAGCCAGAAACGGTTGTTGATGGATGGAGGGCACGACTGCCAGGGGTTGCTGTCCCCGAAGCTGTCGTTGCTGACTCCTGTTTGGCCTTTGAGGTGTTTGGCCGCTTCTTGAGCATCTTGCCCTTGCAAAGCACGCTCGTTTTATTACTTCTTTGTAATTTCTCTAGGGCCCCGGTTTCACAAAAGGAGTATTGGGCGGTACAGGTCGACATGATTGTTGTTAGAAAGAATGCAAGCACAGAAAGACAAGGGTCAACGCGTCATGCTCGCTGTATGATAGAATCGTGTAATCAAAGAACAAGAAAAAGAGTCATAGATCATATTCTAGTCTTGTCTTCATGCGTTATCACGCTCCTGTCAGTAGTGTCGTCTATAAGTTCTGGTTCTATTTCTGTAACGTCGATTTAGGCTGGACCCGATTCCGAGAAGCAACTCCCCACGACCCTCGGTGGCTTTTTCTCGCAACAGCCGCTGCATATGGTGGCTTGACGGGACAACCTTTCGTACGTAGTTGCTACCCTTCCAGAAGTGTTGTCCTTGGTCTCTCCGTTGCCGGCGTTCCTACACCAGTGTAGATTTTCCTTCGGTGAGTCCATGACACATGTAAGTTTGACGACTGTTAATTTCACAAACACGATCCGGATGATGTTGAGAGTTTTAACAGGCCGCAGGCCGTCTTGGATATGAGGCGTCTGTCAGGTGTTTGAACTGCAAGTGTGACATTGCATCAGGTTAGCTGGCCGAGCCTTGACTGTTTGTGCTAATCAAGCTGCATTATCCTGACTAAAGCCAAGATATCGAGGCCGTTGAGGAACACAGAATGCCGTTCACAGCCAAAAAGATATGCCGTTTTGTACTGCATCGAGTAGCTGCTCCTAGCGCTGAGACAGAGACCAACACCAGAACAATTCTGGGAAAAGGCACTGAGCAAGACGAAGGTGTGACATATGGTGCCCACAAGGCGGATCATATGTCTAAGATGCAGCGTTTCCAGTCCATCGAGTTTGAGGCTTGAGACATGATGTGGTATGGAGCTAGAAGTTCTACAGAAGAAGAGGAAAGACTCGAGGAAGATGAAACGGAACAGCTTGTGGTCTTTTGGCGTAGAGATCAAGACATGGAGGCACTTTACTGGAGGGGTGCGTACCCACATGTTTGTCGATAGCACATGCCAGGTGATATCGGCGATTTGACTTGAATGTTTGATCCATAATCCTTGCAATTGTTGGCTCAAGACCAACGAACGGCTCGAATAAGGAGCCCTAACAATCGTAACAGAAGCGGTTGGTTCGAAAGGATGCGACAATCCTGTGTGTGGGAATTTAAAAGTGACGACGAGGCTGTCTGTGAAGTGACAAGGTCCGGGTGAAGGCCAAATGCGGAAGTCGCTTTTCCCCCGACCACCGACGCAACTTCTCGCCGCAAACCGGACTCTCACATCCGACAATCATCATCGTCACACATCGCGTTTCGCGACAACCGTTGCGCATACCTGCTGTTCGCTGGTTGAATGCCACCGTGTCATAGCACAAGCAGCATCTGTCCATACTAACACCTCTACAGCATAGCTCTATTCGCTAGCCATGGCAGAATCTCAAGATCGCTCATCTCCAGCTGCGCCCGCGACGGCGCCTGAGCGCAACGCACCGCAAGAAACACCTGCCGCCACATCGCCCACGCCGCAGCCAGAAAGATCGCCATCTCAAGAAGGTTCCGAAGAAGGCGAGATGGTCGACACTGAGACTGCTTCTGCAACCGACGACGCGCCACCATTGCCTGACGAGCCATTGCCTGAGGATGCTCCATCTCTTCCCGATGAGCCTCTGCCTGCGCCAACCGAGGAAGATGACGGCTGGTCCGCCCAGCTTGACCCTTCTTCTGGTTGCTGGTACTTCCTCAATCGCTTTACTGGTCTGTCACAATGGGATAATCCACGAGTCCCTACCACTGTTCCAAGCCAGCAGTATGCGCCAGGCACGGGCCCAACCTCACACGCTCCTGGTACCTCTGAAGCTGTCGCACCGCCTCCGTCTCCTCCGAGAGAACCATACCTAGGCTACAACCCCAAGATACATGGCGACTTTGATCCTAACGCAGACTATGCCAAGTGGCACCAGGAACACCAGACGGAAGAATGGGCCGCTTCAGAAGCTGCTTTGGCACAACCTACCGCAGCGTACGAGCAAGCAGGCACCTTCAACCGCTTCACGGGAGCTTTCCAAGCCGCCGAAAAGAGCGCAGAAAACCACAATGACGAGAACAAGTCAAAACGCCAGCTGAACGCCTTCTTTGACGTAGATCGCGCTGCCAACGCTCACGAGGGTCGCTCCCTCAAGGCTGAGCGCGCGAATCAAAAGTTGAGCAAGAAGCAAGTCAAAGCCTTCAACGAGCAGCGACGTGCCAAGAAGGAGCAAAAGCGCCGCGATTTCCTCATGAGTTGACGAGCTGAACTGCGCCGAGAGGATGTAGTGAGTGTCAAGTTACGTGACCTTTTTGTGCGTGTACAGTACCATGTACGGAGCAGATTCTGCTCGCCTATAACGGCTGTCTTTTGCTATAATGACTGACATGACACTTAGCAGGCTGAATTCATGGTCAGAGATTTCCTCCTTTGCTTCTAGCAAAACGGCGTCTCGAGGCTAGGACGAGCAGAAAGGCGTTGGAAACCACTGCAGACTTGTCTGGTTTCTCTTTGCCGGACTCTGCTCTTGCACCACGCGTACTTGATTGCATGTTACCGCGTCGATCAATGTATATCGCTATCCTTTGCTGCTTTCGGTCGAGCCTCATCTCAGTCACAAGCGCGAAGTAGGAACAGCAGAGCAGAGCATAATAGATTCAAGCGGGTTGGGGAAGAAGAGCATCCACATGTCATGCGATTTTCAAGCACGCTCGAGCCTCTTTTAACTTGACCTCGCCAAATACAAGACCTCGACCTCAACGTGTGAATCCAATCTATATCGGCACCCGAAACCATGAAACGACGAATATATCTTCAAGACGCCATCCACCTATTTTTCCCGTCAGCGATAAGCTGCCCGTGACTCTGTACAAGTGTTCTTCCGGGCTCGGTAGAGCACACTGGTGCCATCGTGTTATATTGAGAGGCTTTCACAATTGCCCATTCGGCGCATGTGCCATTTTAGCTAGCGTCAACGGCTCGCAAGCGTGGAGAGGAAGTAAAGGGTTCCGGTCGTTAGTCTCGGCACTGAGTCAGTCTCAGAAGTCTACTCTCTGCAAAACAGCTCGTACGGGTGAGGGGCAGTTGCAGTCGTTAGGTGGCAGGTATGGAGGGGTGCCTTAGGCGTGCAGCTGTCAATGGCAGATCTAGAGGTAGAACCTCCGCCTGCTTGTGGTCATGTCTCTGATGGCTTTGGGTGACCTGCATGGTCAGAGATCATCAGGTACATGCAGGGAGAGCACGCAGGAGTCTTGCCGCATCGCGTTAAGTAAAGATCCGGCCCGCTGCTGCCGAGTCACTCGTGGGCCCGTCCCCCAAAAGCCAATCCTCGCTCGCAAGGAGCAACATCTGCGCTCTGCCCCTTCCCTGCCGAATGTTAGTAGCCGGGCCGCGAGCGATCAACGGGTGTGGAAATGTCTCGATGAGGATCATTGCTGGGAGAGTTGCGAGTACTCGAGCACTCTTGTGGCTGCGAGCTGGCAAGAGATACAGATATGCGGTCGCGAAAAAGGCGTTGCTCGCCGAGCTAGCTCTGCAACGGCTGGTCAGTATCCAGATGCTCGCTCGTGCTCTCTCTCGCAGATCCGGGAGCCAGGTCGTTGAAATTGTTACGGGCAGCAATAACGTGAACGCCGCAGTGCTCTCTAAAAGACGCCACCAGTGAAAAGTCCCCGCGGGCGAGGCACTTGCGACTGGGCAGTAGTCGACCAACTAGCTCCACAGTCCACTGATTTCTCTTTATCCCTACTTTCTACTTTTATCGCGAACGACCCGACTTCTCTTGTCCTCTTTTTTCCGCTCGCTGGTGCCCGTCATCATACCAAGCATTCGACGTAAAACCTGAGATCTACTATTCTCCATAGTTCTGAAACATCTCACCACCCTCGATCGGCTTGCTTCTTTTCCCTCCACCAGCCGACCAAGACCAAGCAAGCCTTTCTCGCGCCGCGAGCTGCACTCTGCACTCTCCCGCCTTGACAGTAGCGTTGCACAGAGACAGTCGACGCAATGGGTCTCTTCAGCCGCAAGGACAAGAAGTCAGCAGTGGACGCAGACAAGGCCGGATCAGATGCTGGCTCTATCCACAAGTCGCCAGCCAGCAAGCCCATGAATGGCAACCCCTCGGCCAATGCCTCTCTGCCTCATGTCCCACTCCCTAGAGCTCCCGACCCGGCCCTCAATCCCGCCGCCTACCTGCGCAGCATCTACGCCGTGCGCGAGAGATCCAAGTATGTCTTCGAGCTAGCTAAGCGCAACAAATCGAAGCACTTTGACGTCGACATGACCAAGTTCGCCGACACAGCACGCTTCGTCGTTTCGATCATTAACGTAAGTCTTGTCAATTCTCAAGCAAACGTTGGTGTTCTTCAATCTAACGCTCGCCTGATAGNNAGAGATTATGCTCCCGACTACGCTTCGATTCCCCCACATGGCCGTTGGCAACACTTTGATGTTGGTGGCAGACCGAGAGTTGACCAGCTCATGGCAACATGGCCAAAGTCGGTCAATGACCAGGAACGTACTCGCAGACTTATCGACCTGTTCCTTGTATCTGTCTTGCTGGATGCTGGTGCAGGACAAAAATGGACATACAAGAGCAAGGAGTCTGGCAAGATATACAGGCGTAGCGAAGGTCTTGCAGTTGCCAGTCTGGAGATGTTCAAGGCTGGTGCTTTCAGCAGCAACCCCGACGAGCCATGCCAGGTCGACAGTGCCGGCCTGAAGAAGATCAACGCACAGTACTTGGCAAAAGGCCTGCAAGTCACAGATCAAAACCCTCTGGCTGGTCTGGAAGGCAGAGCAAGTCTTCTCGTCAAGCTTGGGGATGCCCTGCAGAACCAGGACATTTTCGGCATCGAGGCCAGACCTGGCTATCTACNNTTGGTGAGTCCAGGCCATTCCTGAGCATTCTTACAAGAACTGACATCCTGTCTCGCAGACTACCTCCTCTCTCACCCATCGACTCAAGCCTCGTCAGTCCCCGTAGTCCCAATACCAACTCTCTGGAACGCGCTCATGGACGGCCTCGCGCCCATCTGGCCTTCAACACGCACTACGATCGACGGTGTCTCGATTGGTGACGCCTGGCACTGTAACGCAATGCCCGCAGCATCGAATGCCCCCTGGGAGAAGATTGTGCCATTCCATAAGCTGACTCAATGGCTCTGCTACTCTTTGATGGTCCCAATGACCAAGCTCATGCACGTACATTTTGCTGGTACCGAGCTTCTTACCGGACTGCCGGAATATCGCAACGGTGGTCTCTTGATCGATACCGGACTCCTCACGCTCAAGCCCGCAGACGCCAAGCGCGGTCTCGAGCAATACCAGATTAATGCCATGAAGCAAGGCCAACCCAACATGGAAGTGGTTCCAATGTTCAGCGTGGACGACGATGTGATTGTCGAATGGCGAGCCCTGACAGTTGGCTTCTTGGACGAGCTGTGCTTCGAGGTTAACTCACAGCTCGGATTAGTAGGCAGCAAGAAATTGAGTCTGGCGCAAGTTCTCGAGGCTGGCACTTGGAAGGTGAGCAAGATCAAAAGACGACGAGGTGACTGGAGCATCAGCTAACAAGTACAACAGGCAGGCAGAGAGATTGCAGAGGTCTCGAGACCCAACACGAAAGAGCCACCGATCATGATTGTGTCCGACGGCACCGTCTTCTAATGATACCCCTACACGGCAGGCCTGGTCGTTTTATTCAATCCGATTGTTGAGCATCATCACATTTTCCATTCTCACGGCGGGGACATTGTATCTTTTTTCTTTACCTTCACTTCTAATGATTCCCTTTGTCCCTATTTCGACCTCTTTCTTGTTTGTGTCTTGTTTTGTTGCATGCACCATATCCACTCCAGTCAGCAGCACTCTGTTCATAGGCTGCTTTTTCCCACCACCTACCCACCAAATCTCACGAGCTCAGACAGAAGTCCGCCGATAGCGAGAAGGCGGGAAAGCAACCAGAGCCCGAAGGGAGAGATGTCCGAGGCCAAAAAGCGTTTATACTCTGCACGTAGATAACGATGAAATCAACAGTGGCAGGTTTCAGTATCAATGCTTTGGCTAATGATTCAGTGATTGACTCTTTCAAGGACCTGTCGGCTTGGTTGGCCGATTGTAGTGGTCCAGCCCCTGAATGTATCGGTGTGGTGATCTGGTCGCATGTGCTGGCAGATAGTGGTTGAAATAGATGGGCTAGAAAGCTTAAAGTGGGATTAGATGTCTGTTTGCAGGTCTCTTGGCGATGAGGTAATGGCTTGGTTGCTTATCGGAACTCTCTCGACCGAGGCAGCGCGTTACGACTCTGACATGGTCACCTTCACAATCGCACGACATAGGTCAAGATGTTGAGCTCGGGGTCAGCACGGAGGCAGAAGCAGCGCAAGGTGCTGCTGATGGGCAAGTCGGGCGCGGGCAAGTCGTCGATGCGCTCCATCGTCTTCAGCAACTACGTGGCCAAGGATGTCCGCCGACTGGGAGCTACCATCGATGTCGAACACAGCAACATTCGCTTCATGGGCAACCTCATGCTCAACCTGTGGGATTGCGGAGNNGGTAAGGTGCTGATGCATTGGCCCACACCGAGCTTCATAGTCTGACAGAGTCGCAGCCAGGACGGTTTCACCGAGTCGTATCTCACCAATCAACGCTCAAGTGTCTTTGCATCCGTCGCCGTCTTGATCTTCGTCTTTGACGTCGAGTCGCGCGAGTTCAATGCCGACCTCATCAACTATGCCTCCATCGTCCAGGCCCTCCGCGAGAACTCACCGCAAGCCAAGATCTTTGTGCTGATCCACAAGATGGATCTGATCATGTCCAACATGCGCGATGTCGTCTTCGCCGAGCGTAGCGACGCAATCCGCCACATCAGCATCGAACACGGCTTTGGAGGGAACCAACAAGATGCAGGAAAGGACGTCGACTTTTGGGGAACGAGCATCTGGGACCAGAGCTTGTACAAGGCGTGGACCCAAGTCATCTACTACCTCGTGCCCAATGCCGGCGCAATCGAGAACCTGCTGCGCCAACTGGCCGAGGTCATTGATGCTCACGAACTCATCCTCTACGAACGCACGACCTGCCTGATGGTCACGCACGTCTCACGCCCTTACGAAGCAGATGGAAACCCACATCCCGATCGCTTCGAGCGCTTATCCTCCATCCTCAAATCACACAAGCACTCTGTTGCCAAACACACGGGCATGCCCGCCGGATCAGCCAACTTTGCCGAGCTCCAGATCAAGACTGGCGAGTTCATGTTCTTGATCACTCGTCTTAGTGAGAACACAAACTTGGCTGTCGTCATGGGCAGCGGTGAGGCCATGTACAATGCAGCCAGGATAAACATTGCCAACGCGCGCGACAAGTTCGCCGAGCTCGACATTGCGAGCAAGAGTCGCGAAAAGGCCGAGACCAGAGCCACCGATGACGCCGCAAGAAATGGCGCTTTTGCTCACTGAAGAGGCTCGGCACACCCACATCTGCACTTTGTTCCCGTCCTTCCATCGTGCGGTTGCATTTCCATAGCCGCCTTCTACGTGCGCCTGGACCTGCCAACTGCTTGTTTTTACCTTTCACGTTTTCCTTGTCCCGTTTCTGTTCAAAGATACCCACAAATCTTCCACCTCTGTTGGTTGGCTCTTCTCGCTACCTGTAACATACCTAAGAGAAAAGCATAACTCTGTTTTCCATAAACTTTTGTCTTTGTTCCACACCGGCGGCGGCCGTTTTTCCTTCCGTCTGCGACCGCACGCGACGAAGTTTGTCTTTGAAAGTCTGGTTAAAGTCCGGCAATAATCTTTTCTTCTACCCGACTTCGACTGTCGCAACTTTGATGTTTGCTGTCGGGTCCAAAACACAATTTGGAATCTAGACTCTTCTTACTAAATGTACAGATGTGCTCTCAAATAGGAAGTCTGTCGTGCTCGGCTTGAAGTGGAAAGCGGGGAGCGGACCTCAGCCACCAACATGTCAGCGAGCCAACGGACTGCTGTATTTACTCGAGTACATGCACAAGCACAAGGTGAGCTGCATTACCGGCATCCGAGCATCCAACCATAGTCTTTCTATCCAGATGTTCCTGCTGCGCCTTGAAAGACAAGCAACTGCATGCACGTCTGACATTGCTTAATTCTAACACTATTCGTGGTGCTTAGCTTAGCTCGACAATCTGGCAGGTCCCGTCTTACTGATGGTGAGAGCTGAAGATTAGAAGCGTCTCAGCTGATGTTATACCAGATCTTAGAAGCAGAGTACGTGGCTATGCTCATGGATTGGCAGGTTGGTGACTCGTATGCTGTAAACGCTGTAGTATAAAGAGTATGGATCTGCTGCAGAAGGTAGGAAATATCATCAACCAGCAAATCATTCTGTCTACAGTCAAACTCTCTTAGATTTCATCTTCTCAAGCATCTCTTCGATCCACTCGCTATCATCTTTCCAAATCTACAGCAACTCCAGTTTTCAGCAATGGCATACCGTGCAACAGCTCTTCTGGCCCTCACTGGCCTTGCATCTCTGAGCAATGCCAAACCCATCCACCCTTACAGCTCCACGGGTAGCAGTTCCGGTCACCACGGCAGCATGACCTCTTCTTCTGCTTACTCCACTTCTTCCTCGTACCAAAGCTTCCCCACCCAGGTCGCTTCCAGCAAGAACCTCCTCCTCAGCAACGGCTTCCCAAAGCTCTCTCCCTCCGCCCTCGCAGATGTCAATAATGCCGCCCATGGCACCCTTTCCAATGCCACCGGCAATGTGACTTTTGCCCCCGACTCCCTCACAAACTTCCAGCTTATTGCTTTTAACGAATTCTTCGAAGTCGCCTTCTTCACCTCTCTGCTTACCAACATCACCACCGGCGTCCCTGGCTTTGAGATCCCGACACACCTCAACAGCACTTACATCATTGATACTCTGATTGCCGTGCAAGCCCAGGAGGAACTCCACGCCATCAATGCCAACACCAAATTACCCGTCCCACTCCAGACCTGCCAGTACGAGTTCCCTACGACCAATTTCATGGACGCCATAGGCCTTGCGGCCACATTCACCGATGTCGTCATGGGCACTTTACAAGACGTCGCCTTCATCTTTGCCGACGATGGCAACAAAGGCGTCGTCAATGGCATTGTGTCCGTGGTCGGCCAAGAAGGAGAACAAAATGGCTTTTACCGCTCTCTCCTCGACAAGATCCCCTCTGCACAACCTTTCCTCACGGCATCTGCCCGCGACTTTGCCTTTTCGGCTCTGAACCAAAACTTTGTGGTCAAGGGCTCTTGCGATGTTTCCGGCATCCCGCTCAAGGTGTTTGAGGCGCTCACCCTCGAGACTTTGAACATTGGACTCGGTGATCAAGTCATCAGTTTGAGTTTTGACATCAGCGGGTACAAGGGCACTGCCGAGGATCTGGAGTTTGTGCTTATCTCGGGACAGAATGTTCCCATTGTGCAGGAGCTCAAGAATGTCAAGCAAGAGGGCAACAAGGTCACTTTCGATGCCGAGTTTTTGCAGCAGACGGATTTGCTGTTTGGGCTTAGCATTGGTGCTGTGGTCAGAAAGGGAGAGGCCTTGGCTACTGTCAAAGATGTGGTCGATGCTACTGTCTTCGGACCTGCGCTTATCGAGGTTGCTTAAACGGAAAGTATGATGGTTGTGGGTGCAGAAGCTTTCTTTGGTATCTCTGTGGTTTGTTTCGATCTTTGCTTTATTTCCCTTTCTCGTTTTGTCTGTCGCTGCCGAGTCTTTGGAGTTGCTTGCATATTTGCCTTGATTTTCGTATATAGCTTCTCTTTTTGCCATGGGTGATTAGTGAACATTCAACAGGAGTCATGGAGTTTTATAGCAAGCTTAATGGTATATCTATCTTTATCTGTTGAATATCGTTTGCTATCCTCTGCTACTAAGATCACACATAGTAGTGCTCTCCTTTTTGTCAACAAAAGAAATAAAGATCAATGCTTCTTTTTGTCGATCCTGTATTTCTCCTCCAACATCTTAGTCGTATACGAGACATTTGAACAAGCAACTCTTGCCTCAGGCAGTAATCTGCCATGCATATCGTGCCATCCACCCACGCCATTTCGAGATATACAGCACTTTCTGCTTCACAATACCCAAGATCGTATACACCTTTCCATACTGACTCTGTACAACGGGATTCCATACATTAGCGAATGTCAAAAAAAGTTGAAGTGTGACAAAACGCAGAATACATCTCTGGAGAAGAAAGCGATATCCACAAAAATATCGTCTCCAACGATCTCTCATAGCCACACCTCTATATCCCCTTAAAAGGTCACCATGCGCCTCTTACGGCAAGAATTTCAGTATTTCGCTAGAAAAGAGGGCAAATGTCGAATCTTTGTGATTACAACACTTTGTTTTTCTTGTTGGAAAGCATACTCTAAGTCTTTTCACCCTTAAAGAATCCCAATCCAACTTCACAGTCTAGTCAGATCAGAGCAACACTCTTCCACCTCCTTGAAAAGACTCAACATACATTGTCCTCAAGAAACAAACCCCCACCACACCTCTGCAGCCAACAAAGTTGCAAAGCCCACAATCCATCCCAAAACAAAGCCATCTTCAAAATCCTCTTGCTCAACCATCAGAGCATCTTGTCTCCATTCCTCGTCGGCACCGATATCTTGCCAACCATTTTCGTTGCTGTCATCTATGGTCTCGTCGTCATCAGCCCAGTAGACCTCAGACCAATAATCTCGCCAAGAAGTGGTGTGATAGTAATCATGTCTGCTTTCATCACTGAAGGATTCTTGGTCATAGTCATAGCCATAAGACATGGAATCCCAGGAATGTGTGTAATGGTGTGATGAAAAGAAAGTTGAGTCGCTGTTGCTTGACTCTTCTACTTCTTCTTCGCCGCTTGAGAAGAGCATGTCTTCACTATCGTTTTCACTGTCCGAGCAAATGTATTTTCCACTCCATCCGATTCTGTCGAGTTCGGCGCGGTGTTTGGACCAAAAGGTTTTGTGGTCGTGGGGTTTGCGGAGTGACATTGTTGGGAGTGAAGATAAGGTAGGTTATGTTTGCATGGGGCTCTCAAAAGTACGGTTGATATCGGATGCTTGGACAATATCAGAAGTGGGAATCAGAGACGAGAATCAAATTCTTGTGCTCCTGCAAGATTATCTCGAGTGCGTGTGACTCAAGATGGCACTTTCAGTCATTCGTTTCAGCGAAAAATGACGAGAATTACCTCATATTTGAGAGACAGTGGTAGACGATATGCATGGCGGGTTTCTGCCTCAGGAAGAGTGCTTATATATGTATACGCTTGTCGGCATTCGATAACAGCGAGATCCGATGTTGACCACATGTTGGAGATAGGCAAGGGTAAAACTCCAAGATCCTTACAGAAAGCACTTCGAACTTGCGCTCAACGTGTATCTTCGTGCGACGTCGCTGATGGATTTTGAAGATGACTCGAGGATAGTTATACATGTCTCCATTAAATCATTAGCGAATTCTGAGGCCGATTATGTGTCGCAGCAGTCAGCATCGTATGTCACCGGACCACTTTCAAGTGCAACATCACTACAAGTCAGCGCATGAGAAATGATTTAGAAAAGAAGATAGGAGTTGCGCCAAGCAAGGCTTCACTACCCGATATACTCCCCTTGTTCCAGTCCAACCACAAATCTTCGGCAAGAACAAACAGCCGCAAAAGCCCTCAAGACTGCCTATGCCTGATCCTCTCGACATCGTCCAGATTACCCACCGAATGAGTCGTGCTGCTCGAACTGCTTTGTGAGTTGCTTCTTGAATTGCTCCTCGACACTTGCGGAGTGGACCCGACACTCTTCGACGACGTTCGGCTTCCGCTGCGTTTTCGAACATGATTTGAACTCGAACCGCTCGTGTTGCCGACGCTCGACGATTGCTTGTGACGGTTGTGACGATGGTCTCGTTTCTGCACGTCCTCCAAAATCTTCATGTTAGATTGAACTTGTGGCATTTTTGTTTGTAGCAAGGAGGTAATCTTTTTGAGAATCGCCCGGGCGATAGAAAAAGAAAGATGGAAAGAAAAGTGCTTTGATTGGATACAGGGATCAAGAAAGGAACAAAAAGCTTCGGGAGCTTGAAGATCTCCAGAAGTTCAAGGCAACAGATTGTGAAGAAAACGCCCAGCGCCAGTATGGAATATATTCGCCCAATGAGGCCCGATGACAGAAAAACAAAGAGGATGGTGTGACACAAAGAAGATGTGATAAGGGGGAATGTGAAGGGGATGATGGTGTGGTTTGAATGTCTAACATATACTCATTCACAGACCCAATGATCGAGAGGGAGAGATGATACTCGCACTTGATCAACGTACCGAGCTGGTCTGTCTCTCAAACTCTTTCGGTCTCCTCTCCGAATCGTCCTGTAATCTGAGTTGTTCCAGATGCAGTGGATCCGTATCGTCCGTGCGTGCGGGTGTGGCGCTCTGTGCTGTACTTGTGTTGACAGCGGCTGATGCGGGAAGACCACTCTTCATCGACTGAGCAAGAGAAGCAAGTCTATCCCACTTTTCCTGTCTGGCTCTCTTGACCTCGGGCGCATTATTCTGTTGCTCGGTGTAGTCGTGGGAACAGTCATCAAACAACTGAGGGTTGACCTCCATGAATAGCTTCATAGCATTGTATACCATGCCATGGATCGTTCTGNNTAATGGCTTAGCCGAAAGAATCAGATGGCGGAAATCCACAGTCACTTACCTGTTCCAATGCCCCTTTGAATTCTCATAGAGGGGAGCAAACATTATCGGTAAAATGACATCTACATTGTCGCTGACAAGATTGCAGAAGTATTCGTTGTTCCAGAAGTACAAGGCACGTTCGGCCACCTGTNNAGACTTGTTAGAAATGTATTTTGCGAAAACCTGCAAGCATATGCATACCTGGAAGTGTGGACTGGCCACTGATTTGGCAAGTTGACTGAACAGAGCTTCCTGGACCTTTGCAAACTCGGCGGGGTCCATGACCTCGAAAATGTCCTCAACCTCATTCAAGAACATGACTTCTTTGGTGCTGTTGACCTTGGGCCAGTATCGCAGTAGGCCGAGCACAACCTCCTCTGTCAAAGCAGCATCCTTCTCCAGGAACTGTACGATACAGTATGCAAGTTGCGGGTGGTACATGCTCAGACTCTTGACTTTGTGTAGAGGAATGAGAACGCGGGTCAGGAAGAGCTTGTGTTCCTCCTTGAGAGGTAGGGCGAAACCGTTGATAATGGAGCCCAGTATCTCAAGAAGTTCGGCAATTCCATTGAAGCGCTCAGTCTCGTAGATGAATTGGAAGAAGACGTTGTTGATGGAACGTCTGATGAATGATCTCAAGTTGAGGAACTTGCCATAGATGCGGTGGAGGGTCGTCTTGAGGAAATCGCGCTCGCGAGGATCTTCGGAATCGAACAAGTCGAGCAATGCCAGGACAAAGCTGTGGTCAATATATTGCTTGGCGTAGTTTGTGTTGAAATCCGGACTCTCGATGAAACGCAGGAAGAACTCGTAAACGACTTGAATATGGGGCCAGGCGACTTCAAGGACTGGCTCATCTTCTTCTGGGTCGAAAGCGTCGCCCTGGGGGTTCATGGGAGGAGGAATTGGGCGGAACAGGTTCTTGCTGAACATTTCGACGACTCTGGGGTACATTGGCTCGGAGATGACCTGGCGGTTCTGAGCGACGTAGTCGAGCAACTCGTGAAGCGCAAGACGCTTGATTTCCTTGGATTTCATGTCGGCGCTTGCATCGTTGAAATCGAAAATGATGTTGCACTGGTCGAGTTTCTGCATGAAGAGCTCCTGACGTCTGTTGGGAGGAACCTCGTGGAAGCCGGGCAGCTTTTCCAGCTCGCGCTGTCTCTGGTCTGAAATGTCGAACCTCGATGAATGTTGGCGCTTGGGAGTGCGCACGCCTTCGGGCACTGTATCTTTGGGAGTGGCCTGCAGTCTGTCGAACAGCAGCGACTTTTGGCCAGCCTTTGGCGGAGCTAGGTCGTGAGGCATGGTTTCGGCGGCGCCAGGAGGAGGGACATGCTGCGAAGAGTGAGCTAAGGGAAGTGGCATGTGTTGCGAAATGGCTTCACTTACGGGAGCACTTGGGCTGATGACGACACTAGGGTTCACGCCCTGCTGGTTGTAGCGGTTGGGGCTTTGAGTGCCGTTAGCACCCTGGTGTTGCTGAATGTATTGGTGTTGCGACATTGCTGGCTGCTGCTGGCCGGATGACAGGGCATCGCTTGATGGTTTGCGGGTTTCGGCGAGATTTTGGGTCGAGGACGAGGGGGTGCCAGCGGGCGACTGGGCAGCGGCGCCGTGGGGAGAAGCAGTGCCGGAAGGTTGTTCTTTGCTCGCCTTCTTGGAGATCTTGTTACTGTCCTTGGCTCGCGAGAGCTGCTCATGCTGAGGTCGTTAGCCATGGTGTGTCTCGGGCCGTGTTGTCCAATGTAGCTGGGGGACTGCCTACCACGCGCTGTCTGAAACCCTTCATCATGGATGGTGACGAGTGGGAATGTGTTGGCCCTCGGCCTGGGAGCTTCTCGCTGCGTCACGGCGTCGAGGCGTGGTCGTGCGGTTGGCTCGTGGGTGAGGGTGGTCGCTTGGGTTGGACTGCAGGGGATGATGATACGGCGTCGTGTCGGATCGCTAGACGTCGGACCTAGGGACACGGCACAGAAGTCGGACAGGGTACCGAGCTTCGGCAGGAGCTAGAGCAGCAGTGGCTCGCGGATTGGAGTGCTGATAGGAGAGTGGTGAACAATGGCTTGTCTGGTCGGAAGCAGGACAATTAGCTATGGCTGATGGTTGTTGACGCTCCCGATGCCTACACCCAGCACGCTTTAGGTCCAGTCTTGGCAAGCCACCCCGCCCGCAATAATTCCACTCTTGAACACATCAATCTCGCAGGCGTTTCACACCATCTCTCAAAACACTTCCCATTCTATCATGACCGATCAACGGCCAGATCTGGCCTCCAACCGCCATCAATTAGCTAGCTGGTTGACCGTGTCTTCTGACAGAGTCGTCACTGTAGAGCATCCCTCCATCATCCGAGACATTGACAAGGGTCTGCTTTCTCTTGGCGGAGAGCATCACATCAAACATGTAGGTCGAATGCTTTCCTTCAGCTCCTCTTGCCATGTCTTCTGATCGACTTTTGATGATAGCNTGCTTGCTCCTGCTGGTCAGACACTATCTGTTGGTCTATCGTTACGCCCACATGATCCCTTCGTCAAGAAGCTCGTCTCGAAAGAGATGCCCGTTCAAAACCTTCTTCTTCGCGTGACTGTCCCAAGACGAACTGGTCGTAAGAGAAAGCGAGGTTCTGATGATTCTTTTGAATATCATGGCGAGGAAGCGCGGACGCCAAATGGCGAGAATCCTACTTCGATGCCTGTGACGGCCGAACAGTTACGACGTCGGCTCATGGACAATATGGACAAATACACCACTCAGCCTGTCGCGGCAATCAAACAAACTCACAGGTTCCGTGCACTGCCAGATTTCCAGTTACGAGCTGGCTCTCAGCCGGTCATGCACCAGATCGGCAAAAGTCTCATCAATCCTACAGGTAGACTGTCCCTTCTTACCAAGAGTTAGTGTATGATCTAATGACAAACAGTATCGAGCATCAAGAACTTCAAGGTCGACATGACTCCTGGTCGTCCATCAGACGAAGAGCTCATTGCACCTCCCAACTTTACTTCGTTCGAGCAGTCTCTGAATTATCTCTACAAGCAAAACCCCGGTGTCACACATGTCACAGATGAGAAGGGTCGTGTCAAGACTGTCAACACTCAAGCTCCGAAGAAACGTCAAGTCGTTTCAGTGGCTCACGATATCGAGAAAGTACCTACGAAGCCACCCAAGGGTCTCGTCGCTATCGAGAAACAGTCTGAAGCCCTTCAGCAATGTGTCAAGAACTTGCTGGAGCTTCTTGAGACCAGACCTGCAGTCACTCGACGTGTAGCATGCAATCTCGTTGATTGGGGCAACGAGGCCCTCTTCAAGGAAGCTACACAGTACGTGGGATACAGTTTCAAATCTGGTCCCTTCCGCGACACACTCGTCAAGTACGGTCTCGATCCTCGCACCGATCCAAAGTACCGCTGCTATCAGACATTCTCCTTCCAGCTTATATCAAAAGACAAGGTTATTGCTGCAGCCAAGAAGATGCGAGACGGCAAAAACCAGTGGATCAGAAGCGATCGCTACAAGAAAGACGAAGAGCCTTCGCATGTCTTCGATGGCAAGAGTATGACGACCAACGGAAAGACATGGCAGGTCTGTGACATTAAAGAGCCTGTCCTTGCAGGTCTACTGGCCACAGAGAATTTGCGATCTGAATTCGATGTATGTCGCCAGTCCCTACTTATGATGCTTGTCTTGCTAACATTCCTAGNNCCCGTGAACTATGGCTGGTATCTCAACGGCACGGTCGCTAAGGCACGTATAATAATGCGTGATATGATTGGCATGATGCTTTCTGGACAGGCCCCTGATACGGAATCATACAAGACGGTCTCCTCTATACCTGACGAGATTGACAAGACGACGTATCCTCAGACCTACTACGAAAGAAGCGTTCACCCCGAGAAGGTGATGCAACTCTCTGGAGAGATCAGAAATCTGGTGAAGACAGACATCGCTCAGAGAGTCAGAGACAAGTTCAGGGGCGAAGGAGAGGTGTATGGTGAGAATACGCAGGGTGGTGCAGAAGATGACGATGTAGAAGGAGACGGCATGGAAGATGACGGGGAGATGGAGGGTGATCTCGAAGACTTTGGCGGTGACACAGAGGCTTAGTCCAGTGGGAACCGAGTGAGCAAGAAGTAGGTACAAACGGCAAGAATGAAGCCGTGGTTGCCTTCGTGTCGCTCTTTCCATCTTCGATCAGATCACACTGAGTTCTCCGCTTGGCGTGTTGCTCACTGTTGTGGAAGCCAGTGAAGGTCAAATTGAATATCAAAGCGGGAGATAGCAACACCATCACCGCAGTCAAGCGTTGCGAGACAACTATTTTCAACCATCTCGACACAACGACGCGCTAGTCTTGACCACCTTTATTCACTCAAGCGGCCCCCACGACTGCTGGCTCACCTCGAGCTGGACTTCTCAATTCCGTTGCGCTGAGCAGTTTCCCGCGCAAGATCAAACTCACCTCTGCGCATAACATCCTGAGGTAACCATCAAGATATCAGAAGACAAGTTAATTCTCAGCTTCAGTTGTCGTGTCTCAGCAACATCACGAAAGATATAGTAACAACAAACAAGATCCAACTTCACTCGCGACCGTATCATCAGCACGCACTTCCTCCCGAGAGTTGTCACGACACACAAACTCTGCTACCATTCTCCTGTCACCAACTATCACAAAGATCGCTTCGAACGCGCATCATAAGCGATCCAAATCAGTCAATTTTCGTCATCATGGTACGTAACACTCTTGGTCCATCGATCAAGCACATACTAATGCAGGCTCTAGGGATCTCCCCATAGCGGTGGCGATCTCTCGTTGCCCGGTATGCCTACTGAGGTTCTCTCGATCATCATCAATCTAGCCGGTCCTGAGACCCTCCCAGCACTTCGACTCACAGATAAACGTCTCTGCGCAGTCTCGAACAGACCGTTCGCAATCCAGTATATCTCAAAGCGTAGGCACGTCCAGTCTACGCACAGCATAGATGCCCTCATCGAGATCACAGCCCATCCTTTCTTCGGCAAGTTCGTCCGAACAGTCATGGTCAGCGGTTATCGGCCAGAACCACCGAAGCGGTGGAAAAGTTCTAAGAAATGTCCTGGCTGTGGTCAACCTCAAAGCCAATCCTACTGTACCAGTCCTGCCGTTCACAATCTTACATTGAGCCAGGTGCAACTTGCGGAGAAGCTTGGAGAGGTGTTCTCCAATGTCGAGCGCAGCTCAACTCCAGTAACCATCGGAGTCTGCGACTATCGGAGACATTGCTTTGGCTCTTCCGGCTACATGAAGTTCGAGAAGTGCAGCGAATGGGCGGAAGGCGAACTCAACGATAAGAGGTTCCTCGCTGTCTTGCGTCTCAGCATGCGCCGAGTAGACCCATCGTATCATATTATCAGGACTTTCAAAGCAATCCTCCAAGCGGCCCAGGTGTCTGGATGCGAGATTGAGGGTATCAATTATGACCTCTGTGATGGTCGTATGCCACGAATCGATAGCATTGCCCATCGAAAGGAGATTCTCAGCTTCTGGAGCCGTTCTGCCGATCGGCTGGCTCAAATGCCGATCTTCGAGTTGAGCGTCCGACCGGAATTTCCAGGAAATCCTCAGACCCATTTGAAGTACGATCGCAATAGAAGTCGGCTTGACCTATCCGGATACAGCTTCGAATGGACTAGTGGCGACGACACAATCCCCAGCACGCTGGCCGTGCTCGTTGGACTCTCAACCTATCCAATTGTCTCGGTCAAGCTTCAAGGTTGCATCTTCAATAGACTGGACCTCTTGTGGATATTCCAGAGCCCCACACTCAGAAGGCTTACGCTGCGTAGTGTGGCTCTGTACACAGGATGGTTTAATACCAACTTCTGGAGCAGCCTCCTAGATAGACTCTCTCGCGTGAAACACTTGAAGCACCTTGAGCTCTTCCATGCCCGTTATATGTTCTTCCCTCAGGGAGGACACTCTATGCAACTTCAGTCCGCAACTGAGTGGTACGAACTCAACAACGAGTTACAGTGGAGTGAGTCTTGGTTCACCTTGGCACCTTCGGGAGATGTGGATGAGGGCATAATCTTGACGGACCAAACAAGCATCTCTGTTCAACTCAAGGCATTGGCAGACCAAGTGGCACAAACGGAGGTCGACAAGGTTGCCGAGATCAAAAGAGACGGGTTCGTTCGCACCAACATTGTTGGCATTTGTCATAATGTCCAACCAGACACGAATTTCATGTCTACCGGGGAGGATCGTGACGAGGTGCAAGATGGCGAGAGCGGTCAGACAAGTGACGCTCAAGACGAACCCAGAGCAAACGACAATCATCACGAGCCCGAAAGTAACCACCAACTTGTTTGACATCTCATTCAGACATCGAAAAGTTTGCTGCGTTTACAGACTTTCATATGGGAGCTGCTGCCAGAGGGGGGAGGCTCATGCGGCCGTCAGATGGTACGCACGAGCACGCCCTCATGCATCGAACTGAGAAACAATGTCATTATGGATCAAGCACAAGGTCGAGAGCATCACCAACGAGAAGAAATGTATCAAAACGGAAAAGAGAAGTCGGAGGAGAGCGGTTCGGAGGTACGATGGACAACACAGAGATGGTAGGCTGGAAGTTAGCAACAAAACACGGTATCAGAGCAGCTATCCCATCACAGCCTTTGCTCACGATTCCCTTTTCCTATATCAAATCTCCATCGCGATTGTGTCTACCCTCGCCTTGGTGCTCATGTTACAAGATGAGAGAGGTTGATGTGGTTGTTGCTGGCTTCTGGTCAAAATCGATTCATGCCTCCAAAAAGAGATTGATGTTTGCAACGTAAAGAGTAAACAGCAGAACAACACAGGGCCGTCAATATTGCTGTATCGATGCTTGGGGTTTGTCGATAGTGCCAATGACATTGTCTGCCAATCTTTTTCTCGCGCCTTGTTGTTGTGCCGCCACTTCTGGGCTGGTCTGGCTGGATTTTTGTTTCGGAACGCTCTATACATGTCCTCGCTTCTCTATTTTGGCCCATATCCTCTGACGTTGCCCGGTATGAATGCAAGGCCTTTCAAGCAGCATCCCTCTCCAAATCCTTCACCCGGCCATAGCCTCCCTCAACAATGGAGCGACCTGCTTCCTGCTAGCCGCGAGATTCCGTTGCTTCCACACCCTAAACCAATGCTCTGCACTCTCCTCTGCATCATCTTCTTCCTCCAGTTGCAGTTTCTCCTTTCCTTCCTCTGCAAACTTTTTGCAAGCGGCAAAGCCTCTATCATCAACTGCCAACACGGCGACTTGTCTGGCAAAGTCGCCGTTTTCTGTTTCATAGGCCGTCATGATGGAAAAGATGCAGAGGTCTCTAGAGGCGGCGAAGGATTTTGCTGCATGGAGGAGAGCNATAGGGGAGTTGTCGTCGAGTTTGGACCTAAGAAACGAAATTGGCTGGACCACTGCACTAGTACCCAGATCGAGTCCGTTTTCCGTCCATTGTTTGTAGTCTTTTCTGAGTATCTCTCCAAAAGTCAGAGGGCTGAGATCTCTTTTTGCTTCATTGATTTTGTTGAAAAATTCGTCGCGGGAGAATTGAGTGGATAGTTTTGGGCATTGGTTTATTTTTGCGAGCAGGTAGGATACGGCGCTGTCATCGTGATCTGTGGTCTTGTGTTTGTCTTGCAGATTTGTGGTGTCGATGAGTATGGAGGCGAGGGCGAATTGCGCTACTTGTGCGTCCCAGAGCGATGTTTGTGCGAAATCGTCTTGTACACTGTCGCCTTGTGCGTTTGCTGCTGCCGCTGTGGATGTGTTTGAGGCAAGAGTGTCCCAAGCATTGCGGCAATGGTTTATTATCAAGCTTGTGCAACTGCCGCTGGTTTCGATCACGCGAGGTTCTTCGCCCGTGTCTGCTGGGACTTTGTTCTCGTCAGTGTGGTGGTCGATTACGCCTACCACGCGTGTGCCGTAGATTTTGCCGAGTTTGCCTTGTAGAGCATTATGGTCGACCAAAACCCAACGTGTGGTTTCTGGCACTAGAGATTGGGATATGGAAGGGAGATCAGGTAGGTCATCTAGGGTGATGAGATGGTCTTCTTGGATGTTTGCGTGTGGGAGCAGGGCTAGCAGTTCAGGGCGTAGAGATATGTCTGCTGCGGGGATGTTCAAAAGGGGAATGTGGAGGGTGGGGGATGTTTGTGTCGAGTGAGTGATGGATTTTAGATATGCATAGACGATTGAACTCGTGATGGAGTCGAGGTCTTGCACAAGATGTTAGCATCGAAACAGTAAAAAGATGCCTAGGATGTGAGGAAAGCTACCTGCTGATTCGTTGCCAATGACCAGTGTGACTTTTTGTTTCTTGTCGATGGCTGTTTCCAGAGTGGCTTTTGCTTGTCGGAGGAAGGCTCCGAGAGAGTTTCTTGGGATGGCCATTCTTTCGGTGGAAAGGGTGTGGTTCGAGTACCTTGGTGGGTAAGTCTTGAGAGAAGGGTCTGAACTGGTGTGGCATGTCGTCAACGATGATGACTGCGGGGTGACAGGTGCTCGTGCAATTAAATTGATCTTGTCACAATCTCTCCACGACATGTTCTCAAGAAAACTGCTATCTACTACAAATATCAGAATCCGCGGATTTGCGACGACACCCAGAATGGCTACAGAAAGACTTCGCATAGGATACATTCCTGGTGAGCAATTGAGCATTCTCCGAAACGGGTCCATGCTATACAATCATAAAGCTAATACGAAGAGCAAGNAACACTTCTCGACCCCTTTACACTTTGCCATCAAGCACTTTGGCCTCGATGCCGACATCAAGCCCTTCCCTACCGGCACTGGCGCTCTCACAGCATCCCTCAAAGACAACACCATCGACGTTGCAATCGGCCTGACCGAAGGCTTCGTAGCAGACCTGGGGAAGACGAATGCCAGCAAAGAGACACCCGCCTACAAGCTCGTCGGCACCTACGTCGAGAGCCCACTATGCTGGGCCATCAGTGTCGGCAACAAGAGCTCCATCAACAATGAGAATGACTTGAAGGCCACAAGAGTTGGTGTCTCTCGCATCGGTAGTGGATCATACGTCATGTCCTATGTACTTGCTGATCAGAAGGGCTGGCTGGAGAAGGAAAAGTCGCCGTTTGAGGTTGTACCATTGGGAGACTTTAAAGCCCTTCGCCATGGTGTGAACGAAGGAGACAAGGCTGACTTTTTCATGTGGGAGCACGTAAGTTTGATGCTCGAGCGTCGGAGGAAAGTCGTCGAGTCTATGCTAACCTGCTTCTTCCATCACAGTNTCACGACGAAAAAGTTCTACGACAATGGCGAGTTGAAGCGAGTCGGCGACATCTACACACCCTGGCCGAGTTGGATGATTGCGGCAAGAGATGCTCAAGACAAGAAGTTGGAAGTCATGGCCGAGAAACTGAATCAGGGAGTCACGTACTTCCGCGAGCATCAGCAAGAGGCGGTTGAGCACATCACCGGTACCATGGAATACTCGCAGGAAGATGCCAATGCGTGGCTCAAAACGGTCAAGTTTGCGGACAATGTTCGAGGTGTCGAGTCAAGCGTGGTTGAGCACACTATCAGCATCTTGCAANAAGGCGGCGTTCTAGACGACAACAATGGCGGTGTGGATGGTATGGTTGCCATCAGTCGTTCGCAAAAGGGTCAGTAGAGGCTCGAGCAATGTAGATACGAATAATGCATACTGGTCAACAAGGTACAAGAATGAATTTGGATGTTTGACAACAGAGCGGGTATCGTAATCTAAAAACTAAGCCTGTAGAGAAGCCAGACCTATCTAAGCCTCTACAGCAGCAGGCTTCTTTCCTCCAGTGGCGATGAGGTCGAGGAAACCCTTCTTGGACATCTCGCTGACTCTCTCTTCTCTCTGCGAGATGCCGACCACGCCCTCCTTCTTCGCTTCGCTTCTGGCCTGCTCTCCCTGCACCTGAGCAGCGCGGACAGCATTGAAAAGCTTGACAACACCACGCTGGGCAGTCTTTTGCAACCTCTTCTCCGTCTCTTGAATCTCAGCCGTGCTGACCTCGGGCGTGTTCAGACCCAAAACATCCTTGACACGGCCCTTGTCCAGTGCCTCTCTCTTCTCAGCATGCAACTTCCTCCTTGCCTTGAGCTCGAGCTTCTGATCTGCCAACTCCTTGGATGCGGCCGTGGCAGCGGCACTCCTCGACAGGACAGGATCTTGTCGTTTCGAAGTGGTTAGTTTTGTGCCCAGGATCTTGGACATGGAGGTGGCGAAGGCGGTGGGGTCGTTGCGCTTGCGGGTCTTTTTCTGAGTGCCGTCCGTGTCGCTTAGGTTGAGTTCGTCGTCGTCGTCGTCGTCTTCGAGATCCGAGTCGTCCAGCGCATCGAGGTCTTCAACATCGTCGTCGTCATCTTCTTCGTCTTCGTCTTCCTCTTCGTCGTCTTCGCTCTCTGATGGCGGGTCGACCTTCTTGGATTGTTTCAGGGCCGACTTGAGTTTGGGCTGTACTGCAGCGAGTGCGGGCTCAGACTTTTCGCAGCGGCGAGTTTGGGTGTGGTCNTTCTTCTCAACGACGGGCTCAGGAGCAGGTACGGGGGCTGTCGCAGCAGCAGGAGCGTCTTCGACCTCCTCGTCTGAGTCTTCCATGTTGACGGGGTTGAAGGACTGTTCATTGTCGCTCTCGCTGTCCGAGTGGTATGCCTTTTGCTTCTTGAATTTCTTGACGAGCTTCTTGGGCTTGCGGTAGCCCATACCCTCTGGTCTCTTTCTCTTTGCGCTTGGATTACCCATTGTGATTGATTTGTGTTGTGATGTATGGGATTATCTGAGTTGGATCTGGGATTTTTTTGAGACGGACTTTGACCTGCAAAAGAGCGTCTGGGGAAGTGAAATGCGGCTCGCCCCGCCATGTCACACTATTGTACTCCGCCGTCTCGCTGCCTACTTCTCTTTCATAGAACACTCACACAAACACATAGCAGTTCGCGCACACGACCACTCGCGCCCTTGCCAACCCCCCCTCTCTCCCCACTGCAACCATAGCAACTAGGCTCGATCTCATCGCAGTCAACTAGCCAGGATGGTTTTGCAAGATCTCGGACGCCGCATCAATGCCGCCGTCAACGACCTGACCAGGTCCGCGACTCTGGACGAAAAGGCCTTTGATGGCATGATCAAGGAGATCTGCAACGCCCTTGTCGAGGCCGATGTCAACATCAAGCTGGTCGCTGGCCTCAGAAATTCCATCAAGAAGACGGTCAACTTCAACGAGCTCGCCCCGGGTGTGAACAAGAAGCGCATCATCCAAAAGGTCCATCTTTCTTCATACCAAGCCTCGTCCTAGTACTGACTTGTCTCTCAGGCCGTCTTTGATGAACTCGTCAAGCTTGTCGACCCCCACAACACCCCATACCAGCCCAAGAAGGGCAAGTCCAACGTCATCATGTTCGTCGGTCTCCAGGGTGCCGGTAAGACCACGACTTGTACCAAGCTCGCCCGCTGGTACCAGGCGAGAGGTTTCAAGACTGCTCTTGTTTGCGCCGATACTTTCCGTGCCGGTGCCTTCGATCAGCTCAAGCAGAATGCTACCAAGGCAAAGATCCCCTACTACGGTAGCTTGACTCAGACCGATCCTGTCATTGTCGCCAGAGAAGGTGTCGACAAGTTCAAGAAGGAAAAGTTTGAGATTATCATTGTCGATACTTCGGGTCGTCACAGACAAGAGCAGGATCTTTTCGACGAAATGGTTCAGATCCAAAAGGCTGTTCAGCCGCACCAGACCATCATGGTTCTCGACTCTTCCATCGGTCAAGCTGCCGAGGCTCAGTCCAGAGCTTTCAAGGAGACCGCTGATTACGGTGCCATTATCATCACAAAGACTGATGGTGCTGCCGCTGGTGGTGGTGCTATCTCGGCTGTTGCTGCTACACACACTCCCATTGTCTTCATCGGTACTGGTGAACACTTGTTGGATCTTGAGAGATTCAACCCCGAGTCCTTCGTCTCTAAACTGTTGGGCATGGGTGATATGGCTGGTCTGGTTGAGCACGTCCAAAGCTTGAAGCTCGATCAGAAAGACACCATGAAGCACATTGCCGAAGGTCAATTCACCATCCGTGATCTTCGCGACCAGTTCAACAACATCATGAAAATGGGTCCCCTCTCCAAAATGGCTGGTATGATTCCTGGTCTCAGCGGTCTCATGGGACAGATGGACGACGATGAGGGTAGCATGAAACTGAAGCGCATGATCTACATCTGCGACTCCATGACAGCAAAGGAGCTCGACTCTGACGGCAAGATCTTCGTCGACCAGCCATCACGCATGACGCGTGTTGCAAAGGGTAGTGGCACCAGCGTTCGCGAGGTCGAGGAACTCTTGTCCCAGCAAAAGGTCATGGGCGGCATGGCCAAGAAGTTCAAGGGCGGCATGCAGAACATGCAGAAAGCACAGGGCGCCATGGGTGGCAAGAACAACCAGCAGCAGATGAACGCCATGCAGAAGCGTCTTCAGTCCATGGGAGGTGGCAGAGGCGGCGGCGGCGCTGGTGCTGGTGGCATGCCAAACCTCGGCGGTATGGATATTGGGGCGATGATGAAAGCGATGGGTGGTATGGGAGGTATGGGTGGCGGCGGTGCTGGAGGTGGTGGCGGTATGCCTGATATGAGCGCCATGATGAACATGATGAAAGGTATGGGAGGCATGGGAGGCATGGGAGGTATGAGTGGCGCTGGTGGCGCTGGCCGCGGTGGTAGAAGATAGGGTGCTATGATTCACCCACCCGCCTACCGTCTTTGATTCTTTGCACAGCGTCGGCGTTGGGCTGGAGCTTGCCTTTGTAACTGAGAGATGCGATCTGTAAAGAAGGACTATATAATGCCCACAAATACGATATCACGTTCACATCATCAGCTACGATAATTAGATCCTTTCCTCCATTTGAAGCAACAGATCTGTCAGGATGCCACGATTCTCTTGGAGACAAAGGTAAGAGTGTGAGTCTGCGTACATCTCAACAGTACCCAGACCTGGAAGGAAAGATGTAGGTAAAACTCTCCATAACAAGCACGCGAACGAGATGGCGTCTTTGCCGGCTCGGACTTCTCTCCACAAAAACGCAACCCCTCCATGGCAGCAACAAACCCACTCCACGCGCCGAACCTCGGAACCCCCAAAGCTCTGTGTGTTTCTGTCCTTCTACCTTGAACAACACAACACTTTCTTGATGTTTGGATTTCGACAAGCTTCCACTTTGTTTACCCGACGCAGCTTTTCCACAACCTCTCGCATCATGTCTCAGCAAAAGCACGAATGGATGGTCATCCTGCCCGACAATGCAGGTGCTCTGGAGCAGAGAATGGCTGTTAGAGAGTAAGCACTTGTCCACTTCCTCACATTGATATCGCAGTTGCAAAGCACAGCAATGTGCAAGACAAGGACACCACATTAGGCATTGCTCAATGAAACCAACTCTCTAACACGAACCGCCAAAACAGACNAACACCTTTCCGCCGTCAAACCTCTTGCCGAAAGCGGGTTTTGGGTCTTGGGCGGTGCAATGCTAGAAGATGTGCCCAAAGAAGGCTCGCCTCTAAAGATCAAAGGTTCAGTGATGTTGGCCTTGGCGAGCTCCAAAGAAGAAGTCATGGAAAAGATTAAGAAGGACATTTATGCCGACAAGGGAGTTTGGGATATGGATAAGGTGAGTTTTTCTGATGCTTGATGACATTGAATACGAGAGAGCAAAGTAGCTGATGTTTGATGGTGGGAATAGATTCAGATTTTCCCGTTCAAGAGTGCTGTTAGATCTGCTTTGTAGAGAGGTGGAAATGTGGTAGACGAAGATGGATATTGGCAATGTTTTAATATTTGCCTTTACGAATCAACTCTGCGTAATGCAGTCTTACGCAATGCAACACAATACTGCATAGTTTTCTCTTAGTATACCGAGACAGAGTCAGTGCAAGATCAGCAGGACTGCGTTTTCCCTTCGACAGCCTCGATTTCGTATACACGCCTCGAGTAGGGCTTACAAGGAAGGTGCACCTTGCATTGCCGGAAATGCCCCGTTCAGCCCCCTCGACGAAAGCTGCGTTTCTTCAGCATCTTGACTCACAATGTCCAGTGTTCAGAACATCACAGCAACTTCATGCTTCCGTGGTCCGGTACCGGTATCATCTTGCTACCGGCATCTGCGCGCATTTGGCTTCTATCGGCATCATGATCGCTTTTAGCCTAATCTCCCTAGCACTGGGGTTTCCACGACCCCGATCATGATGCAGATCAGAGGTGGAGAAATCGCGGGGATCTTGACGTCTTGACATCTCATCACCGGCCATCCCGTCCTTTTAGGTCGGAGAAAGCTTGAACAACATGGCAAACCATGCTTCTCTGCCGTGTCGAATAATGCGAGGGCTGGATGGACTAGTGGAAGTGTGCAGTTCTTGCCTGTACGGCTGCCGCAACCGAGACAGCCTGTATGAAAGCCTGCTCATAGGCTTGTGTGTGCTGGAGAGCATGCAAAGTATAAGAGGTAGGGCTTTCCTCTTTGTATTTCTTGTCATTGTATCACCTTTGCAATTCCAAGCATCATGCCTACCTTGTCACTATCAACGTTGTTCGCTCTATCCTCCGTAGCAGGAGCATGGCCGCACTTTGGTCCTCCTGGACCTCCCCTCCACTCTGGCGCACCGCCCCCACCTCCACCTCCACCTCCACCTCCGGGTGGCCCCAAGCAACCTGCCTGGGGCCTCAAGAAGTTCACCAGTCTTGTCGCTTTCGGAGACAGCTACACGGATGATTCACGTCTCAATTACTTTGGCTCTCACAACGGCAGCGCTCNNCCCCCAGTCGGTTGGGTCAACCCGGCCAATTACCATGCAGCAGATGGCGGCCGTCCTTGGCCTCAATACGTGGCTCAGTATTCTGGCGCCAAGATCTACAACTATGCGGTTTCTGGAGCGGTTTGCAGTAACAACATCACCCCTCGCACTTTTTCCAGCATCAATGCCGACTTCCCTGACGTCGAGGGCTATGAAGTTCCTGCATATCTCGCAGACAGCAAGTACGTGTATCCCAACGGCACAAAGGCGCTAGATGTGCCTGTGGACAGCACCGTCTATTCCATCTGGATCGGCACCAACGATCTCGGCAACTACGCTTTCATCGACGACAGCCAGGTTGCAGGCAAAGTCATCCCCGACTATATTGATTGCGTCTATCAACAATTCTCCACCCTCTACGACTCGGGAGCCAGATACTTTGTGCTTCAGAATGTGGCTCCCCTGCAGTTGAGCCCGCAGTATGGATTACCCAGCAAGGGAGGCTTGAATGCTACGCAATACTGGCCCGAGAAACCTGCCAACACCACAGAGATATCTGGACGCATGTTGGAGACTACGACTACAGTCAACGATGTCTACAAGTACCGTACACCCTACGACGTCCTTCTCGCCAACAAGTATCCCGGCGCACATTTTGCCCTATTCGACATGTATGGTCTCGTAAGTTTTTACCTTCTCTCCGCACCGTCTCATACTTTTTTCTCTAAATCGTAAATTACAGNNATTACCGACATGTACAACAACCCTACACAGTACTTAAACGGAACCAACCCTACCGTAACTGGCTACGTCAACCACTGCACTACAAACGGTACAGACTGTGTTGCTGCTGCCAACCCTGATTCCTACCTTTGGTATGATCCTCTGCACCCCAGCGAGCAAGCCGACCGCAACTTTGCCAAAGCTTTTGTCGATGTGGTGGGTGGAAACAGCAAGTGGGCTACTTATTACTCTGCCTAGAAGAGGCGTTATTGGAATTGTCTGTTGTACAAGTTTGGTTTTGATCGTATTGAGGAATGTGTAATTCAATCATTCTATGTGCTTTCTGAGTCACTCAATACGATCTTCTTGTACGAGACCTTGCAGACCTGTCATTACATTGAAGCTGAACAGACAATGTCGTTTTTCCAGTATGAGACCTTGTAATTTTTATGAAAGCAAGGCAACTCTTTGATTTTTCTTTTGTGATTAAGCAAGGTTAGATCAAGCAAGGAAATGCTGATCAACCTCTACTGTATATACTGCTGCCACTCTTTATTGAACTCTTTCTCTTTTCCCTCTCTAAGAAACATCACACAGATAACCTCGAGAACAACCTAGATACTATGTGTCTGCTGCGTGCTGCTAACGTCTTCTTTATCGATTTTGAAACCTCGAGTCGCTGACACATACATCGTGTACGAGGCTTCCTATCGTAGAGAAGTAAGGTACGACATCCCCGTCTTATGACGGACTAGTTCTACCGTACGGCAAAGAGACACAGAATAAGACATCAGCTGCTGATGGAATTTGAGAGTTCGAGATGTAAACTCGAAGTTAACGACATCGACCCTTTTGTCGTACGGAGGCTTGTAATAGGATAAAGTATGCATATGCTGTCAGGCGGTGAGAAACAAAACGCTGGGAGCATAGAAGTACTAATGTATGAGCAATGCTTGTGCATGTCACAAGCGCTGGATTGATCATCACTTATATTGACTGACGAAGCCATAAAGGGGTCGTTTGTATCGGTATATACAATTTAGACAGTACTATAATGGTTGCATACGAGGGGGGGGCTTCACTCTTATTCTGCAAACCACTTCACTGGCATTTTTGAGAATGAAGCATCCAATGGATGAGCGAGGTTCTACTACTTAGTATAAAATCCCGTCTTCAAAACATGTTACACAGACACCCATCTCAAACATCTTAAGAGCGTCCGCCTGGGCGAGAGAAAGGAGGCTGGACCCTGCAGGCTTCCGAGGCATACTAACGACTGAGCTGTCGTCTATACCCAAAAAAAAAAAGATGGCCAGGTCACTGCGAACAGCCTCTGCTTCTGTTGATCTCCTCCAGACTGGAGGTGCGAATGATACTCTGATGCACTTCCATTGCAGGTGCTATACCACTCCAGAAGTATACGTCTCTAGCAGAAATACCTCTAGCAGCTTCTAATCTAACCCGGCTGTAGCGTCTACTATCACTCTATAGCTATGCGTGATCTCAAAAGACTCGCACCCATAGAGAAGATGTCGCGCGACTAATACGGAAGGAAAGATCGGGTGGAGCGGACAAAGTAGGAACGAATGACACCCACCGACGAGCAAGATTAGGAAAAGGTGACGCTTAGGGCTCGACTGGTGCCTGAATATCGACGCATGACACCGGTCGCAGCTCCGACAAGGCAAACTCTAAAAGTGTTTCGCATGTTTTCCAATTTTGATGCATGTCAACGGCTATACCATTTTTACCCCTGAAGTTTTTTTTTGTAGAATATGCGATTCTCGCCTATGCAGGAACAAGATGGTTTTTCATGAGGTTGAGGAGAGCGTGTTGGTGTGTTTTGGTGTTGCAGGTTTTGTTTCGTGCGCATAGGAAGTGGACCGTGACCGATATGAGAGAATTATACTGTCCTATCGAAACATCGATTGGCTGCCATGTCGCAGCTTCTTATGAGCCAAACATCACAAACACTCATGGTGGTTCGATCAGCTACTAAGCAAGAATATCTCTATAAGAGTAGAGCTTCCTCTTCGATTTTTCTTTCCTCTCCATCCCTTCTTCACGCCACCCCTTCCCACAAGAGCAGGTAAGTATTGACCCCCTGCCTCCCCTTTCCACTTCCAATGCTCCCCTTCAAGATGTTCACACCCTATTCTTCTGCGCGTACCGCCCAAGCTGCACGAAGGAACCTCCTCTTCGGAGCGCCTAATAAGACTCACACTCTCGCTGTCCCCACTACATTTGCTCTGACCTGTCCGCTCTCCGGGAAGGCTTGTCTCAGATACTTGTACGTTGGGGACTGAATGCACTACGAGGCTCAGGGATCTCATCCAACATAAGGACCCCACCTTGAGATCGCGCAGAGAGGACTGCGCGTGCTAATAATTAAAGTCTTGATCGAGGCCTGTACTTTTGTGCTTCTGCTCCCTGGTAGGGAAGCGAAAGGACGGCTAGAGACGCACATTGGTTCTTTCACCTCGCGGCATGCTTGAGCGATTCTTTTCTTACGTCTGTACCGCTGATCTTCATTTGGTCATTTAGGCTTGAGATTGTTTTGCACGCCTGCAGCTTGCTTAGCAGGTTGGGTGATTGCAAAAAAAAGATGGTTTTGGACGCGTGCCTTTCCATCGGTGGTTTTGTCGCAAGATATGCCATTCTTTAAGTTTTTTTCGATGGGTTTTTGGCATCGTATGCTGGGACTTGTAGAAGAATCGTGATGCGCTGACTTGTCCTCCCAACCACTCTAAGGTGCCTCGTCTCACTAAGAACAAAGGCACAGCCACCAAGTCCGTGACGTTCTCGGAAGGCAGTGCAAGAAAACTGAGATGAATGTACTTGTTGTCCACGATCCTGGCCGCTTGTTTAGATTCCCTCTCGTTCGCTCACTCTCCAAGCTATCCGCTGCTGACGGACTGTTTGTTGTGACCGAGTCTTTGCATAGAAAGAAAAAAAGCATCAATGTTAGCATTACGAGTGGGCTAAATGTAAAGAGCATTCGAGTTTGTGGCTCGGCAGATGTAACCGAAGCTTTTCATAACCAGTTCATCTCTCCAGCAACCATCTTTTCCGATCCAGCAGAAACAAAGCTCAGCGAGCTATTGCTGTGTACGCTGCAAAACTTCTTCTCGAAGGGCGACCATGGTAGGTGCGAGGGAAAATCTAATGGAGATCTTTTGGGTCGATATCTAACGGGTACCGCTGGCAGAGGCAAATCTGGTGGTGGTGGTGTCGGAAGATCGGGTATGAAAGGTCCGATTTTGGTAGGAGAAAGGTCTAAAGGTGGAGGTACGGGAGCTTTTGGTCGTCTGTGTATGAGTGAGAAGTAGTCGGCTTTCTGCTTCTCGGGCGATCGCGGTGGTGTGATGTCTTGAGATGATGTTGAATGTGGCGATATTGCAGACCTTGCGAACGAGGACTTGTCTGACTGCTCATGGCGAGATATCGAGGTTTGCGCAGCGCGTCGGTCGGACAAAGAAAGTGATTCAGAGGGATCTCGAGGGAGTGAGCACCCAGTCTTTGACGGCTGGGATTGAGCCGATACAATACGCCGTGTTGGCGACACTAAGGTCGGCAGCTTGGGCTGAATACCACTGTATTGATTCATTTGGCTGATCGAGGTTGAACGAGGAAGCCTTGCAGTAGTTGTTCGTAGGGAGTGTGGGAATTGCTCAGTTTTCGAACACAAAGGCAGTGCTGGTATGGCGTTTGATGGCAGTCTGCTTGTAGTCATGCTTCTCGCCCGTGGAGGTATTGGTGGTGGCAAAGAATCAACGATGTTCCCTTGTGACTCTCCTAGTAGCTTCTTAGACTGGGAGACATTCAATGGATGTGGCGTCAGGTCAATGCTTCCTGTTTTGTCTCTCCTAGCCGTCGTCCACTCTTCGAACCAAACAGGTACCATGTGATCAACGAATTCCCATCCATCCGGTCTCTTGAAGCGCGGCTTGAGTCTTAGCAGAGGACAGCACTTGTGGTCAACGGACATAAAATCTGGCTGCTTTGTTTTGGCAATGAGGCCGGTATCTCCGGCTTTGAGGATCTCGAGCATGATCATCCTACTAAGCCTCTTTCGTAGAAACACAACCCAGCTGACGTCTGGAGCGTTGAACGTATAGATATGTTTTAACATGCAACAGGAGAATGTCTGCGCGCCGATGCTAAAAGTCTTGAGTCCTGTAACGGCGTGTTGTGATTCTTGTGGTCCGGATTCCGGGAAGATTTGGAATGAGCAGCTCTCAATCATATGGTCTGGACATTCGGGTGTGCGTATCTTATACAGGTTGAGAGGTATCACCCAGGTGGATGAATCACCAACTCTCCTGACCTTCTCGCGAATGCCAAGTTTGTTGCATCCTCTGGTCTGATCATAGTCCACCCAATTTGACGTGCGCCATCCATGAGCTGAATACTTGCTCAAAATTTGTCCCATAGCTTCGTCCGGGTTGTGTAAGAAGTACATCCGACGGTCCATGAACGTGACATGTGGGAACATGCAGTATGCCCTGTTCCACGTAATGACATTGACGTGAGCAGTCGAAAAGGCACAATCAGTCAAGATACTGTGCAATGGTGATGTTCGAGTGAGATGAAATCGTATCTGCGGCGACCTGGGTGGAACTATTCGTCGGAAGACCAGGACCTTCNNTAGCGGTAAGTTATCGAAGACTTTTAACGGCAACATTCGACTCACCTTTGTGAGAGTACGGTGCTGATCATAATCCGACCAACCATAGCTATGTTCAAATCTGTAACTTTTGTCTGCACCGATGTATCGAATCAAGTTGTCTGCTTTTGATCCTTGCCGAACGTAGATGTCCATTCCAGAATCCAACCAATAGAGTTGAGCAAAGAACAGTAGGGCAAAGGTGCCAGAAATTAGAGCATCTGCTTGTCCTAGTCTTGATCTGAATTCTTTCGGGTCATTCACAAATCGCGCAAGTCTTCGATTGATGTTCCATCGACAAGGCAACATGTTCTTGTAGAAGGAAGACAGCCTTTTGCATGTTCGACTGATGGCAACAACGTCTTCAATGTCGAGGCGCTGGTATATGTTGTCAAAGACAAGGTGATGCCGGTCATATTGCGTGAAGATATCCAGGAGAGGTGAGTGCGACGATTGTTTTGTTGATCTATCGAGCCATCCAGTAACCTTGTTGAGCGTGGTCGATGTTGAACTGGCTTTTGATGAGTCGTGGATGTCGGGTACCTGCCTGTGTAGCTCTCCTTGATCTGAAGGCTTGCGAGCAGAGGAGAGTTGGGATTGTAACACCTCCTTCTCTGCCTCCACTTCCGCGAGGCGCTTCAGAAGGGTTTCGGTTGAAGTCATAGCAAAGATTGAAGAACACCAGACACCAGAGGTTCGGATCCCGGATCTGAACCGATGAGAAGAAACTTTGATATAAGACACCAAGTGTAAGGTGGAGGACCTTCGAGGGAGATGGGTTCTAGGAGCCGACCAGCTTGCACCATGATGATTGTCGGTTGCCCTGTCATCACGAAACTGTTGCTGTACAGATATCCGTTTGATGCAGTCTATGTTTGGTAGTCCCCTGACTCTGAGTATCTTTCTTGGGCAAGAAGTCTATCTAGCTGCCAAGCCGGGGAGTCGTTTGGTAGAATCGTTCGACCGCAGAGTGGGTAGTGACTTCCTTGAACGTCTTGTTGTTACAACCGCGACTCGGAGTTCATCTTTCCTAGAGCTTCAGACAAATGAAGTCCCACGTTAAGCTTATGCCACCTGAATATAGGCCATGAAAGCAGCACAGTAGTTGATGGAGTGCGCACGCCATCATGAAGACAATGACTTGACTCTATGGACATTGGTCGAGCAAGTGCATGTCCTAGCAGCAATGGTCGTTTACACCGTTCCCAGATCTTCGGATTCTGGACTCCGTGCGACCATGCAGCATAGGTTTTGGGACTAGCTGTATAACCATGACTTGTTTGTCGAAGCGTTGCATCAACGTTGTCAGGGTCGAGCTGAGGAGATTTGACCTCANNGCACTCGGCCGTAGGCGGTTTTGAGACGGTCAAGAGCGGACGAGACTCCTGCATGTCAGGCATGTCTGTCCGTCACAACTATATATGTTGCGTTGAGCAGAATTTAGGACAGCAAGATGGGATACATCGCAATGTGGTGTCGGAAAGTGATGGCCAGTATCGCAGTGGATTCGAGTGTACAACATATATCTTGCAGCAAGCATGCCAGTCANNCGGGTAAAAGAAATATCACAGGAAGGGTCGAACTGTTTTTCCTGATTTGTTGTGGTATTTTGAAGCNAGCAGTCGAAAAGTACTTTGCTTTTCCCGCCATATCGTGACTCCATGGTTCATGGCCGTGAACCGATGCATCCCAGCTCAGTAAAAAATGTAAAACAGTTGTTCATTCCCATTCCATTGACCAGCGCCCTCCTTTTTAAAAAAAAACAATCAAGTCAAGTCCAGTAGCCCGAGGCGATGCGCTTATGCGTCCTCAACGACGGTGGTCTGGAGACCCTTGGGGTCCTTGACGTTGACGGCCTGGACGTAGGAGTAGAGCTTCTCCTTGGCGCCCTCCTCGTCGTTACGCTTGCGCGAGATGCGGACACGGAGGCGGAAGGGAACACCCTTAACACCACACTCCCAGACCTTCTTGTTCAACTGGGGGTCGAGGCGGACATCGCGAGTGCCCNNTAGAGGTGGAGAAAACGAGTCAGCGTCTGAAGTTGGAAAGATGGTGTCGCATGTGTTTTGCGCCGGCGTATTGTATCAGAGAAACTCTGCGCACACGCGCAAGATACAGACTGGACACGAGGGGTAAAGGTCAAAACTCACCATGGCGTTCTCAGCGAAGGCCTTGATCTCCTTGATGGCGCGGGGAGCGCGCTTCTTGAAGGAAACACCGTGAACCTATATTAGAGAAAAATCCGGAATCAGTCTTCCGCCCGATACCAGCTCATGTTGGAGAGCGGCCATTGATGGACTTCATCAAACTGAACGTACACGCTTGTGCAGGTGGATGGTGTACTCGCGAGCGACAACATCGGCAATGGCGGAACGGCCAGCCTTGGGCTTCTGGGTCTTCTGGGTGGTGGACATTTTTACGTCGTCGTTGGGCGAGAGGGCGGTTGCTTGTCGAGATGCTCTTCGGGGGCAATCGCAGAGGAATTTCGCAAGATGATTTTCCCACGAAGCCGGCGAAATCACAAGCGAGCCTTGGCGCTTGTTATCGGTCACGTGATTTCTGCGCATCTGCATCGACACCAACACAACCATCCAAGGACGGCAGTCATAATAAGGTCGAATGATATTGTGAAGATGGTGTTGCCGTCTGTGGGTCTCGCCTCATTGTTCGCAAGAAGCAGGACATTCACGAAATGGAGTTGTGGAATATCAAGGCGGTATCTGTCAAGCTCGCCTCAGCATGACCCTCTGCGTGTGCTCTTCTGTGGCGCGGATGATTTTAGCATATATTCACTGAGGGCATTGCACAAAATCAAAACAGAGAACCCCGACAGGGTAGTCTCTATTGACGTGGTTTGCAGAAAGGACAAGCGCGTTGGCCGAGGCTTGAAGCAGATTCGCGAAGGTAAACATTACCCACATTGATAGTCCCTCCTCCGTTCCAATTGCTGAGCATTTACAGTCCCAATCAAAAGTGTGGCGGGCACTGTGCTAGGTCTCAATGTACACCAAATTGACACATTCACTGGCTGGACGCCGCCTCAACCTTTCAACCTGGTGGTCGCAGTTTCCTTTGGCTTGCTTGTCCCACCACGCATTCTCAATGCTGCAAAGTATGGTGGTCTTAATGTGCACCCTTCAATGCTCCCTGAGTAATACTCTGATCGACATGTTATACACTCGCCTCCAGCTAATACTGTATTCATCCAGCNNTTGCCTGGTCCGGCACCACTGCATCACACATTACTGCGACGCCTTGGTAAAACTGGCGTCACTCTACAAACACTACATCCCAAGCATTTCGACCAGGGCAGAATAATTGATCAAACTCCTTCTTCCGGGCTTTCTATCCCAGAAGAAAAATTAGCCACTCTGGACTCACTACTGGCTTGGATTGGACCAATCGGTGCTGGTATGCTCTACAAAAACATCATGAATGGCAGCTTCGCCACAGACACCGCAATTAAGCCTGCAGCCAGCCGAAGCCTCAAGAACACAAGGAATGATTTGTTCGGTCAGCTGGATGGAACAGCCGAGTATCCTCGTCATGCCAGAAAGATCATACCAGAAGACCGACACGTCAATTTCCGCTGGCCGTCTTCCGAGATACTTCTTAGAGACCGCGTGCTTGGCCGCCTGTTCGCATCTGATACAGGCCTTGCGCCGAAGAAGCGGATTACCTTCCATGGATTCGAGGACACAACCGATGCTTGCTGGGAACAAGTCCAAGCCAAGGGTCCGATCCTCCGAATGGGCAACCATCCTCTCGACCCTGGTGCTATCTCAATGTTCAGACACGATAGGGAGAAACGCATATTCTTCCGCACCAAGGATGGTTGGGTTAGCCCGACAGAAGTCACCATCGAGGGCAATCCTAAACAGAAGGCAGCAATCATCTACGACAAATTAAGGCAAACGATGCCTGTAACTTGCTGCTAGCCAACGAGTCAGCCACGCAACTTCAGCCAGATGCTGTATATGCACGAAAGCTCCTCGCTCGCAAGACCTCATCGAGCGTAGCTGTAAGGAAATACGTAACTTTTCGAAACATAACAGCTGCCACTGAAGACTTCGCTATCGTCAATCCTTCCTTTGGCTTTCCCTGGGCACAGTCCTCATTTAACTAATTGTGCATTGCCATAGCTTGGATGTCGCCCTGCATAAACAACGAGAAAGATGGACGCGACATCACACTGAGATATTTGTACCAGGTATTCGCTACCTGGAGCACCTCTGACATTTCTCAGGCCGCGCCCACGACGACTACTTGTCTCTCTCATTCCTGGAAGCTCGAGTACCATGTACAAGATCGTGATGGAGCGATCCTCCGGTATGGCTGGCATATATACAGGTCTTCTGGCCACGGAAGCTTTGACGCTTCTACCCGATAATTCCCTCATCTACCCGCACCACCCATCCTTCCACGCCAACCTTTATATTCTACATTCAATTTGTCCTCTACAAGCAAAAAAGCCGTGGTGGTGCAGTGGTCAGCAAATCCGATCCGGTAACCTAAGTCCCTAAACTCGCTTACCTAAGTCCCTAATACTCTCCTCTCGAGGATCGGAAGGTCGCAGGTTCGACTCCTGCTCACGGTGCTTACTATCTTTTTGCTTATCCCTCGTTAATCTCTCATCGTAAGCACGCTCTAGGGCGTCACATCCGAATTCTCTTTCTTTCTTGTCGCAATGCACGTTAAACACCATTCTTCATCGCAAAGTCCGTTCGGCCTTTTCCCTTTTCGAGTAACACCTCGTTGTGTCACTGTTCAGTATGATACCTGAGAGAGAGTACCCTTTCAAGACACTTGGATGGAAAAGGCAAGATTTAGCACTCTTATCTCACGATGAGACATCAGACAAAGAGGAACATGTCAAACAGATAACATAGAACAGTTCTTTCTCTTGCGCATATAAACCTGTCTTCTATGAAAAAGGCCTGACATTGTGCTTTCCTACACATTAGGACGCAAAGAAGAGCAGGAGAGAATGTCAGGACTGCCCTGGTTATCTCATTGTGTTGACAAAGAAGCCGGGTACACCCAACCAAGGACAATCCGTCCTCGAATGAACCTGTAAGCTTCCCGGTCCTGAATGACGAGTTGTTGTGCAAATATCTTTCCTGTCGAAACGTAAAAGCTCGCTGACAGATTTGTCGGTGGAGGAGAGCGCTTGTCATAGTGTCCATGTCATCAACGCCGTGGTTTCCCCTGCTGGTCTGGTTGAAGGATCCTCCAGAAACCCTTCCAAAAAGAGCCAATTCACCATCCGACCCACCAATGCTCATACTGCAGCACTTCAGATCGAGTTGGTTCCATCTCTGGTACCCGGCTCCTGTAGCTCCATGGCCATCAATACGAACCTTCCACGTTCCTCGAGCAGTCGGAATCTCTCAAAGAACTCTTGCTCTTCCATCTTCCTTCTCTTGCCTGCTGTGCAGTGCTTCAGCTCACGTCCTGTGTAAGTCTTTTCCAGCTTGGCGGCCTCGGTTATTCCCATCATCTTTGGCTTCTTGTCAACTGGTGAGCTTCTGGATCTGAGCACCACGGCGCGGTCTTTCCAGGCTTGGCGCTTCTTCATCTCGCCCATGATGGCGGTGTAGAGGTAGGGGTCGGGGGCCATGTAGTGCTGTGTGATGTGTGCATTGCATTGATCGCGCATGTCGGTAATGAAGGCCTCGATCCAGTGCACAGAGCACAAAGCAGGCTGCTGCGTCCAGCGGGTCAGGGTGGGACTCAGTCGGAGGAGTGAACTGTGCCAGGGATGGGCAGTGATGGTAGGTGCCCGATTGTGCTGGAAGCGGATCGTAAAGGCCAGCCCACGCATCCAGGTCAGTTTGATGTACACCGAGTCCACCAGTCGAAGCATCTCTGAGCACCGAAGCAGCTCGCGGAACTTGCTCCAACGCACGACAGAGCTCTTGATGCAAGGCAGTCCTGGAGAGCGAAGGTAACCACCCTTTACATGCAAGGAACGATACATTGATGTGGTCCAGAAGTGGTGCGAAGTGCTGTGACGGCACTCAATCTGCATTGTGCAGTGTTGGTGAGGACGCTGGCTGCATGATGTCCCAAAGCCTTGGAAACGTGCATCCAGGGGCTAGGCAGGACTTGCTGTTCAGGTGCCTCAATAGCAAGCTTGAGTATCTCGCGGAGGATCTCGGCTGGCAGGATGGAGAGATGGTCCTGGCCAGCCTCAAGGGGATGATGTGTTTGCTTGTTCATGAAGGCGAGGGTGGTTTGTTGCTGCAAGGTCGCGGGCCTGGTGATTGCCTACTTAAGGAATTCAGGGACGAGAGCGGAGTTTTCTTGTGTGAGTGTTTCTCGCGCCCAATCCTCGCGCTCAGTGCTCAAGTTTGACTCTAGGCACGACATGATTTAGGTCAAGCAGAACGGCAAAGAAGTGGCATTGTGCTGGATGATGAGCCCCGTACGCAAAAGTAATGGTAGGACAAGGAGATAGGCCCCTGGCAGTCTTGATTTCTCTCTCTGTTCCCAGTAATGTAGCGTGAAGAGCTAAGCTTGTGAACAGATACAGCGTAGATACGTCCTGAGAGTATCTACTGAGGAGAAGACTATACACAGACGACCTCTTTGTAAGCATTTGCAGTTGGCATCCTTCTTTACCTAGGTAGCTCTTTGAAGAGTTGCCAAGTGAAGGTATCACAATTAACTGGAAATCTGTCGCATCTTCTAAGATCCAAAGAAAGTGGATCAACATGTCGGAAAGTTTTCAGAACGTGAGGTCACTACCAAGGTATTTCTTGTACCACTCAGCCTGTACACCAACATTACCCCCTCTCATTCCTCGTAAAGACACTCTGTGATCTTTGTCTGCCTGGTGCTCAATCGCCTATTCGGCTCGTTTCTAGTCGTAATACGGCTGTTTAGCATCACCAATGCTTCTGCTACTTGTCCGTCATCTTGGGTGACCTTGGCCTTGCGATTAATTCTGGTCGATGACAAGGGACAACGTTAAGACATCAACACAAGTCTACAAGATATAGTATTCAGCACTCATATAATTTAAAAGTGCTCAGAAGGATTAGAAACCATTGGGATTGTAGTTGGTTTGCCAGAAGGGGCCGAAACCAAATCCATCATTGAGGGTCAGGGTGCTCCTCAGAACATGACTTTCCCAAGTATATCAAACAAACATCACATGTTGTGGACGGAGTGACTCAATACTGTCCCATGACTTCAAGGCAAACCCTTGCAGCTACTCTGACGTCGTCCTCAAGCTCCATATCCTGTTCTATGTTCCCCAACCTCTGTTTCCAGAACTGCCATCGAGGAAGACTTGCATCGCTATCCTCTTTCCACAACTCTCGTCTTGGTTTTCCCACTGATTTTTTCTCGAGCTCTACACTGTTATCCAACAGATCGTGCTGAAACCCATCTCTACACATTCCAAAAAGCATATCTCCAGCATTGAGCAACCATTCCCTGAGGATTAAGATCTCTACACGCAAAACAGCATCTTCATCTTCAAGTGTATGCGCCAACCTCGCCAAACCCTCAGCCTTTGCTCTTTCCCCAAGGATACCAGAAACTGATAACAATGCATCAGCAACAGCGATTCGCGGTATATTGACCACTGCATCTTGGTTCTCGAATCGCAATTTGTCAACACGCCATTGCGAGCCATAATACCACCAATGCATGTCATACCACATATTCGCGAATCCAGGTAAATCGTTCCAGAGAGTCCATTGTTTGTCGCTTAATGCATCTGTTCTCTGTTCTTCTCGCAACCGCACATCCGGCCGTTTTTGGAGTTGTAGCAACAGTGGTGTAATTTTTTGTGCTGAATGCGGAAGCTCGACCATGGCGTCTTGTAGTACACCCCAGAGGTAGATGAGTGGGTCGCCGGGCAAAGCACAGGTCTCGGTGGGGAGGGCGAGTTGTTGTGATGCTTGGTCGATGGAGATCTCGTCGCGTAGGTAGAGTTTTAGGGTCATGGCTTCGGAGCGACGGCAGCCTTCTCCATCTATACCGTCCGACTCGATGACGTTTTCGAACCATGCGTCTGTCATGATGAGATGGGATTGATGACTGATGGTTGCAGAAGAAAGAACGGGTGCAAAGTAGTGGCTGGCAGAAAGGTTTTTGACTGCGAGTAAGGTAATTGCCTCTAGATGCAAGGACAAGAGAAGAAGAGTACTGAACGTCTTCGTGAGTGTGGAGTTGGCAATATGAGTGTAGAGCTGTATTAGCAACAGTCGTTGCCTCGACGTGACTGACATGACGCGAAGGATCCAATGTCCCCACTATAACATCCACTTACGTCCGTACAACTTACTCATGCTCTATGGGCATATCTGTTCAACACATAATAGCAATCTTTCCAGATGGACTCTGAAGTAAACCTGGACCTGCACCGAAGTTTGAAGCTTTATGATTGACCATTCAAGAGTCTGCAAAACACAGAAAGGGGGTATATAACAAAATGAATAGGAAAAAAAGAGGCCAGACCCAAGTCCCTGATACTCCATTGGAAGAAAGAAAGCAGCATGCCCAAATGTCCCTTCCCAATCGTGACTGGAGGAATAGTGTATTACGCATGATTCTTGTGGTCTGCAGGCTCGTGGTCTTCCTTGTCACGAACATCAGAGTTGAAGGTCAGAGCACCCGAAGGTCTCCTGAGCAGAGGAGAACCGCCGACCATGGGGCTTGGTGCACCGCTGGGGATACTATCGTTGCGTGCATGACCATGACCCAAAGCGCCACTACGTACGCTGCCTTCGTAGCCCCTCAAACTGGCATGGTCTCCAGCCAAGCTTCTGCCGTCAAAGTTGAGCGATTTGGCGTCGAAATTGATGCTTCTGCCATCTGCACCAAAGTCACGATCACGGTGAGCTTCCTTGTCTCGCTCTCTGTCTCTGACTTGTCTGTGACTCGCAGCGTAGTAGCTATTGCGATCGGAAGCGATGGCAGGGGCCGACACATCTCGAGATGAGTAGACGCTAGCGCGCTCGGCACTGATGAGGCCGCCAACGGCCGGACGAGAGGATGTGTGGTCGATGTTGGCACTCAGGACGCTCAGAGGTAGAGATTCCCTGCTGTCCCCCCACATGCTCTTGGGTGCGATGGCGCGGACGGACGCGTCGGTATCCATGGAGCGGCGACGGCGCTTGGATGAAGAGGCTAGAGTCAGGATGCTCGCATTGTCGTTGTGGTTGTTGTTGTTGGTGGGGTTCGCGAGGTGAGGGGGAATTGCCGAGGGTGGTTGCTGCGAGAAGTGGGTGTGAGGGGCACCGGTATTAAGATGGTTGTTGGTGGACTGGATGGTGGTCAGAGTAGTGGTGAGCGACTGCTGAGACTGGTTTGGCGAGGAAAAGGTGCTGTTGTGTCCAGCGCCGTCGACGGAGCTCAGGGCGCCGCCTTGGCCGTTTGTCGACGACTTGAAGTAGCCTCGATCTGATGCGATGGTCTCTGGGATGGTGGCGACAGTGTTGGCTTGGGAGCGGTTGCTGTTGACAGGAGGAGCCGAGAGGGACGAGTTCCTGCTGGCGGTTGAGTCGGGAGCGTGGTGGACGTTGAGGCTGGCATTGTCCGAGGCGGACTGGGAGCTGTAATTGTCCGAGGCGGAGTTCGAGACGCGGGACTCGTGACGGCACTGCTGGAGACGGCCGGACTGAGGGTATGGGTTGTTCTTGAGCTGCGAGGCCTTCTTGGACTTCTTGCTGCTGGGGTGCAGGTTGGTCAGACGCTTGACCCAGGCAGCAAACGGCCTCTTGTGAGCGGCGCGCTCTGTCGGCATTCGGTCAGCGCTGGGTGAGCAATGCCGTGGGCGCTGTGGTACCTGCTACGTCTGCAGCTGCCATGTTCGTGTTCGGGCAGCGCAGTCGTCCGTCTTATGCTTTGCACATGCTGGCCAGAGCAGGCCGTCGCTTGTAATTTGATCCGGCCAAGAAGGGGGTCCGTGAAGGGCCGCCCCGCAAACGAGCACGCGCAGGGACCAAACATGACGGAGTCTGACTCCTGCCGGACTCCGAAGTTTACTATCATCATCACTTCCCTGTTCTTCTTGAGGTACACTGATGCTGGATCACATCTATGGTAGCTCCATGATAATCTGTCCAATCACTATTCAGTATTGTAGAACCAGCTGTGCTTGAATTACACGAATTTATCAGTTGCTGACCACGAATCGCCGACACCGCTCGGGCCCGGGGAATTGCCAACCATCGACAATGGTCATTGTTGTCTTAAGCCACTTGACCATGCAAAGATGTACACTTCGAGAAACACATACAGCTGCTCAGCAGCCAGGAGACACATATAACCCTACAGAAATATATGAAGCTCCGGATTGCTCAAGACTCGTTATCAACCGAGGGCTCCGCTTCGGCAGCAGCTGCGATGCCGGCCCGCAGATATCAGCCGTCGCGACTTCCATCATTCGTCGCGTCTGTCCAACTCCCCATTGTGTTTAAATTGTAGATTTGTACACACCACTCAATCTGCAAAAGTCGCCCATCATGTCGGAAGAGCCCAAGCCCCTCCCCTTTGTCTACCAGTTCATCGCTGGTGCCGTTGCTGGTGTCTCCGAGGTACATTCATCTCAACAAGAGTTATATGCTCAATGACCTCGCGAGGCAGCTCTCACCCGAATGTCACTGACGTATATCTAGATTCTTGTCATGTACATACCACCGCTCACGCAACCCGCAAAGGCGCCCATCTAATGACTCTTCAGGTACCCATTGGATGTCGTAAAGACACGAATCCAGCTTCAGAGCTCGACCGCTACCGGTGAAGAGGCCTACAACAGCATGGTCGACTGCTTCCGCAAGATTGTTCGCAACGAAGGTTTCTCGAGGCTGTACAGAGGTATCGAGGCTCCCATCCTCATGGAAGCCCCCAAGAGGTTGGTTCCACCTACTTTCACGTGCCCAAAGCACTTCAGCTAATCTCACTCANGAGCAACCAAGTTCGCTGCAAACGACGAGTGGGGCAAGTTCTACCGCAATCTCTTCGGCGTACCCAAGATGACCCAAGGTCTCTCCGTACTGACCGGCGCTACCGCTGGTGCCACCGAGGCTTTCGTCGTCGTCCCTTTCGAGTTGGTCAAGATCCGTCTGCAAANNGACAAGGCACAATCACACAAGTACAATGGTCTGGTAGACTGCGTGCGCAAGGTCGTTCAGCAGGAAGGTGTTCTCACCCTGTACCAAGGTCTGGAGAGCACCATGTGGAGACACATACTGTGGAACGCTGGTTACTTTGGCTGCATTTTCCAGGTTCGCGAACTTCTTCCCAAGGCCGACAACAAGAAGTCTCAGATCTTGAATGACCTGACTTCGGGTGCTGTTGGTGGTACAGTCGGTACAATCCTAAACACACCCATGGATGTCGTCAAGAGCAGAATCCAAAACTCCCCGAGAGTCCCTGGAGGTGTGCCCAAGTACAACTGGGCCTGGCCTGCTCTCGGTACGGTGTACAAGGAGGAAGGATTCAGCGCTTTGTACAAGGGCTTCTTGCCCAAGGTCTTGAGACTGGGTCCTGGAGGTGGTATTCTGCTTGTCGTCTTCACCGGTGTGATGGACTTTTTCAGAAAGATGAAGGCAGAGGTCTAGAATGCCAGGAGCATTTCTTCACAAAAGTCTTCGAATTGCCAGGATATACAGCAGCTTTGTATCAACGACTCATGCACCTTTTTAGATCGGACAAGATTGGAACAATCCTCCAGCCTCCAAGAGTCCAGCTCAGAAGACGTAATCATGGCGTACTCAGACCGATATTGCCATCGACAAGAGCCAGCTTGGGGACATTTGACTAGCAAAGCCAAGCGATTGGGCAAAGTATCGTGAGTCGCAGTTCCTGATTGCGGCAATTAGGCTCAAAGCGGTGGAGAGCTGCTTTTTGCTTCTCGATCGTGACCACAGCAAAGCCCTAACGCTGTCTTGACTCCTGCTGGACATGTTCGGGCACGAGATGGTGACAAAGAGACTTATGCTTTTACCCTGGTTCCTTTGCAGTGCTTGTGAACCCCTTTTATGCCGTCCGTAAACTGATCAGCCCGCTTCATTCAGAGTTCAAGCCTCGCGCGTCTATCCTCATCGTCCTCGCGTGCTGCGACAACGAATCCAGAACCTAGAAGTGTATGCTGTGTAGAGTTGCGGAATGCTGTTCGTGTCAAAAGGTTCTCCCACATCACGACGTGACTACTTTTGCGATTTGGTCGAACTCCCTGGAATGTCGTGCATAGCAGCTTTGCCGTGCCAGTCCTTTGTCACTTGTACCTTTTGTGTGGACGTACTCTACAATGCAAGAAGCAGGAGAAATATAAGATCCCAGCTACATCGTTTTATGTCCTGCGATCAGTCATCACTGCAAGGACAGATCCACAGGAGGCGGAACTCGAAGTCTGCCACTCTTTCCATGCCGCCGAGATGTCTTTGGTGGAAATAATCAATTGCCAAATCACGAGGCAAGGCGCTTCTGGTGCTTTTTTGAGAAAGAAGCCCTCACTTCCAAGTCCGGTTGTAGCCGAGAAAATCCAAATGCTGGCAAAGCCCTTCAGCCAGATCTCTGGAAAGTCATGTTGAGTGAACATCAACATCAACTCCCAACATCGAGAGTTTATTTCATGACTCTCTATGATCTTCGACAGTCATTGGCAGTTCACCGTTAATTAGCAACTTATTGCTTCCGGAACACGACTCCTGCTGCTCCAGAATCAAATCATTATTTTCTCGGCGAGTTTGGCGAAAAGGCGTTGGCCGTTGCTACGAATCTGCGTTGGTGACTCGCGCCTTTGTTAAAGTTTGACTTCACGGTATTCCCGACCCACTGATCGAATCCTGAGACGCTCGAGGGCTTGTTCGAGATTCGCCGACCCTTCTTCTGGGACACGTTCTCCAGGTGCAAATGCCCAAGGATGGTCTAGTCGTTCTCGTGGCCAAGATCCCCAAGTACCGTGCCTCGAGTACTTTGACCACGTCCGTTGGACCATGACTTCAACGTGGTCGCAGCTCGGCTACCCCAAGCCGCGGATGGCCTCCGACCAAGCGCACTCTATTTCGATAGCACCATGGCGGTTGGATTTTCTGCGTCCATGGCGAATTGGGCCCTTTCATCGACGACTGGTACCTTGCAATGCGCCATGAACAGAGACATGACGAGCCTAAGTCACCCGCATCTCAAAAGGTCCTTGCTTTTTCCTGATATATGTATTCTACGCCTCCCGCGCGTTTGACATCTAGGTGTCAACTCCTGCTTTGGATTCCTTACTCAAGTTCCTTTGGTTTGGGGTTGTTCCTCGCACGGTCTTCTGACCATCTGACTTTCAGTGTTCCGCCCTTCCTTCTTGTCTGCTGTGTGATCAGAAACAAAAACTTGACGTCTCTCTATACCACGGTGTAACGATCCATTCCACAATATGGCCAACGCCGACGACCTGAGACCCCAGGTCATGGGTGTCATGATCACCTTCTGGATCCTCTCATGGATAATCGTCAGTCTCAGAATCTATGTTCGGTATGTAACTATATCTGTCTCGGCATGACTCAATCTGTTATAGGTCACTGACTTTTAACAGCNNACTGTCATGATCAAGTCATTTGGCAAGGATGATGTTGCCATGATCGTCACACTCCTCCTGTTTACAGGATACCTTTCATGTCAGGCTGCAGCAGTCACACATGGTATTGGTAGACACCGCAAGGATATCCCTGATAAAGACCTACCAATTGGATTTGCTGCCTGGATGTTCGCCGAAGTCTTTTATACTGCATCGGCGTCTGTTTTGAAGGTCGCAGTCGGCCTGTTCCTGGAGCGTATTACGCAAAACAAAGTACACATTCTGATCATCCGAATCATGATGGCGGCTACCCTGTTGATCGGTTCAATTTACCTCTTCGTACGTGGTCACGTACCATCCTTTACACAAGGAACATGCTAACCTGAGCAGGTCGCTCTTTTCCAATGCACCCCAATCTCGTTCTACTGGGACTTCTCACCGAACGCCAAAGGACACTGCATTAGCCCAATGGTCCTGGTCGTCATTTCCTATGTTGCATCCGTTCTTAACGGAGCCGCCGATTTCTTCTTTGGAATCCTGCCTATCTTCATCGTCAAGGACCTCAACATGAGGAGAAACACCAAGATTGTGGTCGCTGCTATCCTTGGATTTGCCGCTATCGGATCTCTTTCTACTCTGGTTCGCCTTCCTTACGTCAAGCAGCTTGGAACCTACAAAGGAGGTGAGAATTGTCCGAACTCAGGTTCGACGTGCAATAGCTGACTTGTTCTCCAGNAGTTCCTCTACACTTCCACATACATTGCTCTGTGGAGTACCGTCGAGGTTGGAATCGGCATCTCGGCCGCAAGTTTGGCCACACTGCGTCCTCTGGTTCAAAAGTTCTTCCCTACTCTCCTTCCCGACTCTCCCAGTGCACCCACAAATTCGAACCTCAAATGGTCCACCAAGCAAGGCAGAAGAGCACGCAGAAAGGGCGATCCTCTGGACAGCGCCGAGGCCGGTACACGAAACAAGGGCACCATGATCACCACAGTCACCGGCGCGAGACCCGTCTCCGGAAGCCACGACAACGGAAGCCAGGAAAACATCTTCGCAGGCGGAAATGAGGACAGAGATATGGTGCCACTCAAAACTTGGGACCACGGTATCAGCAAGAGTGTGCAAGTCACCACGACTGAAGAAAGACACGCATCAAGATCTAGTGCGTCCATCGAGAGCAGCAAAGACTACGCATCAGACGACACGACATGTGTTTACGAGCGTGTCTAATTACAGCTAGAAGCCCAGGTGGCTTCCTGTATTTCTCTGCATATTCCAGCGACCTAAACAAAAGCCTTTATTTCTCTGCAATCGTTCACAACTGGCATCAACAGAACATACTAGATACCCAGAGCGCAAAACAGCCTAGCTACCTAATAAACCCCAGTCAAATCTTCTCAACATTACTGAGCTCAATCATCTTTGCGCTCCATCTCCAAGTCATCAAAAATCTCCACCTTGCCTGCAAATATGCAAACTATTGATCCTTGCCGCTGCCGAGACTCTACAAGTACACAGCTCGAATACCTGTTCTCCTCTCAGCTATCACCCATGACTCGAGCAGACTCCCCGCCCCCAACAAGATCTCGAACAATGGCCTACAAAAGCCCTAAGTGCCGTTTACAAACGCAACCAGGCAGGTCTTGACGGGTTGAGATGTGTAGCCGCGAGTCAGACAAGTCAAAAAGCGCCTTTTTCCAAACTGTTCCCAAACAACGGAGAAGGACAAAACGGTGGAAACGATTGTATTGTACTCTTCAGTCTCAGGTTTTGTGATCGTAGTTAGGTTTACATTACGTAGGTCGGTGCTGCGGGTGGGAGGGGGAAGAGCTGTTACAAGGTAGAGCGGGGTTTTGATTTGCTGCACAGGGTTGTTGTTGCTCGCTTGCTATCACGACAATCTTTAACGAAAAAAAAAGAAAAAACATGGGAGTAGGAAACAGTGTGTATGGACCATAAAGCTGCAATACCGCACTTTGCGAGAACAAAGCATATGATTACACGAAACCTCGATTAATCCTTTCGGCTTTTTCCTAAACGCTACGATTCAATGACGACTTGTTTTTCCCATCCATGCACATAACGGATGAAATTGGAGCCGCAGACTGTATACCCAAACAGGGCAAGATACCGACCTCATCTCTTGCTTCTCCATGACCCTAGATAGCTTGATTAGCAAACTTCAGCCGTGACACAGCGTGGGAAATCAGGAGTAAGGAGCCGTCTGTCATCTCAGCAACAAGGAAAGTAGACGCGTGGTATTAGTGGCTTGGAAAGGCTGGAAACAGCATGTACGGTGTACGATGCTTTTTGGTGTATGTCACTGTTACTCGAGTCAAGGGAAAGAAGGATTGTGAGCTAGAGGTTGGTTTCTGGAGGCTTTTCAGCTGCGGTGGCTGTTTGGGTAGCTGTGTGTGTGTTTCATGGCGCTGGGATTCGGTAGTGCAAAGGCCGGAGTAGGCGGTCCCTTACTCGTGTGCATAGTGTGGTTACTGATGTGTTTCCACGTGGTGGCTTTTGGTTTGGGTATCACGGAGAGACTGGGTAGGTACTGTATCTTTTGGGCGGCCATCGGAGGAGTCTCTGTCCGAGATCGGTCGTGTGGGGAGCTTGCAGTGGGCAACGATACAGCTTCGATGCACCAAGAAACCTGGCAATTGAATGCAATGCCATGAGAAATGAACATTTCGGAATCTTATTGATGTAGATAGTAGACTGCTTCGGTATCTAGTATGGCACACGACAGGCCTTGAACCACAGACGCACCGTCTGGACATCAACACATCAGCTATGCCCATCAGACCATTCAGTCTCCCACCAAATCCATCGCTGGTGGCTGTCATACTCATCATCCGAACGCGATCTGGGCCGCGATTGGTCTTTCACTATCCCGGGATTCCTGAAGCCATCCAGCGCAACACATCATGGCATTTTGGATCTGCCAACAGCGACTCGGAAGATGGGGGTAGCTCGTCCGACGACGATCAGACAGTAGCTTCTGATGACGAGAGCACGACGTCTTCGCGACATACGGCAAGACCCAGCATTGCATCGCAGAGCCGTGCGGCCGACACCATCTCTTCCAGAAGGACTACACGCACATTCCACTCGGACGCCCCAGACAACGATGAAGACGACGACGACGACATCGACAATCTGGACGTCGATGTGCTGGATTTGAACTCTTCTCCTGCCGACAAGGCTGCGCCGGCCATTTCGGCAAACAGTGCCCCTCACGACCGAACGACTAGTGCCACGCGGCATGAGAATACTACGAATGACAAGCGGAATGCTTGTGAGTGGGAGAAGCTGTTGGGATACCCTGTTGAAGGATTGGAGATGATGCTGTCCCCTCCGTCGAGCATGCATAAGAAGCGTTTCGAGGTCATGCTGGACGATCTGGTCTTCCTTGGATACCCTATCTTTGTGCGCGATGACGGCACCTGGAAGAAAAAGAGAAACAAGAGGAGGGCCACACCACAGGACGGAAAAAGCAGCGAGGGAGGTGACGAAGCCGATGATGATGAAGCAAACGATAGTGGCAGCGATAATGAAAACGACGAGGAAGGAGGCACTGCAGGAAATGACATGTTCAGCCCACCAATATCACCCTTGACACCTCGTCGACCTCTCCAGGCTGGAGAACTGCCTCACAGCTACAGATCAGAAGCCACCATGTCAGAAGCCGCATCCGAAACTGGCAGTGCCAATAGCAATCAGGATGACATGACCATGTTTCACGTCGTCTTCGTCATGAACCCTCCCGCTTTGGAATACCACATCCGTCTGCAAGAAATGTACGACAATGTCGTCAAGAAGTTTGCAAAAGCCCTACGCTACGAACAAGCACGTTCCAATGCTGTTTACCAGGATGCCAAGAAAATGCAATCTCTCAAGGCGCAAGCAAAGGAAAACAAAACGCCAATGTCAGTGCTATGGCCGAACTTGATATCCAGCTGTTCGTTGGCAAAGGCCGTTGCGATTCTGTATACCAGTATTGCGAGCAACAAGATTGCGCATATCAGTATTGGTGAGGGATTTGAGGCGAGCATTCAGATTCCACAAGCTATATCAACGCCCTATGTGCCTACGCCCACTGAGCCTCAGTTACCTGGCTTGTGGCTCACCACTGCCAACAGTCTTTCTGATGACGGTCAGAGTCTAAGTCCACACGCAGCTCTTCTCCTGCTTGAAGACAAAGACATCATGCTCAAAGACATCGAGGGCGATGGCAAAGAATTGGGTTCCNCCCTTGCCTTTTTCATCCGCGAACTCACACCTACGAAATCGTTGACCAAGCTCTCTGCTGCGTTGTCATTACCACTGTCGGACGTACAGTTCCTCGCCCGCCACCTCATCTACTGGCGTCGGGCTAGAGCAATCCCTCCTCTGCATATTCGCGATACCTACATCGTGTCCCCCAACTGCGATATGCGTCAACTCACCAAAGCCATGCCGCTATACGCCCAAAGATTCTCTGCCCTCCCTTCCTTGCCCAAAATGCTGCAGAATCTGAGTGGCAAGCCCATACAATATGGCTTTTTGATCCCGAGCAAGGACCACAAACCTGCTTATATGGATATCTTGGCTTGGCTGTTGCGAGGGGGCTGGGTAACGCAGCTGAGGACTTTTGCTTGGGTCAAGGTGTCGCCTGCGGTCAAAGCCGCCGTGGCTGTGAAACTGAGACAAGAGCATGAAGACAAGATGCTCAAGCGCCCGCCTTCTGCACTTGCCAACAGGATCTCTGCAACCACGGCGAATTCGAGGGTCAGCAGCACGAGCGCGGACACCAGACGAATCTCCGAAGACCCGTTCGACGCCGTCTCCGAGGCCGCGAGTAGCAGATTGAGTATCGCGAGTTCTGCGCAATTGCTGTCTCCCACGATCAGCAGGTCAGCCAGTGATGCGGGAAGTAATGGCAGCGGCAGGACTGCAATCCCACCTCCCCCAGCTGGTCCCCAGCGCGCAGACACATCTCCCAATCTGCATGCAAGCAGAGACTTGGCACCATCGNACCCCTCCATACTTTCCGACCGCAGTGTTTCTGGCCACGAAGACGATGCCTCGACGATTGCTTCTGCGGCACTGCCATCCACGGACGCGAGCACCTATCAGCAAACTTTGGTGTTGAGTCCGCATAAAGCGAGTACGGAGGAGAGCAGGTGGTTGGTGTATATTGGCAAGCAGCTCAAGGATGAGGAAGTCAGAGAGTATTGGGGTGTGTTGGTCAAGCATTTTGATGGCAAGAGGGCGATGGAAGAGGTTGCGGCTAGAGAGGGCTTGAAGAGAAGTAAAGTGCAGGGGTTGCTGCAGAAGTTGGAGACCGAGGGGGTGTTGTATGTGGTTAGGCATTGGTAGGGATACAAAGCAGTGGTTTGGTGATTACTCTATGTGCAATGCTCAAGTGATGGTCTGTCTCTTCCTACTATGAGGTTCTCTGTCTCACCTCTCTCTCCTCGCCTCTCAAGCCACCCAAAGCATCTTGCACCAGCTCTCGCAACTCTCTTTGCGTTTCCTCGCTCTGAAAGTCTGGTCGAGCAGCCAATTCGTCAATCCTCCTTCTGAACTCTGGGTCCGGCGCCTCACCCACCTCATCCTCCGCCATTGTGCCCAGATCAATTTTTACACCATGAGGAAGCGGCGGCGGAGGAGCAGCGCCATTTGTGGTTTCGCCAGCGCCAAGTGTGCCCGCACCAGCCTGTTGCGCCGACGGATTCCCCGTCTGCGAGAGAATAGAGGCAGCAGCGCCGCCAGGCACCAACGAAGCCAAATACGCAGCCACCTCTGGGTAATCGCCCTCTTGCTCAAATTTCTCTGCTGCCGTTTGGCCCTCTTCGTTTGTGTGGGTGGTGTCGATATTGCATTGCTCGACGAGGAATTTTGCCATGTCTAGGGTTTCGACACTGTAGAGACAGGTTTCGCCATCTTCGTCTACGAGGTTGGGAGGTACGGAGTAGGTGGTGAGTAGGGCTTGAAGCACTTCAGGGTGGTTGTAGGAGGCGGCGGCGTGGAGGAGAGAGTAGCCGTGGCGGTCTTGTTGTGAGGCGAGGTGGGGGTTTGTTTGGAGGTGTTGGAGCACTTGGTCGGGTTTGTCGACGACGAGGTTGAGGAGTCTGTCGATTGTTTGCGCCATAATTTGAGTTGTTGTGCTTGGTCTTGTATGGAGATATGAGTGAAGAAGGTAGTTGGGTAGAGAGTTGCAGGCGTCTAGAGCTTCTTCTTTTTCTGATGTCAGCTTGATGCCCGCCTCGGTCGAGAAAAGTTGCCGTTTTGTGACACCGCTCGAGTCATGCACTCGGTGTCTACCCTCTCTTGAGTGACGCTAGATACGGAAGGGACATTCTGTTCAATCTCAATAAACGGAGAGAGTCATCTCGCTACTTTTCTATCATCTCCCACTTTGAACTGGCTCTGAAATTGCAGTAGCGGAGCAGTGGTGAGCAGAAGAGGAAGGAGCAATTCAGTCGCATGCCACCTCGACAAAAGCTAATGACTCGAAATTTCAGTCGGGCCTCGAGCACTTTCCTGTCATCCATCAACACTTCATCGCACATAAATCTCATCGACATTCCCTCACATTACAGCCTTGAATCAATTCATCAATCATGGCTCACCGCGACGAGGCTCCCTACCGTCCTCAGGATGCCCACGAGGTGTCCGAGATGATCCGCGGCCTAACCAGCCATACCAAAGGCCATGGTGGAAAAGGCGGTTTCTCATGCAAAAAGGCTACCTTTGACGTAGCTCACTCGGACATCAAGGTCGATTCCTGGAAGATGCAAGACTGGGATTACAAGAAGCCCAATCTCCCCACTTACGCCAGAGGTCTTTTCACAACCACAAATTCAATGGGCCAGCCTGAGATTGTTACAAGAGGATACGACAAGTTCTTCAACCACGGCGAGGTCAAGAAGACCGAATGGGAAAATGTCGAGCAAAACACAAGAGGCCCTTACGAGCTCAGTGTCAAGGAAAACGGCTGTATCATCTTTTTGTCTGGTCTCGAGGATGGCTCTCTTCTGGTCTGCAGCAAGCATTCGACCGGTGCCCGTGGTGACACAGATATCAGTCACGCGATTGCTGGTGAGAAGTGGGTCGACAGACACCTTGCTTCTGTGGGAAAGTCGAAAAAGGATCTGGCTGCCAAGCTTCGCGCCATGAATGCGACTGCTGTTGCCGAATTGTGTGACGACGAGTTCGAAGAGCACGTCCTGGCTTACAACCCCGAAACTGCCGGTCTCTACCTCCATGGAATCAACCTCAATCTCCCCGAGTTCGTGACATATCCCCATCACCTTGTCGACAGGTTCGCATCCGAGTGGGGTTTCAAGCACACAATGTTCATTACAGAGACCGACATCACCAAGGTCAAGTCCTTCTTGGACAAAGTTGCAGAGACTGGAAGTTACCACGGCAGGGAAACCGAGGGCTTTGTTGTCAGATGCCAGGCCCGCGAGACTCCCGACACACCATTTGAGGACTGGTTCTTCAAGTACAAGTTCGAGGAACCCTACCTCATGTACAGACAGTGGAGAGAGTGCACAAAGGCCATTATCGCCAAACGACAGCCCAGATTCAAGAAGCACAAGGACATTACCGAAGAATACCTCCATTACGCTCGCAAACGACTGAAGGAGGACCCCAATCTCGGAAAGGAGTACAACCAGAACCATGGCATCATTAAGCTTAGAGACGACTTTTTGGCGGAACGTGGTCTGAAGGGCTCCGACATAATACGTCAGGAGATGGAGAAGGGTAATCAGCACGGTGTGGGCGTCGATCGCAATGTTGTACTTGTTCCTGTTGCCACCATCGGTTGTGGCAAGACTACTGTCGCTCTTGCACTGTGTAAGCTCTTCGGATGGGGTCACATCCAAAACGACAACATCACTCAAAAGCCCAAGCCTCAGAGATTTGCTCAGGCAATTTGTGACGGTCTTGTGGATTATCCAGTCATGATTGCCGACAGAAACAACCACCAACGTCGTGAGAGAAAACAGATCCTTGACGATGTGGCGAAAACCGTTCCTCAAGCTCACTTCGTTGCTCTTCACTATGTTCACGATCGCGCCAACTACGACCTGATCAAGCAAGCTACACGAGAGCGCGTCCTGAGCAGAGGAGACAACCACCAGACCATTCAGGCTGGCTCAAAGGGACAGCACGAGATCATCGGTATCATGGACGGCTTCATGCAACGTTTTGAGCCAGTCAAAATTGAGCGCGAGCCTGACAGCTCCTTCGAGCATGTCATTGATCTTGATGTGGCGGCTTCTTCACGCGAAAACCTGGAGACTGTCGTCTCACAGCTCAACGCAGAGTTCCCCAAGCTTTTTGGCGCGATGCCTTCCGGTGAAGACCTTGACAAGGCAATCGAAGCAGCACTCAACGACTACAAGCCTGACATTAAGCACGAAATTAGTGGAAGCAACAAATTCAAAAACCAGGCTCTTCAGCGTGGTCCCAATGGAACCAACGCACAGCCAGCACAGAAGGCCCCCAAGCTTGAGTATTTCAGCGCAACACTGGATCCCACGCGTGTAATGAGTATTCTTGACGCAGTCTTCCGCGATGAAGATAACGTCACTGCAAACACATATCGCACATTGCAGTTACAGAAGCGTGTTCAATCCGAGTTTCATGTCACATTGATGCACCGCGCATCTGCCGCTCAGAACAAGGAATACTGGGAACAGTTGACTAAAGCTCACACAACCGCAGCAAGCAAACCCAACGCAGCACCTGAACCAGTTCTCGGTAGCTGCAAAGTGTTACTTGAACGCCTCGTCTGGGACGGCAGACTGATGTGTTTTGTTGTTCGCATGATTCCTGATGACAAAGACCAGAGCGGTATACAATGGCGCAGCGTCAACGACACTGCACACATTACAGTCGGCACTATTGCCCCTGAAGTGAAGCCCAAGGAAAGCAACGACTTGTTGAAGAAATGGCTGCACTCTGGAAGTGGTGGTAGCACCGGCATCCACGAAATCACTATCAAGGGTCATGTTGAGCTGCCTGCTACGATCAAGAGTGTGCTACAGAAGCATTGAGCTACTAGGCAAAAGCAAAGTTTATGTCTTGTTAAACAGTATTAGCATGAGTGTTACGTGATGAGATGGCACTGATGGAAGAAAGATGATCAGCGGAAAAGCTCATGTCAAGCATGTTAGCTTCCCTACACAGTTTCAACTTGCGGTAGCTCTGAGAAGTTGAATGGAATGACATTTCCCAGTGGCCAGTGCTCTATTTCTCAATACTACTGTGCATTCCTATAGCTTGTCCAAGCCAGCCACGTTTACACACCGAGAGGCAGCAGCCTTCGACCTCCATAGTAAGTTGAGTACTAGACCAACCCTTGTCAAACTTCCCAGTCTTGTGCAGTAGTTGGACTGTATAATAATACAGAATCGCAAGTCGTCGTCGTCGTCTAGTATAACTTTTTTGTCGGTCACCGGATAAATGCACGATTGCGGAATGGGCCCGATGGAGCTTCCTCCGCAAAACTCTATTCTGGAAACAACATTCCATTTCACCTTCCAGAAGTTGTTCCTTGTTTCTTTTTCTACCGTCGTCTCTGTATCGTTTGTGATACAAGCACCATAATCGGACATCTGGTTATCTTTAAACATCGCTATTTGAGACCTTTTGACTACATATTCATCAAAGCCGTCCGGAGAATTCGCTACAAACAGAGATCACAAAAGCAAGGGGGACTTTTAATGGCCACCACCACTCCACGACCCCGAGGCGACTTGGCCGCAGAAATCACACCCATAGTAATGGGCGGAGCGGCATGGTCTCACCAACTCAACGCCGACGCCTACACGCGCCCCATTGTGCCAGTCATCCTATCTGCCTTCTCTGCCGGCATCCGCACAATCGACACATCGCCCTACTACGAGCCCTCTGAAAAGATCCTCGGCAAAGCTCTATCCTCACCAGAAGTCTCTTCCCTCTACAAACGCGAGGATTACTTTTTGATGACCAAGGTTGGCCGTATCGCCAGTGAGGAGTTTGATTATAGTCCTCGATGGGTTAGGGAGAGTGTCAATAGGAGTCTGGAGAGATTCCAGACTGGATATCTGGATGTGGTGTTTTGCCATGACGTGGAGTTTGTTTCTGACGATGCGGTTGTTGCTGCAGTTTCCACGCTTTGGGAGTTTGTGGATCAAGGCAAAGTTAGATATGTAGGTATCTCTGGATACCCGATTGAAAAGCTGGTCAGGGTGGCTAGATTGTGTAAGGAAAAGCTTGGTCGACCGTTGGATATTGTACAGAATTGGGGCCAATTGACGCTGCAGAATACGAGATTGAGGACACAGGGTTTGGAGGCATTGGCGCAGGCTGGAGTGGCTATGGTGTGCAGTAGCTCGCCGCTGAATATCGGGTTGCTGAGAGCACAGGGCGTGCCCATTGGGTAAGTTTTCTCCATGTCCTTTTCCCTCTCATCCTCAAGACCACAAGTCCGGACAAAACCATACACGATACTTCTCTTGCTCTGCGTCACAACACTGACGCGCTCTCTAGCANCCCTCGGCGACTGGCATCCCGCACCCNCCGGCCTCCGCCTCGCAGCCGCAAACGCAGCAACCTACACCGCATCCCACAACACCGACCTAGCCAGCCTCTCCCTCCGCTTCGCCTGCCGCGAAACCGCCCGCAAGCAACCCCACCTCCCTGCCATGGCACTAATCATGGGCCCCGGCAGTGTCTCCGAAGTCGAGTCTTGCGCTGCTGCCGCCAACAGTGTCAAAGACCCCTCTGCACCCACAAAGTTTGAAGATTTGCGTGATGGGATCGTGGTGGATGAAGAGGCGGAGAAGAGAGATGGGGTGTTGGTGGATGGTGTGAGAAAGATACTAGGGGAGTGGATTGATTATTCGTTTGTTAGTCCGCCTGAGGGGTGGGATGTTGAGGCTGGGAGGATGGGTGGAGTCTAGAAAGAGGTTTGAGGGAGATGGCTGCTTGTATGTATAGTAAAGAAGTACAAAAAGTGGACCCTATTGATACAAACACACAAAGTCTGCTGAGGTCAATAGGAGGATGCGTGATCGTGTCAGACTTTTGAAACCACAGGTGCTATATATCTAATCCAGTGCTAGGGAATCCCCAGTCACATCTTCTCAAAATTTGCTTTGTCCACTCTTTCTGCTTATTTCTACCGGGTTTGCCGTTTGCAAAGTTTTGCTATTTAAGCAAGGGCAACGTAATCATCAAACTTGATTTTTATCTCTAAGATGGTTGCGAATTTTCTCTCTCCTAGGGCGATAACAAAGCAAAGATCAAGACTTGAAAATCGCACAGGCTGAATCTTTCAGACTGACAACATGTCTATAGATGCAGTGACAAGTCAACGACTGGCTGGTCAAAGAATATTTTGAGAGGTTCAAAAATAGTGGATCTGACCATCAGTACCGCAGAAACAAAGACAAGATCATAGTGTCAATCACCATCGCCCTCGCAGGCGTATCTATGATCTGTTATCACACTGGTGAGGAAGCATTTACGACACATCGCTTTCCCTGTTCGTGTACTCCGTCCAGGCGATGAGCGTGGCTAAAACTCGAGACTCACTGCATAAAGGTCAATATTGAGCAGACAGGCATGATACTCTGTTGCCAAATGTGGAATTGAGAAGGATGTCTCGCTTGAGTCCTTCGTTTCCCCATTGTGGGCGTTCGCTCACCACGTCAATCCGGTTGGATATTATCTGTTTTTCATTGAGTGTCAGAAATCGATGTTACAAACACCGCTCACAGACAGATGTTTCCAAGGGCGAACCTTTGCATGGTGCATTTACGGCTTTGCGGTGAATGTAACGTACAAAGATCTCTCTGGGATATCTTTGTTTCTTGTCTTGACAATTGGTTCAAGTCGTCCGCTCGCAGGGTTGTTTTGCTTTACATGTCTGCTTTGGTGTTTGAGGCCAAGGAAGCGGGTGGTTTGAACACTGCTTCTCGAGTTCTTCTCGATGGTTCTGTTTTGCTCGGAGTCCGGTGACAGAGGATCCTGTTACTCTGCTTGGAAATCAAAGTGATACAAGCACCAAGATGGATCATCAGGCACCAGGATTGTGAAGCAGGCTTGTTGTCGAGGGACCAACAGACGGATGTCGACCACTTCCGTCGAGCAGGAACGGATGTTGGAAGTTCCTTCGGAGGAGAGGATCCCGGACATGTTTATAAGCTGCTTGTCGCGTCGCATATCGTACCCCACACTGATCCCTGACTTGATAGCGTGCCCTAGTATCGGGTAACGATCATGGAAACACATCTGTCCATGAAGTAAGGCATCCGAATCAAGCCCTGGTAAGCAGAAAGTCTCTGAAGCCAATGGAATACATTGTGGGATCGAGACCAAGACTGCATTTGTTTGTGGATCTGCTACTTTCTTCAGGCGATGATCATAGCGCTGCGAAGGAACAGGAGTTCATTATTAGTTGGCCCCTGTCGCCGAGACTAGAGGAGCAAACGGTCAGGGCTGGATGAAATGGGATCTTATCTCGAAGCTACTCGAGTAGGATGCCAGGCAAAGAGAGAGAGGGCGTGTTTTGACAGGCAGAGGCGTGCTTATACGAGTACGAAACTGTCAAAAACAATACAGCTTCATGCACGCGCTACAAGTGTGCTCAAGAGCCGCATGTTGTGAACATTACTTGTTCGCCGCCATGTGAATCACTGTATCTGCAACGAGCTTCTGCTCATCGATATTGCGGCGAGATGATCGAGAATAATATGCGGCTTCCAGATGCAATCTCCCCGTTTCTCAAACCATGTTGCAACGCGACGAGAACACGGTGCTGCAATCTCTCTGCAATTTTTTGGGCGGGGCACGTAAACACTCGCATGAAACATTGAGAAAGCGAGGGCGGTTTCCGCGGATTCCAGACAACATGCGGCGCAATTGGGGGCTCGTATTCGTACAGAGCACAAGACGCGATTCAGTTGCAGAAACAAAGAGCCGGGGGAGGCAAGCCACGCGCATGGCTACGGCGATCCCGCACGGATAGCTGGCATCCGAGGGCATTTCCAATCACGTTGAGAGATTGGCAGAGATGCAGTACCCTTGGACGCACCTAAAAATCCCTTTTCGAACACCGGCGGGAAGGCCTTGATCCGGGACTTAGGAATTTCGGAGAGGCTCCAAGGTTAGCGAGAAGATGCTGGGCTTTCGTCTGTGGTAAAAGCGTTTGCAGGCAATGTAGAAGAGAGTTTGGACGTCATACAATGCTGCCAAGTCGTCTTGACCGAACAATCCAGGGCTCCGTAGGATCTGTAGTCGTACGATTGGGACACCGCCATGCAGTGAGCCCAGATCTGACAGCCTGAACTGTCTGATTAACTTCCTTCAGCGGGAGGATGGAAAATGGGACGAGGTTTCGACAGCGCTTCTCCAGGCCGGAAGCTCGCCTTCCCGAGTTGGGGGGATGAAAGTGGACCTTCCCGCGCACGGAATGCCTTTTTACAGGACGACGTTTGCCCGACTCGGTTTGAATTGCTCCTAGCGCATCTCGTAGCACCCGTCATCTACGCTTTTGTTGTCACTGCTTCGGCCTAACGCCTCAGCACCTCTGGCAGTATTAAGGGAAGCCGTTCGCCAGCTCGGAGGCCTCCTTCGCTTCTTTGGATATTCAGCTGCATACCACGACACATACCTCGACCAGCAGCAAACAATTGCTTGCAACAAGGGCTTGCCCCTTTGAGTTCTGACCCCACCATTCAGCTATATCGACATTGAATAATCTAGTCAACATGTCGCTTGTGGGCAACTTCACCTTCAATAACTACGATGGCCAGAACCAGCGTAGTGGTATCAGTGCTCTTGGAGGCACTGCCTTCCAGCACGATGAACACCACGAGCAAGCCGACAACTCGACACGGGACACTCATCTGAACCCGGACCGCCACGCCGAGCATTCTCGCATTCCTGCCTCTCGCCAGACATCGAGAACCTTTACCACAGAACAAGCCGACCTTTCTCATTCCGGAATCCACGATGGCACATATTATCCCGACGGAATCCCTCCATCAAATGAGAAGAACGGACTCGAGCTAGCAGAATCACCATCATCCTCTCAGAGCGAGGCTGCCTACGAAAGAGATGAGAAGGTCCAAGACCTCGCAAGAGCACTGAGTCGTACCATGTCACAAGCACCCGATGACCCGTTCACCTACGAGGACGACTCGCCGCTCAACCCCAACGGACCCAACTTCGTCGCAAGAGAGTGGGTCAAGTCCATGTACAAGATGAACCAGAGAGAAGGCGTGCAACAACGTACCGCCGGTATCGCCTTCAAGAACCTGAACGTTCACGGTTTCGGTGCCGACTCTGATTACCAAAAGACTGTGTCCAACATCGCACTCGAGGCGGTCGGCGGAGTCAAGAAGTTGATGGGGCTTGCCAAGCAAAGAAGAATCGACATTCTTCGCGATTTCGAGGGTGTCGTCAACCCTGGCGAGATGCTTGTCGTTCTCGGTCCTCCTGGTTCTGGGTGTTCGACTTTCCTTAAGACTCTGACTGGAGAGACCCATGGCTTCAATGTTGATGACAAGTCATATCTCAACTACCAGGGTATCGAAGCCAAGGACATGAACACCAAGTACCGCGGCGAGGCCATCTACACCGCCGAGGTGGATGTTCATTTCCCGAACATGACCGTAGGCGACACTCTGTACTTTGCAGCCCGCGCTCGCGCTCCTCACACTGTCCCTGGCGGCCTCTCCAAGGTCAGATGGGCCGCGGCCAACAGAGACATGATCATGGCCACTTTCGGTATTTCTCATACAATCAACACCCAGGTTGGAAACGATTTCATCCGTGGTGTCTCTGGTGGTGAGAGAAAGCGTGTCTCGATTGCTGAAGCCGCATTGAGCGGTGCTCCTCTACAAGCCTGGGACAACTCGACTCGTGGTCTCGACAGTGCCAATGCCGTTGAGTTCTGTAAGACACTCCGTCTCTCTTCAGAATTCTTTGGTACCACTCCCATGGTTGCCATCTACCAAGCCCCTGGTGCTGCTTACGACCTCTTCGACAAAGTCATCGTTCTCTACGAGGGTCGCCAAATCTTCTTCGGTAACACCACCGAAGCCAAGACATACTTCGAGAATCTTGGTTTCCAATGCCCCGACCGTCAGACTGACGCTGATTTCCTCACCTCCATGACTTCGGCTCAGGAGCGTGTTGTCCGCAAGGGCTGGGAAAGCAGAGTACCGAGATCGCCTGATGAGTTTGCTGCTTGCTGGAAGGCCAGTCCCGAACGCCAACGCCTCCTGGAGCAGATCGATGAATTTGACAGAAAGTACCCCTTCGGCGGACAGTCGACCGAGGTATTCGCTGCATCGCGCAAGGCTCAGAAGGCAAAGGGTCAGCGCGTTGGTTCTCCTTACACCCTGTCCTATCTCCAGCAAGTCAACCTGTGTCTTTGGCGTGGCTTCCGACGCCTGATAGGAGATCCCAGTCTGACCTTTACTCAACTCTTCGGTAACTTCATCATGTCTCTGGTCATTGGCTCTCTTTTCTTCAACCTCGACAACGGCACGGATTCCTTCTACAGCAGAGGTGCTCTTTTGTTCTTTGCTATTCTGATGAATGCTTTCGGTTCAGCTCTCGAAATCTTGACGTTATACGCTCAGAGACCTATCGTCGAAAAGCACTCTCGCTATGCCCTGTACCATCCGTCTGCCGAAGCTTTCGCTTCTATGTTGACGGATATGCCATACAAAATTTTGAACGCCATCATCTTCAACTTGACACTCTACTTCATGACTAACCTTCGTCGCGAACCCGGAGCATTCTTCTTCTTCCTGCTCATCTCCTTCTTCCTGACATTGACCATGAGTATGTTGTTTAGAACAATCGCCTCGGTCTCCCGTACTCTTTCGCAAGCCATGGCTCCCGCCGCTATCTTGATCTTGGCCATCGTCATCTTCACCGGTTTCACCATCCCTACTCGCTACATGCTTGGATGGAGTCGCTGGATCAACTACCTTGATCCTGTCGCTTACGGTTTCGAAGCTCTCATGATCAACGAGTTCCACGGGAGAGATTTTCCTTGCTCCGCACCCGTACCTTTGTATGGAACATACGACCAAGGAACTCAGGTCTGCAGCACTGTCGGTGCTATCGCCGGCCAGAACTTCGTCAATGGAGATGCTTACATCAACTCGTCGTTCCAATACTACCACAGCCACAAGTGGCGCAACTTCGGTATCGTCATTGCCTTCATGCTCGGTCTGATGTGCTTCTATCTGGGAGCTACCGAGCTGATCTCCGCCAAGAAGTCTAAGGGTGAGGTCCTTGTGTTCCGCAGAGGCCACGCCCCTGCCGTTCTTACTAAGAACACTCCCGACGATCTCGAAGCTGCTGGTGCTGCTGAGGCTGTTGCTGAGAAGCAGCATAATGCTGTCGATCCTACCGACATGATTCAGAAGCAGACAGCTGTATTCCATTGGGAGGACGTTTGCTACGATATCAAGATCAAGAAGGAAGACCGCAGAATTCTGGATCACGTCGACGGCTGGGTCAAGCCTGGTACTCTTACCGCTCTCATGGGTGTTTCTGGTGCAGGAAAGACTACCCTGCTGGATGTCCTTGCTACTCGTGTTACCATGGGTGTCATCTCTGGAGACATGTTCGTTGATGGACGCTCGCGTGATGAATCCTTCCAGAGAAAGACCGGTTATGTTCAACAGCAGGATCTTCACCTTCAAACTTCTACCGTCCGCGAGGCTCTTAACTTCAGTGCCCTCCTTCGTCAACCTGCCCATGTTCCCCGCCAAGAGAAGCTCGACTATGTCGATGAGGTCATTAAGCTCCTCGACATGGATCAGTACGCAGACGCTGTCGTCGGTGTTCCTGGAGAAGGTCTCAACGTCGAGCAGCGTAAGCGCTTGACCATTGGTGTCGAACTCGCTGCTAAGCCTGAACTCTTGGTATGTAACTTCACACATAACTTGTGATAACGTCGCTAACATTTAGAAGNNCTCTTCTTGGATGAACCTACATCAGGTCTCGATTCGCAGACTTCATGGGCTATCTGTGATCTTATGGAGAAGCTTACCAAGTCCGGCCAGGCCATTCTCTGTACCATCCATCAGCCTTCCGCCATGTTGTTCCAGCGCTTCGACCGTCTCCTCTTCCTTGCCAGAGGTGGCAGAACTGTCTACTTTGGTGAAGTTGGCAAGAACTCCAATGTCCTGACCGCTTACTTCGAGCGCAACGGTGCCCACAAGTGTCCCCCTGACGCTAACCCTGCCGAGTGGATGCTCGAGGTCATTGGTGCTGCTCCCGGCTCTCATACTGACATTGACTGGCATCAAACGTGGCGCGACAGCAATGAATACCGTCAAACAAAGGCTGAGCTCGAGAGATTACGTACCCAACGCCCCCAGGAGACTCAGCCTTCGACCGATCCCAACGACCAGACCAGCTTCCGTGAATTTGCTGCTCCTTTCGGTGTGCAATTCATGGAGGTTACCAAGCGTGTGTTTATCCAATACTGGAGGACTCCCAGTTACATCTTCTCAAAGCTCGCTTTGTGTACTTTCTCCGCTCTTTTCATCGGATTTGTGTTTTTCAAGGCCCCGAACTCCCAGCAAGGCCTACAGAATCAGATGTTCTCGGTATGTTCTCAACGCGTTGCAAACAGTTACATCCATTGTTGCTAACAAACCCCTTAGATCTTCATGTTATTCACCATCTTCGGTCAGCTCGTCCAACAGATCATGCCCCACTTCGTCACACAGCGTGCTCTGTACGAGGTTCGTGAGCGCCCTTCCAAGACCTACTCCTGGAAGGCATTCATGTTGAGCAATATCATCGTCGAGCTGCCCTGGAACTCTCTTGGAGCAGTGATCATCTTTTTCTGCTTCTACTACCCTATTGGCTTGTACCGCAACGCTGTTCCTACCAACGCAGTCACCGAGCGTGGTGGTCTCTTCTTCTTGTTCGTTTGGCAGTTCCTCCTTTTCACCTCGACCTTCACCAACATGGTTATCGCTGGTATCGATCTTGCCGAGACTGGTGGTAACATTGCCAACTTGATGTTCTCCTTGACACTGATTTTCTGTGGTGTCCTTGTTGGACCTTCTGTCATGCCTGGTTTCTGGATATTCATGTACCGCGTGTCGCCCTTCTCCTACCTGGTCGACGGTATGCTGTCTGTTGCAGTCGCCAATACCGACGTCATTTGTGCCAGCAACGAATACCTTCGTTTCAGCTCACCTGCAGGCCAGACTTGTGGCGATTTCATGGATCCTTGGATCGCGAGCTACGGTGGCTACCTCCAGAACAACCAGACCTCACAGTGCGAGTTCTGCCAGATCGCCGACACCAACACTTTCCTTTCTTCAGTCAGCTCTTCATACAGCCACCGCTGGAGAAACTTTGGCATCCTGTGGGTCTTCATCATCTTCAACGCCGTTGCTGCAGTCGGTATTTACTGGCTCGCCCGTGTGCCCAAGAAGCCTAAGAAGGCAAAGAGCGAGTAAGCAGTTGTCTGCTCGAATTTTCTGTTTAGACTATAGTTTCCACATCTCCACTTTGAATGGAGGTGCCTCTGCTTTTGGCGATTCTTGTTCGACCATTTACTTGACTTGTTTATACCCTGTCTTTTCCCTACACTAGAGGAACAAATATTGCAAAATCCATTTTATTACCATTTCCATAAACTTCGATACCACCTTTTTATGTATCCTGTCTCGTCTCAGATCTTTTAAGACCTGTCAAAAACTTCCTGCATCGCCCACATGCAAGTGTCTCGCGTATAGAGCGGCTATCGACCTATCAATCAGTCTCCAAGCACGTGGGCTGCCGTGTCTTTCACGTTCACACCTTTCTTTGCCCCGCATCGGGCACTTTTCACACCTCTTTCCTTGTTCGTTCCACCAGCCAACACCGAGCAATGCGATGACTGATTGGTGCCTAATCACTAGAGTGTACAATTTCGAGACAATGGTGCATACTGAGCCATCCGCGCGCATGCAAACTGCTTTGACATGATGCAAGTGAACGACAATCCAAGATTGCCGCCTAAAGAATGACTGCAGAAGCGCCGATGTCTAGATCGTGATAAGTCGTCTACTTGAGAGGTGTAGATTGTACATAAGGTGAGCTTTTCGCTGTTGTTCGCTTTGCCGTGTATTCCATCTCGACACAGACCTACTGTGAGGACGTTTGCTACAGATCGCGGTGTTTGACCGCTTCGACGGCCTACCTTGGACACCGCCGCAGAACGACAGTACAACAACCCCTCTCCACTCTGTTGTAAACCCAACTTGTTTTCCAGTCGTACGGCATGGACTTGCTCTACCTGGGTCGTCAGCTTATCTCGGCTCTGCCTTCTGGAAACGGTACCGATGTCAGCGATCTACCCATCAAACTCCTTGAAGCGGTGGTTCCAGGCTACAGTCTCTTTGCAAATACTGCGCAACAATGGCTCGGCTTTGACATGAGTCTGGCCATGACCTGTATTGCATTCTTCTTCATCGCCAAACGTGCCGTTGACTTCATCTGGATCCGAGTCTACAACACGTTCCTCAATCATTTCACGAGCTCTGTACATATCGATGGCAGTGATGATCTGTACAGCACGGTGCTTGAATGGATCGCAGCAACCAGACCCGATCTTTCCAAACGTTCCCTCACTGCTCGTACACAGTACGGAAACTTGTACGACTCTGATGATGAAGATGAATCCGAGGACGCTGATATGCTTGCAAAAGTCGCTGTTGGTGAGCATGGCTACTTCAACTTCTCCAAAACCGCCGCACGTGTTCCACCTCTCTACGAGCCTGATCACGGTCAGTTCTGGTTCTCCTCTGCACGCGGCACCTTCCAGTTCAGAAAAAGCGAATACACCATCCGAGGCAGTGACGGCATCGAGCGCACGGAGAACTATGTCAACATTTGCTGTATCGGTCTCGACACCAACCCTATCAAGTTGTTGCTTACCGACATCAAGGCTTGGACTGTGCGCAAAGAAGGTTCCAAGACTGTCATCCGTATTCCCGCAGAGGAGCGCTGGAACGGATGGATGAGAAGCTCTGAGCGCCCGTCCCGCCCCCTCGACACTGTTATTCTGGATCCAGAGCAGAAGTCACGCATCTTGCAAGACATGAATGAATACTTGCATCCATTGAGCTCCAAGTGGTATGCTTCCCGTGGCATTCCCTATCGTCGTGGCTATCTGTTCTCTGGCCCTCCTGGCACCGGCAAGACAAGTCTGAGCTTCTCGCTTGCTGGTATTTTTGGTCTGGATATTCACATCATTAATCTTATGGACCCAACCATGACTGAGAGTATGCTATCAAGATTGTTCAACAACTTGCCAAAGCGTTGTATTGTCTTGTTCGAGGACATTGATGCTGCTGGTATCAAGAACCGCAAGGATGAATCTGAGTCCGACTCGGAATCTGACTCTGGTTCGGAGCATGAAGGTGTCAATGGAGATTCGGTGAAGACGAAGGCTGGCAAGGCCAAGAGCAAGAGCAGAGGGCGTGCCGTGACCCAAGAACAGGCTACCACCAATGGTTCAGCAAGATCGGCTAGCCCTGATGCTGGCGCAGACAATAACCACGTCAACAGCGACACGAATCAAGACATCTTGATCTTCCCTACTGAGACCGTCACCAAAGCCCTCGCCCTCAGTAACGGTCATAGCACATCACAAAACTCGATCTCGCACAACGGCACAGGCCCTTGTTCGATCTCTAGAGCCTCTTCATCGCACTCTTCGCCGCGCCGCAACTCCAGTCCACTTACCGTCGACTCCCTCGCTCGCGCCCTCATTGCAGCANAGCCGTCGAGCTCGATCCACCTCCCCATCCGCTTCCTCTCGCAAACACCACCGCAGCCGCAAAGCCAAACCCTCANNTCCTCCTCCAACACTCCCGAAGAGCCCGCATCCAAAATTTCACTATCTGGTCTCCTCAACGTGATTGACGGCGTCGCAACACACGAAGGCCGCATCCTCATCATGACAACCAATCACCCAGAAAGGCTCGATCCAGCATTGATACGTGCAGGCAGGGTGGACATGCAAATCTCATTCTCCTACGCCACTGCCTCACAAAACAAGAGCTTGTTCTTGCGAATGTATGCTGGGGATAACGTCCCCAATACTGCTGCAAAAACACTGTTGGCGAAGATCGGTGTGGTCAAAGATGTGGGCAGTATTGCTGGAACTGGAGATGCAGAGATGATGCTTACCAAAGATGAGCTGGAGGGACTGAGTACAAGGTTTGCCGATGAGTTGCCGGAGGGAAGGTTTGCTCCCTCTGATGTGCAGGGCTACCTACTTTTGTATAGAAAAAACCCTAGAGAGGCCGTCGACAAGGTCAGGGCTTGGAGGGATGCAAAGCTTTTTGAGATGGCTGAGAAGGAGAAGAACAAATCTATTGGCAAGGAAAGCAAGAAGACTTGATGTGGTATTCATGTATATTGCTTGAGCACTAGAGAGGATAAACAGGTGGGTCTGTTCCATATCGATGGTCACGGAAGCGTCACTTACAAAACTAGCTGTTTGACATCAATCAACAACATTACAATCGATCATTTTGCTCGCTCTTTCGAATTTTTCAAAGACTCGAAACACAACAGGACGGGACCAAGACAGGACAAAAAAGCTAATCATTATTCCATACAGGTGCATTGGCGCAAGCTAAAGGTGTGCAAGTGCTGCAACCTATCATCCTGGCATTGTTTGCGATGCAGTTGGTGCTGTGGTTGTGTCTTCCTAGAATCGGCCGCAAGAAGGACTGGGGAGTGATCAAAATAGCTGGGCATGATATTGAGCTGTTTGGAGGAACATCGAAACTCGAGAACGTATGTGGCATTTTCATTCAGATTATAATACACCATATCTGACACATCAACAGTTGGATTGAACCCATTCGTGAACGACTCCAGCGATCTGAGGGCTGTTCTTCTCGAGATAGCCGAAGTGGCCGTTACCAGTTATGCCCTTGTCAGCAAGCTTGATCCACTCAGTAGCAACACCAGCTTGTTCCAGGAAGTCGATAACGCAATGCTCGTATGTGATGTGAGGGCTAGCACTGCCAGTCAGAGCTACGTACTTGACCTTGGCAATCTCAGTGAGCTTGTGGATCGTGCCAGTCTGCATGTAACAGCTGCGCTTGGCAGGTGTATCGTCTCCAACGAGCTCGTAAGTAAGCTCGGAAGAGTTACTGATGGCAGGTTCATATGTGACATGGGTATTGGTCATGCCCCACGGACGAGCGGACGTACGGCCGACAGAGGAGGTGGTGTTTCCAACATACGATTGGAAGGGAATGTTTCCAGGCTCCAGGTTGATATTGCCAGCAACCAAGGAAGGACAGTCGTTGGACAGGAGCAGAGGGTGCAAAGCTCCGATCGAGTGAGAGATCAAGAACGACGGGCCGATGAGAGAAAGTAATTGACATCCCGAGGATCTCATAGAGAGCTCCTGAACAGTCAAATTGCTGGTCAAGGGAATAAATGTCGATTCGAAAGCGTCGAAAACAGGATCACCCTTCACTCCTGAACCAGGCCATTGAGTGTGCTGCTGAGATTGCGGGTATGCGTTGGTAAGTTCAGGAGCAGTGAACCCCTTTTCAGTGATCTCGGCAGTGGAGCCAATGCGCATAACATAATCGTTGAGGTTCTCCGCGCTACCTCTTCCAACGCTGGTCTGATCGACGATATAGACTTGATACCCATAGTCCAAGAGATGAGATGCGAAACCTTTGCGGTTGTCGGGTGTATTAAGCCATGTCTGCATCAGTCAGCCACATATGCTCTATGAATTGTATGTTCAGACACGACTCACTACGCCAGAAGTGCCACCACCATGAAATAATACGACAGGTTTGCTCTGGTTCACACCAGCCGCAGGAGTAAGCTTCTCCACATAGAGCTGATCGTAGGTGAGATTGCCAGCAGCTCCAGCCACGTAGCGTCCTCCGATGTAGAAGAAGTCACGATAATGTAATGCTTCCTGCGAAACACATTGAGGGGCAACCGCATTGATTCCTGTACAATCAGCTGCAGCGAAAGCGACACTCGCAATAGAGGCAAGATTGAACAAGGTTGAGGAGATCATTGCTGCGGAAAATCACAGGATATGGTACTTGAAACAAGCCAAGAGGAAAGGGTTGCCGGTAGGGTTGCGGGACTTGGTCGCTTTTGTATTCCTCATATCGGTTGCTGCCCCGGAAATCCGCCTATTCAAAGTACTTCAGACATGGCCCTCATCTCGCGAAGATCCACCTTCGAGACCAATGGGAGCTCGACCCTTTTGATCCGAGAACGAATATAACAAAGACCATGAGGGCAATGTGTCGCGGTACGGACTGCCTGATATTCAGCGACAGTTCTGATATGATAGCGCGATAAATCGACTCATATCGCTTTCCACCGGGCGACTCTGGCTCTCCGGCGCTTTATCAAGTGGAGCGGTGTATGTAAAGAGTTAAAGTTGGGAAAGCACGAAGGCCTTTTTACTAACAGACGCGTGGGAAACGCCAGGCTTGGCGAAAAGCAACAGCTTCGAGGCTTCCGTTCTTTCGCGTGTCCATCACTTCCTTGATTTGACGACCATAGAATGATGCTGTTTCCTGCTGATAATGTTTTGACTTCAATACCAAACAACGTGTATCTACGTGGTCGATCTTACGAAGACATTTGAAGTTGCGAACTTGCGTCAAGGCGAAGCTACCCCTGTCAAAGAACGGACCATCGTTTGACAGTCTTCGCTTCCAAGTTCCAACCTGCATCTCATGGGTCGCTTACAGGCTTAAGCGTATGCTCCAGACCACGATAACATCACGCTATACATGTACGCCCAGAAGAGTTTGCGAGATGCTACACCTTCGAAACATCCTATGTTAGACGGTGCTCTGCTATTGGCGAATTCGGCCGCATCGATAACGTCCATCTTGTACCGGCCACAAAACTAATGCCCTAGAGGCGATCTTAGCCTTCAATGAAGATCTGTCTACAGGATTTTTGGCCCTAGAACAAAGGTAGGACATTTTCGCCGATGCTTCAACCATACGAGTCCGTCAATCCGGCAAAAGTCAGGATCCGTTGATGATCTTCAAAAGCGCATGGCCCAGGTTCTCTCAGCCTGGTGAGACATTTTGATTTTCAGATCCCATCCATCTTCTGTTTGCGTGCTGCTGCATATTGAACCTAGGCAGCGATGTCAAGCTCGGCCTTTCTGGGGCAACCGCCAGCCAACCAAGATGACTTCTACATCATCAAGGGCATGTACAGAGCAGCCTACGCCTTCAACAAAGACCCAAGCGAAGGCTACCTATTAGTTCCGAGGAAACCCGAGAACTATGAATACAACGACAAGCAAGCCAGCATTATTGTTGGCATGGCTTTGGCCATAGTCATCATGATGTCTACCACAGCTCTACGACTCACTCTCCGGCAATTCAAGACAGGTGTAAGGTGGGGAGCAGACGACTGGATCTTGATACCAGCGGCGGTATGGCAGTCATCTTGCCATCTCGGCATATCTGCGAACGCTAACGCTGGCGTAGNNATCATGGCCATGTTGTACCCAATACTGCAGATAACAATGGTCATGCGTGGAGGCGGTGGTAAACACACATGGGACGTTACCTATGCCGAATACTACACGTTCAATAAGGTACATAGATCTCCTCATCAGCACTTGACCCATCGCTGACTTTCCTGACGCAGCNTTGCAATCGTCTGCAAAATCATATTCTTCACAACCGTCGGCATCATCAAAATATCCATCTGTCTGTTCCTCCGCCGCATCTCGGAAGCCACGTCGAAGTATCCTCGAATCGCCAACGACATCTTCCTTTTCCTGCTCATAAGTTATACTCTACTCGCATTGTTCTGGTCCTGCTTTCAGTGCTCTCCCGCCCCAGCGATGTGGGACAAGATATACTCTGGCAAACTCATGCAGCCTGCCAAATGCTGGTCCACGTTGGTGGTCGCAAACACACTTAGCGTCATCCATGTTGTCATGGACTTTGTCCTGCTTCTTACGCCTATTGTCGTGCTATGGAAAGTGCAGCTGAACAAGAAAACAAAGATCAGGCTGTTCATTGTGTTCTCAATGGGTTCGCTGTCATGCGTGGCTAGCGTCTTGCGAGAGCTTGCACAGAAGAGTATAAGCAAGGATATCACCTGTACGCCAATGGCCGCAAGCACTGTTATGTATTGCTGACGACTTTCAGATGGTTACACAAGCCTGTTGGCATGGACAGTAGTCGACTTGACGCTTGCAGTAGTCGTAGCATCGCTGCCTGTCATCAGTGCACTCATTCCCAAAGCCTGGAGCGACATTACACATTCATCGCGTCTCCACAGAACCACACTTGGACAAGCAACATCCAAGGGAACACAGGGACAATCTGTCATTGGAAGAGCTCGGCGTAACACAATAGACTCGGAAGAAGACGGCATTCTGCGCGAGGACCGGATCGAGCTATCCTATGCTCGTAACTCTAAGCGCTTCCAACCACGAGAGAACTCTCAGACCTCATTATATGCGAGTCCTCACGCGGAACAAGCACTTTGATTCTTGCCACAGAGACATGATTTTGGGTTGAGCCATATCATGTTCTTGTCAGCGCCATACCTACGATTGCGTCACCATCGCTCGAGTGTGTGCAATATCTTGATCATGTAAACTTTCTGGATGTTGCCTTCTGGAGGGTAGGCACAGTGTCACGCAAGATTGATACCCCGGTGTCCAAACGTGGCATCAAAGGAAACCTCTAATCTTCTAGCACGTCCCTCTTGCCAACCATCCGCCACTCTGCTGCGAGAGATCGTCAAAGTTCGCCAGATACAACGGTACCGACCGCTCTTCAACGCGTTGGCCTTTCGTCAACAAGGATGCGCCCAGTAGATCAAAGGAAAGCGACTGCGTCCTTGACCATTTCACACCTCTTGATGTCTGTCTCCTCTGCCCATGACCTTGTGAGCAGAGGTGTAGTCCAATGGTGGTGGTGGTATCGTTGTCTTGACCATATAGACGAAAGCGAGCACTCTCGGCATAGGGTACTTTGTCGATCGAGAACTTGTCCGTGTCCTGGGAGTCTGGGATGAGGGCAAGCTTGCATTCGACTTGAGTAGGGTCGATGGGAATGGGTGCTAAGCTACTGTTCAATGAGGTCTTGGAAAACGATTCCACAGCGGTGCCGCTGATGCTACTGCTTCTCGGGACAGTCTGCGAGGATGTGACTCTGACTGAGCTGCCAGAAGCTTTCGAAGAGGCTTTGCTCGAAGACATCGTGGCTCCAGTCGAAGTCTGGACACTACTGGGTGGACTCTTGACAGTGACGGTGCCGGCAGGCTTTGTAGGATATATTTTTTCCTGTTTTGGAAGATTCCGTACACTTTTGTTTACGAACGTGTTACAAAATTCCAGCACACGTGAATAGAGACATGGAAAATACATTACTGCCAACGTCAGGACATGAAATCGTCAACAACCGCAAGCCCTCACTAACATCACTCCCTCAACCCCCCTAGCAAATCGATATCTAAATTTCTGGCCGTTTTTGCCTTCCTTGCCTGTACCGTCTCCGTCATCCCATTCGACTTCATCCCCTCCAAACTCATCTCTGCCCCAGAAGCCCATCAGGGCTTTGGCCATACCCTTTCTTTCCTCTTCCAGCAATGCTATCCTCTCTTTCTGCTCGACAAGCTGCTCTTTCAAAGCCTTGACCTTGGCACGCCACGAATCTTCTCTCTTCCCAAGTGTTGTGGACAATTTGGTATCGAAATCCAGATTCAGTGCATGCAGATCCGACAATTCTGTCTTTGTCTTCTCGAGCGCTGCTGTTGTGGCTTCGAGGTTCGACTCAGCAGCAGCGGATGCCAGAGTCAAAGCTTGTAGGTCAGAGGTTTTGGCGGCAACATCTGCTTCGGCGAGGGCGAGTGAGTTGGCGGTGGTCTTCAACTCTGATTGTGTAGTGGAAAGGGTGGTGGAAAGTTCATTGATGCGCAGGGACAGGGTGTCGCGGGAGGTGCGGAGGCTGGTCATGCCTTCTTCAATGAGATCGATCGTGCGGCGATGTTCTGCCCTCAACGTCTGGAAGGCTGCAGAGTCAGAGTGTGATGATGGCTCGATCCAGGATTTGCGGAGTCGTTCTATCTCCTCGTGATGTTCTTGTTGCTGATATTCGAGTTGAGTTTTCAAGGCTTGAAGGTCTTTGCGGAGAGCGTCCGCGAGTTTTTGTGTTGAGCTGTCGTGAGAAGCGGAGGGCGACTTGTCTTGAATGCGGTCAAATTGCTGGAGCATGTCCAGCTCTTCACGTAGAGAATGCACTTCTTCAATTGCTCTCATACGCTTCTCTGATTCCTTGTTCAACTGATCATAAACATCAGCTCGAGATCGTCGAGCTTCGTTGTCTGCTCTTGCCCAAGCTTCCTTTTCTTGCGCATGGAGCTTCGAGACCTCGTTTAGCTGAAGTTGTGTTGTACGTAACGCAGCTTCGAGTTGTTCTGTGGTCAGATTCGATATATCATTCTGCCCGATAGGCTTCTGACTAGGCATTCTGTGCTCGAACAATTGGTCCGCGGTTGGAGGTACGTTCTGAGCTTTCTGTGCCTCATCTGCTTCAGCCTGGAACACAGCAATCTGTTGCTTTGCTTGTTGTAATTGTTGTGCAAGTCCTCGGGTCATCTCTGCTGCCTTGGTATTTGCATCTTCGTGGGCAGCCTGGACAGCCTTCTCCTTGGTCGCAAGAGCATCTTGGGCTTGCTCTAGTCGTTGTTTGAGGCTCTCGCTCGTGAGGTCATCCTTGATCTGAGACTTGAGCTCTGCGATCAAATTGTCCCTGCTCTCAATCGTCTTGCGCATATCTTCAAGCTGAGCTTGCAAACTTGCAATCTGGCCTTCGAGTTTTGCCTGCCTTTCGGATGTTGGAAGCTCATCATCCATGTCGACCTTGGTACGGTTGACGGCAAAATCCTCCTCATGATCATCCCTCGCTTGCTGCATATCTCTTCGAGTATCAGAGAGTTCCTGTTGAACGCGGTCGAGTTCATTGCTCTTTGCCTTGCGTTGATCCTCGTTCCAGACTTTCAAATCTTGCATATCGTTTTCGGTCTCCCTCAGATTGTCTTGCGATTGCTTCAACTGACTCCGAACGTCTGCAAGCAAGTTGTCCTTTGCTTTCAGCTCATCCTTGATCTTGTCAAGCGAGCTGTGAGTCTGACGTTCCGCGTCACGAGCTTGACCAAGCTGAATCTGCAGATTGTGTATTTCGGCATCTTCACTGTCATGCATCTGGTCCAACTCTTTTGCGCGATCCTCTGCAAGCTTCGTAGCATCCCTCTCGCTTGCCTTTGACTCTTCCAGGTTAGATTCGAGCTCCTGCATCCGGCTCTGGTGGTTTCGGGATTCGTCGCGCATACGATTTAGCTCTTCTCGTAGCGACTCCAGCTCATTTCCATCCTCAGAACGACCTCTGCTTTGCGACCGATCAGATCTCTGATAACGACGAGACGCACGCTCCGTGTCAAGCTGGGTTTGTAGAGATTCATTGAGTGCGCGCAGCTTTTGCAATTCTTGGTACAGACTATGCGGTTTCTGGTTGGGTGTACTGTCAAAGTGTGGCATGGGCGATCGCATGGACGAGATGGTGGGAGGACTCGAGGGTCTCTGATTCTGAGATTGGCGCAGTCGCGAAGTTGAGTACGATCGGCGTTGAGCAGGATCGGGTGTGGCATTGATGGAAGCAGGGAGTCCTGGGGTGAGCTCGGAGTAATAGTCCTCGACGCTGGGCTGCAGCATGTTCATCTGTGGCTCTTCAAAGTCGCCTTGATCGGGTCGGGGGGTTGGGTCGTTGGCGCCAGGTTCACTCTGAGTACTGCGATAGAACCTGGGCGAGGGATTGGGCGAAGAGTTTGTCAAGAAGTCGGCCGTCGTCTCGTCGAACAGATCTTGCTGTTCTTCCCATGCTGGTAGTGGTTGTTTGCGTGGGGTTCCTCTAAAGTATTTGGCTAGGTTGACAGTGAAGTCGGTGGGCCCATCAATGTCATCACTATGGATCTTGTCAACGACGCGATGCACGCTGGGCGAGTCCAAAGTGCTAGGCTCATCGTCGAGGTTCAAGGCGTCCAGGTCCAGAGAATACTGTGTTTGGTCGCGTTCATCGTCGTGAGAAGAGCCATGAGGCGGCGGCGCTGGCGGAGGGGTGACGATAACATTGTCTCTAGATCAAGAAATGCTGACTATGAATATCTTGTCGAGTCGCGTTGATACAAAAAGTGCCAGTCGCGATGACCTCGACTGTTTGTTGTTGTCTGTGCACGCCATGCACCTCGCCCAAAACGCGGGGTCGGCGTATGAGCCTTAACCCCGGGCATGCATGTGATTGTCCTACATCTCGACTCTGTACGAAAGAATACTGCATGGCTTCTCAAGAAGAAGATCAATTCTGTCCTTTGAGCAGTCTATGTAACAGTCTGGGCCATTCAACATCTGGGAGATAGTTGGTGCTAGACGCTGGACGCCTTAGGCCTGAATTCCTCATCACTCTGAGACCGTGGACATGATGCATGACATGCAAACAAACTGTACTGAAGCAATTGTGTGTGTATCATCAGTAGACCAGGTTGATCTCGTATACATGCTCATCTCAAGCAAAGTTCTTCATAAGATCGTCAACAGCTCGAGCAGCATACCGCTTGCGCTCGTTCTCTGGCATGCCGGCAGTAGTCTCNTGCTATTGTCAGCTTCTTCAAATGCTGCCGTGACTTCCACTCATACCTTTGATAGCCATCAATTGACTCATCATCTGCTCCATGTCTTCGATCTGCAGAGCACTGCCCTCAGCTCCATCCTCATCACCCTCAGTATCTGGATCTAGCAGAGAAGCCTTCATGCCCCAAAGCTCAGCATTCATCTGCGCTTGCTCGTCATCCATGCCTCCGATGTTGTCTTCGTCGTTGTCGTCGTCGTCGTTCATGGAAGATGCAGACCATTCATTTGCTTCCAGTGCCTCTTTCGCCCTCTCCAAGCCCAGCTTTTCTCCATATTCGTTTTTGCCTGTCGCATCCATGTGAATGTACTCGAATCCCAGGTCCAGACATATTTCTTCGGCAACAGCAGTAGACTTGTCTTTTTTGGAGGGCGTGAGGTCGATGGCAAGACGCGTACCATCCCACATGATGCCACAAGCTTTCTCCACCACCTCACTAACAGCCTTCATGGTCTTTTCCACTTGTTCAGATATCGTGGCTTCCTCTGCTGACTCTTGCTTTCCGCTGTCAAAGCAGTAGATCCATGCGCCCAAGGCGTCGACCACTTCTTGAGCTTGAGGTTCCAGGAAGTCGGCTTTCCACGCTTCGACGTCGGTGATTTCGTCAATCCATACGGGGATGGCGGCTGCGTAGTATGGTGTGCTGATCGTCCATTCGTGCGTTACTCCGGCGAGGGAGCCAGTGGATGGGTCCGGGGTGGGTGCGGAACCCGTCAGATCTGTCGCATTGNNATGAGCCTATGCTGCCGTTAAACATGTGCGGGTTCGCAGGACAGAATATGGTCTACCTTTGACGACGCGAGAGATGTCGCTGTCTGGTCTGCCTAGCACGAGAATGCGACGTGGGTGTTTGATGTCCATTACTGTTTCTGGCAAGTGCATGTTCACGGTATGACAAAGAGAAGACAAAGATGGAGGGAGCTTAGAATTGGGTGGTTTATCTCATTCGCCAACCACGTGACGCATATCTGATGTGAGTCGTCTTTCCTTTTCGCGCCAGCCAGTAGACGGCTGAGAAAGTGATTCAAGAGGTTTGACTTGGTGCGAGTCCCTCTGCGCTGCATCCGTGTGCCTGTACTGGAGTTCAACGCCTGGCTGGCTGCATCACCCGAAGCGATATTTGCATAGCCCAAGTGCTCTGCTGACATGAAACTTTTGCCCGTCTCTTTTCTTGTATTCTTCATCAAAACAAGATGCTCGTGGCTTCCATTTATCCACGGGGTCCACCTCTTTGGCCTCTGGCTCTGTTGACAGTAGCACGACCTCTGGCCAAACCAACACCTCTTCCACGGACGTTTCTTGCTCTGAACATGGGTGCGTTTCTGTTGTGATGTTGTCAGCATAGCTCCTGCACCCCTCGGCCACGTTTCACCAACCTCAACATGTCCGGTACGATGAAGTATCGGACGTGCGATCCTCTGATGTAGACCTGGTCCAGATGTGATACGCGACCATCTCTCGCTGTGACAGTGATATCTCTGAGCTGACAGTTCATGTTGTCCTCGGCNTGTCATGTCGTCAGTGTCCTGGTCCTCTCTCTTGCTTTGTGGTTGCGGAAGGTCGCACCTTCGAGTAGCTTGCCACGGTAGACATTGCCAGATGTGATTTCGACGGTAACGATGTGGCCNCTGTGATGTCGCGCATTAGCACATGCTTTGTTCAATGCGACACAAGATGAGGATGCGCGTACGGTTGCTTCATTGAGCAGCTTGATCGGGATTCCAATGGTTGAAGTCATGGCAGCGGTATTTTGAAAGTGTCGTGTGATGTGCGGGTAGTCCGAGAGGTCGTAAAGGGGTGAGATGAATGCGCCGAGAAAAAGAGTTGTAGAGGAATGGATCAAGAGCAGTCAGAGTCGTCGCCAGCCAGAACTGCCATGCGCGCGAATCTCCAGAGCTTCTGGCGGAGCGGCCTTGGCGTTGCTTCGTCTTGGCGGTAAACTTGAGACGACAAGGTCATTTCCAACTCATCTTTCTTGATCTAACAAATTCAATCATCAAGATGAATGTATCGGGGACATTGAGCTTCTTCAGACTCTTCAGAGACCCTTCTCTATGCTTGCCTCATCATACTGTCTCCACCTTCAACCATCTACCGATTCCACTTTCTCGTGCTTTCAACAGAGCAGATGGTGAGAAGAAGGTAGACATCAGGGCCGTCGTGCTTGACAAGGACAATTGCTTTGCTGTCCCAAAGGAGAATGAGGTCTACAAACCTTATACAGTATGTGACCATCTCACGAGTGTGGCAGCATATTGAAACAATCCATGTCTAATTATCTCGCAGGAACGCTTTGAAGAACTCCGCAAAGCATATCCTGGATCTCGATTGCTGATAGTGTCAAACTCCGCTGGAACCCTGTCAGATCCTACTGGAGCAGAAGCAGATCTCTTGGAGAAGAACACTGGAGTCAAAGTTCTTAGGCACAACACANAAGGTGTGCTTGTCCTTATCATGTGTATATTCTTCCTCTGACTGAACTGGCAGAAACCTGGCTGCCATCCCGATGTGTTATCATATCTTCGAAATGCACCAGACACAGGAGTTACACACCCGTCTCAAGTCGCTATTGTAGGAGACAGACTCTTTACCGATGTGATGATGGCAAACATGATGGGCTCATACGGCTTCTGGATCAAAGACGGTGTTGTAGAAGAAAAAGGACTCGTAAGTTGCATCTTGAAAAATCGTGGTAGCATTACTGATCATTTACAGTTCGTGAAACTCGAGAGAAGTCTTGCAGGCTTCCTCACTCGTCGTGGCTACATTCCGCCATCTCCCCAAAACCAGTTTGAGTAATTGTTCAGTGCCACATCCTATCTTGAGGCGATCTTGCGCCGATGCTGCTGAAGTGGCAAGCTCCTGAAGACAGCTTCTCATGAGCGGGTACCATACCATCAGGAAATGGGATGGTCAACACAGAGGTGTACTGCTCAGACGGGTACTCGGTGATATGACCCTCTCCGGTCGTGTCAGCCGCGACAAGCAGACCCTGGTTTCCTCCAATGAACCACTCCTCGTCCTTGGACGAAGGCAGTGATATGTGTGCCAAGCCAGAGGTGTACACGACAAGCTACAAATGTCAGCGCAAGCACAGAACCAGCTTGACGAGATGGAAAAATACCTGTGGAGCAGGGCTGTTGTGTCTACTGCCATTGAATCTGGGTGGGATGATAGTGTACGAAGCACTACTAGCATTGAAGTTGAACCTCAAACTACCGGCAATACCAGGTTCCGAAGAGTCAACCAGCGGCGTCGCAAACCGCCAACACTCGAGCGCTGATTCGTTCGCAGCATTGGTGACCAGGGCAGTGGCCGTGAGATAGTCGTACGCTTGTGCGCTTGCGCAGAGCAAAGCGAGCACAGTGGTTGTCAGATAGAAATGCATATTGGTGAGCTGTTCGTGAACGAAGAGATATGATAGAAAATACTGTCAAACCAGAACTCGAAGAAGGAAGGTGTTTATACTTGAGTGAGGAAGCTGTGAGGCATATGAAGTCATACCGCATATGACTTGTTTTAGCACAACTTCGTGCTCCCACTCATGCGTTGGAGAAGCCTGCCGTGATGCGAGCATGCTACTGCAGCATTACCGTTGCTGTTCACTTAGTGGATACCGCTCCTCACTTGTCCACGATTCTTGCACTTGCAGTGGACCGTAAGTAATCCACAGTACAACACCTGATGTCATTACAAGTTATCTCTTTGAACACCGCGGAGCAACACGATTTCAACTCTCCAACACGAAAAGGGGCTTCAAAACATGACGATCGCACAACCGTCGCGACATCCTCGTGAGCATCGACAACGCTTTCGATGCGCAACAGCAACTACCCTTCCAGCTCTAGCATCATGCAAGCCGCGGCTCGGCCCGTCTCCACAACTCTGAGCACCGGCTTGTCTTTCCTTGCTCGCATCACTTTCCTCCGAAACACATCTTGGTATCAAAACCACAAAAAGTCGCCGACGACAACAACAATGGCGGAAAAGGATAATCCAACAATCAAAATGCCTTTTCGTGCGGCTGAGGGCGTGTCTCGCTTCTTTCTCTTCGAAGCCCTGCGTGTTGGCTGTGAAGAAATCGAATCCACGTCTTCGCAACTCGAGTCTGCGCGTGATAGAGCAGAGAAGATACTCATCAAGGAGTCACCTGTTGAATTCGAGTCTCTGGTCCAAGATGTACGTCAAAATTCACACTGACAGGGATGTAGTATGCTGATGAGAACAATTGNNCAGATCCTAAAATCCTGTGCAAAGAGTTTGCAGACACATGCTGCTATTGTCGAGGCGGTTGCCGAGACTGTCAATGGCGGTACCACTCAGTCGGACCAAAGTAGTACAAAGCTGGACAAGTTTAGATTGCTTGTTGGCCAGATCAAGGATGCCGCTGCTGGTATCGAGCAGTTGAGGAGCGAGCAGTTGAGGGGCGCGAACGTAAGTTGTTTACATTTCTTGTTCTTTTCCGTTCCCTCGCGCATTGCTTCCGAAGATAATTTCGTTCCCGAATCAGTACACCTGAAGACACCTCAAAATGTATCACACTTTCTGTTGAGCATACCTACATACTCTAACCATTGTTCTGCATTTAACATAATTACTAACACATTTCCACAGACAAAACCAGAACAATCACCTCCACTCCCAACTGAAGTTGATTTTGACTCGGAACCGGAAGTACAATCTTCTAAGAAGTCCAAAAGTAGAGAGCTAGAGGCAACCACTCTTCCGAAGAAGAAGACCAAGACCAAGCACACCTCCAACACTTCAGCATGGGTTACGGAAAACCTCTCATCCGGGGTTCTGGACGAGAAGTCCATGAAGGGCAACGGAAAGAAGCTAGGAAGGCCTCTCAAGCCATTGAAGACGTCCAAAGCTTCTCCAAGAGCGCCCGCTGAGTCCAACTCACCACCTCTAGAAGAAGAGACTGTACAATCAACCCCATCTTCCAAGTCTATTCCTGAGACCAAAGGAACAGCCGACACTCCTAAGACCGACAAACACTCTCACCCAATTACCCCCAAATCAGCTCCAGCGAATCAATCTTCGGTCGACGAAGAAGACATCAACGCAGAGGTAGATGCCCGTCTCGCAGCCAAAGAGCTGAAGCGTGCCAAGAAGAAGGAAGCAAAGAAACGCAAACGCGACTCTGTGGCTTCCGACATCTTCTCTCCAGATCCCAAGGCCGAGTCTGAGCACAGAGCAGTCTTGCCAGCANAAAAAAAGGCACGCGTCGATAACATCGATGGCGATGGCAAAGGAAAGCGTCAGAATGTTGACGATGTTCCCGGAAGCAAATCAAAGGTGAAGAAACAGAAGACTAATGTCGATATCAAGAAGGAGGAGACGACGGTCGAAGCAAACAAGCCAAAGCGTAGACGCTCGTCTAACATCGCTGTGGCAGAAGTATCGACTGCTGCTCCAGAGGCTAGAAGCCACAAGAAGCGCCGTGTGGGCTTCTGATCGACGAAGAGAACCGAAAAGACAAAGTGAGGAGAGTTGACAATGCTGCAAGACATGGAAGACCAGAATTGCTATGGCACCAGAGACAATCACATATGCTATCACGAAATGGCCGTCGACACGAGAGCAGGAAGAAGATGCAGAAGCTGATCGCCGACTCTTTCAGTTCAGTATTGCTCCGCAAAGTCACATTGCTGGTTGCTACCTCGAAAAGAGAAGCTTTACATTTTACCATATAGATATATGCACATTGCTCATAAACCAAAAGACCAACATCCCAACAACCTCTAAATCTTACTCGCGCCATCCTTTTTACCCCAAGCCTCCTTGACAAAACCTTCAACATCTGCCCACAAGTCCTCCGGTCGCTCCATGGCAGCAAAATGACCTCCCTTGTCATGACTAGAAACATGTACGAAATTTCCAGTCTCCTTGACCCACGAGACCGGTGTAGGAGAAATCTCATAAGGAAAGTAAGAATATCCTTGAGGTTTTCCGGATGGCTTTGCAAAGCGCGGTTTACTGGAAGGACCAGATTGGGAACCAAAGAGNCTATAACGAAAAGCGTTGTTAGTGGCCAGTTGATGAAAGCAAAGACAGAAAGGAGAGTAGAAACTTACACTACGATAAGGATAAATGCATCTCGCATACGTATCCGTAAGCCAATACAGACTCACCGAATCGAGTATCTCATCAAGATTGGGATCCTCATCCGTCCACTCCAAAAACTTTTCGCCGATCCATGACAACAAAGCCAGAGGCGAGGAACTCAGAGTTAGACCTATGGTGGCTGTTCTGGTACCGTGTTCCATCGCATACGCAGATCCAGAATCCTTGAATGCTTTGCCTCTCTCCAGACCGCGTTTCTCGATATCAGAGATGGGTAAGGAGTCTGCGTTTGCGGGGGCAGGAAGTTGATAGAGGTTTAGATGAAAGGCTTTGCAGGAGGGGGATTCGACACCGAGTTGGCGGGCGATAAAACTGCCTAGATCTCCTCCTTGGGCTATATAGCCCTGCTCGCCAAAGCCGAGGTTTTGCATCAGGTTATCCATTACTGGGGCCATGTGTTCGGCCTTGAAATCTCTGTCTGAAGGTGGAGAAGAGGAAAATGCATAGCCAGGCAGAGAGGGCACGATGATGTGATAAGGCAAGGAAGCAGGATCTGGGTATTGCTTTTTGACGAGAGTGAGCAGAGATAGGAACTCCAAGATACTGCCTGGCCAGCCGTGGAGAAAGAGGATGGGGATTGCGGTGGGTGAAGTAGAGAACAAGGCCAAGAAATGGATGGTAAAATCCGATCCTTCGGGGTCGGTGATGGGGATTGTAAAGTTTGGGAATGAGTTGATATGGTCTTCGCATCTTCTCCTGTTTGTTGTCGGCCATTAGCCTTTGAGGTTCTTCCTGGGGGGTTCTATGGGGAGTGTGTACCAGTCATAGGTGGTTTCCCAATGTTTCTTGGCTTTGATGAGCCAGTCTCTGTTCATGCCGAAACGACGGTCTGTTTGTTGGTTCTCATATGTTGCGGGCCCAATTTTGGAGTGGGCGAGCAAATGCTTCATGGATTGAATGTCATTGGCATCGATTTCCACCTTGAAAGGTTTAGGTTGGACCTTTGCGATGGATGGGACTTGAGAGTAGTCGGCCATGGTAGGTTTTGAATATATGGTTCCTTTGGGTTACGGAGTAAGGAGGGGACAGGAACATTCATGTGCATACATGGGGTATTCATCATATATATGTCTTCTTCCTAATTGACGATCTCACCGATCCCTTGCATTTGTAATAGGCCATGGCATATCGATGATGTAGTTCCCCGCTTGGGAAGCTTATCCTCGGGTGTGTTTGACTGAGCTTCCATGTGCATGAAGTAAACACATCATACTGTGTAAGGAGACAGAAGTATTCGCTGTAGACATACAAAGTAGCTTTCGATCCGAATGACACAGAATGTTTTAGCCAGAAGTGAGGTGAATAGCACTAACAGCATGCCACGAGGTTTAGGAAAGAACAAGTCTTGGCAGTGTTTCTTTTCCCCGCAAAGTCCGTGAGTCCTCTTTCGATAAATTTACGAAGCTCTTTTTCCTTAATGCGCATGACAACTTGACAATAACACAACATCTCGTACACCAAAAGTTCCGACTACAGCTCTATAGCTTCTGGATCGCATTCGTCAACTGGTAGAACAGACCAACACAACAACAGACGAGAGCACGAGTTCATCAAGATGCCGCCCAAGACGGCTACGGGCAGAGCTCGCGGAACAGGCACACGAGGAAGAGGAGGCAGAGGACGAGGAGGCGCCGCCGCAGCAACAGCAGCAGACTCTGCGTCAACAGACCAACCCATGACCGATGTAGCCCCGGCAGAAACATCCACACCAGCACCCGTCGCGCAAATGACAGCAGCCCCAATCGCAAACATGGCTTCGGAAACCACCGCCTCGTCTTCAACCACAGACGCAGCACCAGTACCAGCGCCAGTAAAACGCGTAGCTTCTGTTCGTCGTGGCGGCGCATCAGCTTCTCCTGCACCTTCAGCCTCGCGCGGCAAGAAGCCAGTTGTACCTGCACCCAAAGCAGTAAGAAGAAGCAAGGAAGACAGAGAAGCCCTGCAAAAAGAAGCCAATGCGAGAAAAGCAGAGGAAGCAAGAGCAGCACTGAGAGATGCAAAGAGAGCAGGCAGAGGCAGAGGCGACAGAGGAAGAGGAAGAGGTGGTGGTAAAGCAAGAGGAGGCTTTATGGGAGACAGTGAGAGAACCATCAGAGACGTTGTGGCCAGCGGCCCATTCTCAGCTGGTCAAGTATCTGCCGACGCCGGTTTCCGCGGACAAAGAAGAGGTGTGGGCGGTGGAGGTTCTGGAGGAGGTAGTGGTGGAGGAGGTGGTGGATATTCCGGCGGATCTGGCGGCGGAGGCAGCGGCAGCAGTGGAGGCCCTCGCATTAAGAGTGAAGGCGGCCCCTCATACAACAACGTCAACATCGAAGACGGCGGCTACATATCCTCAGACCTGGACGAAGCAGACGAAGGCCCACGCAAAGACATCGACTTCATCAACCTCCTCAGCGACGATGAGCAAGACGCGGCAGCCACAAACGCCGGCATGGCTCCCATCCGCGTCAACCGCGTCGAGCACCGCGAGCGAGAAAAGCCAGTGGCCGCAGATGCTTCAAAGTCAAAAGCCGCAATCGCCGAACAAGCTTCCCACACCACCGCCATAACCTCGCCAACAACCGCCAAAGAACGCACTGCAAGCCCCGAGCTCGTGCGCAGCAAGCAGCCCCGCGCAAAGGACGTCCAAGTCGTGCGCAGCGAGAGAAAGTGGAAGGGCGCCTGGGAAGACAGCTCCGACGACGAGCACACAGCCATAAAGCCCGAGCCTCTGGACGACGACACCAACACCTCAATCACAGCAGCAGCACTCCCAGATTCCCATCCAGCAATCAAGGAATCCGCTTCTCCAGAGTCACGGCGCAAATCGAAGGGCAAAGGCATAGCCAGAAAACACGCCTTGCCCACCGAAGCACCGGCCCTGCAAACCGTAGAAGAAAGACGAGAATGGGAGCGCCACCACCTCGACCTCGAGATCCTGCGCCAAGAACTCGGAGAAATAACTCTTCCCTCTGCTACACCAGCAGCAGCAGCAGCAGCCGCCGCAAAAGACTCACAAGGCGATACGAAAATGACCGAAGGAGACGCCACAGCCACAAACGAAGAACCAGACCTCACAGAAGGCGCCGACGCAAGTACTTCCCTGCCTCCATCCTCAACAAATCCACCCCCAGACCGCCGCACCGACCGCGTCTACCTCTTCCAATTCCCTCCCATCCTCCCCTCCCTGGTCCCCGCAACCGTAAAACCCGAACCCGTATCTCCAACCCTGTCGAAGAAAATCCCCGCCTCGACAGCAGCAACAGCAATCGATGTAGACGCTTCTGCAGCTCCAAAAGCAAAGGCAAAGCAAGAGGTCCCAGAGTCGGCTGGGCAGATGCATTCGCCGTTCCCTTCTGGCTTGGTTGGAAAACTGCGCGTGCATGCGAGTGGAAGGACCACTTTGGATTGGGGTGGTACGTCGCTGCAGGTGGGCATGGGTACGGATGTGCAGTTTTTGCAAGATGCCGTCGTTGCAAAGTTCAATGACAAGAGTGACGTTGAAGGTGCAAAGGGCAAAGAAGAAGAACAAGATGAAGGTGCATTCGGTGGCGAAGTCATGGGATTGGGTCAGGTCAGGGGCAAGTTCGTCGTTACCCCTGACTGGGAAGAGATTGTCGGTGTGAGAATCTAGAAGATGGAAAGAGATAGACTCGCTTTTTCGCTTGAGTAACAAAAGATGAATAGACGTAATAATCATTACCAACAACGTTGTGAAGCTACTTCCTCGTGGTACGTGGTATTCTCCTTTCCGAGCTATCCATCTCTGCGCGCAGCTCAATATTTGCGCTTGCTAGACGTGGCGGCATACCGCTTCTCTTGCATGTCAAGATTCCCTCATCCTAGCTTCCTTTTCTTATTCTTCTTTCCACATGGGGGCGACTTATAACTCATCAAAGCCACCACTCGTGGGCTCAGTTCACGAGCTATCCGAATCCCGCCAGAAGATTCTTCGTCAGTTTGCTAAACAGCTTCATCAGAGGGCTTCTCTTCGGGTCCAAGGCTTGGCTCCTAGCGATCCTTTTCCTTGAGTTCATCCTCTGCGTTCTTAACGACGGTGGCCATGTCCTTTCTAGCCCACTCCCAGTAGTCGTTCCAGGCACGTGCGTGTTCGGCGGTTGTCTCGGTGGGGAAGGTCTTGTTGATGATGACACTGACCTTGGCGATGGCCTTGTTGTGCTCTCCCAACTTCTCCAACTCTTGCTTGACGGCGGTATCCTTGGGCTTGAAGGCGAGGACTGCTCTGAAAGATGCGGCCAAGCCTTCAAGACGACGGACAGTCTCCTCGGGTGCAAGAGTAACGAGCTTGATCAGCATCAAGCAGCACAAGATCTTGATCTCATGCTCATCGGCCACACCGGCTTGGATGCGGTCATAGAAGGCAGAGATGGGAACACGAGCAAAGGCAGTCTCCATAAGAGCGTACAATGTCTCGTATGCAGACTTGCGCAGCTCAAGACCGTCATCAACCTTGTGCTTGAAGGGACCCATGGACACTTCACGAATAAGGTCGGCGTTGATGACAGTCTCCTTGAGAGCGAGTGGCAACAAGGTGTCAAGGTGAGGCAGAATCAGATCAGGCTTGTTGTGGGCGGCTGAGTTGAATGTCGTCAAGGCAAGACGACGGTTGTTTAAGTCTTCCTCGTTGAGCATGGTTGTGAGCATGGGCACAATGCTGGGTTGCAGGTAGACGTCGTAAGAAGGATCAGTGTCAGAGAAGGTGTAGCGGAGAGCGGAGATGACCATGCCACGAACAGTGGGCGATGAATCGCTCAAGTATGCTTGCAGCTGAGGCAGGTATGCAGCGGGATCGATTGTTGCAAGTCTGCCAATGCATTCAGCACCGACGACCTTGTTGTCTTCGACTTGCGAGGCAGTGATGATGTTATCCCAGAGCTGTTTTGAGTATTTGATAACCTCTGTCTCGGCAGCGGTGTGCTGTAGCAATTCCTTGATTGTGTGGAGAAGCAAATACTGCTTACCTTGGTTCATGCTCGACTGAATTTGAGGTAGGTAGCTAGAAACGTTGCCAGCAGCGGCACGACCCAGAGCGACAGCAGCTGCNAGAGATACCTTCTCGGAAGTCGAGAAGTAAGAGGTGAAAATATCAGGTCCGTAGGGGAATGCCGGGCCCATGCGCAGACCAGCTTCACCGAGAATATAAAGAGCAAGGCATTTGCGCTTCTCATCAGGGGTCGACTTCAGCTCAGCTTCGAAGTCGGCAAGTGTGACACCTACAGAGTTACCTCCAGCAACAAGAAGAATACCGATGACTTGGCCGACAAGCTCAGGGTTGCCATTGACGCCGACTTCAGCGAGCAGCGACCTCATCAGATCCTTACCGGCACCCTTCTTGCCAATAATCTCAAGCGAACCGAGCAATGCATCGAGTGCAGCGCCACTGAGATCCATCTTGGCCACGAAGCAGTAAGCTTGGATAACTTCATCATTGAGCACAAGTTGTGGTCTCTCGTTGGCGAACGAACCAATGATGACAAGAGCAGGACCAATGAGATGAAGATCTTGATCCACCAATATCAAGGGCAACAAAAGCTGAACAGTCTTCTGCACAGTCTCATCATCCATGTTCTCACGGCAGGCAGGATTGACAGCCATGCGCTTCAGAGCAGCAAGACTGGCTCCGCGCAGAGTTCTGCTGGACTTGCGCAGCTGAGCACCCAACTCGAGCGACACATCGCGGACCCATTCAGGAGTAAACTCCTTTGAGCTTTGAGCCAAAACGGCAATAGTCTCGATGGCTCTGACTGAAGCCAGACGGGTAAGCTCGTTGCGAAGTCTGTCGTTGATGAGCTGCAGACCAGCAAGTCTGCTTTGTTGATTGAGAAGAGCCGACCCTTGAGTGCCAGAGGTACGACCGATCAAAAGACCAAGCGACTGAACTGCCTTCTGTCGGACCTCAGTGTCAGTATCGGAGGCGGAGATGCGCTGAGTGACTGTCTCGTAGATTTGTTGCAAGTAGGTAGCGTTCTGTTGCTTTAAGCCAGCAGAGCGAGGGGGGGTAAGAGCCTTGATGTAGACCTGGATAGTGTCGAATGCTTCGCTTGAGACCTTGCTGAACTTCTCCTTGGATACGGTGGTCAGAGCGGGCATGATCTTGGCAAGATATGGCTCGATGACCTTGGAGGAATGTGTGTCAGCAACAACGCGCAGCAAGCGCAAAGACTCGATACGGAGAGCATTGTTTGTAACAGAAGCACCTCCCGATGTGCTGCCAGTCGACTTCATGGCATCAAGAACAGGATCAATGACCTGATCAATACGTTTCGAGAGGCCACCCTGTTGAGCAGTAACCAGATCTGTTAGCAGAGAGATCACGGCGTGCTTGGTAGGAACAGTGCTCGACTTGAGCAACTTGGCCGAACCCTGAACGATCTGAGGGTTGATGGCTGCCAAGCTGACTTGAGGACCGCCTTGAGGTGGCGGGGTGGAAGGAGAGGCATAGCCATTGGACAGGGCAAATTGCGGACGTTCGCTAGAGAAACTACTGTCACGACGACGCTTGCGACTGACTGGAGGACCTGTAGCTGAGGACATTCTGCGAAGACTAGGAGTAGTGCTGACTTCGCCGGTCTTTTTGACGAGGAAAGCAAGAGTGGAGAGGACCTCAAGGCGCACACTCTCCTCACGTTCCTGGAATCGTGAAAGAAGAGCCGGAGCGATTTTGTCGTAGAGAATGCCGCTATCAAGCAAGTCACCGCTTCCTCGTGTAGCGATCAAGGTGTGAACGAGCTTGGCAGCACCACGACGAACCTTCCAGCTGACATCGTCCTCGTCGTCGAAGCCAGTTTCTTCTTCAAAGTCCTCGTCAAGATCAAAGTCATCTTCTTGGTCACTCTCTGCTCCTTCCATCTCGTCGTCCTCGTCGGCAGCATAGTTGGGATCATACTTGGCAAATCGAAGACACGAGTCTATGACCTCGGTAATGTAAGGTGTCATGTCCTGACTGCACGACGCCAGGAAGGACTCCAGAGCCAGTAGGGCGGCTTCACGTACTTCCTCGACCTGAGGATCCCGACCTTCATCTGACTCTGCAGCCTCCTCATTCTGCTGGTCCAGCTCTTGCTCACTCAGGGGTGAAAGCACAAATGGTGCCAGAGTCCTGAGGTATGGGCCAAATTTGCGGGGAATTGATCGGGCCATGGAGGCAAAGATTGTGAGATAGAGTCTGCGCTGAGCTGGTGTAAGGTGGGACTGGCGCAAACTCTCGATCGAGTGCGACACGACCGAACTGAGGAGCGAATCTGAGAAGTATGGAGAAAGGACTGAGAGAGCGGTGACGGCCTTTTTTTTCATGACGGTGCTGCATCGAGGGTTTTCTAGGACCTCTGCTGTGACCTTTTGCAAAGCTTCCACCTCAGCTTCTTGCAGCATTGGGCCGAAACAGCGAGCAACTTCGACCAGGACGTCCAAGGCGTTACTATCGATTCCAGTCTCGATCTCAACTTGGATCATGCCCTTGGGCGGAGCAGGTAGGTTCTTGCCAGTGGGAATGACAGTGTATCCAACCAGACGAGGAATCAGGGCGCGACTGACTGCGGAGTATGATTCTTGGACTTTTTGTGTACGAGGAACGGCTGGAGCAGGACGGGGCAGAGCGACGACCATGGCTCTGACGGCAAGAGCGGGTACTGAGCTGTCGACAGCATTGTCGGTACGGAGATTTGAGATCTTGTCGAAGGTTGGGCAGAGGATGCTCTCGGGAGCCTTGTTGACAAAAGGGCCCAGACACTTGATGGCCATGTTTTGTACGTCGCCATTTTGGTCGTTGAGAGTATGTAGAAGGCCTTCGACAACGCGTGCGCAGCAGCTGTAGTCGTGTGAGATAAAAGTAGGGTGGCCAATGGTGAGCATTTGGTTCAAGTCGTTCAACGACATGTAACGAATATCCGGATCGACATCTTGCAGCTTAGGCAGTAGCGAAGCGACATGGTGAGCGGTCGGATTGACAGGAATGGCAGGAGCCGTTGTTGCGGCCATTATGGTGGTTGATTGATGGTACTGCGAGAGATGGCGAAGCTAGGGTGCTGGTAGTGGGGGAGGAAGATTAATAAAGCTCTCTCATACAGAGATATGGTTGTGGGTGGTGTAGGAAACCAGAGTGGTGAGACTGCAGAGGAGAATGAGATGTGTACAGGCAGCAGAGAAATGAATCGTCTTGATTCACTTTGCAATCTTGGGCAAGAGCGTGTTTGATGTCTCGTGCTGGCCGTCTGATGCCTGGGCTTCTTAGGCGACAAAGCGTCTGTGCACAGTCGTAGCTGCCCTTTTCGGATGACGGATCGAAGAGGCTCTTGCTCATCGGAAAGTTATGACGCTTTTAGCTCGACAGCTCTTGCCAAGCAAATCACCCGACGGCAGCACTTTCGTTCTCTCGCTCCAAGCGCGTCACACTTGGTCAATTGATCGAATACCACACACTCGACGTCTCAACCCTCGAATACACACACAATGGTTCTCCCTCGATCTGCCATGCGCGGCTTCTCAGCTGCCCGTCTCTTCCGCTCTTCTGCCCGTCCTGCTGCTCGTGCTGTTGCCAGAAGAGGCTACGCCAGCGGCCACGGTCACTCGGCTCCCAGCAGCGACGTCCCATGGTAACCCTCACCATGCCTCTATCAATCCAATTGGCTCGCCATTGACAATCTACCCGTGCAGGNNATCCTCGGCTCTGCCGGTATCACCATTCCTGGTGCTTGGTACCTCTGGCCCGATTCATCCAACGGCGATGCTCACGGTCCCGGTGACGCCCACGCCAAGCACGTCGAGGAGCACCCCGAGGTCGAGCAGCCCGAGGAGGAGTCTGAGGACCAGCCCCAAGAAGAATCCAACGATGAGTCCAAGTCTGAGGCTCACGACCCCAAGGACGACGGCGAGTCCAAGGATGAGGGCGGTGCTCTGAAGGACGGTCAGGGCGAGAAGACCCAGGAGCAGCCTCAGGCCAACAACGAGCCCGCTGTCGGCGAGTCCAAGAGCAAGCCCACCACCGAGGGCAAGAACATGCCCGAGAGCAAGGGCAATGTTGAGGGTGTCCAGTTCAAGGGCAAGACCAACCAGGGCGACTCGGACAACGAGATGCCCGATGAGCGCAAGCGTGAGCCTGACGGCAAGGGTGGCTTCAAGAAGCGCATCGACTCTGGCTACGGCAAGAACCTCGGCGAGGGCCCTGAGCACAGAGATGATGGCTCCACTAGCGTATGTTATGCTGCTGTCACCTCGCTCCATGATGGTCAGAAACTGACATGAACATAGGCTGCCACTTCCAAGACCACCTCCACCGGCGGTCAGGGCGACATCTCTACCAAGCAGTCTGGTCTTTCTACAACACCTACCAGACACTCCACACGGTAAACAACCCCATGATACAGATACCACGACTTTTGTGGACATCATAACTTCCCAACGAGCAAAGTCGTGGTGTCTGTCCGTCCAACCGTCTGAGATCATGCTAATTGTACCTTTGCTGTAGCANTTGATTTGGATCCGGAGATGTCGAAGAAGGCAAGGCTAGCATCCTGCCGTCCTCTTGATGTAAATACTAACGACATTACAGNNGGTGAGGGTGCTCCTGACACCGCAAAGTCGCAAGGAACCATCTCCGTGAACCGTCCCACTCCCGAGCAGCAGAAGGACCAACCCAAGGGCGAGGAGAAGGATGATCAGCCTACCGCTGACAAGAAGAAGGATGGCGAGTAGAAAGCACGACAAAAGTGTTAGAATCGTCTCTTTCTCCGTGTCTCGAGTAATACTACCAACGAAGGTAACGAAAGCACCAAATTTGCGCAATTTTGTACATATGGATAAATGTAACATTACTGCCGATGGGCATGAGTCCACCTCGTTCGAAACGAAACGAAACGTTTGCTTAACGATCGCTGTAATCGCTGGTGAAGCCTCGGACAGGTTGGAAGCTGGAAAATGTGCTGAGCACGACAGGAACCGGCCACGATCCTGAAAATTGCACGCAAGCTATTCTTGACTGTAATCGTAGGGTTCCTAGACTTCTCTGGTGGCTTTTGATGGGTGTTCAGTCGAGCTCTCTGCTAAGTCCTGGAACAATGGCCCACTTGGCGATAACTTTGTCCTCTCCTTTCGAAGTGAGATATAGATGTCGTAAGCTACTGATGAGAATGTGAATAAACCTTCTGAGCACATGGATTTGGTCTACATATTTACGGCCACATGGCTTTCGAGGAAGACTAGAGGCTGTCCGAAAGCGCTGCGAAAACGGTAGAGTCGAGATGTCGAGCATACAACCCTGGTCAAAACTTTACCTCTCGACAACACGACGGCACGTACCTCTTATGCTCACAGTATAGGTCTCACGCGCTTTCTCCGACGTAGAGAAGTAATTTACAGTATCATGATTGAGCCTTTGGGGTAAATTTTCAAAATTAACAGACAAGACCCAAGATCCAAATTTTGAATCTACGCTCCATCGAACCGGCCGCAGAGCATTGTCAATTTTGAAAACCACAGAGGGAACAGAAGGTAGCAAGATCAGATCCAAAAGTAAAAATATCCAAGAAGATGATGTAGAAAGATGTCACCACTCGACGCTCTCGAATCCAATGATCCTACCGGCAACGAAATCTTCCAAAGTCCACCACTGCTCTTCGCCTTCAACAGCCGTAGCCACCCACGCCCAAGCAGTGATATCATGACGCTTCCCCTTGGTATCCTCAACCTGCGCAGTAGCCTTTCTCATCTTGATCTCTGCCTTGCAATGAACAGCAAAAAACTCCCCAATCTTCTCCACAACTCCAGCGTCCTCAGGGAAATAGAGCAGCCCTTGCACCTGATGATAAGTCGAAAATGCCGTAGACTCGACCAGTGAGGGCAGCAGATTTTCGGCGTCCAGGTATGTTGTGTGGTCGAGTAGGATGGCGGGAGTGAGACGGCATACAACTTCTGATGTGCGCAGGTTGAGGAGGGTGGAGAGTGTGCAGGGCAGTTGAAGCATACTGTGCAAGAAAATCGGGACGAAGGAGTGCAAGGTTGAAAGGGTAAAGTGGTTTGTTAGTGCGAGGTGGGAGGAGAAGGGGAGATAAGTTGATGTTAGTGTGTTTGGGGTTGGTAGAGGTATGGGAGGTTCTGTGTGAGTTGTTGGTGTCTCTGGGGTGGATGGAGACCGAGGGTCTGTGGCGTTGGACCAGAAAGAGGTGTCTTGATCTTGTGATGACTCGGCAGAACTGTTTGATGACCAGTTGTTTTCGCCTTCATCATCTTCGTTATCTTGTAGAGTTGTTGGCGAGCTTGCTTCTTCATGGATGTTTTCGGGGCTGTCTTCCTGCACCTCTTCGTATGCTGATAACATGTCCTCCTGAATATTGGTATTGATCAGAGTCTTGTCGTGTGCAAAAGTGCCGGAAAATTCACGAGGAAAGGCCGAGTAGAGATGTCCACAGGCAGATCTTGATCTATTGCTCGAAAGTGTAGCATGTTCCTGTAATTGCTCTAGAGCTGCTGGAACACATGCCAGACTTTGTCGGTCATCGAGATCACCCAAAGACTTGCTTCTGTGTGGTCATACAGTTATGAATAGTCCCAGCCCAATATCCAGGAAAAACACCTACCTTGGTCTTGCCAGATGTGGGCGTAGGACATCGAGAAACTTGTCTTCCATATCTGGAGCGCAGGCCGCCATGCTCTGCATGTCTTGTGAGTCTGGATAAGTTGAGTTACAAAACTTGTTCGTGGGCAAGTAGATGATAGACATGAAAGGAGAATTTCTTCTTTGGAAAGGATATGATGGTCCAGTCTTTGTAGCTGGTGGATACCGATGTAGAGTAAAAGAAGACCTACCATGGAGCGGCGTTTCCTTGTGATGGCAAGGATATTGATGCAGAGGGAACGAGTTGACAAGATGATGCTTCTGGTCTTGATCAAGGGTACATCAAGCTGAGACGTTCCTTGGATTGATGGATGTTGATATATAGAAGGACCACAGCCGTCTTAAGCTCGCGTGTTTCTTGGTGCTCGTGGATGTCGATGTAAAGTAAAAAGTCCAGAGAGCAGACCCACCGTCATAACCTACTGCTATTGGTCTCTTCCATGTTTGCTTTCAGAGTGTGAAAGCGGAAGCTGAAAGTATCATTCGGCTAAAAGACGTCGTTGAGATGCAGCAGAGAGTGAGCTCAGGTCTGTTCAATCTTCTTGAAAACGCAGCTGGCAAAGGCAAGTCGAGTGTTCGCCGCAATCGTCGAGATGCACCTGCCAGTAACGGCATTTCCCACTGGTTGGCTCGGGAGAGTGATTGGTAGAGCACATGAAGGCCAGCCTTTCAACCTGAAGCACATGACGGTGAAGAACGAAAGCGTTGTCTCAGCACGTTCTCTTGATGCAGTTTACAAGCACTCATCACAGGTGGCAAGCCACATCCCACAAGAAGCTGTGTCTCGAAACATGTTTTTATCGTAGGCAGCAGGAGGCTTGTTCTGTGCAACGTGAACGCGTGAGCATGGTGATAGTCAAGACATGAACCAGTCCATCAGGTTCCATCGGATTCTTTTTCGGTGGCGTAGATGAGTAGGTAATCATTGTCGTATGAGTGAGAGGTGGAGCGTCGGCCAAGTGGCATTTCAGACTTGCAACGGAGTTGAATTCACCGAGGCTTGGCACGAGCTCTCTCGCAGCGTCATTGCCTCACATCCAGCACCTCAAGACAAGTCTCTCACTCACTCGCCATCTCCTCCCAATCATCACATAACACTTTGTCCATCAACTCTACCACCTTTCCCTTGTTCAGATCTTGAACTCCTCCACCTCATCTACACATACACCGCAACAAGATCAACCGCCATCATGTCTGGGGAGCCGGATCACGTCGAGACCAAGCACAAGGTCAAGCTTGAACAGTACGATCTTCCCACGCCTCATCTTGCATGTCACGCGCATACTGACTTGTCTCTGTAGTGACCCCTCTGGCGCTGAGCAAAAGCACGTAAGTCACCGAAACAGCACCACCTACCATCAACGAACCACAACTGACTTGCCCCCTCAGGTCGAGAACGACGTATCAACGGCTATCCTCAAGAAGAAGAAGAAGCCCAACTCATTGATGTAGGCGCCGCCATTATTACACATTGCCACACTCTTACTGACCGACCATCAGTGTCACTGACGCCACCAACGATGACAACTCCATCATCGCCCTCTCCAACAACACCATGGAGACTCTCCAGCTCTTCCGTGGCGACACCGTCCTGGTCAAGGGAAAGAAGCGCAAGGACACCGTCTTGATCGTTCTCGCCGACGACGATCTCGAGGATGGTCAAGCCCGCATCAACCGTGTTGTCCGCCACAACCTCCGTGTCAAGCATGGCGACATCATCACCGTCCACCCTTGCCCTGACATCAAATACGTGAGTCGGCTGAGGTCTTTTCTATCTTGTTTCAATACTGACACCCACAACAGGCCAAGCGTATCGCAGTCCTTCCCATCGCCGACACAATCGAGGGTATTACCGGCTCCCTCTTCGACGTTTACCTCGCTCCCTACTTCCGCGAGGCATACAGACCCGTTCGCCAAGGCGACCTCTTCACATGCAGAGGTGGTATGAGACAAGTCGAGTTCAAGGTCGTCGAGGTGGATCCCCCAGAGTTTGGCATTGTCGCACAAGACACTGTCATTCACTGCGAAGGTGAGCCCATCCAGCGCGAGGACGAGGAGGGTAACCTCAACGAGGTCGGCTACGACGACATTGGTGGTGTTCGCAAGCAAATGGCTCAAGTCCGTGAGCTTGTTGAGCTGCCTTTGAGACATCCCCAACTCTTCAAGTCGATCGGTATCAAGCCTCCTCGTGGTATCCTCATGTACGGTCCTCCCGGTACCGGTAAGACTCTGATGGCCAGAGCTGTTGCCAACGAGACCGGTGCATTCTTCTTCCTTATCAACGGTCCCGAAATCATGTCCAAGATGGCTGGTGAATCCGAGTCCAACCTGCGCAAGGCATTCGAGGAGGCTGAGAAGAACTCGCCCGCCATCATCTTCATCGACGAGATCGACTCCATCGCTCCCAAGCGTGACAAGACCAACGGTGAAGTCGAGCGCCGTGTCGTTTCACAACTCCTTACCCTCATGGACGGTATGAAGGCTCGCTCCAACATTGTCGTCATGGCCGCCACCAACCGTCCCAACTCGATCGACCCTGCTCTTCGTCGTTTCGGCCGTTTCGACCGTGAAGTTGACATTGGCATTCCCGACCCTACCGGCCGCTTGGAGATTCTCCAGATCCACACCAAGAACATGAAGCTCGGTGACGATGTCGATCTCGAGAGCATCGCTGCTGAGACTCACGGTTACGTCGGTTCCGATATCGCAGCTCTTTGCTCTGAGGCTGCCATGCAACAGATTCGTGAAAAGATGGACTTGATCGACTTGGACGAGGACACAATCGACGCCGAGGTTCTCGACTCGCTGGGTGTTACCATGGAGAACTTCAGATTCGCTCTTGGTGTTTCCAACCCCTCGGCCCTTCGCGAGGTTGCTGTCGTCGAGGTTCCCAACGTTCGCTGGGAGGACATTGGTGGTCTCGAGGAGGTCAAGCGCGAGCTCATCGAGTCCGTCCAGTACCCCGTCGACCACCCCGAGAAGTTCCTCAAGTTTGGTCTGTCACCATCAAAGGGTGTTCTTTTCTACGGACCCCCTGGTACTGGTAAGACTCTTCTTGCCAAGGCCGTCGCCAACGAGTGTGCTGCCAACTTCATCTCCGTCAAGGGTCCCGAACTTCTCTCCATGTGGTTCGGTGAGTCTGAGAGCAACATTCGTGACATCTTCGACAAGGCTCGTGCTGCTGCACCTTGTGTTGTCTTCCTTGACGAGCTGGATTCTATTGCCAAGTCTCGTGGTGGCTCAGGTGCTGGCGGTGATGCTGGTGGTGCTTCCGACCGTGTCGTCAACCAGCTTCTGACTGAGATGGATGGTATGACCTCGAAGAAGAACGTCTTCGTTATCGGTGCTACCAACCGTCCCGAGCAGCTCGACAACGCTCTCTGCCGTCCTGGACGTCTCGACACTCTCGTCTACGTCCCCTTCCCGACGAGTCATCTCGTGAGGGTATCCTTAGAGCCCAGCTCCGCAAGACCCCCGTCGCTCCTGATGTTGATATCGCCTACATCGCTTCCAAGACCAACGGTTTCTCCGGTGCCGATCTTGGTTTCATCACCCAGCGTGCCGTCAAGCTCGCCATCAAGGAGGCCATCTCAACCGACATTGAGCGTACCAAGGCTCGTGAGGCTGCTGGTGAGGATGCTATGGAGGAGGATGCCGAGGACCCCGTCCCCGAGCTCACCCGTGCTCACTTCGAGGAGGCCATGCAGAGCGCCCGTAGGTCCGTCACCGATGTCGAGATCAGAAGATACGAGAGCTTCGCTCAGCAGATGAAGCAGTCAAGCGGCAGCAACTTCTTCCGCTTCCCTGACGCTACCACTGGTGGCGAGAACGGTGGTCAGGACAACTTTGGCGAGGCCGGTGGTGATGACGACCTCTACAACTAAAGGGGTCGAGAGCAAGGTATATCATGGCAAATGCACTCTGATAGAAGCGAAGGAAGTTTTAAGGGGGAGTTTTTCTTAATGGAAGCCGCGATGGCACCACTTACTGATGAATTGACGGCGTGAAATGGCTTGTCTTTTTTCTAGCTATTTATCTAGTTCACGCGGGAATGTACTTCTGAACAACGAAATATTGCATGTTGTTTGTGAGATGTTCTACTGTACTAGTGTGTAGTAATTGAATAAAAACGTGGTATCATTGATGAGTAACCTCCAAACGCTGTCCAATTGCGGCGTCAGTCGAGGGCTCCTTTGTCGGTTGGTATGAGTTCAGCTTACCCAGTGGGTTCAAGCGAAGAAAAGAAAAGAAGTAGAAATTGGATGCTCAAGCAGTGTCGACTTGACAAATCTTGTCCAATTCCTTCTTGACAACCTTGACGGCCTGAGTGATGGCTTGATCGGGAATAGCCAGAGAAGGATGAGTGGAGTCTTTGGCGCCACTCGGATCTGCCAGGGCTTCTTCGAGAATGCGGTCCATCAAGTCGTCGTACTTTGTGCATTCACCAGAGCGCATGAGCTGGGTAACGTGGTTCTTGAGATTGGTTGCCCAGCCTGAAGCCTGTAGTTCGTGGAGGATGGCAGTCTGGATGGTGGCTATGGAACCGTGGTCGACGAGGGCAGTTGTGAGTTGTGTTTGAGTTGCTGGTTGGGTGGAGAAGCTGGTCGACTCGTTGACGGCGAGTTTTTGTGACATGTTGATGTTTTATGGTTTTGATATCTCAGTTGAGTTTGAGGTGTTGATGGGGAAGTTCTTGGACGTGCGGAGTGCTAGGGCAAGAGGTCGGGGTTGTCCAAGCTTGGCGCGTGTGCTTTCGGGCTATCCTGACGACGACAGGCTCAAGAGGGGGAAGACGGCACCAGTCTGCTCTCTCTACACTTTCACAGTCGCTCCCGCCTGGTATACCTCGCTACCTCAGTCAAGCCCCTCAGGCAGGCCTTACTCAGCCGCCACGTTTTATCGCAAACGGTTCTGCTCCGGTTAGCGCCGCCTCCACGCCAGGGCGCGCGCAGTGGAATGCCAATGGCCGCCTACAAGACGACGCAATACCACCATGATTCAGACCCCGAAGACGACTATCTACACCCCACATATCACTCGCCCACTCTGCCGCGCTCCCGACTGCACGACGACGATCTTGACGACGACGACGACGACATGACGACCAGTGCTGAGCACACGCCCACCACCTTCAGCCACTCGCTATCGCATTCTCTCAACTCGAGCCCGACAGGCCTCATCACACAATGGACCGCTGATCAGGTTGCCGATTGGGTCGCTGCTCTGGGGCTGACCCAGTATGCCGACGCCTTTGTCGACGAGGCCATTACCGGTTTGGCGCTCGTCGAGATGCAGCACCACGACTTCAAGGAGATGGGCATCATGAGTGTGGGCCACCGCTTGTCTCTGCTCAGAGGTGTATACGACATCAAGATCAAGCAAAACATTCCCCTGGACCCGGATCATTATGTACCCNTTGTGTCAGTTGCAGCTCATCCTGAACCTCCTTGACATGACTAACAACAACGCGCAGCTGCTGGAGACAATGCCCTGGACATGACAGCTACACAGGACGATATTGCCCGCATCATTGAATCGATCCGTCTACGCGATTCACGCATTCTATCAGCCGAGATTGAGCTCCGAACCCTGCGTGATCAATTCGAGCGCATATCAGAAGAAAACAGAAAGCTGCGCGAGGATACTCTGCCCGTCATTCGCATGGTCAAAGACCGTTCCCAGCTACCTCCCACTCCGGCAGACGGACTCGGTACACCCCCAGCAGACATCAAGATCGAAAAGATGGCCAGTGGCTTGTCACGCAAGTTCTCCACCAAGAAGCTCTTCCTTGGAGGTGCTCCCAAGAATCCTTCGCCTACCATTCACGAATCTTCAACTCTCGATCCCTCCGCTGCTGCAATGGCTGCCACATCTCACTTGAACCCCTCGCATCCTCAAAATTCGCCCAACCAACTATCACAACCATCTCCTACATCTCCTGCATATACTTCCTCGGCCCAAGCCATGTCCGCCGGCAACCGCTCCTTCCCGCGTGACGTTCCGCCATCAGCTCGCCCTTCTTATATCGAGGACCCGCGTCAATCGCATGTGTCTCACGCACCATCTACAATAGCACCCTCAAGCCGCCGAACAGCAGCAACACCGGTACCCCCACAGGAGGAACCTCCAAACAGCGCCCCACTTCCAAGATCTGCTCGCGAGAAAGACAATCCACAAGTCGAGATCTTCAAATCATTCCGGGTAAGTATTGAAGATCCATGCCACAAGGTCCTACCTGTAGCCCTACAGCGATACAACATCAACGATGACTGGCGCCAATACTCCCTCTACATTGTCTATGGCGATCAGGAACGCTGCCTAGGCTTGGAAGAAAAACCACTCATGCTGTTTAAACAGCTCGAACGCGAGGGCGGCAAACCCATGTTTATGCTTCGCAAACACGCCGCTCCCGTTGGCGAAGGCTGGTCTGCAAACCGCACAGTCCCTGCTTCAGAGATGCAAAACCTAGGTCCTAGCAGAGAGAGCGTAAGGAGGGAGAATGCAGACAACGGCCGAGCGTTGCCTGGGGGTGTACTCTAGGCGAGTACACCTCTTTCTAGGTTAATGCAGGATCTCGTCGGGTTTCATCATGGCGGTGCTAAAGTTGCGGGCAGAAAGTTGTGGTACTATCCTGCTCAGCAGATTTCTGATCATGCGCTGGAGCATGGCGTGGAAATTGATCTGGATGACTTGACTGGTGTTGGAAGAAGGCACAAGAGACAGACAAGGCTTTGTGAGAGAAGAGGAGTACTTGGATTGAAGGTCTGGATCCCGAGATGAGCGTTGATTTGAGATCTTGTCTCTCTGACGGCTTTGAGCATGCATGGTCTTTTTCTTGGATATAGAGACTCAATCGTGCAGTCGAGAGCAGTTCTGATGATCTTTTCTAAATCTTACACTATTTGGCTCGTGAAGAGTTTCTGTACTATCCAATGGTTCCGATCGTCTCGAGCACCTTAACACGCTTACCGTGTCTTTTCAATGTAAAAACGTACAGAACCCACTGTCGTGGCTTTCTCACTTTATTGCCCTAGATCATCAAGAAGACATAAATATCATTCATGAACCCTCTCCCACCCTGCCTCTTTGGGACAAATAAGTGAGAAAGCTTGTTGTTCGATAAGCAACCACATTTCGCGGAAGTTCACACGCGGAAGTTGACCGCACGAAACCTCCATCTTGACGAGCCGCATTTGCGCTTGCGATAACCTGCCCACAGGCATAAGATATGACAAACCAGCGACAGAGGAGTCCGCGGGCACCCGTCTACCGCGTGCAGCACTTGTCGTTGCCGCGTGATGGCCCCGCTTCATTTGGCGGTCGCGCCCCGGATTGGTAGCTCTATGCGAAGACATCTTATCAGCCCTCCGGCTGTACCTGTCGAATCGGGTATAGCGTAGTTTCTCACTGGACCACTGCTGACAACTGCAATGGATATAAGTAGAGGCGTCCTTCGCTGGTAAGATCCTGCTTCTCTGTCTCATACCTTGTTTGTTGTCTACTCTTGCCAGTCATGGCTCCTTCTCATCCTCTTTCCATCCTTTCCATCGAGGAGACCAATCTCGCCAGAGAGATTGTGCTTGCTCACCACGACAAGGAGGTTATTGATTTTAGAGAAATCTTTCTTCAGGAGCCTACCAAGGCGGAGTTGATCAAGTATCTGCAGCTTGAGCATTCTGGTCGCTTGTCTCCTACTTCTGCTCGTCCGGCTCGTCTTGCAAAGTGCCAGTACGATGTCATTGGCCGGGACAGAATTCCTTCTTACCATGAGTGTGTGGTGGATATTGGATCGAAGCAGAGAATCAAGCATGAGGTTATTGGTAAGGAACATCAAGCTGCATTGACGCTGTAAGTGGTACATTCTGAATATTTTGAACGTCAGCCCTGACCTCTTGAACAGCNNAAGGAATTCGAGGTTCTGGTGAGCGTCTGCAAGGCTGATCCAAAGTTCAAGCAAGCCATTGCTGAACTGAACATTCCCGACTACTACGAAATTGTCGTCGAGCCTTGGCCTTATGGTGGTCTTGACGAAGAAGACGAGAGCCGTCGCTACTTCCAAGGCCTCATATTCGCTCAAGACACACGCAACGGCAATGCCGACTCCAACTTTTACGCCTTCCCCCTCCCCCNNCTAATCCCTGTTCTGGACATCCACAAGAAGCAAATCTGCCGTATCGACAAACTGGCTACTGGCGGCAAGAACGACAGCTTCACCGCAAAAACTCACGCCGAAAAGATTCTAGAGCACTGCACTACTGCCGAATATGTGCCAGAGCTTTTACCCCAAGGATTGCGTCAAGATCTCAAGACGCTGAATGTCTTGCAGCCTGATGGGCCCTCGTTCAAGGTTACTGATGAGTCTTTGGTTGAGTGGCAGAAATGGCGGTTCCGCGTGAGCTTCAACCCCAGAGAAGGCGCTGTCATTCATGATGTCCATTATGATGGCAGAAGTGTTGCTTACCGTCTCTCCGTCAGCGAAATGACTGTTCCGTACGCTGATGCCCGGCCACCTTTCCAACGCAAACAAGCCTTTGACTTTGGCGACGGTGGAGCTGGAAATTGCGCCAACAACTTGTCTCTGGGCTGTGATTGCTTGGGAGTCATCAAATACTTTGATGCCGTGATTGTCGACGACGACGGCAAGGGAAAAGTTCACCCCAATGTTATTTGCCTGCATGAGCAAGATGAAGGCATTGGTTGGAAACACACAAACTGGCGTACTGGCCGTGCAGTGGTCACCCGCAGCAGAGTGCTGGTCGTTCAATTCATCATCACCCTCGCCAACTACGAATATGTCTTTGCCTACAAATTCGACCAGTCCGGAGGCATAGATATCGAGACCAGAGCTACGGGAATCGTCTCTTGCGTCAATATTGACGCCGGCAAAACCAGCAACTATGGTAATGTCGTCAACCCCGGCGTCCTCGCGCAAAACCATCAACACATTTTTGCTTTCCGCATCGATCCCGCCATCGACGGGCACGCCAACACAGTCATCACCGAAGAATCACACCCGGTACCCATGAACCCAAAAACCAACCCCCGCGGAAACTACTACGAAGTCCGCAAGACACCGGTCGAAAAGGCGTGCTGGGCGGATGCCGAACCCCGTCTCAACCGCGTCTTCAAAATCGTAAACGAGAGCATCAAAAACCCCGTATCTGGAAACTCTGTGGGCTACAAATTGGTGCCGCCGGCTACACAGTTGTTGCTCGCAGACCCTGCTTCCGTGCAAGCCCAACGCGCGCAGTTTGCTCAACATCACGTGTGGGTGACCAAATACAAAGAGGACGAATTGTTTGCTGGCGGCCGCTTTACCATGCAAAGCCGCAAAGAGGTTGATGGAGTGGCAGATGCAGTTGCCCGTGGCGATGCGACCAGAGACACTGATGTAGTGATCTGGAGTGTATTTGGACTTACCCACAACCCTCGCGTCGAAGATTGGCCAGTCATGCCCTGCGAAATCCATCAGGTGCATTTGCGACCTACGGATTTCTTTACGGCTAATCCCAGTATCGATGTGCCGCCGAGCAGCAACAAGGCTTCGGTCGAGGTGCCAAAGAGCTGTTGTCAACCTGCACAGGGAAAGCTGTGAAGCAGAGGATGGAGAGAGAAAGAGAGAGAGGGAGAGAGTGAGGTAGAAGCCTCTCAGGACGAACTGTTGACGACCTTTTTGACAAAAAACGGGGATGCAAGTCTCCTCTGAAACGGAAAAGAAATAACGACTTTAGAATATGGCATGCAAGTCTCCCTCGCAACGACTTTAGATACCTATTGTTTTTTTGTTTTTTTTGGCACATTTTTACGTATGCAAACTGTTTCGGAACAAGTCTCTTTGTGCAACAAATGGTTGTGATTGTCATGAACTACATATACCCCCGCCAAGGCTATTCGTAGATGCCTTGTTCAAACTTGTCGGCGTTGAAGAAGGTGCTCTGGACTATGCGGCCATTACCCAAGAAGTCCGTGCCGTCGCTTGCTTTGATGGCCNNTGTGATATCGTCAGTAAAAGTATCGTTCATGATAGTCGCACGACTTACGTTGAAAGCACTCAGAGCGCTTGTAAACTTGACGAATACTATCCCAGTAGCACGATCGATAAACACGCGCTCCGAGCGACCGTAATCTTCCAGTTTCTCGCCAATCTTTTGCATCAAATTATCCTCTTCGATAGCTCGGTCGACATCCATGTCTTTGAGCATGCCCTCGAATTTAGCAACCAGACTGAAGGCTTTGCTTTCATCGATTGGTGCATCGGTTTTGGTCTTCTTGCCTCCGACAATACGGCCCATGGCAGCGGGTTGTGCCCAACCGCCACCTTCAGCATCGCCCTTGCGTTTCCGTTTCGTGGCCTCATGACGGAGGATGGTCGTAATACCAGTGGCCTCCTTTCCAAGACCCTCGCCCTTCTTCCAACCCATCTTCTCCATGTAGCGTTGTGCAAAGCCTTTTTGTCCGGGTGCAGATTTTCGTACTTCCGGTTCGAGTGCTTGTGATGTGTCCATGTTGGTTGACTCATGCACATTTTCCGTATCGTCTTGTGTCTGAGCGGCTTGTCCATAGCGTACAGGCTCGCGTGAGATGGTTCCTGATGGTTGCGATGGAGCAGGTTGAGCTGTGACAGGCGAGGGCGCAGAATGGAATGGCTGAGCAGGTGGTGGAGGTGGTACAAAGTGAGGCGGTGGAGGAGGGTAGTGTTGTAGACCAGGAAGAGCAGGAGCGGCGGAGGATTGTGGAGGCGGAGGTGGGGGTGGGTATTGTTCGAAAGATGGAGGTTGAGGCGGATAGGCTGCAGGCACAGGAGCAGATGGAGTTTGTGGAGGAGCGAAGGCAGGTTGAGAAGTGACAGGTGGATTGACGGGCTCGGTGAGTTCTTGCGGAGGTGGCATGTTCTTGTAAGAGACATCTGCTGCAAGTCTAGGCTCATCCTTTGCTGGTGGAGGAGTTCCAGGACGCTTGAAGGAGTGGAGCGTCTCCTTCCACTGGTAGCGGGCATTGAACTTGGAGTCCGAGTGCTTCCATGCATCTAGACGTAGCTTGGTGCGAGTCTTGGTAAAGGCATCCTGAACGTTGTATGGGGCAGACCAGTCGATGTCCTCGATCTGCAATGATGCCTTCTTTGATCTTTTGCTCTTGCGCTCCTCCTTTAGACGAGCCTTTTGTTCTTCCTGAAACTTGTGGTATTCGTTGACGACATCAAAGTCTTGCTGCTGCGACTCGTTCCATTTCTGGACAATGGGGCCTGTTGCGACAGGTGCAGCAGGCAGCGGAGGAGGTTTCGTCACAAGAGTGGGATTCGAGTTTGGCCGGGGCTTTTGCTTCTGGACAGGCTGGGGGCGTTTGATGGCTGGTTGGAAACGAAGAGAGGCTGCGTCGAGTTGGGGATCAGCTCGCCTTTATAGTATTGAGCTGCTTCAGGTACCATCGGGTGTTTTTNNCTTTTCCACGGCGGCCGGAGCCTCGTCTTCCTTCTTGAACGAGTACTTGACGGGCGCGCCAGAGATTGTGGCAGCAGGTGCAGCGGCTGCTGGATCCAGCAAGTTTGCGTATAGTGATGGCGGCATTCTGATGGTGTTTGATGGCTTGAATAGCGAGACTCGGCGGCCTTCGATGTCGCTGGCCGAAGCAACAACCACCGCAGCCTTCACCTTGACGTGCCAAGACCGGCATCTCTAAATTGCGGGAGCGGGGAAAGCTCGGGTCTGTTGATGTCACCATCACCTCGACCATCCGATTACCCGCCGCAACTGACATCTCCGTACATTATCACTTTCTTATCGCTCCTTCCTTTTTCTGTGTCCACCGTCTATATACTCATTGTCTTGCCCCAGCCTTTCCAGTAGACACAATTAAACGAGAAATCCACCATAATGACGACCCTCACCAACGCTTTCTCACATTCGTCCCATGACACGGCCATCATCGTGCCTGGAAAGCAGCCCTTGACTGTGTCGTACGAGCAACTCACAGCCGACATTCTCTCCTTCCAACTGAAGCTCGCCAAATTGGGCATCACTCCTGGCTCGGCCGTCTCCATTGCTCTTCCCAACACATACCCATTCATTGTCGCTTTCCTGGCAAGCGCCTGGCAGCGTGCTATTGCCGCCCCTCTCAACCCTGCATACAAGCAATCCGAGTTTGAATTCTACATTGACGACCTGAAGTCTGCTCTTGTCTTGGTGCCCGAAGGTTTGGCAGATGGTCCTGCTGTCAAGGCTGCCACCAAGTACAATGCTGCCGTTGCTGAATGCTACTGGAATGGAAAAGAGGTTGTGCTGGATATCAAGAATGAGGGCAAGCTGAAGGGCAAGGGAAACAAGTCTATCGAGTATGCTCAACCCGACGACGTCGCTCTTGTTCTGCACACTAGTGGTACCACTGGCCGTCCCAAAGCCGTCCCTCTTTCGCACAAGAACCTCACACGCACAATGTCCAACATCAAGGCAACTTATGAGTTGACCAAGGCCGATCGTACCATGCTGGTCATGCCCCTTTTCCACGTCCACGGTCTCCTCGCAGGCTTCCTGGCTCCTTTACTGTCTGGCGGTTCCGTCGTTGTGCCAGCCAAATTCTCGGCCTCAGACTTCTGGCGTGACTTCCAGACACATGAGGCAAACTGGTACACTGCTGTGCCTACCATCCACCAAATCCTGCTCAAGAGCCCAACTCCTTCTCCCCTACCAAATATTCGCTTCATTCGTTCCTGCTCTTCACCTCTGTCTCCCAAGGTCTTCCATGAGCTCGAAAAGACCTTCAAGGCTCCGGTTCTCGAGGCCTACGCCATGACTGAAGCTGCTCACCAAATGACTTCCAACCCCCTGCCTCACAAGGGCAAGCGCCAACCAGGCTCAGTTGGTGTTGGCCAGGGTGTCGAAGTCAAGATCTTGGATCAGTCAGGAAAGGAGGTTCCTCAGGGCTCTGAAGCCGAGATTTGCATTCGTGGTGAGAACGTTACTACCGGCTACCTCAATAACCCTGAGGCAAACAAGACCTCTTTTACTGCCGAAGGCTTCTTCCGCACTGGTGACCAGGGCAAGCAAGATGCCGATGGCTACGTAATCATTACAGGCAGAATCAAGGAGCTCATCAACAAGGGTGGTGAAAAGATTAGTCCCATCGAACTGGACAATGTCATGGCACAACATCCTGCTGTCTCCGAAGCTGTCAGTTTCGCCATTGCAGATGACATGTACGGTCAAGACGTCGGTGTTGCCATCGTCCTCAAGGACAACCAGAAACTCGAGCCTGCAGACCTCAAGTCATGGATGGCTGAGCGCGTTGCAAAGTTCAAGTTGCCCAAGAAGATCTTCTTTACCGATGTCATGCCCAAGACTGCTACGGGCAAGATCCAGAGGCGTATGGTTGCGGAAGCTATGCTCAAGCAAGAGTCTCCCAAGGCCAAGCTGTAGAATCTCCTCGGATCGAATTTCTCTATATCATGTATATCTTTGTCACGAATCTGATAGACAAACATACCTCATATGTTGTTTCCTCGATTAGAAACATGTTTTGTGCAGTCTGAGTAATCTCCGGGCCACCCTACTTTCTAAACGCAACGAGGCGTCGGCGTGGAAGAGTCAGGGCAGGCACGGTGTTGTGGCGTGCACAAAACCTGAAGATAACGTCAAAACTAGTTGGATGCCACACTTATGCCTGGACGGAGCTTCGAGTTTTCTAGCGTACGTATGGTTATCGTGTTGCCTGTCGCTGCCAGTCTCGTGTCCTAGAAAAACCTCGATCTGATGAGCAGAGGTTGAGAAGCAAGAAATGCGATGCCAGGGTCGCACTCAAGACTCCAAGTCTTGGCAGTCTCTCCGGCATTCTCCCGCCGACCTCACCTTCCTCGGTTCTGTCAAGTCACTGATTGATATCGCTGTATGCATGCAAACCGGTCTTGGAATATGACGAACCGTCTGGTAACTCGATGTGGTATCGCATCATCGTCATATCTCGGTCTCGTGTGTAGGCCTTGTTCGAGAAGGAAACTCATCGTTTCGGGTGACTCTAGCTTGCATGTCTGGTTTGATATCCGTCTGATGGAACACCGCTAAAAGCGCAATGCAGGAGAAAGGATCAGAGAAGTTTTCATGGAAGGAGACCAACGGGAATCACAGGAACGACGGAGAGCAAGAATTCAGATGAACACAGTATCTCAGGTCGGGTAGGCATGGTAGTGAAGCTCATGTGGTCATCATATGATTGGGATGTTCAGATTGACAGGTGAGAGGTCCGCTAATGACGATTTACAAGTTGATGTTTGACCAAAATCTGGTGCCTTTCTCCGCTAGGCTGCGATCATATCGGAAGGCCATACAGGACACAGGCATTTTCTCCGAGGCAACGACTATTCACAGGTAGGCATTTTTGACGATGTGATGTGAATGCTGATGCTAGCCAGGATCGGTATGTTGGGCCATGCCTATTCAGATCCATCACAACGGAATCAGGAGAAATAGGAGGTTTCGACCGTAGACACATCTATGCTGGAGCTAACCAAGTCAAGCATGTTTCGGAATCGACTCTGGGATCAGCATAAGGAGCCTTGTATGATCTTCGCACATCAATTTGTGTCAGGTCGAACGCGTGGTGCGTTAGTGTGCAACATGAAACCCTCGCCCCACATTTAACCTCGACCACGACCAACAAATATTCGGATCAACAATTCATACATACAAAAGGCAGTCTTCTCTGCGCTGAGGACGATTCAAACACATCCTACATTCTTTTTTCACAACACTACACTCGCTCATTCTGAAAACCACATTTCTGTTCGCCTTTTGAAAAAAGCATCTATTCATTCCATCACAACATACCAAAATGCGTTACTCTACCGCTGCTGTTGCCCTTGCGCTTGCTGGCTGCTCAGAAGCTGCCGTACAGGCTTCCCGTCCAGATGCTGCAGCAGCTGATGCTCAGCCTCCTGTTGTCTATGTCACCAGTGTTGTCGAGCAGACCACTACCTGGTGTCCCGCCGGAGCCACAATCACTCACGCAAGCGGTACCACCGTTCTGACTGCTGCGACCATGATGACTCTTCCCGTCTCCAAGTCGGCTTCTGTTTCGACCCCAGCTGCTTCCATCTCGACCCCCGAGGCCGCTCCTGCTTCTTCAACCACCCAGGCTGCTTCCGTCTCGACCGTTCCCACTGCCGGCGCCTACGAGTCTGCTCCCGTCTCGTCTGCCGTGGCTGTCTCGCCCTCCTCCATGGCCACTGTCGTCTCAGTCTCCTCTGTCCCCGCCTCAAGCCCCGTCTCTCCCGAAGAGACCTCCAGCATTCCCCCCAGTCGCAGTCGCATCCAGCGCTGTCCCCGTCGCCTCCGTCGGCACCGCCATCCCCATCATCCCCGGAGCGGCCTACGCATCTTCCGCCCCTTACCCCATCTCCATGGCCACTGGCGCCGTCGGCTACGCTCAACCCTCTGGTGTTGCCGGCGCCGCTCAACCTTCCGGTCACGCTAGCTCTACTGGTTCGGCAGCCAAGCCTTCCTCTTCTGCTTACACTGGAGCCGCTTCTCGCAACTTTGCTGGTTTGACTGGTGTTCTTGGTGTTGTTGCTGCTTTGCTTGCTCTTGCATAGATTGCTTGAGTATGCATTTGTGTTTTATCTTTTTTTTGCAGCTTTTGGCCGTCTAGCTTCCTGGTGAAGCGCGTGTTTTTCTCTGTTTTCGTTTTCATGCCAAAATGATACCATTTGGGGACTGTGAGAGTGGTCCTTGTTTCTTCCTGTCCTGCTTGAGTATGGCTATTTTCCTTTCCCCCCCGCTTATCCTCTGCATCGTTATGTCGGTGTTCCAGTTGGAAATACGCAGCATTTATAGAAGTTTCATACGACCAGAATGTCCACCACATCAGACCTGAGGATCTTGCTGAGTGAAGGCCCTGTTGACCGCGGTCCTGGTATACACGTCCGAGCGATGATCCCTGTCCGCACAGGTTTTCCGTTTCCCGCTTCTGTATGAACAAGAGGATCCGTCTAGAGAGCTCTCCACTGCGGCACCCCAACCAGGAATATATCCAAAACCGATGCCGTGTGACCTGCAGATGGTGGGCAGTGTCTACAGAGCATCCATACTCGTTCTGGTACTCAGCGTCTCATTCTTGTTTCCCAGCTTACTGATCTGCAAAAANGCATCCACACCATATCCCTCCAAATTATGGACTTCAAGGCTGCCAGCCCAATACTCTGCAAAAATACGACTCATGGGCAGACCAATCCCCAACCGCAAATCAGGATGTCTTTCACTCAGCGAGCCTAGACTGTGATCAAAGCGGGTTTGCTTGGCGTCGTGTTTGGCGGACGAGTCTGCAGAAGGCACTTTGAGGTCTTGGAGTGTGGCTGCTAGTGCGGGAACTTTTTCGAGGTTGCGGAGGCGCCGGTTGCGTTCGGGGCCTTTGCTGAAGGACCAGAGGGCAGGGAGGTTTTGGCGTGAGATGCCGCCGCCTTGGTCAGAGACGCGGATGATGACGTGTTGAGCGGCTTCGCATATCAAGACTTCGATAGGAGGAGGTGTTGCGCCATGTCTTTCCACAGTCGCTTGGAAGGAGTTGCGTAGAAGCTCGCCAATAATGTATTCGAGGTGGCTGGGAATGTAGGGAAAGAAAATGTCTTCGGCACCTTCGATAATGACTTCAGGGAGGGCCACTTCCGAGCCATAAGCCTGTTTTGCAAGATTTGCTATCGTGTTTGCGCATTCTTGGACGATTTCTTTGGCGTTGCAGCGGAGGNNGAAGATTTCGCCTACAAAATCGTCACCGTGTTCTGGGTGCAGTTTCGCGGCGGGGGGAAGGTGATCTGGAGAGTGGAATGCTTTTGTCAATGCACAGTGTTGTTCCGCAATGACTCGTCGGCTGATTCTCGATCTTAGTAACGAGTTTACGAGTTTGTCGCATTGTTCGCTGGGTATTGCTTCGGAGATTTCGAGGACGCCCATGGCGAGTCGNGGGATGACGCTCAAGTGGTCTCTGAGTTGTTCTCGGACGACATCGCAGAATCTGTCGTTGTCGTCTAACGTGTTGATCTCAGGGACCTTCCGTAGCTTTTCAAAGGCAGCGTAGTATAGTTCGTAGACATGAGAAATATGCGGGTTGACGAGAGCTGCATATGGTAATGTTTGCATGTCGCGAAGTCGATGTGCAATCCTNTTTGAGAATTAGTTGTATGTAACGAGTGTTGGAAGAGGAACGAGATACCTAGTGGGCAGTTCGAGTCGGACATAGTTGGCTGATCCAAGTAATCGAGTGTCGGTAAGAAGTCGCCCGAAGAATGTGAGCTGGCGTAGACTGATGGGTCTCGCTTCTCGTTCTACCCANTCTATAAAAGCTTGTCAGCATGAAGATAGTAGAAGGTTAAGAATTTCTTACTTGTCCAAGACGGAAGCGGGCCGCCACGGAGGTGGACTTATGGAGATGCTTCTCCGTTTGGCCATCCATGTTGTGCGAGTCAAGGGACGTATAGACGATACAGCTCTGCACAGTAAAGGCTGAGTGGCCCTCATTCTGAAAGTGTGGTCAAACATCTTGTCGGGAACGACTGGCTACCAATCTATATATACAAGCGGTGCACTCTCATGAGAATGTGACGGGAAGCAGATACTAGTGGTCAGTTACAAGTCACGATGTAAATACGGCGACATCAGGTGAGTTGTGTGATTGGAGACAGATGCAGCTGCTGTCGAGTCGGGCCTCCTCCAGCGACGTTTTGGGCTTGGTCGAGGCTTTCGACAGCGACTCGACCCCGGGAAAACTGGACCCTGACTGACGTCTGCGAGTGGAGCTTGCGCCAAAGGCCTCCCAAAAATTTGTCTTCACTCTTTGTTTCCAATTGCAGTTTATCTCACACATTCAATCACATCAACATGGCCGACGATCAAGTACCAGTCCACTACGAGGACCTCGCTCTCCTCGAGACCCAGTTCGACGAGGTCGACCGCGAGATCTGTACGTCCTCCACTTCCATACGTTGATAGAACGAAGAATTGACAAAAGCATCCANNGTGGCCAAGCAGTATGTCCTCAGCGCTCCCCTCTACGCCAAGCGTCAAGAGATCGTGTCCAAGATTGACAACTTCTGGCCCCTCGTCTTTGAGCAATCCCCTCCCGACGTCGACCGCTACATTACCCCCAACGATGCCAACATCTTCTCAAAGCTGAAGAGCCTCGATGTCAAGCGCTTCGAGATTCCCATGGGTCCTGAGAAGATTGAGGGCGAGGCTGGTGACCCGCGCAGCATCGCCATCCGCTTCGAATTCGACGACAACGAATATTTCACCAACTCTGTTCTCGAAAAGAAGTTCTGGTACAGAAGATCGAATGACGGCTGGTCTGGTCTTGTCTCCGAGCCCGTCAAGATTGACTGGAAGGGCAAGGATCCCACCGAGGGTCTTCTCGATGCAGCACACGCCGTCTTCGAGGAACGCAAGAAGGCTGGCGATATGAAGAAGAAGGGCTTTGCTGCTCACAAGAAGCTTCTCAAGCTGATCGAGTCAAACAATGTTGATAACACCTCGTTTTTCGCTTGGTTCGGCTATGTCTCTGCTACTCGCTACGTTTCTGCCGAGGAGTCGGCTCAGGCCAACAAGGAGTACAAGGAGCGTCAGGACAAGAGATCCAAGGGCGAGAGAGTCGAGAGCCCCGAGCCCGAAGAGGAAGACATGGCCGACATGTCTGGAGAGGATGAAGTCCACCCCGAGGGCGATGAGCTCGCTCAAGTCATTGCCGAAGACGTTTGGCCCAACGCCATCAAATACTTTAGTAAGTGTCAGCCCAACCCTGCAGATTTACATCATCTAACCTCTATTTAGCTCAAGCACAAGAGATGGAGGNACATGGAAGACATGTCCGAGATGGACTTTGAGGACATGTCTGACGAAGACGACGACAATGCACCAATTGACTTGAGAGCACTGGTCGGCAAGGGCAAGCCCAAGACCAAGCCCAGCAACGATGCCGACGAGCCTCCCAAGAAGAAGCAAAAGAAATAAGCGCAAGAAGAAACACGAGAGCGTTGTTCCTCAGAGTGATTTTATGGATGATGATTTTTCGATAGTTTTCTGGAAGGCCAATAATATACCCGAGATACTGGAACCAGAACCCAAGAAAGAACTCATGTTTTGCAAATACAAGTCATTCTCTTTGAAATCCTCCACCAGTGATTGCCACTTCTCAACCGTCAACCTCCATCTCATCTTTCTCCTTTTCCTTGATCTCCCTATTCTTCTTCCTGCGCATCATGCTCAATACCACATCTTCTGCCTCCACAACAGTAGGCAAAGCATTCACCTCCCCATCCAAATACCCATAAAACAGATACGACAAAAACATCCTCTGCAGCCCCATCCTCCTCCTCACCGCCTCCCGAATCACCAACTGATCAGGCCTCAACAGCAACACCTCACCCAACCCCCAACACTCATACCCCCATCTACCCACCAAAGCAGCAGGAACACCGCAAATAGGCATCTTGGCTTTTGCCTCATACTGCTCTTGCTGCGCCTTTGTCATTGGCCGCGGTGATGAAGGCCTCACATACCTATGTCTCACCCACAGACGCAGAGTATCGAGTTTTGAAGTGCCGTCTGCACCGCGAAGGTAGTTCCACAGGGTACTGAGACTGCGTTCTGCGAGCAACAATTCGCGCATTGAGCATTCGCCTCCATACCAATGCACGGGGTCTGTATACAGCATATCCAGTTTGATGAAAAAGAGCTGTAGGACTGCAAGCACTTCTTTGGGGAAAAAGACGGTGTTGTGGATGAGAGAGATGCGAGGGCCGTTGACGGGTATGTCGAGGAGAAACCACATTCGCTGTGAAAATTTTAGTCTCTTGATGTGAAGGGAAAGGGAGAGGGAAAGAAAGAGGGGGAAATACTTTNNTAGTGCTTCAACGCCTTCGGTGCGTGGGATGCGATGGCCGTGGACACACATCCAACCCACGATTTCCCGGCATACGGATTCGCGATATGCCACCATTTTCAACCAGCGGAACCCTGGCACGGGAGCTGCAGAATGTTGACGTTGATCCGCGAGTTCAGTCATTCGTGCCTTTCTCTCAGTCGGGCTCTCAGACTTGGCACTTTGTTGTGAATTGTCTGAAGAACTCGAGGTTTGAGAATCAAAAGAGTCAGATGCGTTGACAGTTTCTTGAAGATCCATCTTGGGCACCAAATCATCCCAGCTCACACTTCTGCGATCCTGTCTGGGACGTCGTAGAGCAGGGTCTTCGATGCAGAGTTGACGATAACACCACCAAGGAAAGCATTTATCGGCATTAGGGGCCCAGAAAGTGGCGGTTGCCTTGACGAATGCGGTAAAGTGACTGTCCATGACATAGTGAAACGGAGCAGAAACACTGTAGAGGTTGAGTAGTGTTTGAGGAGGTAGGTAGCTGGTGATTTGTAGTAGGATATCCACGTGCGAGGCCATTGCGGTGAGTAGGTTGAAGTTCTTGGGTGAGGGAGGTGGGGAGGGCGTGTTCAGGACAATGCGTTTGCGACGGCGAGTTGGGATTGGTGAGGCCAGGGAGGCAGCTTCGGCGAGTATGTCGAGTGGGTTCCTTGGTTCTTCGTTGGGAGTGGAGTTGTTTTGGTATGTTGTGTTTTGCTGGGGTTGGTCGTCAAGGACGAAGCGTCTCTTGTTAGAGAAAGTTGGAGCATGACCGTCGTCTTGTGTGAGAAGGTCAGGGGAGTGACTTGGGCGGCGCTTTCGAAGAACGCTGCTTGCTTCTGCCATGATGGATGATGAAAGTGGTGGAGTGATGTGATGACAGTGTTGGAGATTGAGGATGTATGTTGAATTTCCAAAGTGCAACGACAAAAAGTTGGAAGCGCGATGAGTGATGGCGCCAGATGGCGCGAGACAACAATAGCAAGTAGTAGCTTATTGTCATTGTTGTGATGTGTAGCTATTGTCGCAGTGAGGCAGCCGTGACAATCGCGCCAGCATAATTAGTGAGTGAGCAATCGATGCTTCGCTTCATGGTCAGTGAAAGCAAGCTACCATCAAGCTCGACGAAACGCATGAATTGAAAGAGGGTCTTTAAAGTATCTTGTAATGTACAATAGTATTTTTGCAATGCAGAAAAGAAGGTGGTGCAAAATTCGTTAATTTACTTACGTCGTTGAGTGGTATCTTTCCGTAACCTGGCTGTTGAGTGGCCATTCATCCTTCATGTATATCTTGTGTACTCCAAAAACGCCTTTTGCCCATCTATGTTCAAATTCGGCCGACCTTCGTGCTCGTCTACCTTCTGTTGATCAAGTTCAAGAATTCTTCTCTCGTTTTGGCAGTCGATCTCATTCTACCGAGCATACAGCTGGTAGTGGTTGAGGCAGTCGTCTTTTGGACACCACGCATTACCATGCACAGATGGCTGGATTCCATGACGACTGCGACACCCTGAGGTTGGAGGACTTCGGACAAGGCAAGGGCGACTTGTTTGGTCAGACGCTCCTGAACCTGTAGTCTGCGAGAGAACATCTCGGCGATACGAGCCAATTTGGAGAGGCCGATAACGCGACCATTGGGAATGTAGCCGATGTGCATCNNTATACAAGTTAGATAGCATTCGCTGAGTGTGTCGCCGTGGATACTTACCTTTCCAGTAAAAGGTACCAGGTGATGCTCGCAAAGACTGAAAACCTCAATGTCCTTTACGATGACGAGCTCATCATGATCCTCGTGGAAGACGGCGCCATTAACAATGTCCCTCAGGTTCTCCTCATAGCCCTTGGTAAAGAACATCATGGCTTTTGCATAACGCTCAGGTGTGCCATGGAGGCCCTCTCTTTCCGGATCTTCTCCAATACATTCGAGCAGCGTACGGACTGCTCCAGAGAGCTTTTCGAGGCGGGCGGCGGCTTGTTCGGGGGTAGATTCGAGTCTCTCACGTGTGCCAGTANNCCTATACAAGGATCAGACAAGGAAAGCGGTTGAGATCAGACGGAGCATACTGGGCCAGCTCAGACCGTCAAAGTCAATGGTAGGAGCGAGAGTGTAGGGACTGCTAGCTCTGCTAGTCTGCTGGGATGCCCAGTCGTCGCGCGGGTCCCTGGCCTCGGCCTCTTCGAGATTGGCGAGCTTTGCAGGACGCTTGTCGCGTGGTTGTGCGCTGGCATGTGGTTGGAAGTAGTTGCCTTCGAGATCGACGGGCTCCTTCTTGGGACCCATTGAGGACTGGATGGACTTGAAAGCGTTCTCTCTTTCGCGCGCGTCCCGGTTTTCTTGAGCCTTTTCGTGATTTACAAGAGGAGACGATCCGTTGATCAAGTGCGATGGGATATTCTTGGGCCTGATGGGCGAGTTTGGGTGGTGGTCCATGGTTGCGGCTGGTTGACAGTATAGATGTCAAGCTCGTGATTGTGCTGGTGGTCCACTGATAGATGATGTATCAGGAATAAAGCGGCTAGTTTAGTCACGTCCTAGAGGAAGTAGTTGGAGTGTGAAGCTTGTATGTGGTAGAAGAGAAAGTCCATTACGCTCTGCCTGGGTTTACAGAGCCATGATTTCTGGTTGAGAGGCAGCGTTCATTAATATCCTTCCTCATTCCTCCCTGTTGTCCCTCGTCTAGCCCCGCCGGTCTCGCCAAACTTTTTCTCTTTGAGTCACGCCTTCCCGGAGCCCTGATGGAGCTAGACGGAAGAACGCCTTGGCACACGAGGGGCTGCATTCCCAACGCGGCCATCGCAGGCAGAACGACAATCACCACCATACAATCATCCTGTCAACTCTGCTACCCTACGCACGCGATGGTTTTCCCGAGTGCTGGTCGACTGATTTTTCCCTTCTCCATCTTGCGGTTTGCGCGTCTCGATCGCTTCTGACGACCTGCGCAACGTGTACATCCTGCTGCAGTGCGCCTGCGCTCATCCACCTAGTTAGATCATGCTGTTTTTTGGCCCACAACTAACCCATGTTTCGACATCTTGAAAGACACTTGATATCTTTTCGGAGCTTGCTTCCGTGCTGGGGCACTCCGTTCGCCTAGCTGACGCGCCTATTGTCATGTTTCGACTCGGATGATATCTTCTGATCACTGACCTTCCAATTTGCTCGGCCAGGCGGTAGACCAGGTTCCAACTTGGCCATCTGCATTTGCGTTGACATTCGCAAATGTGGTAGAGACGCCATCGACATCACGGTTCGTCGCTTACTGATCAAGCTCGGCTCGATGGAATGAAGCTTTCATGCAGCTCCTGCCTCGAGCAGTAGTGAATCCGAGTAACTATCAAGCATTTGTGCAGTCGACATCGACGACGAAGAACGCATTCGACAATATGGTTTTGTCAAGTTTCTGATCCGAAGAGAGACAACGATTGGATAGCCAAAGACCAACCTTCCGCATACAACAACGCAATCATGGGGCTTCACACCAGAGAAATGACCGTCCTCGGGAGGACACTGAGTGAACGAAGCCAATTAAAGGTAATGTTGCAATGGTCAGTGATAGATGGTGTTGATGCAGCTTGGGAGCTGGACATGAGTGCATTACAAGTGAATGATGGAAGGCGGGTCACAGTCAGGACACCCACAAGACGCCGATTCACAGGAGCATCGCAGAAAGGTCACATAGACGGCTCGCTCGAGCTGAGTCAGGGCTGAACACATACCGACTCCTGGTCTGATAGGAGTACTCGACAGAGCAGCATTTGATGATGAAGCACGGCCGCTTAAGCTTCGGGTACGGCGCAAGCGGCGGGGAAACGCCTTGGATCTCGTTCGGCCAAGTTGGGCAAAAGAGGGCGCGTCTCGAGCAAGAGTTGTTCGCTGAGCCATTGACAGGTGAGGGAACTGATCACTCCATTCATTTTTAAGCACCCTTTCCCCTTTCTGCACCGTATCGCTCTGCGCAAATGCTATTGCTGCTGTCGCTGGCACGTCGTATTTGAGTCAAGAGGATCATCACCCTTGCCGTGTCATTCGCGCGTGGGCTTCAAGGCTGTCTCGGTGGCCGTGTTCGTCGTCGGACTTGAATTTATGTCCCTTCTCCATGGCAGGCAACGAAACAGAGCACGGGCGACGTGGACGTGATTTTCCAAGCAGAAGCAGAGAGCGTGATACAAAGCTGTCACCATCGCCTACTGCAGCCGCTGGTCGAGGGCGCGCCGCATATCCTTCCACATCGCTTCACCATCGCCCTCGCTCAACCTCTGCACACAGGGCCCAAGATCCCGACCGCGAACGACCTACCCATTATCATCATCGTCACCACCATCACCGCCATCACCATCACGATTCGGGACGCACTCAGCCATCGCTCCCGCCAGCTGATGAAGCTGCTGTATCCTCTCTGAGCGCAAGACGTCCAAGTACTTCGCCAGCTCCATCCAACAGCTCGAGGTACGCCAAGCGTCCACCACGAGACTTCTCTCCTCGACCTTCACGCCCGTACGACCAACGCCCGTATCCAGATCGACCTCCTCCAGCTCGAAGACCACAGTCGCCCGACCCATACCCGCAAAGACGACGTTCCCGTTCGGTCGAATCTCGCTACAGCTCGCGCCAACCCAGATATCCGTCTGACAGAGACCACTACAACGACCGTAGCCGATACTCGCCTCCACCGAACAGAGGTTATCGTACATCAGGTCCCTCGTCTCGTGGTCGTCCTGAAAATAGTTACGCTTCTCGTCACAGCAAACCTCCTGCACGCTCGCCTCCTCGTGAAGCCCGACGCTCTGACTCGCCATCTGACGACCTCATATCGCAGCTGGCGACTACTGCACGACCTGAAGAAGCAAAGTCTAGTAGACGTCGAGGTCCATCTGTGCATTCTCGTCGCTCTTCAAGGTCGCCTCGACCCGACACTCGTCGACCATATAGGCAAGATCCACCTCGCTACCGTGAAAGAGAGAGGGAAAGAGACAGAGATTACGCAAGAGACTACGACAGAGATTACGGACGCAATCGGGACTACGGCCGAGGAGGTCGTCGCGATTACGGAAGAGACTTCGACAGAAGGGAACGCTATCGCGACGAGCGTGATCCAGACGCCATGTACGGTAGAGGCGGCCCTCCCCGGCAGCCCATGTCTCGTCCGTACGTAGACCCGCGCTACTCCCAGTCACCGCAGTACCCGCCTCCTGGACCTTCTCCACCGCATGGCCAGTCTCCATATGGTCGTGCGTACCCTCCACAACAGCCTTATGCTAGCTACCAGGGGTAAGTTTTGATGTCCTGTACAGTTTTCTTAATGCTGACCTTTACCAGTTCTCCAACACACGCTGCCTATTCGGCTGCTGCCTCTCCTTACTACCAGCAGAATTATCCACCTCCAGCCGCAAGTCCTTACTACCAAGCACAACAACCCCCACCACATTATGCAGCACAGCCACCGGCGTCGGCATATCCACCTCAATCCTCGTATCGCGGCCCTCCCTCCCGAGGATACAATGGCTCACAACGACCGCCCGCTCCCGTTCAAGCACCTGCTGCTCCTGCTAGTAGAGGAGGTCGTGGTGGTCATTTCTCAAATCTGTCTTGGACTCCATCAAGTGGTAGCAGAGGTGGAAAGGTACTTTCGAAACGGGAGACTAGTATATCCGGCAACGAGACTCCTCTCGCACCTGGTTCAATGACTGAATCTGTCGATGACGATGACAATCCATTCAGGCCGCCTAAAGATTTACGAGCCGAGGATGAAGGCGACAGGAGAAAATCTGGTATCAGCTTCTCTATCAAAGGAATGGCCGGGAGAAGTGATGCTACAGCACCTCACAAACCGGCTCCATTAGCTGCGCCTCGCACAAGGAAGGAAATTGTTGTTCGCAAACGACTGAAGCCCAAGCCAAAGTTGACAGGAGATTTCGCTACCTCGGATTCGGTCTACTACCGCAAGACTGGCAATGAATCAGTTGTCGGATCTGGTACATACGGCAAGGTGTACAAGGCTGTGCACGTCTACACTGGAGACAAAGTCGCTCTCAAAAAGATAAGAATGGAAGGAGAGCGCGATGGCTTCCCGGTGACGGCAATTCGCGAAATCAAGCTTCTGCAGTCTCTCAACCATATCAATGTGGTGCAGTTGCAGGAAGTCATGGTTGAGCGCAACGACTGCTTCATGATCTTTGAGTATCTGTCTCACGATTTGACTGGGTTGTTGAATCACCCATCGTTCGTGCTGACTGAAGGACACAAGAAAGATCTTGCCAAGCAACTGTTTGAAGGACTCGACTACCTTCACAAGCGTGGCGTACTTCATCGCGACATCAAGGCAGCGAATATCCTTGTGTCTCGCAATGGTGAACTGAAGTTGGCCGACTTTGGTCTTGCGCGATTCTACAACAAGAATGCAAAACGAAAGCAAGACTACACCAACAGAGTCATCACCATCTGGTATCGCTCGCCTGAGTTGTTGTTGGGAGAGACGCAGTATGGTCCTGCGGTCGATATTTGGTCAGCGGCCTGTGTCTTGGTTGAGATTTTCACCAAGCACGCCATCTTCCCAGGAGATGGTGGTGAGATTAACCAACTCGACAAGATTTACAATGTTCTCGGTACGCCCTCAAGATCCAACTGGCCAGGGATAGTGGATCTGGCTTGGTACGAGCTCCTACGACCAGCGCATAAGGTGCCCTCGACTTTTGCCGAGAAGTACCAAGAACGCGTATCACCAGCAGCGTTTGATCTCTTGAGCGCCATGTTTGTCTTTGACCCTGACACTAGACCTACGGCAAGTGACGTATTGGAGCATCCATACTTCATGACGGAGGAACCAAAAGCGAGCAAGGTGGTGGAATTGAAAGATCTGGAGGGTGACTGGCATGAGTTCGAGAGCAAGGCATTGCGCAAGGAGAAGGAGCGTGAAGCGAGAAGAAAGGACAAGGAGAGTGCAGAGAAGCGTAAGCTCGAAGGGCCAGTAGGCGATGAGAGAGAGCTCAAGAGGGCGAAGACTGGCGATGCACAGGTATAGCGGGCAGCATGTAAAAACACTCACTGAATGAGATGAAGTCTGTAGCAGGTAATGACGCTGCATTATTATGATTCATAAAAATTGCACAACTTCCCCAGACCCAGGGACGGCCACCTTTGTGACTTGAATACAATTGCTGGCTTCAAGCTCCGCGACACCTTGCAACATCACACAATTTCAAGATGCACTCGTCGCTCGTACGGATACAGAATGTGTTCGGCTTCTTCACCACCGTCGCCTTCTCACTGGGCATGCTGATAGCGCTGAGCGTTGTCGTCTCGCACCAGAACCCGACAGCAGAGCTCGAGCTGCGCAACGTCCAGGTGTAAGCAACCACACCCTCTGTACTTGTAGAAGCATCATCTGACCAGCATGCAGAGNTCAAGGGCCGCCCTCACTACTACAGCACCAAGAAGGAGGAATATGCGCACATCAAGTTTGATCTCGAGACTGGTTCGTCGACTTGTTATCCCTGACCTGCAATGCGACTCTCTCTGACAACCTCANCAGATCTCAGATCCCTCTTCTCGTGGAACACCAAGCAAGTCTTTGTCTACGTGACTGCAACATTCCCCTCCAAGTCACCTCTGTCCCCTCCCTCGGAAGCCATCATCTGGGACGCCATCATCCCCGCTCCTTCCGAGCCCTGGCACGAAAACACCTACATACACCCCCAAAAGAACCGCAAACAACCCTCTCGCCGCCAAAACACCGCCGCCGCAAACCACAAAGCCTACCCCGAAGGCACGGCCCCCGGTATCCTCAACCTCTCGAACCAGAAACCAAAGTATCAGATTACCACTCCTTGGTCCAAAATTGGCGGGGCTGAGAATTGTACGCTGCAGCTCAAGTATAATGTGCAGCCTTGGGTTGGTGCGTTGTATTGGAGTACGCCTAGGCCGTTTGGCATGTGGGAGGGTTTGCAGGGGGCGATGAGTGATGTGTTTTCCATGCCGTTGGTTAAGAATTCTGCACAGGCGAGTAAGAGCAAGGAAGAGTTGAAGACTGAGACGGGTGGTGAGAGAAACAGGGGAAGTCCTGCTTAGGATATTGATCAGTGGACAGTCTGTTCTACTGTTGCTTTGATCTCGAGATGTAGGACTTACCTCGAGCTTTATGAACGGTTCCATTACAAATTAAGGTAGCCTGGGCTCACGATTCCTCCAACTCCAGTCTCTCGTCGATAATGCGAGCGATCTGATCCATACACTTGATGACCAACACAACGTTCATATCAAGTTAGTATATACTTGCCAGCTTGACACCATCATCCGGCATGGCTGTACCAGTGCTAGGATGTACAATCTGCAGCTCTTAACTTAACTCAATGTCGGTTCCAGAAGTATCGAATTAATGTATCCGAATCCTCGAGAAGACCCAGCAGCAGTAGACATACGGTATGATAGAACCATTCTATAGTTATCAAGATAGATGAATTAGAAATCTAGAATGTCCTTCATTGCCATTGACTCGGTGTCTAGAGAGAGTATGAGCTCAAGAGGCAGGGTCGACCTACTAACAACTGAAGACGGAGCCAATTCCGCACAGAGAATCGATGACGCGCCTGCCATTCGCGTCGTTTAGGGAAGCCACTTTTGGCAGTCTTGACACTCATTAAACATCGCGAGAAGAAAACACAATAGAGGACATCATTCTCCTACGCTTCAATCATGCGTCTCGCTACCGCCCTCCCGCTCTTGCCTCTTGTGGCCGCTTTACCGACCGCTCCGACCGCGAAGCCTCTCCCTCTCATCATCTGGCACGGCCTAGGCGACCGCTACGATGCCGATGGAATTGCAGACGTCGCCGCTCTAGCCAACGAGATCCACCCAGGCACCGTCGTCTATCCCATCCGCCTCGCAGACGATGGCTCGGCTGACTCCCGCGCCACTTTCTTCGGCAACCTGACCACGCAACTCTCCGACGTATGCAACACGCTGAGCTCGAACTCCTCCTTTTCTTCCAACAACACAAGAATCGATGCTCTGGGATTCTCTCAAGGCGGTCAGTTCCTGCGCGGTCTGATTGAGACATGCCCAGGCATTAGCGTGAGAAGTCTGGTAACCTTTGGCTCGCAACACAATGGCATCTCCAAGTTCCAAAACTGCGGCACCTGGGATTTAGTGTGCAAGGGAGCTATAGCTGCCATCAAGGGCAATGCATTCGGTGAATGGGTCCAGGGCAACATCATTCCTGCACAGTATTACAAGGAGACAAATGAAACCACTGGAGAGCCCACAAGCAATTATCTGAACAATAGCAATTTCATTGCCGACATCAACAATGAAAGACACAACAAGACCAAGGAATACAAGCAACGTCTGTCATCTTTGGACAAGTTTGCCATGTACGTCTTTGACGAGGACAAGACTGTGATCCCCAAGGAAAGCGGCTGGTTTGCTCAAGTCAACATGACGAGCATGGAGGTCACTGGCCTCAGGGACAGACAGATCTACAAAGAAGATTGGATTGGCTTGAAGCACTTGGACAGGAAGGGTGCTCTGGAGTTCAGAAACGCTACTGGTGGACACATGGATCTGACTGAAAAGGTTCTAACAGAAGCCTTTACAGACTTCTTTGGTCCTGACAGGAAGCCTTGGAAGATCGCAGAGCAGCTGCAAGTGGTGTTTGAAGAATTATAAATACATAGTGCATTAGATCGCCACCTACTAATTCATTCGCTTTCATGCCTCCTTCTGCCACCACGAGTATACTACGAGACTTATCTCTTACTGCAAGCAGGAGCGAGATCATCACGCCTCATCACCTCGCAACAACACTTCCTGACGAAAAGAGCCCAAAGCAGGTAAATCTGGTCTCGGACGACAACGGACACGTCCCCCGTAATGTCAGCGCGGATACCTGGTAGGGTGCCTGCTGTGGCCACATTTGACACGGCAGCCCTCAGCACTGTGCCTGTAGAGAGACCAATATGGAGGGTGACGGATCACGTGTACGTAAAGGTCTTCTTCCCTCTCATACTCATGGACAGTATCGTTTATGTGGCATTCTCTGTATGTCCAGTTCTTTGTTACTGGCGCTCCGCCCGATCATCACTCACTTCTTCCGCTCTCACGACGCGTGTCCATCTCGTACCATCTTCAAGCTTCTGAAACTGCACACTATACCGCAAAATGTAACTTGCAGACTCCCTGGAGAGTCTTGTGCGTTGAGACGCTCAGATCTTCTCACCGCACATCCTTGCTTACCAGTATCAAATGCAGATCACCCGTCGTTATTCCCTGCTGGAAACACAGAAACAAGTAGATTTTTGTTGGCAGACGATAAAGGAACCAGAAGTGGTGGAAGAAGCGAGGGAGAGAAAGGTGGGTGTATCCCCGAAATTATGCCGGCAGGAAGTTTCAACCTCACCTCCTCTTCCCGCCACACTTTATAAGATGTTCCCTTCGAACTTCTGGCAAGACCGAATTCAGGATACTCTGGCACAAGTCTTCGCTCTGGCTAATTTGAGATAGGAACGGCACATCTCGATGGTAGGAGATGATGTTGAAAGCATTATCAGGAATGTGTTCATCGACTTCTTTTCCTAAGAATAATCCCACTTATACTATGAGCTGTACAATAAGTGCTCGGACTGGCGTCGCGAGCCGATCCAGCTCATCTTCGAACGGATAACTCAAGCAGTCGCTGCATCTGGATCTGTATGCACTTTCCGAGAAGCTGGTCAGACTTGCAAACAATGATGGCTCTTATCCACTTCTCTATACGGAGTGATTCTGTCACAGGAAGACAGCTTTGTAGTTTGATAGCTTTGGAAAGCGAAGTTTACTGCAGGTTTGACTTTTCCTTCTAGTCATTGAGAGCCTCTGATCGCATTCCTCGAGCTTGTCTCTTGTGGGTAAGACCAACAGCAGCACTTATATGGGAAAGCTGTCACACATCAGGATACAAGATTGGCTGACCAAACGATTCGCTCTCTGTCTCAAGGTTGTCGACTGCAACAGGAATAAAAAGGTCTCATATTGGGTTTCACCCCGAGATGTCTCGCTATGGTCCAGTGCTTGTCTAGGGTTTCTCCCAGATGGTGTAGTAGTCAAGCATTTCTGCTGCCAGTCACAGTATAAGTTGGGAGGTTTGGGCTGTATCGTGGAGGTGAGAAAGGGAGAACTGGTCCTCGATCCACGACCCCAAACGATAACCACCATCACTCGGAAGCACAGACCAGCCGCATTCAACACCACATTCGCTCTCACACAACGAAACCGGCGATTCAGTCAAGTCCTGCTCGGTTTTGGACATCTTCTCAATCTCCCAACACAACACTCATTTATCACGACTCAACCTCATCTTCCAACACCTCCATCATCGCATCCTCAGCACTCAGGTACACGCACATAACAACATGGAGGTCGATCTTCAACAACATCAGTGTCACGTCTTTAAGGACTTCATGACTCTCAATCCCAGCGCAAACATGCCGATCTTGGGAAAGAGATGCGCGCTCGACGCTCTGAACCACACTCTGACCCCCGACCATTACGCGCAGCCCCTGAACCGCAACAGCCAGTATCCTCAATATACCCCTCTTGTCGTTGCGCTCAACACAATCTGCGCCGAGTCGAAGATGCCCATAATCACCGAGGCTCAGCTACACAACATGCAGTTCATGCCTTGGTTCGATCCATTCGCCAAGGAGTTCATCAAATCTCACCACGCTCAAAATCTGATCGACATCAACAACTTTTTGAATGTCCAGGGCTCAATCACAAAAGACCATATGGTATTGATGACTGCTGCATTCTCCTACGTCATTGGTCTTGAGAATGTCAGTCTGGGCATTGTGACATTAGTCAGAGGTCAGCCAGTCAAGGCGTTCCATTACCCGGATACCTACCTCAGCCCTAAGTACACGGCTTGGATTGTCGCAGACTTTCGCGCCAACGAACCTCGCTTCTTTGGTATTGGACGCCAAGTTGAACAGAAGCAGAACTTTGTGTCTGGAGAAGAGGTGGATGATGAGGAGGAGCACGACAACGAAGAAGTCAGTGAGGAAGGAACCCCAGTCCCCACGACCACACCTCGCAAGACCGCCGCTCGTGTTCTGGTGCAGCAGACTCCACTCCCTGCTGGTCTGTCGGCTGATGTTATACTGCAACATCACAAGAGCCGTTTGCAATACAACAACGTCTTGAAGGTGGGTCTTGTTTACAGCAATCAGAAGATTGCAGAGAACTGCAAGTCGGACTCGTTACCCAAGAATGAACAACTCCGTCACACCAGCGCTGTTGTCAAGCGCATCAACACCGGTGTCAACTGGATTGAAGATCAGTACGAGATTGACAGTGGCGCCTTTCGCACTGCATATGACCGTCAGCGTCGCATCAACGGCATCCCAATCAGAGGCAAGGACGAGGTCGATGACGATGTTATCACCGCCAATCACTCCAAGATCGATGCCGCCATGACTTGGATCAGAATGGGTGGTCCTCGCCCTGCTGATGACCATGCTCCACACGACTTATCTATCACTACTGCCTCGGTCACCAACCCCCTGTTCCCTTCGCCGGCCCCCTGCCTTTCCACACTTCTCTTTCACCGTCCCTACTGGATACATGCCAGCTTCACCAACCCCTGCTGGCCTGCAGACATCCATGGCTGCCCCTGGTCATCATCTCGGCTCGCAGATGGGAATCGGCAGCGCCAGAATGACCATGAACAACGGCAGAAACTATGCGATGAATAACGACAATGTGGGCATGATCTACAGCAACAACGGTATGGTGGGCAATGAGATGGAAGTGGAAGATGATCTCAACTGGAACCCCGAGGATCTCGACCCCGAGCAAGAGTTTGCGCAGCATATGTTCCGTTGAAAGGCCGTCTACTGGTGAGCCGCTGCTTCATTGAAGGCCGTTCACTTTCTTCTCAGCATTTCAATGCTCGCTCTCCATTACAAGGTCCATGCCCGAGCGAGATTCCGGGTATTGGGAATGGCTTGCCTGTTTCTTTTTTGTTTCCTTTGTTGCGCGGATCGATTAATTTGAAAGCTCTTGGAGGCGGCACCGTTTTCTTTGACTATACACTCTTTGCGCTTACGAAGTTCTAAACAATGAATCTCTTTACTCTTTCACAACTCTTTTCTCGTGGCTGTAGGATCATGCATGTATTCTAGAAGGGAATGGCGGTCTCGAAAACGGCCTAGTATCCTGTTGATGTGAGAAGCGTCATATTGTGTCATCGGGATCCAAAGCTCAAATGTCAACCATCTCTTGATCTCCATCACCTCCCTTGTCCTGACTTCCCTGCTCAGGGTCACTCTCTTCGTAGTTGCTACTTCCGCTGATCTGCGTGTACTGCGGGACCAGCTTTACGGCTCCGATCGTCCTGGCAAACTTCGTAACTGAATCTATGATCTTCTGTGTCTCTCTTTCTTTGTGCTGCAAGTACTTCTTCATGTTGTCGAGGTCTTTGTTGCAACGTTTGGCGATTTCTCCAATGTGATGATCGTCCACGATGTCTTCAAGGATTTGGTCAGTGTTGTTACTGAGACGCTCGATCGCGGACAGCTTTTCGAATCGAAGAATCTTGTCCTAAGCACGGCCAGTCAGCAANATATTGTTATATCCTTCTAGGCTTTGCTCGCTACGCTGTGGACCCACCTCCATCTTTCTGAGTTTCTCTGTCAGCTCGTCAACCTCACTTTGGATGTTGTCTTCCATGGCTACTCCAGTATCCTGATTCTCACGCGCCATCTTTCTCCACTTGGTGTGTCCAAAAGTCTTCGCACTCTGGATCTGCATGCCTGCCTGAGTATAGTTCAAGCCACCATAAGCAGGGTAGCCACCGACCAGATGAGTAGCGATACCCTCGCCATACTCACAATGCTCCACACAGAATGCCTGAAACAGATACACAGACTCGAGATGGAACTTCTTGTTCGGCCACAAAGCATTGAGAACACATCTGGCCAGGCGGAAAAAGTTTGCGGAGCCTTCGAGCTTGTCGTGAGTACGACACCTCTCGTGGACGTTGATGGAGAACCCTGCTTCCCCGGGAAGTCTGATCTCGGTAGCGCCTTGTGCCTTTGCGTCTACGATGAGTGCTCTCTGGGAGATTTTGAAGTCTTGGAGATTCGTGGACTTGGTGCAGCTTGCTCGCATATCGGGGATCTCGGACACTGTTTTGCCAGTATAGTTGTGGAAGTATGAGGTGGCTGCCTGGTCGATGTCAAAGCCCGGGCGGTTTGATTGCATAAGTCGCTCTTCAATGCACGCGGTCATGCCTTCGACGAACTCCTCATATTCGTTGACTGTGAGACCTTGACCGTTGGGATCGAGAAGGTAGTTGATGTAGAGACCACAGGCGACATCTTCAGGGGCTTGGACGGCATGACTGATCTTGAATCGTGGATCCAGTACGATTGTGCGGTTCTTGATGTCCTCGATCAGGCTGTTTTGCAACAAGCTGGTAAGCACTTCACTCTCATGCTGACTGAGAAGCATGATAGCGTGCGGCATATACTGAGTCTGATCGACAATTCTGGAGTGGAAGATATTGCGTGAGTAGTTTTTCTCCATCTCCAGAACAGCCTGAGCTAGACCACAGTAACCCTTCTGAGTCCAAGCGTCGAGCATTGTTTGCTGCTGTTGCGTAACATACACCGTCGATGGAGAGGACGCCATATCTGCTACTTGTTTGTCTTCTCAAGACGAGGGAACTGTTTGGAAGTGATGTTGTTGTAACCAGGGGCTTTTGTGTATCGCGAGAAAAGACGCTGCGCGGTCAACAGTCGAACTTCTTGCGTGGTGTAAATGTAGAAACCCTCTTTACGGAAAGGAAGTGATGGGCATTATCGACCCAGGTTGCTGCGGAGACACAGAACGTGACGGCCAAACTGAATGATTTGTACAGAACTCAAGCGGCAACACGTGGGATGATTGGGCTCCAGTTGTCTAACAAACAAACCGCTTCACAAACACATGCTTTGTTTGATTTTGATTTTCTTCAAAGTGATTCTCATATCGAGAGGCATGCATGGTTCTGGCAACTCTTTCCAAACTTTATGTAGCACCGATACTTCAATCAAGCTGATCAAGTCCTCATGTCTACCGTCACTTTCGATCCCCCCTCACATTCCGCGCGTGTACCCTGGACTATGCTGAAAGATAGAAAGTAGAGATAGAGATGGTAAAAACTTGTTGTAGTATCCATTCCAGTTGACTTCAATCCGCGTTGTTGTTAAAGAGGGGTGATTGTAGTTTGCATTGCTATAGGGACTAACCAAGGAAGCAAAAAGCAAGAAGTAACAGGGAAAGAAACAAAGAAAGAAAACAAGAAAGAGGAAAAGAAGAAATAAAAGCTACATGGGCCTTAGTAGATGCTCTATCTGTGACTAGAGCATTGACTGCGGCGGATGTGCTGGCAGAAGAAGAAGGAGAGTTGTAAACCCAGGGAAAAAGAACACATGGACCTCAGTAGACGCTCTCATCGTGTGTAGAGCTTGGACTGTGGTGGATGTGTTGAGAACTCGAGAGGGCAACATGGACTTCCGTGGACGTGCCGATGCATCATCACATCATCATATCATCCAAACTTACTGAGCCTGATATCTTGCCGAAGATCCTCGGACGAACAGTGAGCCCATTCTGTCACAAACAAAATCCCGAGTAGGGCCTAGGGGCTCAAAGAATGGTGGCTCAGTCGTCACTCTCCCTTCTGCCCGACTACGCTCAGGAAACGTGACGACTCTAGCACGAACGTTGTATTGCAAGTCATCGGCGGCATAGAGGCTGGCTCGAGACTCAGTGGCAGTGACTACACAGTAGCTGCCGTTCACCAGAACGGGTGCAAGAAGCAGACGGCCCGAGTCGTCACGATCGCCGGTGGATGATGGCGGGTCGGAGGTTTCGGCAATGTGCTGAACATGGTACAGTAAATTCTTCGGCGCAAGCCCGATAAGGCCGTCGAACCACGCACTATAGGCCTGCAAGATCAGATTCTCCTTGATCGCCGACTTGTTGATTGACGACCAGTATTCGATTGTGGTAGCCACGTTAGTCCATCCAGACTCCAGCATGCGGGTGCCACGAAGAAGTAATTCAAGCAGGCGGGCTTCGAACAGGATCTGCAGTCCGCTTCGAGGTGTGCGATCGGAGTAGACAGTGAGTTGCTCTTCTATCAGTTGGACACGACCTTGTGAAATCCAACACGCGTAAAGTGTATCGGATACGATGATGAGATCCTCCAAACGGCACTGGTCGACTTGGCTGATCAAAGTTTCAAGCATATCCAGACGAACAAGCACGTCACGGTCCACGTCGAATATCGTGAGAGCTCTGAAACGTAGTGTCAGTTGCTCGAAAGATTCGGTTGTCTTGCGAATGCTTCCAATCTCCAGTGACCAGTCTAAAACCTCTGCTGCTAGTACAGGACCTTCGTTCTCCCAAGACCGGATGGGTCTGTACTCTGAGAGAGCGTCATAAGCCATACCGCCGAGTATCAAGTTGAAGTTCTTGCATGAGATCAGCAAGAGGCGAATGGTCTCCACCAAAGAACCTGCTGTGTCTGAAGCATCCATCTTGTAGGCTTGTTCTTTGAGAAGGGTGTCTTTGTTGCTGATGACTTGGTTCAACTCAGCTTCTCCTAGTCTCAGACGCTGGACCTCTTCTTCAATCTCATCGCGGGCGGCGTTGGCCTCATTGATTCGTGTGCTGATCTGTTGTATGTGGGAGTTTTTGCTCTTCAGGTTGTCTTCAAGCTGCGAGATGTCACGCAAACCATTCTTGCGCTCTTCCTTGAGGTCGCGTCTTGTCAAAGCGTGACTGGACTGCTCGTTGTCGAACTTGCCTCTCAGGATGCCACGCTCCTCTGCGTGTTCGATAGCGCTTACATTTAGTTGTTCGATCTTAGTTCTCAGAGCTTCGATGGTGGTATCCGTCATACCGAGGTCCTCGGCATTGTCGAGTCGAGAACTCAGGTATTCGAGTTTGTTCAATACGGAGAGTGCTACTCTCTGGGGCTCTTTGGACTCTTCACCGAAACGATCGCCAACGAGCTCCATGTAGGACTTGTAAATGTCCAGGACTTCGAGCTCGCTATGGCTCTGTATGCGCAAATTCTTCTCACGCTCGAGAGAGGCCTTGCAAGCTTTCATGTCGGCAGATAAAGAGAGTATACGGTTGGCTTGACGCATGTTTTCTTCCTTCAGAGCTGTTGCAGATGTGCTCAGAGCTCGATTTTCCGCGATCCTCTTCTCGAGCTTCTCTGAAAAACTCTTCTTGTCGTCCGTAAGGTTCTGCGCATCTATGTGGGCCACAGGAGGTCCGTTGCTGTTGTTCGTCGGACTGGTCAATTGATTCTGCTGTGCCTGTTTCTCAAGCTCTTGTCTCTCGCTGTTCCAAGATTCCTGCTTTTCTTGGATGGCCTTCTCATGACTTTCCTTTTGCCTGCTTATCTCCTTCTTTGTGTCTTCCAAATCTTGCTGGACATTTGCAAGCAACTGAATCTTTTGTAACAATGCCTCATACATAAGATCCCAGACCTGTCTTGCTGTCCAACTGTCCTGGTCCGGGCCCAGAACAACGACGTCCTGTTCATCGTACTGTTCCATCAAAGAGTCGCGGGTAAGCAGAGGGCTTTGTACATCAGGATCCTTGTGGACACCTAGACTGGCCAGATCTTGGTAGTGCTTCGGGGTCAGGTATTTCTTGTGCTCCATGAGGAGTTCGACAGCTGCAGTAGCATACAGAGGAACCAGGTCCTTCGCTATTTCGTTGGAGCCGAGGATTCCTGGCTCCTGCAGACGGTCGCGCCATCCCTCGAGATCCGATCGTGAGTCCAGCAGCTTTGCGGTCTGCTGTTTGTGCTGCTTCCT